TTAAGAGATCTTACTATATATCTTTCTTTAATTAATATATTATTTTCTATTATCTATAATAGTATAAGTAGATCTAGATAAATCTAGATAACTATCTAGTTTCTACTAGTATAGTTTAGATAAGATTCTAATAAAGAGTTCGTTCTAGTAGTAATATCTCTTTTTCTATTAATATATCGAGCTTTTTAACGATATTATCGTTCGTAATATCTAGATTAATAGAATATAATTAAGGACGTTAAAGTAGCCGTTATTACTATATCTTAGTTATCTCGTAAACTATCGTTTATAGCTAAGAGTATCTAAGGATAGCGAGACTAAAATTTTCAGAAAAAGAAGTTACTACTTATTACTATAATTTATCTTTCTCGATAAGAAATTTTTATCGCTATTTATCGTTTTAAGAGTATAATTCTCGTAAGTTTTCGCTACGAAACTAGAAGAAGTTTATCGAATATAGAAGATAAGCTTCGAGCTAGAAAATTTTCTTATTAATTAGTTTCGCTATATATTAAGGCGGTTTCGTTTATCTTTAATCGGCTTTATATAGAAGAGTATCGATCTTCTCAATAATTAACTATACTTCTCTTCTTCTTAAAAGAGTATAGAAGTTCTTATAGACTTTAGTTTAAGATAGAGAACTATCTCGTCGCCGCTACTAAATATAATTTTACGGAGAACTTATTCTATTTTAACGGGGCCTAGGGCCTCGTTAGACTATATACTTTCTAGAGGTTATACGATAGCGTACGACGCTAGTCGAGACCGAAAGACGGTCCTCGACGTCTTTATAATGCTTGGCACGTAGGGTGCCCATTTTGTCACAAACTTAAGGACAACAACATGCTTACCTAGACGGAGCACCACCAGGTGTCTAATATCTCCACTAATCGGAAGATTCTCTTCAAGTCTACCAGGTATAATTCACGTCCCTTCTTAAAATGGCGAACTTTCAAGCTCAAAGTCAAGAAAGCATCATCAAACCCGAAATAAATCATCTCGGAGAGGATGTTAAGGTGCACGGATGTACCGCAGGTATCATTGTAGATTTCCTTTTGGGGTTCAACTTGAACCGCTTGATGGTATCTCAGATAGTGTGAGGGGTGGAGAGTCTTGTAAAAAGGTAGAGAATACCGAACTCGCTGTGAGAACAAAACAAGTAGAGTCACGTCAAGCCAAATCACAACCGCATTTCAGATGTGCTGCGCGTAGCCCTCCATGTCTTTCACATTCGCAAACTGCAGTCTGTCATGCGCCATCCATGCCGCTCCCATTCCCAGCACGAAAGTGCTGTGAGTGTAGTAGTGCTCTATAATCTGATCTAGATCTAGATCTAAGAGTTGTCTAGGTAGTGGTGAAAGTTTTGGCAAAGTTAGTAGCAACGGCCAATGCCCATCCGTGCGTGTGTTAAGACATTTTCAGCCCTCGAAAACACTGTGGTTCATTTCGATGCCATAGTCCCTGGCCACGCGCCTCATCTGCTCCTCCATGTCATCGTCCATGCCCTTACCTCTGCCCAACACCTGCTTCAATTTGCTCCACCAGAAATACACGTCGCTGGCGAACAAGACCAGCTTGAACAATATATGGCTGCCAAGATACTTCCATCGCTCGGCGAACGAAAGATGGCGGTCTTCGGCCAGGGCTCGCGACGCCCAGATGCCCGTGATCTTGATACGATTGACGGGGCTGCCGAGGAATTGGTTGTTTCCCTGCACAATGCGCATGTTGCGGCCGATGAAGATGAGCTCGCGGGGCCACTTGGTCTCGTCACCCAGGATTTCTTTGACGCCTTTGCGCATCGCCTGTTGCATCTCGAACTGTCTCTTCCTGCGCTCGTGTGCACTGAGTCCCTTGATCCTCGTCGAGACCGTCATGTCGCCACCCTCGTAGGGGCGCATTAGAGTCGCCGAGGCAAAGACATCGACGTTGTTCACTCCCCACTGACTGACAATCTCTTTGAGTGTTTTGTTGTCGAACGTCATCAAGGCCTTCCAGAACTTACAGTACTGGTGGCGGAACTTGGGGTCCATTTGGACATATAGGCCGTGGTCGATCAGCACCAACTCCGAGTGTCCGTCGGGACGTCGCCGGATGAAAATGTTTCCCGGGTGCGGGTCGCAGTGTACCCAACCCCAGAGAAACAATTGAGCAGAAAACAAATCCACCATCGTGGTCATGACCTCTTTCACATCGAGCCCCAGCCCGCCTTTGCCGTCGGCGCCTTTCCACCATGTCCTGTCCGGCTTGAGCTCTTCATCATAGAGGCCGCGACCTTGCTGCTGTTGTTGCTGCTGCTGCTGTTGTTGTACGGAGACAAATCCAGGCGGCGGGTCCATCGGTGCACCATGGCATCCTGGGCTGCCTCTCCGCCAACCGCCTCGCCAGGGTCGAGTGATGGCCTCCTTGTCCCAGAGACGCACGCCCTCCACCCATTCGGCGGTCATGACTCGCTTGGTGGTCAGGTCATCATACACCTTGGGGATGTAGACTCTGTTGCGTAGACGCGGTTCGCCGCTCACGAATTCGGCCATCTTCTTGGAATTGTTCGCCTCGTTCTCAAAGTCGCATTCCAGCAACAGCCGCTCGTTGATGTACGGCACCAAGGAATAGAAGGGGATATCGAACCACCACGAATATATCCGTGTGACCACCTTGAAGGCCCATAGATCCCAGCCGACTTGTTGAGCGATCTCTTTCTTTTGAATTTTGATGGCCACTTCCCGGCCGTCTTTCAATCGCGCCCAATGCACTTGAGCGACACTGGCGCTGGCGCGTGCTTTCCTTTCCATGACTCCCATGTCTGGGTCACCGTCGAATGACACCCCAAACACTTCCTCGGGCGTGCGGCCACCAAAATCCTCCCGGATGACCTGGCATACGTCCGCCCAGTCATTTTGCGGAGCGTCATCAAACATTTTGGTAAACATCTTTTGAAACTCCGGCGGGAGAATGGCCGTCTGCATCGCGATCGCCTGTCCGATCTTGAGATATAGTCCGCCATTTGTCCGCAATAGGTTGAACAGCCGGGTGGCATTGCGCGCGTGCACATCCCCAATGTCATTGCCGATGAACGGTTCCTCGCGGAAATTGATCTTGTAGTCCAACGCCGCCGTTAGGCCCACGACAAAAGTCCGAGTGCATCGCGTGAGGCTGGACGCATAGTATCTCTTATCTAACACATACACGACAGTCCCGAACAGAGTCAGGTACGCCAGTCGCCGAAACCACTTTATTGTCCTCTTGTATTCTTTGGCCGGCACAGCCTTTCCTAGAGACGCTGGAGTCGGCGGGACGAAAGCGACGCGCAATTGGGCCTGGGAGAAAGGCCGCCGCTGTAGCAAAGGTGGCAACGAGGCGATCCGAGGACTTGGTCTTCTCGAGCGTGTCCGTAGGCACTGAGTGCAGATGCGCCTCTCTACAGACGCCATCGAGGATGGCATTGGACCGAAAGGGACGTATTCCGGTGCCTGGCCCGCATAGAGAAGGGACAAAGACCTGTAGAGGCAAGGGAAACGGAATGTAATAAACAGTCTAGAAACAATTTCAAAAATTGCCCGAAATGATGACGAGCAGAGGCAGATCCGATGATCGATACGCCGACCGCCCGGTGTCTTCGTATCGATCGAACTTGGCTCCAAATGCAGTGGAGTCTGGACAATTATTGTTCATGGACCCTCCGCGGACCCGAGCTTACGGCCGAGCCTTTCACAGTTTATCATGGTAGCCCGCTGATAATACTGCTTTCTTTTATTTTAGCATTGCAGCATTCTAGAACATTTCAACACTGCATACTATTGTAGAAAAGGGTTTGAATGGGACCTTGTCCTGAAACAGAAGCAGCAAGCAATTGCAGGAACGGCCGCGTAAAAGGTACTCTGCAGTCCGCAGCGGGTCGTCACTAATTGGCGCTTTCGTGCTCCGGGGAGTGAAATTAATACTGGTTTCCATGACTTGAAGTCATCCGTCCTCATACATATGAGTCGACTCGTGGACAACATATCTCCCTCCCTCGCTTCTCGTCCGCTCATATCATGTCATCGAGGTATTGGACTTGAGAGCCTTGCGAGCAGATCTGGGCAATCCACCGGCGAGTGCAACGACAAACATGGGACCGACCATCAAAATCCTGAAGACTGTGCTCACTGAGATGGCAGGCCCGACAAAACCTGACGAAGAATCTGAAAGAACACTATAATATCGTTTATCTCAGGGGCTTCGATTGCAGAAGAATTGGCTGAATGTCATTTGCATAGCCAAAATGCATTGGTTCCCAGCCCTTTACGCCGGACCGACGCTCAAGACCACGGTCGCTACCAGCAAGTATACCCTCCATCAACAATCTGGAGCAGAAATAATCAGTAGTGCAAAAATAGTGGGATTCAGGGCCAGACTCGTGGCTTACCACATCGCTTCCATTCAGGTAGCTGGAGGCATCGGAAGCCATCCAGACAATGGTGCCTTGCAACTCGTGCGGCTCTGCCATTCGGCCCATGGGGATATCCTTCTCCCAGGATCCGACCAATTCTTTTCCTTCGTGCTCCAACAATCCCTTGATCAGATCGGTCTTCATGTAGCCCGGGCTCAGGCTGTTGACTCTAATCCCTCGGGGTCCCCATTCGGTTGCCAGGCTCTTGGACAGCATTTGTACCGCTCCCTTTGAAGCGTTGTAGGCCGCCTGCTTTTGCGGCCGCACGCAGATGGTGGCTGACATGCTGGCAACCAGAATGATAGAACCTTGGATGTTGTACTTCAGCATGTGCTGGCCTGCCTCGCGTGCAAAGAGGAATGTGCCATCGAGGTTGACATCGAGCATTTTGCGCCAGCGCGCATAGTCGTAGTTCTCGGCCTCGACATTGTCCACAATGCCGGCCGCAGTCACAAGGACGTCGACTTTGCCAAAATCCTCCACGATCCTGGCCCATGTTGACTTGACGTCCGACTCTATCGTTGCATTGCATTCGTACGCGCGCAACTCAGGGACAGACTCATTGGGATATGTCGATTGGACATGTGACGATATGGATGAGATGGAGGATTCACAGTCCTTGAGCGACAGGTCGACGCACGCTCCTCGAGCGCCAGACAGGGCGAAAGCAGTCAGAAATTCCTTTCCCAGGCCTCTCGCTGAACCGGTCACAACACATGTCTTATTCTCGAGTGAGAATTGAGGTAGTGTTCGAAGCGTTCGCGTGCACTTTCGACCTGTAACCCTATAGCCTGCAAACAATGCCGAAGACGAGCGCAGCGACTGACGGAAGAACATCCTGAAGGCAGCGAAGCGAGGCTTTGTAGAGTCCAGGTCGTCGAATATCACCCACCTTAGTTTGTGAAGAACTCACATATCGCTTACCATGTAGCTGCTGCACCGCCGGTCGTATCCGGGGTGCTCAACCGCGGGGAAAGTGCCGTGCGTACATGGGAGTTTCCCATGAGACCCTTTCGGCGCATCTTGTGCCGGAGAGATAGTCGGAAAGGGGAGGCTTTTGCGGGGTGACGCTCCAAGACTGCCTCTGGAGAATCTCAAGCTTGTAAGGTAGTACCATCAAGAGAAAGGGTCTGCGCATGGGCCAAACTTGAAGGTGGGTGCGTAGCATGTGCGGCGGATGGTCGAGGCAGTGATTGCTTCAACCGGGGACAAAACACTGAATACCAACCGCTTACAGTTAACGCTCATCCCCCTCGTCTGCCGTTTGTTTCTGCATCTCCGTCGATTGGGTTTACCTGCAGCCTTTGATGAGAAGTGCGAGGTGCCTGCAGATGGGGGCCGATTTGGCGCCGCCACCAATGTGGTTGTCCAGCTACGGCTGAAACATCGAACATGGCGCGCTCCCGCCGACTAATCTTATGGGACCCAATGTGATCGGCGGCGGACTCTCCTGCTTGTTCTTCCTCTCGTAGACTTCTTATGTGCCTTAGAACGGTTTGTCCGCGCAAAGCAACTCATAGCATCCATCCGAGGCCCCAGCATGATGTCAATGCTAGAGGTTCGCGATAACCGCAGGTCCAGGTCCAAATCTCCCAGTGGACGCGACAGAAGCCGCTCGAGATCCCACTCACGCGACAATCGGGCTGCAGCTGAGGTCTTGCAAGAGACCAAACGGCACAGCCGGAAATACTCCTATAACGGATCGGATGCAGAGGAAGAAGCCGATTACAAGACTAACAGCCGTTCGAGCAAGAAATATTACGAGGAAGTCGAGGAAGATGATCGGCGCAGGCGGGCTAAGAGTTCCAGGAAATATGCGGATGACAGTCAAGAAGAGGATGAATACGTGTCATCCCGATCTGTGAGAGAGTCGCACAGACGGGACATATCGGTGTCGGACGACGACAGGAGGTATGACAAACTCAAGAAGAAATCGGACAGCGACTCAGACCGACGAAGGGAAAAGTCCAGGAGGAAGAACCATGCACATTCTGAAGACAGTGCCTCTGAAGATGAGCGCCACAAGTACATCGATAATCGAGGATACTATGCGTCCTCAGAGCCAAAATCTAGACCTGTTGACCCCCAGCGGACACGCTATTCAAGCACCGACCAGCGTTACGCACCGTCGGCTTCTGGCGCTGGCGCAAGGTATGCCGAGTTAGAACAGTTCAAATACGCACAGCTCGACAATGGAGCCTCTCATAGGTACAAGGAAAGTCCCGGCAACATTCAGGCACAGTACGCGGAAAGAAGACCGGAGTATGAAAGATCGCGGCCGTCGCAGGCCAGTGATTCCAGCGACGGCCATTACCCACGTCGCCAACCCAAGGACAAACGATATTATGAGGACAACTACGAGAACCGTAAACCAAAAGGAAGAAAGGACTACGACAACAGTTACGACCGGCGAGACAAGCGGTATAATGCTGACAAGTATAGCTCCTCTCCTGAGAATGTCACCAAGAGAATGTCAGCGCTGGCGGTAGGCGGAGCAACTTTAGGAGCCGCTACATTGGGCGTTGCAAGACAAGATTCCAACGGTGGCGGAAGGCCCCCGGCTTCGCCTTTGCTGGAAGCATACAAAGGGACGTACCAGTCTATCTCGCCCATGCCTTCGCCATTAGCATTGGCAAACCGCAGGGATGATACAGAATTGTCTGATTTCGATCTGGACCAGGATCTAGCCCTAGATGGCGACTCTGATGATTCCCATGCTGAACTCAAACGCAAGATTCGGCAGCTCCAGAAGGAAAAGGAGAGAATCCACAAAGAGCAGAAAAGAAGCAGCGCGCTTCTTAGCAGCGACACTCAGGAGGTGCGACCGCGCCGGCTCTCCAACCTCGAGACAACCGAAACGACTCGTTATGAGGTCCGTGAGCCAGGCAAGAATCGCCACCGAGCCAGCTCTAGTGTGAGCGTGTTTTCTACAGGCAGCGGCTTTGGGGGTAAGAAGAAGACTGTATCATTCTACGATCCGACAGACGATGCAAAGCACATTGCAGCGGCGTTGGCTGGCACCCGCAACGCGCCCGACCCAAGACCATTGATCCAGATCCTCCCATACCTGTCCAGTGATGATCTCTTAGCTCTCCGAGCCGAGTACAAAAACCACGCAAAAGTCGGCGGCCAGGGAATCAACATTGCGAAGCACATCAAGAGGCGAATTCCAGGTAATCTGGGTAAAGCGATGTATGCGACGGCGCTGGGCCGGTGGGAGAGCGAGGCATACTGGGCGAACTCATGGTACCAGGGAGGGGCGTCGCGAAGGGAACTACTGATTGAGAGTTTGATGGGCCGAACCAACAGTGACATCCGCGAAATTAAAAACTGCTTCAAGGACAAAAAGTACAGCGATGACCTGGAGAAATGCATCCGCACCGAACTGAAAGCCGACAAGTTTCGTGTCGCGGTCCTGTTAGTCCTCGAAGAGAGGCGCATGCCTGAGTCAACACCCCTCGACATCGGTCTCGTCCGGGAGGATGTGCAGCAGCTGGCTCTTGCGCTCAACTCTGCTGGTGGCGAAACCGACATGATTAAGATCATCGTGGTGCGCAGCGATGCCCACCTGCGTGAAGTCCTACGCTTGTTCGAACGCACCTACCGTGTCAACTTTGCCCGGCAGATGATCGCTAAGTCGCGCAACCTCGTTGGTGAAACTCTCGCACACATCCTGAACGGCGCTCTCAACCGGCCCATGCGCGACGCCTTGTTGCTACACCAGGCTATCTCTGAGACGGCGCCGGGTAAAGAACGTACAGAGCTTTTGATCTCTCGCCTCGTCCGAATGCACTGGGAGCGCAAGCATTTGGAGAAGGTCAAGGGTGTCTTTGAAGAGCGTTACGGTCGGAGTGTGGAAGAGGCTATCATGCGCGAGGTCTGGTCGCAGATGAAGACTCCTGAGGGACGCTTGTGTGCCGAGTTCTGTGTTGCGTTGGTCGAAAGCAGCTCGCCTGACCGACAGAGATCAAACTACTAGTTGATTATCTGACTCGTTACGGCTCAGCTGCTGAAATGTTTTCTATAAGTCACGAATACAATGCACATGATTCCACTGTGCCTGAAAACCTATCAATCATCGAGTTGAGCTTTTCGATCCCTTTATGTAGCACGTTGGCTCTTGAAAGGTCTAATACAATCTAATGCTGAGTGACTGTAATAAAAGGAGAAAGGTCCTGCGAGATGAGCATGTATGCTGTCTCACGAGTACATAGAAGCCCTCTCCGACTGGTTCAGGTTGTAATGCGACGAAGAGAAAGACACAGCATGCGGCATGAAGGTGTTGCCGCTTTAGCAGCCACCCCCATACTGACGAGGCTGTCCAATGATACATGATAACTACTCCTTATTTCAAACGGCGGGATATACCCTCGCTCCTAGTTGGCAGGCTGTGTCTGGGGTAGTACTGGGAGAATTTCAATCCAAAGTCAACGCTGGATTAACCATGAGCCTAGTATTGCGACTGGCGTCTGTCTTCGCTCAAGCGGTCGCGACAGCACAAACATCGTGATAGACCCTACTATCACGATCTACGGTATACTCGAAATGATACTGCGGTAACAAGACGAGGCGCATCATGGCGCCGCCACCTCCATCAACACCTACTACCACCACTACGACCACCACTGCGACTTCCAGTACCGCCTCGACGCCGACACCGACCCCAGTGCCATCTCCCATCCCTCCCCCAGTACCTGTCGAGACTCATCCCAACCGGGCGAAACCGCATGGCAATCGACTTGCGCCAGACCCGAACCGTCTTGCCCCCGAAGATGCGTTCAAGTCATTCTCACCTCCGCGGCTACGGCCGGTCCCTGAGATTCATGGCTCGGCAGCCGCATCGGCTGCAGCTGCTGCCCTTCGGCCTGCTGTCGCATCTTTGCGAGCACCGCCTGCAATACCCCCAGTTGCGGCACGACTAGCCGAAGAAAGGCGACGGGCGGCCAGTCGACGGCGCAAACAGCCTCGGGTGTGGAAGAAACTCCTATGGATTAAGCAACATGGGTTTCCGGACAACTATACCGATACCGAGACGTTCCTGGACCGTCTGCAGAGGAATCCGCGACTACAACCATATGAGTTCTGGACTCTTGTTGCCGACTCCACGGTGATTGTGCAACATATCTGCTCAGTCGCCATCTTTGTCTGTGCGTATGCGGGCATCTACCAAGGGCGGCTGTCCCCGGTCGCGGTGGTGACATGCAGCACGATTGCGACGGTTGCTGGTTGGATCTTGTGGGACCGTTGGATGGGCGAGGAGGAGGCCGAAGAGATGGCGGCTCTAATGGCCACCGCCAGATTGTCGGTCGACGTTGATGATGACTCAAGCACCAGTTCGTCCGGGTCCGCCAAACTGGTCATGAATGGACATTCTCAGATGAATGAACACGCAAATGGCAGTCTGGGCGGCCGTGGAGTAAATCTCAAACTCTCCACTACCAATCTTGGTGTCAAGGACAACGAAGCCAAGTTCTCAGGCAAACATGGGCAGTCATTGTCCAAGTCGTCCTTCCAGTCCATCTCGCCCATTGACCCTTTGGGAGATTCTACCATGGAGCCTTTCCCTGATCTCAGCCCTACAGCATCTCGTCAACCACCTCAGTCACCCAGCATTTTTCAGTCTCCCACAACGCAGTCTCCTACGACCCTACCACAGTCTATTTCCCCTCGGAATCAAGCTCGATTGAAAACACTAAAATCAGCTTGCCTGATATATTTCGCGCTGTTGGGCATTTCACCCATCTTGAAATCTCTAACCAGATCCACGTCATCCGACTCGATCTGGGCCCTTGCCACCTGGCTCCTGATCATCAACATTTTCTTCTTCGATTATGGCAGTACATATGTCCCGGCAAGATCCACCAACCCTCCTGGTCCTCCTGCTTCACAAACCGAAAATTCCACTGTCGACACCTCGTTATCCCGTCCTCATCATTCGGTTCGAACTCCTCCGTTCCCGTCTTCGCTATCCACGAACGCTGCATTGATGGCGAGCACAGTACTGGCTTCCCGGCTGTTGACCACCACAGCTGTGTTCAGCTTGACGTTGTTTTCCATGCAAGTTTTTGGGGTGTTCCCGGTATTCCGACGGCATCTACGGCACAAATCCTTTAAGCTTCACCTTGTTCTTACGTTTGTTCTTGTCGCCATGTCCACGGGCGGACTGGGTTTGATTCTGTCCCAATCATATACTCACACATACGGCGACTGCGGGTTTTGTCTTGGTTGGATCTGGCACGTGATATTACGCAGTACGGTGGGATTTGTGGTTGGTGGGCTCAGCACGGCTTTTGTCATGGGCGGTTGTTCATGGTGGTTGATCGGATTGCAAAGATATAAAAACGTGGTGATTGGACCATGGGATCCGGCCAAACCGGTTCTGGCGGGTGGTGCATATGGCAGGAGTAGAACTGGAACGGATTGAGTGTAACAACAGAAGATTTGTCTCATGTATCTATCATCTTGATCATGTCCATATTCGCCAGTCTCATCTACCATACTAATTAGCATTATTGCGTTGTCCCTCCCGAGCCTTCACATTTTGTATTGAGACTGTTCTGCGATAGTCCCGGAGGACACCTAGTACTCCCAGTACCTACTCGCTAGTAGTATGTACAATGTCATTAGTAGTAATGGTGGTCCTAGTATTGTGATATTTACCCCGGAAGAAGATGCGGGACACTCCGGACCGGCATCGGGGATTCGGCTCATGCATCTCGGAGATGGACGACCAATGGAGTTTGTGGTCTCCCCAGCAGCCCGCGGATTCGAGACGCAAGTGGACGACTTGGGCGAATGGTTGGAGAGCAGGGTCCCAATCCGGAGCAAGATGAGTCTGAGTCGCTGACCGGGTCCATGCCTCTGGGTCAAGCAGCGGCACACAAAATGAGGGACGCACCAGCACCACCCCTCGACTGCGGGGTTGCTCGCAAAACGCCCGAGGAAGAATCACAACCGCTGAACACGAGAGAGGACACTTATATCTCCCTCTTCCAGTGGTGGATAGCCGGGATCCGTGGTGTTCAATAATACCGACTCTCCCTTTTTTTCTCTTTTCATTTCTGCTCTTCTCTTCACCTTCTTCCCACGCTTGGGCGCCATACACATACTCGTTACTCATTCGCAACAACAGTGACTAAACTACCATCACAATGGCTCCTCAAGCACAACTCCCCTTCACCCTCAACGACCCGGACCTGTTCCACACGGAGTCCTACGTACACGGTGAATGGGTTGGCTCTAAATCCGGCAAGCGCTTTGAAGTCGTCGACCCAGGCACCGACAAGGCATGGGCATCATGCCCTGACAATGGAGCCGAAGACGTAGACGCAGCAATCCAATCATCCCAGCGGGCATTCAAAGAATACAGCATTTTGAACCCGCGCAAACGAGCCCAACTGCTCCTCAAATGGCACGAATTGATCACGGCCGCGAAAGACGACCTGGCCAAGATCTTGACCTACGAAACCGGCAAACCGTTGGCCGAAGCATACGGCGAACTCGACTACTCTTTGGGGTTTACATGGTGGTTCGCCGGCGAAGCGGAGCGAATCACCGGAACAGTGAGTGTGCCCGCGGCGCCGAATCGACGGACATTCGTGATCAAGCAGCCGATCGGGGTGGCTGTTGCTCTTGTTCCATGGAATTTCCCCATCGCCATGATCCTGCGCAAAGCAGGCGCGGCATTCGCGGCCGGTTGCACAATGGTAGTCAAGCCGTCCCCAGAAACACCATTGACATGTTTGTCTCTTGCTCACCTGGCGACCAAAGCCGGGTTCGCACCCGGTGTGTTCAATGTTCTCACGACAAGTCTGGAAAACACCCCGCCGCTCAGCGAAGCGATGATTCTCCATCCGCTCGTAAAGAAAGTGACGTTTACGGGATCCACGCGCGTCGGCAAATTGGTCGCGGGTCTATGTGCCAAGGGACTCAAGAAATGCACCCTTGAACTAGGCGGTAATTGTCCTTTTATTGTCTTTGACGACGCCGATCTCGACCAGGCGCTCGCGCAGTTCATGGCTCTCAAATGGCGCCATGCCGGCCAGGCCTGTATCACCGCTAACAGACTCTATGTCCAGAGTGGTGTGTATGAGAAATTCACGAATATGTTGGTTGAAAAGACCAAACAGACGCTCAAGGTTGGCCATGGTGCCGAAAAGGGAACTACCATGGGTCCCGTCACGACGCCACGGGGTCTCGCAAAGGCAGAGGAACAGGCTCAGGATGCAGTCAAGAAGGGCGCGAAACTTGTCCTGGGCACGGGTAAACCGTATAAGAATGCTACTGCTCAAGAGGGTGCTGGCGAGGGTAAAGGTGTCGGAGGGTATTTCATGGACCCGACGATTCTTACCGATATGAAGCCCGATATGTTGCTCAGCAGAGAAGAGACTTTTGCTCCGGTCACGGGGATTTTCAAGTTCGAGACCGAAGAAGAGGCCGTCCGCATGGCGAATGACACTTCGATGGGTCTGGCTAGTTATGCTTTCACAAAGAATGTCGACCGCCTGTGGAGAATGTTTGAGAATTTGGAAGCTGGCATGATCGGTTTGGTGAGTGCGATCTGTTTCTGTTCTTCCACAACGACTTGCCATGTATTATTGCTAACACTGTGAACAGAATACTGGAAACTCTTCCGCGGCCGAGTCCCCCTTCGGCGGTATCAAGGAATCCGGGTACGGCAAGGAGTCTGGCAAGGAGGTTGCTGTGAACGAATACCTCATTTCAAAGACTGGCACTTTTACCATCGACGGACAATATTGATAACTTAACCACAACAAGTCTTACACCAGCTGAGAAAACTCGGGGCTACGGCATCAACGGTGAACCGCGAAACCAGGACGCCGATGGGAAACCAAATTAGATAAGCCCAAAGAGCGGTACCGAAAATTTGAAAATTAATGAAATGCGCTTTTAAGCTTTTCCACATGAAATCAGGCCTGTGCACGGCTCAGATGAATTTCCGAGAGGATATTCGTGAACCTGCGAGAAAGACGACCTTTCGCAGAGACGCTCGTCGTTCTGTAGACAGTATTCCAATCGTACAAACGTTGAATCACCTCATTCTGTGCCTTAAGCACCACCCCACGTACCCGTTCGTCAGGTCATCTCATCGGTGGCACAGTGTCATGGACATCGTCGCGAGTCAATGTCCAGCAGTCTGAGTCCGGCAGATATCTCCGCGGGGTACTAAACCTCTTAATTTCACTGCTGATCCTCCGCTGCCCGACCCAGACTTGACGATGCTGATAATTCCTGGCCCGATGTTTCGTGGTCAAAATGGTCTTCTCGCCTTGCCGCTTGACCTCCCAACACATGGTATGGATGTTGACAAAGGACGGGATGGCAGCGAGCGACAACATTTGCAATGATGGACATTGTGTCCGTAGATGCTCAAACACTCTAATGGCCTGATCATCAGAGACCGGGATGCAAGTCATGGGACTGCGGCTGAACCGAGGGGCATCTTTCGGCACAAATGGGGGATAGAGTCGGAGCAACCGCAGCTGGCGAAACTTGCAAATGGCGTTCAGAAAGGCATACTGTTCCATGTCGAGATCGACGCCCGGAATGGCTGTCGGGTGCCACAAATTTGTGATGTAACCCACATCGAGTTCAAGTTGCTCTAGATCAGGAGCAATTTTGGCCGCAACAAGGATGTCGAAATGGCTTCTTTGACTCTCTGCACTGCAGACAGACCAGAGTGAATCCTCACAGTGGAGGCGTAACCGTCGGAGTTTCGGGCCCACCAGAGCCGTGATGGGTATGTGGTTGCAGATGCCGTCAATCTCGACTTCTCGCAGCTCCCGCATCACTGAATAGTTGATACGGAAAGGCGGAACAGGAGGAGCATCTGCAAATAGGCCGGTCGTAGGACCATTATGTCGACAGTTTGGGTGGTAAAGTCGGTGATGAGCGGCACGGAGACGGAGGGCCTGAAGATTGGTGAGTTGGGGAGCAACATCGTGTATGAACTGATTCACGGGCACTGTGTACTCCCAAAGAATTGAGAGTCTGCGTAGACTATTCCATGGAACGAGCGGAAGGTCGAGATCGCGAGGAGAGTGATGGTTAGACCGCAGCGCACGTCGGATCACGAGATGGAGTTCCGTCCAAGAAGGGATATTGGCCACAAAACAAGGGTCAACAACAGCCTCGTCTGGTTGTTTTTGGGTGGTTTGCTGTCCATGGAAAAGCCACGACATGTGGAGATTGACCGCAGATGCTCTCAAAATGGTGTCGTAGATGGCTGTGGTCGTGAAATCATGTTGCTCGGATAGTTCACCGAAGGTTCCAAGTGCCAATTCATGGCATCCAGCGGCCGACACTAGGTTCGCGGTAGCTTCAATCGTGTCCGGGCAGTCTGGCGAGGCATAGAGATGGTCGAGAATGATCTCGTATATATGACCATGTGGAAGTATTTTGATTATCTGATAAGCCGCAGCGGCAGAACAATCTAGCCTAGCGCCGGTCAGTACACCACAATCGAGAGGAATGGCCCTATATCAGTATGAAAGGGCACCCGGCAGTGGCAATACCTGATGCGCCGAAGTCCAGGCATCAACAACAGACAGACTTGGAGGGCTCGTAGATCCGACCATGTGTGCTCTAGACCGAGACGTTGGGTGTTGATAGTCTCTGGACTCTGTACCGACCTCGTGAGTTCAGGAGGTCGGTGAATATGAAGGGTTCGGACATGCCGCAGGAGATGGGGATGGTTAATGAGGCGACGAAGAATACCAGTTTCCTTCTGGTCTAAGCGGTCTCGGATAACATGCGAGACGCTGCTGAAGAGGAAGGGCAGAGACGAGTGACGAAAGCGACGACAGACGAGGGAGAAAGGCAGCAAGATATCAATCTGGCCAAACCCAGAGTCATATAGATTGTGCGCGACAATGTCCAGGATCTCTGGCGGTAGTTGTTCAATGGTTGTTGCGTGCTCCGTCCCCGCGGCTGGCATCCGCATTGACTTGAGGGCCAACATCGTGGAAGGCGTTGGTTTTTACGCTCGACCGGACCATGGTACGAGACGCTCAAGATATCGCTACTTTCGTAATGAATACATAACTCTCGCTTCGCGAGAAGAGGAGAAAGTAGAGTCTCTCATGGTCAGTCAACGATGGTGGCGGTCGGACGTCGATGGGATGAAGTGTAGCGGTCACCTGGCACGTGCTCCCGGCATCGGAAGTTGGATTTGGCGGATCATTGATTTTCCTCTCCGTCAGGGCGTGGCATTAGACATAGAAACTGATCAGTGGCTGTCCGTCCTCACACCTGTTCTGCCTTCAAATTTGACGGCGCGCTGTCGTGATTGTAGCTTAGCAAAGTCAACGGATATCCAGAGTGGAACATGGTCGCTATGTCCGCGATCCAGAGGGGAATCGCATATGTCGGTGCCAGTGATGCAGCCATCTTCCACCAATGAGCGGCTCACCACAATCAAGTCGACTCGATCACAGCTCTCACCCCAGCGAGGCCCACGGGGATAGTAGGTGTACTTCCTGGTGTCGCCATGGATGTGTCTGAAAATATCAATGCCACGCATGCCGTTCTCATCTGTGAAGAACTTGGCATTGAAGTCGGCCCGGTTTTTAACGTGCTGCAGCGGCGACGTTCGTAGATTGGGATAGCCGTCGATTCTTGCTGGAGCAATATTCATGTCCCCAATGAGAATAACATGGCGGCCTTGCTCTTGAAGCCGAATAACCTCCTCCAGCATACGCTGGTGGAAGCGTAATTTGTGGTCGTGCCTAGTGCCGGCGACCTGGCCTGTTTGAGGGTCGCGATAGGGGTTGGATGTACCGTTCACCCAGTAACCATTAATCACGACCACATCAGCTTCCAGCTCGTGTATCAGCACTCGTCCTTCCAAATCCCAATCGGGCCGGCGGGTAACCCGGACTTGGGGAGCGAAATCTTCTCGGATAAGAGTGGCAACCCCCTGTACCTTTCCACCGAAGCCCGTGGCATTGTATTTGTCCCGGGGCAAGGAGAAATGGACGTTGTAAGTAGGATCGTCCAAACCATGGCCTTGATTTGCGGCGTGTAGCAGTTGTCTTTGAGTAGCCGTGTCTTTGGCACTTATCTTGACTTCTTGGAGACATAGGAATTGAGGCCAGCGATGGCGTCTCAAGAACAATCTGAGCGGCGAGAGACCGCCCGGACTGAAGGAGAGCTGTTTCTGCAGTAACGGTCCGACACCGTTGACATTCCAACTGAAGATTCGAACGTGGTCTGCCACGTGTGCCGGTTCAGTGCCAGTGCCAGGTCCAGGTCCAGGTGAAATCTTCCTGCGGATCGGCGGCGGACTGATGGAACGGCTTGTGCTACTCAATGATCTCTTGAGCGCGGGAGGCATCGTGGCATCGTGCGAAGATCGACATGGTCAGGAAGCTGAAGCAGCAGGGGGCATGGCAACGCTATGGGGTGGACAGTCTAGTTGTAGATATGGATTTTATAGTCTCCTCCTAGTAGTGGCCAAAGAATTGTGTCGAGATTGTTTCAACGTCATGTTGTGGGTAAAAATGGACGCACGGGCAGTTTTCCTGGTACAGTACTGCCTTGCAACCCCGGGTGCGCTCAGGGTTCACGGTCACTAGCAGGGACCACCAGATGCCCCTAACAACCTGGAAGTGGCTCTCTAATGCTTTTGTCCAGGCTTCAGTTCCGCCTACGGACCGAGCCGATGAAGCTGACCCCGTACTCTAAGCCTCACTTGCCTCAGCCCCGTGTTTAGGCTTCCCAGGCCCCCTCGGCCCCTTAGGCCTGTTGGCTTTGAGCTGAGTAGGGGGCCGCGTCGCCCACAGGCCGCTGCCACCCCACTAATTGTAGCTGCTGCTGTGTCTGTGTACAAACTGCCGCCCCATCGTCTCCTCTCGGCTCCGCTCAACCCTCTCCCGCGGTTGAGCTCCGAGTCGTCGTAGTCGAGTTCGCTACATAAGGTATACACTGATTTTCGTCCCAAGCCTGGAGAGGAAAGTCAACAATAGATGCCTGTCTGCAATTTCACTATCATGTCTTCCCTCTCGCATCACCTGGTCGTCCAGTCGAACCTCTCAGTCACCCTCCATCCTGTACAAAAAGATATCAGTGCACAACTTTATTGCGTGACAATTCAGCGTTAAGCCACTGAGAAACCGCCCTACCAAACTCTAGTACTTCAATCGAGCAACGGACCCTTGAATCACACTCTCTGCCGAATCACATCGATCACCGCTTCAAGTAAGGTCTATCACACAATCTGCTCCCCAGCAGCATGATAAGGTCCTAACCGTCCATTTTCCAGAGACTCAAACCAACCGACCTGAGTTGCATGGTTGACCTCGTCCTCGACACGCGCCCATTGTCCGTTCCCATCGACAATGGTTCCTCAACCTGACTTTTATCCTACCCTTCACCGTATCCGCGACCTCGAGAGCGCCGGAATCCAAGACTTGCAGCAGATAATTCAGACGTTTCCCTTGATTGACAATCATGCGCACAACCTCCTGACCGAAGAGAATGCGTACGGGAGCCCGGAATACCCGTTCGAATGCATTACCTCGGAGGCGCAGGGTCATGCGTTGACCGACCATGTGCATTCCAGTCTGGCTCATATGCGCGGAATAAGACAGCTGGCCGAGTTTTACCAATGTCCCGAAACACTGGAAGATGTAAAGGCGGCGCGGTATGAATGGGTTCGCAGAGACTACCCTGGCCTGATACAAAGATCCTTTGCGGGAACACATGCCATAATGATGGATGACGGACTGTCTCCCGAGATCATACACCCGTTTAAGTGGCACAGACATTTTGTCCCCACTGTGTCGAGAATAGTGAGGATCGAAGCCATTGCAGCGGAATTACTCGAGCATCTCGCCCACGCGGCGGGCTTTATGAGAGTGGGACTCGATGCCGACTGGGACATCAGTCAGACCGAGAGCTTTCTTGTTCGCTTCAACACAGTCTTCCGTAACCAGATCCGCACGTTGGCCAATGACCCGGATGTCCGTGGGTTCAAGTCTGTCATCTGCTATCGGACAGGGCTAGACATTGGGCTGGAAAGCCGAAAGAACTTTCGTCCGCATCAGTCACTGACCGAATCGACCCTTCTGCAATCGTTTCACGAATTTTTGCAAAAGGCGGTGCGCGACCACAAATACCGCATTGAGCAGAAGGAAGTTAACGACTATCTCGTGGTTGCCGTGTGTGACGTGCTGGAGAAGTTGGTAGATACCGATGGAGAGAACTTACCCTTCCAATTTCATACCGGGTTGGGTGATGCCGACATCGACCTGGTCAAGGCAAACCCGGCATACATGCAACCTCTGATCGAGGCTTTCCCTCATGTTGATTTTGTCATTCTGCATTCGTCGTACCCATACACCCGAGAAGCAGGCTATCTCGCCGCCAACTATGCCAACGCTTGGCTCGACATTGGCGAAGTATTTCCCATGCTATCCAGAGATGGGGAGGACTCGGTGTTACGACAAGCTCTCGAATTGACTCCCAGCTCCAAGATTCTGTGGTCCACGGACGGACACTTCTACCCGGAGACGTATTGGCTGGCAAACAAACACTTTAGGGACGCGTTGGAAAGACTACTTACCGCGTATCTTGCTGCGGGAGACATCACGGTGGCGCAAGGGATTGACATCGCCGTTGACATTATGTTCTGGAACTCAAATCAACTGTACAAGCTTGACGAGGAACGCAAATTCCCCGAACTTCTCCGGGCTTGTGGAAGGGAAACCGTCGACAGCATGCGGACACTGGTCAACGGGGGTTCTAAACCACCGTCATTCAGATCATATGCCAGCACGACGGTTGGAAGCCATCATGGGGGTGCGTCCTCGTCACGACCAGGTCCATCGTCCTCTGCCTCGGCTTTGATACCAGGCCACACAAGTCGAGGTGCAACACCCCGAGTCCGCTCGACCAGCAGAGGCCCCCCGACAGGCCAGAGCTCGACAGCTGTGTTTGCACAGAACCTGACCGTGTTCGACACCTTCATCCAAACCAACCCTGGCATCAAGTACATATGGATCCAGTTTCTGGATTATACAGGCACGCTCCGCAACCGGATGATGACAGTACAACAGTTTCGAAAGCAATTGGCGACGGGGCAGACCACAACCATCACCACAGCCCTGACGAGGCTGTTGCAAGACGACAACCCGGCGACAGGATGTTCTGCGACGGGACAATTCCACCTACTCCCTGATCTGTCAACACTGTCTCTCAACAAAGGCATCTCGTCGCCCTCGGCGACAGTACAAACATGGTGGATGGCAGACACGGAAACAGGACCTCCAACGGAACATTGGGACCGATGTCCACGCTGGCTACTCCAGACACAAGTGGACGCATTACGCAATGAATTCCAAATCAACGTCCTGATGGGATTCGAGCTAGAAATCATCTTCATGCGACCAACTCCGACAGACGACAAGTCCGATTTTGTGGATTTCAGTCCCGTCCATACCGTCCACTCCTGGTCGAACATGACATACCAACAACTCGAGATATTGCCAATGATTGAAGAAATCGTCGAGAACCTGGCAGAACTCGACATTCACGTGCTGCAATTCCACTCGGAAGCCGCGCCGGGACAATGGGAATTTCCCTTGCCGCCCACCGACCCAGTCAGGGCAGTCGACATGCTATTCAAGACCAAAGACGTGATCCGCAACATCGCCAAGCGCCACGGCCTGAAAGCAACGTGCTACCCCCGTCCATACGAATATACATGTGGTAGCGCGAACCACGCGCATTTCAGCATCAACGGGCCCGGCGACACGGTGGAGCGGTACGAAGCACCCTTTCTCGCCGGCGTCTTGGACCATCTGCCGGCCTTGCTGGCGTTCACGCTGCCTCTCGAAGAGTCGTACGAGCGCGTACGGCCTGGAATCTGGGCCGGCGGCGAGTACGTGTGCTGGGGCACGCAGAACAAAGAAGTCCCACTACGTAAATGTGGACCGGGGCATTTCGAATTGAAGACTATCGACGGCATCGGAAACACCTACTTGTCCATGGCGGCCCTGTTGGCATCTGGTCTCCATGGTCTCCGCCACGACTTGAAGCTCGACATCCAAGACTGTCTAGGTGATCCTACGCAGATTGGCGACCGTGACCGTCAAAGTCTGGGAATCACTGTCCCGCTGCCCAACACGCTCGAAAAGAGTCTCAAGGCCTTGGATCGTGACAAGATCCTCCGTCGTGCCCTGGGCTACGCCGTCGTCGACGATTACCTGGCCGTCCTGGACAGTTTGATGCACAAATGTCGTGGCTTTGGCGACGAGAAGAGAAGACTCTGGTTGATGGCGAGATATTGATGCTGATCAAGCGCGGTAACGCAGTGGTTAGGTAGAATACCTAGCTACCTAGCTACCTGATCTCTTCGACACGGTCATCATGTTCCCCAGAGATACAGTGTCAAGATTTTGCTTTGCGGCAGGAAATTGGGCGGGAATGTATTGGATTGGGATCGACTGGACCGGACCGAACTGGACTGGTGCCGTCGGAAGTTGGGCGTGGTGTGGGTTTTGAGCGCGAGTTTGGGCATGTATCAATTTGAGATGGAAGAGTTCATCTGCGTGCTGAGCTCCTACTCCTACTATTGCTTCTACTATTACTATCTGTATGCCAAACTAAGCTATTTGGTGCCGTGATCTTTCAAGTCCACTGTTCTGTTCTCGGGTGCTTCACATCACCGTGTGATCCATCTCTATCTGGCACGCTTTTCTCCACCAACGCGACTGGGCAGTATATACTTCCCCCTCGCCGCGCGGGTGGCAAAGAATCCAGAAAGTTCTTTATAAAACGGCGAAGGCGGCGGCGGTGCAACTTTGGTGCCAGTGGAAACTGGGATCTGGTTCTTGTCCCGAGCCAGGGCCGATATCGAGGTGCGAGGTGTTGGAATAGGGACATTATTGGACAATCCGAAGGGTCGTAACTTAGGAGTGGAGGCCGAAGCATTCACTGTAGGGTCTGGAATAGTCAGCCCGGCCGGCGCTGTGGTTGAAGTGGTAGATTGTCTGCGCGACGAGTATCTGCGCCTGTAGATGGGGGTGATCGGTTTCAGTTGGATGCTTGGAAATTGGCTCGGTGCTTGGTCTGGCCTCGACATGACGAACGGGGATTGACGGTGATTGATTTGCGGGAAGGGACTGGTTGCTTCGTCAAAAGGTTGGGGATGCAACGACAGAGGTGGTACGAGGTCCTTGTTGTCAGAGCTTGTTATAGCTTGGTTGGACAAGTTTCTGTCCTCCGTCGCTGACGACGAGGATGACCCACTGACTGAAGGCTGCTTTGACAGCGCGGAAGTAAATGACTCTTTGGATGGCTGACTGGAATCGAGAAGGCTTCGGCTCAACGATAGAGCAGTCGTCCCATCCCAACCGTGACTCATGGTAGGGAGGTCCAAGACGTCAGCAACGGGATGTTGAGGAGGCGTCGCAAAAGGGGTTGATGAGTTGGTCGCATCCACCGACGGAAACGTTGACCGGCGACGGAAGCGTTGTCGCTCACCTGCTGATCGCTCACACTGTTCCTGATGTTGCTCTTCTGGTTGTCCATTCCTTGATTTTCGAACGGACGGCAACAGCGACATCCAAGGCGGCATTGGCCTGTAAACATCATTATCCTGCGAAGGTCCGATCTCGTTGGCTTGGGCACTGAGTGGATGGGTCAGCGATATCCTCGATCCATCACCGTCCAAAAGGCCAGCAGGTGCTTTGGCTGTAGTCTGTTCGTTACCAGGATATAAGTCTGGCACTTTTCGGACATGTTGCTCCAGTTTCTTCAGAGACTCTGGTTCAACACGGCACCCAGAACACACGGGCGGCTCGGCGACTGTCATTCCATGTCTGTGCGGCCGACCCATCTCATCGAAGTAGGGCGGTGGCCGGAGCGGTGACTGGCGGCAGCGGAGAGCAACACTAACGTCAGTATTGGAATTCTTGGAGCTCAAGGGTCAGGGATGGAGGGTGGTAGCAGGAAAGAAAAGGTGGTGTCCCTCGCACCGCGCATATCAAACACGAGAAACATGACCAATGCCACCAGCACCAGCCGAATGCCACGGCGTCGGTCTGTCGAAAGACGACTTCGCCACATCGCCAGCAGATGCTGATGCTGTACAACCATTTCTAGCAGTCGGCACAAACGATGCGGCCCTCAAGACCGAATGTGTGCGGAGGGCAGTCCTGCTCAGTCCAACAGATTGTGCACAGAAAAGTGTATGGCGGGGAGTCTGCTTGCGATTGAGGTTCCGGTTGCTGCGGGAGGGTAGTGTTCGACGAGGTGGGCGGGTGCGCTGGATCAGAAAGGGTTTTGCAGGTGGGCACGGACTGTGAAGAAGTCGATCTGGATGCGGAGAAGAGATTTTGAGGGTAGTAGGCCATGGAAAGAGATAGGAGCTTGGTAGTGGTAGTAAACACTGGCGAGCGTCTCTTTTCAGACGGTAGGAAGGAGTCGAGGACAGGGGATACCAATACCAATACCAATAAAATATCAATATGAGTTTCAATATCAGACAAGACCGCGACAAATCAGTCTTCCTCTGGACAGTCGAGAAATATCATTGTACTGACGTCTTGTCACTTGCCGCTGGTGCGTCTGTGTGTGCCTTATTCCTGCCTTGCATAGGCACCTGGTACTGGTAGTGGACACTACGGACTTAAAGCTGCGAGTATCTGGTCAGCCCCCAATTCATCGACGTTGCTTGTACGCTCTCGTCATCTTCCCGCCATCTACCTGTACCTAGGCTAAGGTAAGGTAAGCATGTAATCGATGAGAGTTGTGTTATCCACAACATACCATTATCAGACCTATCCTACCGACCACTCCCACGAATGCACCCCCGCTCAGAACCCCCAGTAGCTCTTCACCAAATAGGCCGCATACGAACTCAAGCCGACGATGATGCCCAAGGTAGACAAGGTGCCGACCGGTCTGCCCCAACCCACGGCACCTTTGGCCCTGAGGCCGAATTCGACATGGACGATCCTGGCCAGCAACAGACCGGCCAATGATGCGGTCAAAGCGCGTCGGTCACCGCCATTCAGCTCGACGATCGAGGCGATCAGCAGCGCGAACGGCACGTTTTCGACGAAATTCGCGTGCGAACGCGTCGCGATCAGGAGGCTATCCTCTTCGACGCTGGCGGCACCGGCATCAGCTTGGGCCTTTGACGAGTGTCTGGATCTCTCGCCCAGGGTCGTCTTGGTGGCCTGTCGGGCAAAGCTGACGCGGAAGGCGAGAAGAGCGAAGTATGCTCCGAATGCTGGAAGCGCGACATAGCGGTTATTGATTATGGTCCATCGACCCTGGAGGATGAAGTTGTCGATTATGCTTACCTGGTGCGAATGTCCCGGTCACGGGTAGCAGCTTGGGAACGGTGAGGCCGACTGTGAAGAGAGTCAATTAGTCAGTCGCGGTCGGGTCCGGCTAGATACAGTCCTCAGTGAGGACCGGGGGGTCGAGTTGTTTACCTGGGATGGACATCTTGGTGGGCGATACAATGGATGGTGAAGATATAATGTTGAAGAGGTAGTAATGTGAATCCTTTGGCCTTGCAAATTGAGTGAGCGATGATTCTTTGGCTACGGTGTCGTCAATGTTGTTGTTCAAGTTATTAAAGAGTTCAAGTTGTATCGGCCCCGGACTCGGATGGTCTCGCAGCCCGTGTCCAGCAACCTCGACGTCATTCGTCGGTTGATGTTTGACTTTGTATCCCCTCACGGCATCTCGCCTGGCATCTGATGTGAGCATCATCATCATATTCAATAAGTTATTACATCCCGTGCGAGTAAGGGCCATCAAGAACTCAAAAAAAAGAAGAAAAAGAAACAGAAAAAGAGAAAATATATATAAGCGCTGCCCTCAGAGATATCTGTCCTCGCCAGAATATCCTCCATGCATGCGATTTAGAATGGTAGGATTGTAAGCTCACGCTCAGGTACGCGACGACGCGAAGCTAAACCAATGTGAAGAGCTGCAGCCAACCGGGCATCCTGAAAGGATGGTGCAGGAAGCTGTAGACCCCCGGGAAAGTCTAGGTCGGAACGGATATTGAGGGTGGATGTAGCAACTTCTTGAACCTCACAAGGAAGCACAATTACAGGTGTTAAAAGGGCCACTACTAAGTGAGCTCACAGCTCAGCAAGCATGAAGCTCAGTTTATATCCACCAGCTCGCTTCTGGAGTAATAAATTTGGCCAGATCTTCTACTGTACATACATTGTAGCTGACAACCACTGGACCAAGCAGCGTAGCGTTCACGCTTGTACCGACACTGCCACTGATAAATGAATATGCCCGTGCTCGAGATATACCAGAGCTCATTATTGGACTACAAGTAATAATAGATCTGTATACAATACGTGGTAGGTATACTGCCACCCCAATATTGTAGCATTGCTTCGGTGAATCGGGCCGAAAATGCGGCGGGTGTCCCGCTCACAAACTACAGCAATTGCTGAGAAGCTCAAAAACGGGCAATTTGCGGCGAGCGAAGAACGGAGTTCAACTCCTCTTCTCCGCCTGACGCGTGAATGATGAATGGTGAATAGTGATGATGGCGATTGATTTAATAAGACTGGCTTCCAGTCTTGTATGCCATAATCTCTTCACTTTGACCGGCCTCTCTTCCCAGTCAAGACAAGAAGAACCATTACCAGTACACTAATCGACCGCCTGAGAAGTGGAGTACCATAACAGTCCGCAGAACCAGAGCCGGAGGATAATAAAGACCGGGACCGGTATCAACATCTTTCTCGACCTGTTTGTTCCATCGAGTATCACTTGACTGAGTAACCCTAGCTGCTAGACTCACATCCTCCGATATGGCGCCTCCAGCCGTGCTTATGGTAGGTACTGGCGAGTACACGACGGGCTTTGTGGCGGGAGCACAGTCGACGTCGGATAAGAAAGTGGGTGTTGTAGGATTGACGAGTAAGTGGCGTTGTTATCTTTTCTTACACAAATACAATCCCATGGCATGAGTCTGCTCGAGGTAGCCTGCAGAACAGGTTACAGGAAAGAACTTTGATGAAAAATGATTCCTTTTATCCCCCTCAAATGAAACCACGCCGGTCGCCCGTTCTACAACACATTGTTTTTGCGCACTCATGCTCTCTCCACCAAAGCCCAATCCCAATCCCAATGTCCACAGCCAAAACTGACTGTAAATGACATAGTGTTCGACCTTCGACGACGGGGCAAAGTATCATCCCTATCGATGGCAGGAGTATCAGGACGCAAATTCCCCGCGATCCGCGAGCACCTGCAGAAGAACATCTCCGAAGTCTACAATGGACTGGATGTATCATTCCAATCATTCCCCTCGGACGACAAATCAGACCCGGACGCCTACAAAGCGGCAATTGACGCTCTACCCAGTGGCTCTGCCGTGACCATCTTCACACCGGACTCGACACACTTTGAAATTGCCCGCTACGCCATCGACCACGGGCACCACGTGCTGCTAACCAAGCCGGCGACGAAACTTTTGAGCGAACACCTAGCTCTCCTATCCCTAGCCCAGAAAAAGGGCGTCTTCGTCTACGTGGAGCACCACAAGCGATTCGACCCGGCGTACGCGGACGCGCGGTTCCGGGCACGCGGGCTCGGCGACTTCAACTACTTCTACAGCTACATGTCGCAACCGAAATCGCAGCTGGAGACATTCAAGGCCTGGGCCGGCAAAGACTCGGACATTTCGTACTACTTGAACTCGCATCACATCGATATCTGCGAGTGGCTGGTGCGCGACCAAGGCTGGCGACCGGTCTCGGTGCGCGCCAGTGCCAGCGTGGGCATCGCCGAATCCGTCGGTTGTGTCAAGGGCACCGAAGACACCATTACCCTGTTGGTCGATTGGGTCAACCCGGACAAACCGGACAAGCGCGCAACGGCAATCTACACCGCCAGCTGGACGGCTCCCATGAACGCCGGGGTTCATTCCCAGCAGCGCTTCCATTATATTGCTTCGGGCGGCGAGATCCATGTCGACCAGGCCAAACGAGGCTACGATGTCCTGGACGAGTCGGATACTTCGGGCAGTTGTCTCAAGTGGTATAATCCCTTTTACATGCGCTATGCGCCCGACGAGGAAGGAAACTTCAATGGCCAGAGCGGGTACGGCTATGTCAGCTTTGAGAAATTCATCGATGCCATTACCGCCATCAACGAAAATAGAGTCACTCTGGCCGATCTGGACAAGAGGGGCCTGCCTACGCTCAGAAACACTGTTCTTACGACTGCCATCCTCGAGGCTGGAAGGAGAAGTCTGGATGAAGGTGGTCGTTCCGTCCAGATTGTGGGCGAGGACGATCAAGTTGAACTGAAATAGGGAGGAGAACTACAGTTTCAAAAGCAAAAAGGGTCAAAGTCAAAAGGTACAGGGAGTAGGAAGGGAAAAGTACGAGTATACTGTATCTACCAAGCTATGGCATTGGAATGTCGTGCCATGGGACTCGTCCCCGAGGAATGCCTAAGCTACGCTATCAGGGAGTTTTGAGCCTCCAATATGTGGCGGCTGCTTGGTTGTGGATGAAAGGCTGGCATCAAAAAGAAGTCAATCCCCAGGGCGGTGAACCGTAGATAGCAAGCGGTTATGGTGGTGATGATGTTAATCGCAATACGAACTACATGCTTGTAGCCTACCTTCAAGTTCAGCAACCTGCAAATCCAAAGCAAGTCGGTTAATGAGAAAAGGAGACCCGACCCGGTGATTTTCTCATGCACTTCAATCAACGAGTGTTCCATTGTAAGACGCATGTGCGCTGTCATAGTACCGCGGCGAGATAAATGTGGGATTTGAACAAACCTATGGCAAGTAGGTAGGCTGGGAGAGTTGCCCGACGTGCATTCTCAGTACAACAAGCTTTGTTGAAGGTGATACTGCAGCGTGCCACAGGTGGTTTGTGTAGACTGCACAACGGGGGAATCCAGACCTACTAGTACTCGATGGGCGGCTGCTCGCAAGCTCAGCGGCACCACAGCACCACAAGAGTATTGTATTTTGAACATTAAAAATTCGCGTTCGAAGGACCGCCGTATACTCGAAAACAATCAAAAGGCCTTTGTTCCGGCAGCTGGTGGTGGGCACCTATCCCCCTTTCGAAGTACCCAGGGGACCGCCATATACTCGAAATAATAGAAAGGCCTCTGTTTCGGCAGCTGGTGGTGGCCCCATGGCCCCCTTTTGAGACACTCAGGAGGCCACCGTAATCAGAGATAATGAATCTGACTTATTGTGCAAGAGGGCTCTGCCAGTACGAGATAAGTAGCTCAACCTGTAGCTAGTATTTTGCTGCATGGGAGACCGCCGTATACTCGAAAATAATAAAAGGTCCTTTGTTCCGCCAGCTGGTGGTGGCCCCATGGCCCCCTTTTGAGACACCGGGGAGGCTACCGTATTCAAAGATATTGAATTTGATCTTGCGGCGGAAGAGGGTTCCCAAGTGAGAGATAGGTGGCTCAACGGAAAGCCAGTCTTTTGCTGCAAGGGAGACCGCCGTATACTCAAATAAAAAAAAGGTCTTTGGTTCGGCAGCTGTATGTTGACCCTGGCCTTGAAATGCGCCAAGATGACGACCTTTTGCATGGTTGTCAGACGGACAATCATTGGAAGTCTGCCAACGTCACCCCCGAACTGAACTTGAATGAGGCGATGTGGTGTAACAAGCAAACATACACTGCAGAGCTGAGGTAAGCTGCGCTGGCAGGTCCGCCTCAGGCTGGATTGCAATAGTCATAAGTGGCTGGCTGTGTGAAGAGATAAGCAGTAGGCTGGCATGTAGGGCGCATGTTGTGCCTATTATATCGCATGGCGTGTGTGCGACGGCGCGCATTCTCTGCATACTGACTCCTCATGAGGAATCATTCGTGCTTCACTATTGCCTTCAGACTCTCCCATGGAAGCGAGAAGGGCGTGAACGGCTGATATCATTGTTGGTGGTGCCAGTAGTAGTAGGGTGATGGTATGGTTGCTAAAGGAGGTGTCATGTCAGTTGCGATATCAGTGATGCACTCAACAATGTTTCAATGGCGACCAGCATGAAATTCATGAGGTCTCGTGGTGGGATACTGGACACTGTATTGGCAGACCGCTGATCGAAACCGATCACAACGTAGACAGTTCTTCGATCTCAACATGGAAAGGCCCTGGGCTTGAGGAATAGCTGACATCGCCACGCACGATGAATTCAAAGCTCAGACCGGGGCTGATCATGACAGGGAAGAATTATCAGAGGGTTGAGGCGATGGAAGAACCGCTGGTGGTGGTGGTGGTGGTCCAAGTATCAGTGAGACTGTGGCTGTGGCCGTGGAAAATCAATATTGCGGAGCTTGGCACATCCTCGTACCGTCGCAATGCAACGAGGAACTCGCTTCTGACCCTTCATCACCCTGAGCTTATTACCCAGCTTGCCATTGTTCATGTCATGCTGTTGGCCTGTTATTTGAGACAGCTTTTCTGCGTCGTGCCCCGGTACGATTCTCTCAAGCCCCTTCTGCGGTCCGGCCATAACCATGGCAGCGAGGACCATACAAAACAAGAGCTTTCGTCATACAGCAATATTTACTGTAATGTCCGCATTGGCCATGGGCGGAACCTATTGATGAGGGTAGCTCGTTCATGCCAAGCGCACTTCCAAGCACCGAACGAGATTACCATGCTGGAAGCATAACAACAAACACAGGCAAAGGGCGTGGTCTGACACGCCGAGGCATTTCAGGCGGTGCCAGAAGTAAGATGAAGCTTGGTACACGGGGTGAGATGGATTGTCCGGTAGCGATCCAATCGATCCTCTCCCGTTCCTATCAGCGACCAGTATAGTATCGCAGCTGGACCAAGAGAATGGCGCAGACAAGATCCCCTGTTCATCCTGCTGGATTGTCTTGGTTCCCGTTGACAGGCTCGGCTCCGAGGAGTCTCCAGCGCCCAGCCACTCCGCCGACCACCAGCATTGTGGGCTTCCTCATCCTGTGGGCTCCTTCTCCACGTCCACGCCCTTGGCAAACAATTCTTTCAGGCGAGGTTCCCGAACCGACGAGTTGTCTATGTCTCTATTAATATCAAGTATCAAACGCTCGGGCCTGGCTGACGCTTAGGGCTGTCTTGGAAGAAAACTGGAGACACACCACCTCCGCCCTTGGGTCGCTTTCCCTCCACTTCACCCGACATTGGACGTCGCTTGGCACTCTCAGCTGATCCGTCTGGTGCTCACAGGTCAGAGATTGTACTGTATTTTCACCCATATTGAGACCGAAGCTGCCCTGTTCGGGTTGCGTGGATTGCTCATCGCTTGACCAATGTGGCAAAGGCGTGTTCCATCTTCGACGGATTGCGCCGAGCCTCATGCAGGAGGAAGCAATGGAACCTTGCGTCCCAGCCACACCCTGCGACCAGAGTGTTGCATCGACTAACCTTGGAAACTGCGTGCCGAACCTCATAAGATATTTTCGTCCCGCAAACTGTGGAGGACCAATCCGATACGCCGGGCTTGCAGGAATCGGCGCGGTTTTGTGAATCTTGATCTTTGGAACGACGCCCACAGGCATCTTCAACCCAAAACCCCAGAGCATCTGGGAATATATCTCTGGTGATTATTGACCTCCACTGGCGGCTGCTAATTCGGCAGGAGGCCATGCATGCCATGCCTTGCCGTTTATCCAGTTCCGCTTCAAGGTCATCAACGACGCCACTCACCGCCCAGGCCCTAAATTGTTGCAAAATAGTTGTCAAGACCAAGCCTGTCCACTTTGATCAGGCCCATTTTCTATCGTGGCGCAAAAATCCCCGGTGACCTGTCACACATGGCTAGTCTGACCTGGAGAGCTGCAGCCCAGAAACTAGGACCAGGGTTGGCGAGAATTCGCAAATGAACCATATTGCGATATACTCCCCCAACCTCGTCCACTCTTCTCGACCGCCTCGATCTGTTGTATCACCCTCGAAGTTCGTTATATCATTTTCTCTCTACTATTTCCTTTCCCTTCGTGTGGGAGGGGCCTACCCTCGTTATTTTGTGTTGCGCTTTTTCCTTACCTCACCCTCTTTCGATCCCCAGGATGGCTTTCTCACAGTTCATCACCATCCTCTCGTTTCTGTCGCTCGCTCTCTTCTCTGCGGCTGCCCCTTCTTCATCGTCGTCTCTCCAAAAACGGGGAGATCCAGTCAAGTTCGAGGTCACCCTGACATGGGAAGACTATTCGCCCAATGGAGGAACGCCACGGAAAATGATCATGACCAATGGCACATTCCCCGGCCCACCGTTGAAGTTGAAGGTCGGCGATGAGGTTGAGTTCCTTGTCCATAACGATCTCCCCGACCCAACTGCTGTTCACTTCCACGGCATTGTCCAGCAAGGCACACCATGGTCCGATGGCGTCCCCGGTTTGACGCAGAAGCCGATCGCCCCTGGGGAATGCTATCTGTACAAGTGGACTGCCGACGCTGCCGGCGTGTACTTTTACCACTCCCACTATCGTTCCCAAATGATGGACGGAATGTACGGTGCAATCATTATCTCCCCGGAAAAAGACTCGGACAAGCCTTTCTCTCTCATCAGCAATGATACGGAGGCAATTGAGGCCATGTCCGAGGCGGACGAGAACCTCCAGACCGTCTTCATATCCGACTACAATAAATACACTTCCCAGGAGCTGCACGAGCAAGAACGCTCGGCTAACATCGACTTCGCCTGCGCCGACTCCATCTTGCTGAACGGTCAGGGTTCGCAATACTGTTTGTCGCGCGATGAACTGACGGCGTACACCAACCCCAAGGTGAAAGCACTGGTGGCAACTGTCAGCCCCAGTGAAATCACCGACAAGGGCTGTTTACCACCAAATCTGGCCGCCACGCAAGGCAACTTTACGTTCGACATCGACTCGATCCCCCGGGACGCTTACTTCGAGTGCACTCCGTCCAGCGGCCCCATGGCCACGTTCGACGTCGACCCAGCGAAGGGCTGGGCGGCCTTGACCTTCATCAACCCTGGCGGTTTTGAAATGCTGAAGTTCACCATCGACTCGCACAAAATGTGGGTCTATGCCGTGGACGGCGGGTACGTGGTGCCTCAACTAGTAGATCAAATCACGGTGAACAACGGGGACCGCTACTCGGTCCTGATCAAGCTCGATCAGACGCCTGCGCAGTACTCGATCCGCGTGTCGAACAGCGGCTTGAATCAAGTCATCAGCGGCTTTGGGATTCTGAACTACAAGGGCTCAACCGGTCCCGCTGCCGGAGAAGACAACCCCAACGCCCTGGCCGGGATGAACTTTGCCGGCGTCAACCTGACCACACTGGTTCCCTTCAACGACAACAAGGCCGCGCCGTACCCTGAGCGTGCGCCTGCCCCGACGCCCGATGTGACGTATAAGTTCAACATCAAGAAACTCGGCCAGCCGTACGGCGCGTACGACTGGACCCTAAGCGGCATCGACACCTTCAACGTCACTCTCGAGGATAATGAGCAGCCCCTTTTGTTCGCAAAGGACCCCAACGATATTGAAGCCACCGATCTCGTCCTGAAGACGAATTTGGGCCAATGGGTCGATCTGATCGTACAGGTCCAGGGTCCTCTCGCCCAACCTCACCCTATGCACAAGCACTCCAACAAGGCCTATGTGCTGGGCAAAGGCACAGGCACCTTCAACTGGAGCACTGTAGCTGAAGCGGCGGCCGAGTTGCCTCCAAACACTTTCAATTTCGTCAACCCTCCTCTTCGCGACGGGGTGAGTTCAGTTTGCAAACTTCCAACTCTCCCCCTCCTCACTTTTGGCATCATCGTTTGCGTTGCTAGTTTTCCCTGAAAACCTAGGAACCGAAAGTGAAAAACCGGTAAACTGACTTCAAACCTTTCTCTAGTATACCACCACCCCAGCTGAGGGAAACAGCACCTGGATGGCCCTGCGCTACCAGGTCGTCAACCCGGGCCCCTTCCTGTTTCACTGCCACATGCAGACCCACATGGCCGGCGGCATGGCCGTCGCCTTTCTCGACGGCGTCGACCAGTGGCCAGAGATCCCGCCCGAGTACGCTGGACCCGACGGCGATGGCAGCGGCAACGGTATCACCAGTGGTGCAACTGCAAAGCTGAAGAAGAAGGCGAAACTTCATCCTAAACAAAATGAATGAAAGTAATCTGCTTTCTTTCGCCAGAAGCCTCGTTTTGCCGTCTGTCTGTTCGTCCCTTCGGCCGAAGATGTTATTAAGGCCGCTGCCGCTCCCGATGTTGTCGATGTCGTTGATGTTGATGTTGCTGGTGCTGGCACGTGCTTGTTTTGCTGGATTGTACCTACAACGTATGCAGCATTGGAAAATCATGTAATATATATCTCACCCTAGCTACCAAAGTACCCTTCTATCGCCGGTTAGTATCTTGGATTGTTCTGATTGGGAATGTAACAAACGAGAATATAATTGTACCACGACAAATTTACTCACTACTAGTAGGAACAGTGTTTCTCAATCAACTTTCTTCAAGCTACTTTTGGTGCTCAATGGTACATCGATCATTCTTCAGGCCGGAGGAAGCATTGCAATAAGAGACCAACTCAACCAAGTCGGTCGGTAGCTGTCACCATGCTCTCATGTAGTTGGCCCGGGGGTAACCTGATATTCATACACAAGGATTCATTTCTCATACAATTCTGCGCAGCATTTTGCTTGTCCATCTTGCTGCTGATGTTCACGCTTTCCACAATGTCTCCATGATTTTCCTAAACGCCCACCAAGAAGGATAGTATTCGTCCCGCCAGATTCTCTCCAGCCTGGTCTGTATGCCCAACGACCCAGTGTGCTGGCTTGGGTGCCATTTCATCCGGCAGCGCTAAGCGAACATCATTGGCGGTGTGGTACCATATGCCTTGGTATGTTTCGTCTAGAATACACAAAAGTCAGTCAGCATGAAAGGAAAATATCTAGGGACGCTATGAGAACATTTCCACTTACCATCTGGTCACGTATGATATTGTTGGCCCATTTCCCCGAAAGGCGCTCTTTGGGCCAGCCAGACGCCCGCGAGGCCTCCTCATGTACCGTGCTGTAACAGAGCTCTCGGGGTTTTGCAAGCAGACATTTCGTAGTCGCCTCTTCGAGAAACGCAGTTGCCCGAGCGCGCTCGGAGGCGGAGTCAGGGGGTGCGGACTTCTTCACCATAGCAGGGGAGTTGTCACTTCTTTTGAGAGCTCTGGGCTCTGTCGGCGGCTTGTTTTGACCTGCCGTGGACGACGTTGAGGGAGTGGTCGAGTTGGCGGCGGCAGGCGCAGGTCGTGGGAATGATCTCGCTCCAACAAGGGTTTTGGAAGTAGCTTGGATAGTTCCGTGGCCGTGGACTTTTAGAGCCTGCAACGAGATGGCCGGTACTGGTGCCGGCAGCGAGAAGGGGCGCACTAGTTCTTCAGCAGTGCTATCTTGCATCTGAACGACTTTTGTGTCGTCAGACGCCATGATACTCCGGCCGCCATCGACAGTGATGCGTGCACGGATTCTGATTCTGAAAAAAGAATTCTTCAAAGTTGCCACATTCCCACCTGCGACATCCAGCAAGGCCGAAGGACAAAATATCAAAGCGTGTCCGGGTTGTAAGCCGACAATGGTCGCGAACAATTCCTCTCCATCGGACCGAAAGTTCAAACATGCCCCTGCAAGATGATCCCGAAGCACTTTGTACCAAGCTGGCGAGTTGAAGCGATGGACGATGGACACGTTGCAAAGGTCTAGCAGGGTGGGAGAAAGAGTAGGCTCTTGGGTCGCGATGATGACACGGGTGGCCAGATGGCGTTGCTGACGGATGAGTGAAACGAGCTGCTCCGTCAACTTTTCGGCTTCTCCGGTCTTGGTCAGGAATTTGTGTGCCTCATCCAGCGCGATGATCCGGCCACATTCGCCTCGATTCTCCATAAAGATAGACAAGCAGATGTTGAAGAGGGCGCAAGCATCATTCTCGTTGACGAAGGGACCGCTAAGGTCGACGATCGTAAGACTGCCTTGCGTGGACTTGAACATGCTGTCGAGTACAGCCTTTGAGCGAATTGTCTGCTCTCTGGCAGCAAGGTATTCTTCGAGTAGCTGTAATCGCAAGCGAAGTGGCCCGCTTTGAGCCTCTGAGAATCCTTGGCTGCTCAGCCGTGATTTGAACTCGCCATAGTCCAGACCACCTGCGCCTTTCATTTCCATGGACATGTCGCGAAGCACCTTGTAGACCACTTCAAGGTAAAGAGGTGGCTGTGTATCCTCCCTAACAGCCATGAGAGTCATCATTCTCGTCACGTTGAGTTGTTGCTCACTAAACCGGAGCGGAATGACCTCTGGTTTTGGAGAATTGGAAGGCAAGCCGGGCAAGTTGTGGTATAATTTCTTCATCATGTGGTAATTAGTTGGCGAGACCAACACACGGACAGGAACACCAGACGAACACAGATACGCTGCTTCGCACACCTGTGTACTGTCTGGACCAGTGAAATGATCGAAGTGAAACACCAATCCTGCCAGAGGTCTGGGGTTGGCGCCAGCTGTGGACGTGGTGAGGAGCGAATTCTCCAACATACATGAGAGAGTGTGACTCTTGCCAGCCCCCTGTGAGCCGCAGATAAACGCTGACCACGGCGCATTCATATTAGCAAAGACCAGATTTTGCTCAATGGGTGACGTCTGCCGGCCGTCACTATGAGTGGAATTGTACGTCTCTTCACGTATTCCCAGGAGACCAAACTGTGGAAACGGGTCTTCATCAGATCCTAGGCCTTGCAAGATGCCTCCACGCAATGCGATACGCACTTGTTCCGAAAACAGAGGACAAGTTCTGATTTCTGCAAGCTTGGCAGAGTCGGTGCTATCGCCATTGAAGTCAACCGAGCCTGCTCGGAGTGATTGTAAATAGCCACTGGTGGTGGTATTCAGTACATCTTGACTGTATCCAAATTCAAGCGCTCTGGTGTTGGTTATGAATTGATCTCCATATGAGGTATGCGCGGTTTTCGGAATCGGCTGGAAACCCTTTGGCTGAAAGGTATTCTTCGCTTGTCTGGATGTAGTGGAAGTTCCAGCTGTTGCAGCCAGAGGGGAGGAGTAGGAAAAACCCGAGGAGAGCTGCTATTGTTAGAATATTGCGCCAGACACCACATCGAAGGAAGACTTACTGTTGCGGAACTCCCTCCGAAAGTGGTAGCACCCCCACGCTGGCCAAAGCCGAAATTCATAGTGTTGCTCTGCGGAGCACTCGAAAATGAGAATGAAAAGGGGTTCGACCTAGCAGCAGATCCTTCGCCGCTGTTTGCCATCGATATGTCACCCGGGCTTGAATTATCGTCGGGCTGTATCAAATGCTTGTTTAGCTCGTCAAGCAGTTGCTTGTGTGGCTCGTCTGCCATTTTCGCTCGGTTAGGAGGCGATGTCGAGCCCAATGATAGTGATCTATTCAATGAATCCGTAAGCAACTGCACTGCGCTATCCACTTCATTGCCAGAAGGGCGGGACATGGTCGTTGCCACAAACGAGGGCACTCTTACCCAACTTGGTTCGTTGAGAACTCCAGAAGATCTCCTGAATAAGGTAACAAGCAGATATGATCAAGGCAAACTCTTCGTTGAGGGAGGAAAGCTTGACAATGTTGAGGAAGCTCATGTAGATGAAAGAATGAAACGAACAAGCGCACGTCTTGAAAGGATGCAGACAAGGCGTGGATTGAAAACAACGCAGAAGCCAAGGATTGCGTTGCAATTCTTGCTATGGTGCAAAGCAGAAGTTAAGCGGCACTAACGATCGTCGGGGTCTCAACAACGGGGTGAGAAATGTGAGACTGGCTGGCGCCTGGCCATGCTGTCGTTGTCCTTTGTCCGTCAATATTGCTCTCTTGGTTGAGCAGGCTCGCCACCAAGCCCAGTTTGGGGAACACTGCTGCCCATATTTCCAACGCTCCCAGAATGGGCACCGGCCCCAGTTGTAGTGCCTCCACCGGCACCCCTTGTTCCTGAAAGTCCTCCTGTGGTTGCACCTCTCCCATCGCCTAAAGGTTGAGACGCAGCGGTGTTCGCACCCGCAGTCCCAGACGTGCCGAAATGTTGGTCCGCGGCCTTCATGTCTGCTATACCCTTTTCCTTGACTGCACGGTTGGCTGTTTCTCCTTCCCTTTCATTGAACGCGGTGTCGATGGATTCATTAACAGTCCCCCTGATAGCATCACCTGTGCCTTTGACTCCTTTGAGGGCCGACTTGACATCGTTGACGACACCCTGTGTCTTTGCTTGGGTTCGGTCTGCCATTCTGATGCCGGATAGATCAAGTTGAGTTTCCGATACCGCTTTGAATGAAGTTGTTTCGCGTTTGTTGAAATTGTTATGTGATGGTCACGGGTGGTGAATAGATCAGTCAATTGCCCGTGTGCATCTCTCAGACAAAAGGAAGAAAGGAAGTTGAACTTGGAAGATGTTATGATCCCCAGAGCCGGAACGATGACGTCAACCGGAGATTTCGGAAGAATATCCGGGAGAAGACGCTCATTGGTTATCTTGTATAACATTATACAACGTACTAGTAGTGCACTGCCCACTGGCAGATGCGAACTGGTTCATCACAACTTGAAGCAGATACTAGTAAACGTTAGACAAGTGGACTTGAGCAAGTGGAACAGTCGCCGCAGGCCTAACAGAACCCGTCTGATATGGAACAGTGCACTCCAATGCCTATCTCAGCTATCCTGCATATTCAGCTAAAAAGAAGTATACAAATATTGCTGCAGAATGTTCTGTCATAAAACCTGAAACTAATTTAGATTCTGCATCAGCTAAGTCAAAAGGGGCTCTATTAGTTTCTGCTATTGATCCAGCCTGCAACTCACGCATCGATTCGCCGTCCACACAATCAATGTCGGCAACCCCATAAGTACAATGGTACACTGGTTACAACGATCGTCGACTACACACCAGTCTTTCCTGCCATATTAGCCGCTTCAGCTTCGGTATTGTCCACCTGGTTTACCTCATTGGGTGGTGCTGGGCCGCCAATGCCATCATGTTCCCAAAACCTGTTCTTGTGGTCCTCTCCTCGCAATAGCCCAACCAGATCGAAAGGGTCGAAGAAACTGAGCAGAAATGGTCTGTTGTCGACCATACCGGGACCTTTCAGTTCAGTCTTCCCATCCTGAGCAAGGTATATCTTATTGTCCCAAGGCAGATACTTTGCTGGTGGGAACAGGTTCAGGAGGTAAGTGTTCACCAGCATTGGCAAAATTTCAAGGACCCAAAAGTATACCTCGTCCCCGTTGACTGGCGATATGGGAGAGTAGAAGAATGACGCGGTGCGAAAGACGTTGCGGATGAGGATCAGGAAACAAGAGAAGTATAGTTCGTAAATGATAACTTTGATTTTGTAGTTGAAGACATGGGCTGCCCTGCATCGTCGGTGGAATATGATGACCAGGGATATGAAGGCGAGAAACATGCCCAGGAGGAAGAGGGAAGCTTTGACCAGAACGACCCCAAAGCGGATTTTCGATTCGGTGTTCTTGCGATTGGCAGCGTACGAAGCACCATTGCCTGCTATGATTCCATCGACCATGTCCAGGGCGACGAAGGTGGTCCACACCCGACCTGGATGGAGCGGGGAAAGATAAGGGACATAGTAGAGAAGCCGTCCAAAAATAAAATAGTTTGCTCCGTTGTATACCGGAGGTGCGAGAAACAGGAGAACCTGGCTGGAAATGTATATCGATAGATTATCGTAGTTGTACGCGCCATATTCGCGGAGTGCAAATCCGGCAACGAACAGCAAGGCAGCCCAGGGAAGGAGGAAACCAATTCGCCAGGACTTGTATTTCAGGTTGTTTGCCAAATGTGAAGGACGAGGGAAATCCCGAAGAGAATCGCAAACACGATCGAGACGTGTTTGGTAGGTGCGTAGACCCAGAATGATCCATGAGCGAATTTCACCATAGTAAAGTGACGACGTGCTGGAGCTCTATATATGGTTCGACACTGCAAAACGATGCGTTCGTGCTGACAGAGAGCACCTTGTCCCAAGATTCTCAATCGCAGGGCCAGGAGCGCTGGACTATTTGTAGGCAGAGGCTTCATGGACCAGCAACAATATCGGGCGCATTGGTGTTAAGGCTGAATTCAGGAAGAGCTAATCTCGCCGGAGTTTCGCGAGCATGGAGAGCAACCAGCCCGACGTATTCGTATTGCGGCCGCGGAATTAGGAAGACAATTGACTTGCGCAAATATGCAGACACTGCAATTGACTCACCGAAAAACTGATTGGCCAGCGCATGACATAGCCAGCCTCTGTTGAAAGGGGCTACCGCAAAGCGTTCGAGGGAGAGTGAGGTTTCAAAAGTCTGCCACAAGCGGAATTTGGACGAATTTCTGCTACCCTCAAAGGTGGCCTTGCGAATTGCCTTGTGGAGCTGTGCTGTGACATAAGGCACAAAATGTGGTGCCTGCCATCGGTAGGAAGCATTATACGTTAAGCGGAACGACTGGTGGGATGGTTCACTGGCAAGGTGAAATCCGAATACGAGCAAAGTCAGCCTTGCGGATATGCCTAGTACCGTGGTCACGTGCAAACACACTTTGGCGGTGGTTGCTGACCTAAGCATAAGCGGCTGGGGCAGATGGGGGGTCGAGTGTTGAGGTGTCGAGGGTTCACCGGAATATTGCACGCCGCTGTGAGGTTTCCGGCTGCATGATGTAAGCGGCTTTCGGTCACGTTTTGAGGCAGAAGGTCAATACCTCGGCTGCCAGTGGTGACCGAAGCGCCGCCCTCATGAGACCGCTGCCAGCCAGCGTAGCAATAAATAATACTGAGCACTACATCCATTACTTTTCGAGACAAACGCCTGTTCGTGCTTTGGCATCATCAACAAGTCGGCAGCTCTGGCGAGACAAAGTGCCAGACCGCAGCTTTGTACAGAGCTACCCCCGTTGAGAGACGTGGGAATTACAGCCGATCTTGCACATACTGTATGATGGAGCGTGCGCAGCATATCTCATCCTCGAAAGATACAAAAGAGCTTCTCTCCCATGCCGCACCCCGTCTCTCTGCGAGTGAATAATCCTTTCCTTCATTAACTGGCAAGACGAGACGAGCTGAGCCGGCCCTCATCGATCGTTACTGCAATTAGCTGCAATAGTTCACTTTGTTAGGTGGCACAAGAGTTAATTGATCATCGTTCTTCATTTTCGAAGTCGTCGCTCAGGCTGCACCCGTCTCGCGTCGCAACACGCTTCTTATATCAATCAAGATGCCACCTTCTCAACCTAATGGCACGTCGACAGTCGATGCAGATGCTTACTTTCATGAAAACCCGCCTCCCAAGGCACTACCAAAGCACGAAGCATTGGCTCGAGAGTTCATTCAGTATCACCTGGAGAACTCGCGGGATCGAAGACTCGTGCTTGTGACGTCCGGGGGAACCACCGTACCTCTCGAGAATCAGACAGTGCGTTTTATAGACAACTTCTCGGCAGGCACGCGTGGTGCTACATCAGCCGAATACTTCCTCCAGCAAGAATATGCTGTCATTTTCTTACATCGACAGTACAGTCTTCTGCCCTACTCTCGACACTACAGCCACAGCACCAATTGCTTCCTTGACTTCATGGACGAGTCGGATGACGGGCGTGTTGTTGTTCGTAAGGAATACCAGGACAAGATGCGACGGGTTTTGCAGCAGTATCATCATGCAAAAGATAACCGGCTCCTGTTACTGCTTCCTTTTACGACGGTTACAGACTATCTTTTTGAGTTGCGCATGCTTGCTTTTCTCATGCAACCGCTGGGCAACCGCGCGATGTTCTACCTGGCGGCTGCTGTATCTGACTTTTTCATCCCACGGGAGCGGATGGAAGAACACAAGATCCAATCCCGCGACGATAATGCCGGAGGCCAAGGTTCAGGAAGCAGTCGCCAGCTGGTCATCAATCTCGACCCCGTACCGAAATTCCTCAGCACCTTAGTGCAGTCCTGGGCTCCTAAAGGCAGCATGATCGTGAGCTTCAAGCTCGAGACCAATCCCAGTCTACTTGTTTCCAAGTCGGAACAGGCGTTGAAGAGATACGGCCATGACCTGGTTATCGGCAATCTACTGACGACACGTAAATGGGAGGTCGTCTTCATCACGCCGGATGGTGAAGAAAGGTGGATCCGAGTACCCAAATCACGACGGTCAAAAAGCATCTCAGGGGTGGAGGAGCTGGTGGGCAAAGCAGAACGCAAACATGGTCCCGAGCCTGCCGATTTGGAAGGTGGCACGGTGACAGAAGGCATGGAGATAGAGAGTCTGATCATACCAGAGCTAGCGGAAATGCATACCAAGAGGATTGAGCAGCAATCCTAGGACCAGGCCAAAAACGATCGATATGAGCGAGAAGTGGCGTTCCCAAAACGGAATTGTCGTCGACAATCGAGCACTGAGAGGCAAACGGGCTGTCTGTCACCTTTGGTCGGTGTGGCTGCGTGGCTGTGGTCAGATGCTGCCCAGTCCGGATTTAAATAACCTAGCATTGTGGTCGAGGACTCGGTTTTTTGATATCGTGGTATCCTAGTAACATATACCGTTGGCAGCATCGGTACTATGGTGGTGAAAGATGTTCGGCTTACGATCCTCCTACAACTGCATGGAATCGCTTCCAGCATTGCGGACAGCGAACTAAAATCCGAGTGTGGTAGAGCGCTACGGGATTACCAGTACCTATGAGGGCCATTGTGGATGGTTGCGTCGACCGGCAGGATGTACATGGGCATGCAGGTTGCAAGGGCGGACAACATTCTACCATTATGGCAAAGTCATGCATCTTGGAATGGATTCTGTGCATGTCCAACCCACCACTACTACTATGTAGTACTACATGGTACGCAATGGCAGTTGTAATAGAGAATGCAGGCGTACGCTTTTGTGAGTCCCGACACTAAAGCACCACATCGCATCAGATGTCCTTCGGTAAAAAATTGGCCACCAATCTGAGGGTCTTTTTGGGCTGGGCAGGTCACTTTTCAGCCTGCCACCGACAGCTGTCCCGCCGAAGCCTAGGCTCAGCTGCATTTGGCGCTCCGGGTACTACTGTGGTGGTAGAACTACGGTCAGCCTGGAAATGCGGACGGGCATGGTCCTGCGGGAGTTCTTGAAGCTGAAGACTCGGACCACCAAGGTTGTGCAGGAGAGCGAGAACAGGCCTAATAAGGAATGATTCACCCGAACCCACGGAGCCCCTAGCAGCTGCTGTTCACGATCTACCGTACTTCAAACCTGGAGCTAACCAGCTGTCATCTTCCTTAGTTCTTCCCACCCACTAGCTCTTGGGATTCTCAAGACCCTCCGACGACGCCCTGACCGAGCATCCACACCGCCAGCCGGCTAACCAGAACCCCGCGATCCAGGGAGCCAGTTCGGTGCCCTCGCTTCGCTCCGTCCATCGCCTGCGATCGCTCGAGCGCCTCCGGGGTCCTAGTACTAGTAGTAGTGCTAGAAGCGAGGACAGATCTCGCCTCTCTGTTTTCCGCACCCAACGACCCGGCCTGCGCCTCCATACCTACCTACCCATGAACGCAGACACGTTCAACCCCGACCACCAACGGTGAAGAGCTTAGCAAAAAGAGATCAAGAGTTTGGAATGTAAGAGCTACGTAGATCGGACATCCGGGAAATAAGGCCAGTCCCTGATACAACCAACTCCGGCTTCATTGCATGCCAGGACAACAGACGGGATGAAAGTAGGACATGCACGAGTCAGTGGCGTCGAAATGATGGGCTCTAGACTCGGTACCCTGCACAGGCGAATCCAAAAGAGCACGACCAGAACACTCGCCTGGACCGTTTGAGATAGATTTGAGAGAAAAGCGCCCGTTATGGTGGTGCGTCTGTAGATATGCTTCAACCACTGGGCTACCCGCTCAATCCGCTGGGGCCCTGGTCCTAAGTAGGGATCCCTGTCTGGTGGGTGCGTCGATGCGGGCGCCGCCTAAAAAGCTTCTGTGTCGCGGCTTTAGAGGAGCTGATTCCAACCTGAACTTGACTCCTCACTGCAGTATTATTAACCAAGGTAGATATTGATGCGTTAGCACGGCTGGTTCGCCCTTGACCCCCAAATGATTCTTTGATATGCCGAACGGTCCTCCTGCCAATCCCCGTCCTACCTCACCGTATATTGCCTTTGCTGGCTGCGCCCACAGAGCTTGCTCTTCAATCGCTCGACCTCATCAACAGTCTACTCGATCAGCAGAAAGCGAGGACGCGAGACACACAAACCCGTCGATCTCACTCCTTCCCCGGAAACACTTTTTTGGGGTCAACTCCCTGTTGCATGCCCGCAAAGACCAAGCGCATTGAGAGAGCACACTCCACTACCTACTATTCGCAGTTTATCGTGTCTCTATCCTGCACCCACAGCCATCCCGGGGACGGTTCTTGCAACATTCGCTTCACACGCCTCTCACGCAGCCGACGCCCACTACTGAGTCCCGCAGATTGACGTGGCACGGACACTCTGACTGAAGGCATCCAGACCAGATCAACATCTTCGAACCCCACTCACCTTCCTTCGTGCGCCTTTCGGTCTCAATTTCAAACACGGCGCAAAAGGACCCCACCCTTCGACCTCGACTTTGTTACACCTTGCCTGTATACAGGTCGCTGCCGGAAGACAGTCTCCTGCCCAGACATCTTCTTCCACGTCGCCGTCGCCCAATAAGCAATGAGGAACTAGAACTACAAGACTCGCCTTCACTGTCTGTGTTCACTATGGCAACTGTCGAGCGTTCTTGGCCGTTGCTGGAAAACACACCAATACCCACGGGCAAGCTGTCCTGGAATTCCATTGATTCCAATAGGCAATCGTGGCCATTGTCGAGAAGCCTGATCGACGAGGTTTCTTACAGTGCAACTGTGCTGGGATTGGAGTCGCCGGCTTGCGAAGATGACTTAGACGATCGCGTGGCGTTGGAGGCACAGAGTCTCGGCCTGTTGCCTTTTCCAATCACTCCTGACATCGAAGGTCTCACGTATTCCATTTCCACAGCCACCATTGCCTCGGACTCGATGAATCATAGTTCTGTCCAGTCTCAATCTACCACAGCCACGTCTTGTGCGTCCAGTGAGCACCGTCCTGCAACGAAAGCCCCCGAGGTTACCGAGGGCGCGTCAACCGCAGTCTCAGAGTCGCCTTCATTTCCTGGTGAGGTCGAACGGAAAAGAAAATCCCCCCTTAGACGAGGTATTCGGAAAGTGACAGGCTTTCGAAGGAAGAGATCTGTTGCCATAGCTTCTCCCGCCTTGTCCAGCATCAACAGCGATGGTGACTCTAGCATAACGGAGGACTTGTCCGTGGAAGTCAAGAGTCCCTTGTCTTTCAAGTCTAGCAAGAGCTCATGGTCTCAGCCCATGCCCACTACAGCCCAGTATGGATATGAACACTCAACCTCGGTTGATGCAGTTGCCCTAAAGCGGAGTGTTGAGTGCGGCGAAATGCTTCAACTTCGAATGGCACAATTGGACGAGAAGGCCCGGTTCCTGGAGTTTCAAGCTTCTATGTTGGCGCAGCTTAGTTCACAATGGGAAAAGGCGAGGGAGGAAAAACGGCGTGAACACGAACGGGCCTTGGCTGAGCAATGCGCGAAAGTGAGTTATGCTAGCTGAATTTGAGATTTCTAGACTGACGAACTCCAGAGGGACAAAGCTGTGGAGGATCTAGAGGCGCGCCAACTAGAGGAGGAGATGAAAATGGAGAAGGAGCACGAGGTTGAAAAGCGCACAGTGATGGTGCGTCTCCGCCATATGGAAGCGTATTGTCAGACCCCGACACCGCCTCCGACTCCCTCAAACCCGGCTTCTGCACGTCCGTCAACCGATTCAGCACTGCCGGAACGCAAAGTCACAGAACGAGACTACCACAACCTTGCTCAACAGTACCGTGAGCGGGATGCCATGGACACACTGCACTCTGCAAAGATTAACGTGTTGCGAGGCAAGCAGAAGAAGGCGGTCGAAAGGCTAATGGCTAAGAAGGAGCGGGAACTCGAAGATTTAGAAAAGAAACAGGAGGACGAGCTTGCAGGTATTGATCGGGATTTTGCGGGCCAAGAAGCGAATTTGAAGCTCGCTTTGAATTCAAAACGCGCCAGACTTGAAACCAGATGGAGGACTCAAGCCTTGATTGCGCGGACCAAGATGGAGAAAGCTACCGGACTTAAATACGCCGCTTTGCCAGCGATTGTCGCCATTGACGACACTCACACTGCTGGTATTGCGTTGTGAGAATGTTCCGGCCCATCGAGCTGGGAGTTACAACTATCCCATCTTCATTGTCTGCGGCTCATGGACAAATGAGGATTGAATTTTTATGCACGAAGGATCAGGCGCAATGATTACGCTTTCACAGCGACAGATACCCCAAGGCTATTGAGCCTGTTTTTGCGTCTGGATGTATGGTTGCATTGCTTCTGGCCAGGGTTTTAATGAGCTGCCGAACTGGCATGGGGGGTTCTCCCTCGGAGATATCATGCGAGGGCCAGAAGACTGCAAAGACGCAGCACAGTTCCCCCATCCATTGTTGGTACCATCGAGATAGCAGAACGAGTCACATACGTGGTAGCTTCAGCTGTTCCCTTCTGTTCATTGTTCTGCAGCAATACGCGCTGATATACAACTACCTACCTAGGTACTACTACAACTATAATACTAGCTAGTACAGTACGCATGACGCGTCTAGCGTGTGGTCAGCTTGATATCACGTGGATCCGCGTTTTGACGTGTCAACGTGTTGCGCCATTCCTGATCCGGCTCATGTACCCAATGCCCGCTCTTCAACTTTCTCGTTTGCCAGGCATGTTTCAGTCTGTCTCTGACAATCCTCCGAGAACCGATGCCCATAATACTTTCTGGCATTAGCTCCTAGAAGACTGTCGCTAGCGTGAGTAAACTCTGCGTTCTCAGCGTCAATTGCAGTGATGTCCTCCGTGCTGCTTCTTGCCAAAGTGCATGGCCAGGTTTTCTTTGTTAGAGCTCTCGGTGCAACAAAGAGCATGGCCTCACCATAACGTTTAGCTACATGGCTCTGGGTTACGCTTCGAAGTCCCTGCTATGAAAGCAGTCATATACGATCAACACCACCTCCTCCTTTGCTTTGTCGTTTTCTTGCCTGTCTGCAACATTGTCCTTTGTCTGGGGTGCCGCGAAGCCGCCAGCGAGAGGAAATAGTAGTAACAAAAGAATCCCCATAATGAACACTGGTTTGGGCTTCAACAGCCCCCCATGGCTCCACAACCCTTTCCTCCCTGTTTCCAAAATCTATCGTCACATGCTACGCTTCCAGACCGAACTCGTTCCACATGTCTTCCGATCGCGATTCCTTTTGGGTGGTGGCTGCCCCTTCACGAAATTGGGACGACATCCCTACGATTAACGTCTGCGGCCACGAGGTACCATTACCCGCTTACTGGAAAATTGTCGACCTCCTAGAAGACGGGAAGGGCAAAGAGGACGTTGTACAATCGGTCATTTTACATACTGGGCGGAAAACTGTCCAAGTCGTTATGGATGTTGTTGATAGTGTGGCAGAAAACCAACAGCTTATCTTTCGACGGGCGACGATATCTAACAGACTGAGCATGCCCTTCAAGAAATCCAAACTGATCAGCTCATCTCGCAATCTAAGAAATCAGAGCTACCGCGATTCCCAAGCAGCGGACGGTGCCCTCGAGGCAGCAACACAACGGGAGAAGGAACTGCTTAACGATGCGCTTGCCATTGCTCACAGAAAGGAACAAATGACGAAGAGAGACATGAGTCCTGACGACCGACGAAAAACAATCTCTGCGATTGACCATGAAATGAAGCAGGTTCTCCGGCGACATCAGGAAGTAGAGGCCGAGATCAAGAAGGCAAAGCGCCTCACTGCTTTGCACAAAAGGTCATGAGCCTACTGGTAAACACGTGCTTCCGAGCCCCAAGCCTTGTAACCTCTCCCATTTGATATATATATAGACATGGCACTCCCCATGAATGTCATTTCCGACTCGGCATTTCCCTGGCTATGCAGTACTCTACAAGGGTTGCACTTCATGGCGACTAACATTTAGAGGTATGTTCACGCTCGAGAAGCAAGCTGGGCAAAGGCATCTTTGTCTAGTCCTTTGGACTTTCAAGAAAGCGGTTAACCATTGTCCAGGACTTTCGAACAAGTGACCTTTATCTCATGGTCTTTGATCATTGTCCCAGTCGAATGCTGGAATGCCTACTTATTAGATGCTTTCCACGCATGGCTTGCGGCAGTTTGGATCCAATCTCTCCAGAAACCCTTTGCCCGTCAACGTCTTCATCCCCCTTACAAATCACTCCTCGACCAAACCACCAACATGGTTAAAGAGAAGATGTACTTCGATGATGCCGCCTTATTTGAAGTCGAGGTAATGCATGATCAACGGTGGCCCCGAATCCGTACTGTGACCGGCGATGTCTTAAGCGTATGCATGGCCTCCCGGATCATGTATCTAATCAAGCAAGGCCATACAGTGGATTGCATACCCTGTCACTTCCATGAGGAATTCAATCGCGAGATTCCAAAGGCCACAGTTAAGGCCATTTTCCACCAGAAGTTTGACATCACCGAGGAACCTCTTCCAAACGGAGAGATCCTGATACCCACATCCGAGCCGGCAATCGGCCATGCTGATTATGCGAAAGGACATGTCCTTCCAGCGGGGTTATACTACGAGATCCTCAATTACGCGAGACTGTACGACGCCACCACCATCCGCCTCCTGGTCGAAGACCGGTGGGGCTTTGACATCTCTGAGGATACTATTGCCAAGGCGTTCGATGATTGGGAAACCGAACTTACGCTCCGCGAGCTTCCTCGACCCGATGATGCTCGTCCACAGCATGAGGGTCAGTTATTGCATGAACTTGAATTGTCCACCACCGCTCCCGCTGGTAGTGAAGACCGTCAAATGTTCGACACTCCTCCGCCTGAATATTCCCCGGGGCCTGTTACACAAGGGGAAACAGACAATACAAGCACGGATCGAAGCCTCCCGCCGGTGGAAAACAAGGCTTGGCAGTCGCAAGAACAACCAGTGGCCATGTTTTCGCGGTCCAACGTGCTCGACTATATCTTCAGTGCATACAACGGCGTCACTGTTTGTCCATACGGCGCACGAGATCCAGTCAAGGTCGAATATCCACTTGGCCTCACTATGATTAGAGAGTACATGGCATTGAATGCCATCGAACGAAAACGCGTACTGACGGAAGCAGATCTCTTCCCCGCGCACGTGATCAATGAACAAGGTGAGCTCGACGCTGAAGGAAAGCTGATGCATCAATTCATTAAATCCGTCCGCGATGAGCTTTTTCACAGCAGCTGTGCCTCTTCGCGTAAGGTGATGGAGGATTTCTCAGTGCATGCTAGCTTCTTCGGACTCGCCCTAATTCTTAACCACATGAGACTACGCAGGGGTGTTCCGGAGTTTAACCCAGAGGAACCTGGTCGACTCGTTGAAGTTATTCTCGAAGAACTACGACTGAGCGACAATGTCTTCGTGCGTCAGTCCCTCTCTGAACACCCTCCAGGCCCTACGATCAACGCGGACAGTCTGAAGGCTCTCCTGGCGGAGATCCGGGCTAAGAGATTAGCAACGCCCATCATAAATCTGGATATAGTCGCCAACCCCCTGTCAGGTATGTATCAACTCGTACCCAAGGGTGAAGGTGCGATCTCGGCACTGGAAGATGTGTTGATTGACAATGACCCTCCCTTGGAAGATAAACAAGTGGAATCCTATGAACGGGAACTACGGAACGTCTGGGCGTTGCTCTTATCGGCTGTTCAATCCACGACAACCGAGGGCTTTCTTGTGCGCAGAAGCATCTTGGAAAGACATATCAAAAAAGGTATGCATGCCGCTCAGCAAGGGACTGTAGCTTATCAGCAGTTGGACCATGCACTGACAGGGATTAGGAACTTGAAGAGCGGGCTGATATGTTACTACCATTTGTCTGCCCGTTGGTGGGCCGCAGTTCTCACCAATGCGACTTTGGCCCAGTTCGGCAGGGACACCACTTCCCATTTGTGGATGGTGATCCCGAACGAGGACATGTCGGAGCCTCATCCTGACACCTACGCGAAGGTCACCTATGACTATTTGCTGGCTCCCACGAATGAGGCGCCAGCAGCTGAGGATGATCAGGATGGTCACCTGCCATGAACAGTATCCAACATCATCGGATGATGCTACTAGGACAGCAACTGAAGCACGGTAGGCACCAGCAATACCAAATAAGCCCGTTGATCAGATTGATTGAAGAGAAAGGAACGAGAGGCTGTACAAAGGTGGAATGAGACCTGGTTGCGTGGTGAGGAAGAGCTATGGAATGGAGCTACACAAGATCTGCTTTACTCGATACGATTGTTGTCCAAGTCCCCTTTTGATGTGAAGCAACGGTATCTGACCAATTTTAGAAAGCGTGCTGGAAGGATTATATGTATTGTTGACGCACTGCAGAATTCAGATTTTGAAATGGTCCTCAGGCATACATAAATAGGCAATACATGGTCCAATATACATAAATATTGACTTATCTGTTCAACTCATCTATCATCCATTAATTCATCTTATTGTTGATTGTGTTGGCTCTGTGCCTGAACCTAAGCCCGAGCTACTGCTGCCACACTGCAACTCTCTCCAGACACTCGAGAAGTGCAGGAGATCCTAGTAATGGGTTCCCAGCCATCAAGATCCGCTCTTGATCTCGTAACCGATCCGTCCAGACCACGACGGCTTTTTCGACTATCCCTTGATCTGAGATGCGCAGGCGCCCTACACGCCCATCACTCCATATGATGCGGATGTGGCGGGCGTCCACGCCGATAGGGGAGATGTCCTGGACGCCGAATTTACCAGTCGTGTTGGAAGATTCGTGCGAGGTGCTATTGTCATCGTCGTCGTCGTCGTCGCTGTCGTCTCCGACATTTGTTGTCAAGGGTGGTAACTCGAGTTCCTCGCGTATCAGCGCGACGGCTTCTTGCCGTAACCGCCAGGAAATCAAATCATGTCGAACCTGGGTGACAAGGCCGTGTAAGTCTTGCGATTGAGTTGCTGTTCCAGTCTGGCGCGCTCGACCTACTTCGTCGCGGTGATTGTCCTCGTCTGAATTACTAGTTCCACCAGACCCTTTGTCCGATGAGAGTGGTAGATAGACCTTCTCGTAGTCCTCTATGGGCACGAGCGCGGGGATTGTATGTCGATGGATTTTGAGCTCGGGATGCTGATGTTGGTGATGGTGGTGCTCATGCTCATGCTGGTCGACATTGCGATGACGATGACCACCGCCGGTCTTCACACAAAATATAAAATACGGGCTGTCGAAACGACCCGTCCGGTCGGCGCATATGTCGAACCGAATGCCTAGCAGCGGGTTCTTGGATTGCATTTCGGGGCTGGGGTCATGGAAGGGAAAGGATGTCACACCATAGGCGAGGCGGTAAACGTTGGTTTGGGAACGGTGTTTAGCGGTTTCGAGAAGACGGGTTATTTTTGCAGAGCCATCGGGGTGGTTGATGGTTGAATTGTCTTGAAATTTGGATAGTTGGGTCTGGACTTTCGTTGACGAGAGCAGAGTTGAGGCTAGTAGTTTGCGACGTTTGGTGAGGGCTTGGACTGGAGATAGGAGGGGATGTTAGTATATAGCCATGTGATCACATCTGTGCCGTCAACATTCTCTGTCGGCTTCATAAGAACAGGACAGGCACGGCAGAGCCTAGGGGGATGGACCAGGTAGGTATAAATAAAAGATCAAGCAGCGCGTACTTTCGGCTCTGACTTGCTCGATCTCTTGGTCGAGTGTGTCTGTGTCATTCATGGTCGTGTCCTCGTCTGGTACAGATGCACCGGGCGAAGGAGATGCTGAGAGGGCCATTTTAATAGGGATAGTCAAGTATAGTGGTGCGCTGGTAGGGTGCTACATGGATGCGCAGAGGCATGTGTATTTTGATAGATACTGTATACTGAAATGCTACTGTGGTAGTAGAGGACGTTATTGTCAGATGCCAGTGCGCGACACGCTCGCGATAAGAGACGCGCCGCTTATCGGGATATCAGTAAGTGGTCACGTGCCATGAGGTTAACTGTTTTAGCGGCGCCCGCAACGGTTAGAACGAAATCGAGATTAGATTGGGTGTTTGGAGGGGCCCGAGGCCACCTTTCAGATTCATGGTTCAGGTTCCCCAGGGGTCGTGGGCGGACATTATTCAATCACAGATCTAAAGACGTCGTATCATGCACATTCTACCTTGAACATCCGTGGAAGAGGAGGATGACAATGTGAATGGAGCCTTTGGTCAGCGAGAAGCATTTTTGGTCTTGCTGATCGATGATCTCACTGGCAGGGCGATTCTACTGCCACTGAAACCGTCGCGTTACTGGCCACTTTTTCTTAGTTTCATTGAGGACACAGAGTCCTTTTCTTCATCCATCCACTTATTACACTCGTTTTGCCGCATGGATGCCTGACTCGATTGCCGAACCTTTTACATTCCCACTATTCCACACTCGTTCCTCCTCCGTAGACCATCCTGCACTTCCTTATCACCAAGGGCAGAGCCGAATCCACGCAGAAGACCCGCGTCGTTCACAGGACATCGAATTGAACGCGATCCCACAAACGCGACAGAAGCATAATCGTACCGCTCCCACACAGTTCACTAGCCCCGTTGACAGTTACGAAGAGGAGGAAGACTCTGAGAACGACGATTCCGAACAAGATCATCTTGTCGTAGAAGGGCTTTCATCGCCGATGAAACGCAGTAAAGCCAAAAAGAGCAAAGACAAACGATCGCCCTCGCGCCCGGACCTGAGAATCGAAATCGACCAGAACGGCCATGCGGAGAGGGCGGCGAACGGCAAGATGGATTCCCATATTGAAATGAGACGGAAACACGTGTCGAGCGACGATCCGGCAGCGAATGCAGCCAGAATCATGAGCAGGGAGGACTTCAACCTTGACAATGAGCCACCGCTCACGCCCGACACGCCGGGGATGGTGAACACCAGTTTTTCGAACCTGCCGATCAAAGACAAGCGGAATTTTCTGTTGTTGGTGCTCCTCTACTTCCTTCAGGGCATACCGATGGGCTTGGCTTCTGGGTCGGTGCCATTTTTGTTGAAGAGTTACCTCTCCTACGGACAGATTGGTATCTTCTCACTTGCGATTTACCCATATTCCTTGAAACTGCTGTGGAGTCCGATTGTCGATGCAGTTTGGAGTAGACGGTTCGGACGAAGGAAAAGCTGGATCACCCCAATTCAAACCATATCTGGACTGGCGATGATTTACCTCGGGGGCGAGATTGATAGTATGATGAAGGCTGCGGGAGAGAATGATGGCTCTGGTGTATGGGGGTTTACTGGCTGGTGGTTCCTCCTCGTCTTCCTCTGTGCTACTCAGGATATTGCCGTGGACGGATGGGCGATTTCGCTTTTGTCAATCCAAAACATCTCCTACGCCTCTACTGCCCAAACGGTCGGACTGACGGCGGGGTCTTTCCTGTCTCATACGGTGTTTCTGGCGCTCCAGGCGCCGGACTTTGCCAATGCTTGGTTTAGGGCTGTCCCGAAGGAATATGGCTTGCTGACGCTGGGAGGGTACATGAAATTCTGGGGCTGGATCTATCTTCTAGTCACGGTCGGCCTGGTCGTCCTGAAACGCGAGGAAAAGACCAACGAGCGTGAGGGGATCATGGAGGTCTACCGCAGCATGTTGGCCGTGCTCAAGCTCCCCAACATTCTAACCATCATTGTTATCCATCTGATTGCCAAACTCGGATTTGTCACCAATGACGCGGTCACCAACTTGAAATTACTCGACAAAGGGTTTGGTCAGGCCAATATGGCTTTGGTTGTGTTGATCGATTTTCCTTTCGAGCTGAGTCTGGGGTATTACGCCGGGAAATGGTCGACAGAATACACACCCTTGAAATTGTGGTGTTGGGCCTACGTGGCTCGGCTACTGGCTGCGATGTTTGCCCAGTTCACCATCATGATCTATCCTACGGGAGCAGATGAGCCGGTGCCATTATGGTACATGCTTGTGGTGATCTCCTCACATGTCTACTCGACGTTCATGAACACCGTCATGTTTGTGGCAGCATCAGCGTTCCACGCCAGGATCGCCGACCCAGCGATCGGAGGAACGTATATGACGCTGTTGGCCACGTAAGTTCCAATCTTGTTCTGCCATTTTTTGTTGCGTTACTGACAGTCGTTCTGTGTTATAGTGTATCAAATCTCGGTGGGACTTTCCCCAAGTTTTTCATTCTCAAATTCGTCGACCTTTTCACCAAGGCCACTTGTATACCGCCAACCGATCCCATTGCTTTCTCCAAAGCTCATCCGGACATTACTCCCATAACAAATTCGTTCAGTTGTGCATTGGAATCCGACAAACACACTTGCCTCAATGGAGGCGGCACCTGTGTCATACAGCGGGACGGATATTACATCACCAACGTTATCTTTGTGATCATCGGCGCCGTCTTGTTCTGGACGTATATAGAGAAGAAGGCTCTTGCGCTACAGGCTCTGCCACTGCGAGCATGGAGAGTGCAAGGGGACTACCGGCAGGTTGCCACCAGTTGAGGTTCGTGATGGTTGGTTGGTTGGTCCGTTTAGTAACTTCTCGATCAACACAGTGCAACCGAAACTCTATGTAGGATGAATATATGGACTTATTATGTTCGAGACATGCTTCAAAGATTCAACTGCTCTGGCTGACTCCTTTCCTTTGAGAATCGTGTACACCTGGAGAAGGCCAGTACTTTTGGATAACTCGATCTGACACGTGATATCGAAAATCTCTGTCACGTGCGCGGTCTGGCCTTGTAATGTCCTACTACTACTCGAAGCAGTACTTCATGGATGCTTCACTTCATCCACTATAAATTCCTCGGAGGCTGACGCGGTTCTTGCTCTAACCGTATCGTGGCCGTCAAACAGGTGCAGGTGGACAGCCAGTCACACAAAGACTGGGATTCGGCCCAAAAACGAAATACCGCACGTGGCTTCCGACAGGCGAGGCTGCAAAGAAATCAACCACAAGCCGACGTCGGCGGAGACGGTCTTTGAAAGGCGAATTCGCAGAATTCGACTCGACCAGGCTCACTGCGCGCATGTTTGCGGCTCTTGGATTGCAAAATATTCGACTCATCCAGTCCTCAACAGAGCAGTGTTATTACAGTAGTAGGGAAGCATCCATCATCCCTCCAGCAGATTGCGCCGACTGGTTAAGCCGTCCTATACCGATTATATATCATCCAAGTTCAACGGACGGAAAACGGTACATGATCTATCACTAACTAGCAACACAACCCTTCGGCTTTCAAAATTATTCATTCTGTAGACCATACAGCGCAGTGGACGATATATACTCAGAACTCTTTGTCTCATGGACAAGTCAGACGCGGGCCCGTCTCGGCCAGCGGAGGTGCCAGCACCGGCACCCATAGCAACATCAATTTCTATCTCTCAATCATCACCAAAATCAAGTCCCGCAGCATCGTCCGCGGCGTCAACGACAGTCACCACGCCCGAACAATCACCTGGCGCGGACGACGATATCTGGGACATTTCATCCGAGTACCACGATGACGCGCAGCATCAACAACAACAACTCCACAGGACAAACTCATTGTCGCATAATGGCCATGGAGACACCCCTGGAGACGATGGCCCACGCCCTCAAAGAGGCGAGATCTTAAGTGATATCCCGTCCCTCCGTCGCCAACACATGACGGACGGGTACCGCGAGGGTTTGGCCGTCGGCAAAGCCCGCGTCATGCAGGCCGGGTTTGATGCCGGGTACCCATTTGGCGTGGAGATTGGACTACGTGTTGGCAAGGTCTTGGGGGTTCTAGAGGGGACTGTGGCTGCTGCATCAGCTGCTGGTGGTGGTGGTGCTACGAGCACGAGTGCGAGTACAACCACAACTACGATTGCGACTGCGACTGCGGGCAGTAGGAGTTCCAGTCACAGCAAAAATACGGGGATCGGGATAGGTGTTTCTTCGGATGATGATCGAGCGGTTGGAGTTGGTAGCAAGATCGAGCTCACCGAAAGTCCCTCTGATAGAGATAGAAGCAGCACCAGCAGCATCGGTTTGGACGTCCAATTTGTGCGCAGTCTGCTCGACCGTGCAAAGGAGGAGCTGAAAATCTCCGAGTTGTTGAAGATGTTGGATGATGCGAAGATTGCCCGGCTGGAAGAAACAGGAACCGACACAAAAGCCGCAGCAGAAACCACGTTGCCTGCTGCAGGCGAGGAAGAACCACCGGCGGCTAGAGAGACCAATGAGTCCAAAGCGGCTGGTGCAAGCACGGGTTTGGCAGGTCAGGAACAGGCACGACAAGAAGGCGAAACGCCGCAAGAGACTCAATCTCCAGCTCCAGCTCCAGCATCAGAAGACGCAGCATCAGTCGCGGGAAACAATCAACATGACCAGAACAACAGCAACATTTCAATTCCTGTGCTGCCGCCCGAGATTGAGGCGGTGATAGCAAGATGGGAATGTCTTGTTCTAGGAAGCCTGAGTTGACTCGATTCTTGACTCTCGACTCTCCGCAGATGGAATATATCGTGCCTGATAGTCCAGGTTGAGTAACACTAGTACAAGTCGTACGAGTTGCACAATTCCCTACTCCAACCTCGCATACCTCTCTCTGGCACCTTCTCTGGTCCTCTCAGCAAAAGCATCATACTTGCCCTTTGTGTTCCTCTCGGCCTCGACGACAGCATCGCCTAATTTGCCGCCTTCCGCTCCCAGACCTACACCTGCAACATAAATGTCCTGACTGATTGGGGCGGTCATGCCTTCGCCCGTGGCTCCCAGGCCTTGGCCCGCCGTATAACCCATCTTACTGAGCAAAGACGCGCCCTTCGATTGTGGCATACCAGTCTGAGCCGTCGTCGTTGCTGTGGCGGTCCCAGGGTCGTTGCCACCATCTGCCGAGACTTGCAGTTGTTTTCTGGCATGGCCACCGCCACCACCGACATGTTCACCTTTTTTATTAAACACACCATAAATCTTCCGCCGCTCCCGCGCCCGGTCACGGTACTGTGTGGCAGTAAGGACAGCAGGTTCATGCTTGACCCCATGTTTGGCCAGTTTCGCCTTTGCTTTCTTGACCTTGGCTTCATCCTTGAGGTTTTGCCGGTGTAGATCACTCAGCCGCTCGTGCTTGTTGACGTCGGCATTGTTGGTGAACTGGCGCATGCAGAGATAGCAGCAGTGTCTGGCAGGGTCCGCATACGACTGTGACGGTGGGGCTGAGATGTTGTCACTGTTATTATCGCTCGATCTTGCGTTATCATCGCCGGTTCCGACGCCGCCAATCCCGGCTTTTGATCCGATTCCGTGCAATTCGGCATGTCTGTTGCTCCAGAATTGAAGATGAGACGGAGCAGCCTTTTTGACACCCCCGGCGGCAGCAGTGTCGGCGTCTGCTAGGGCTTTGCGTTTCTTCGGTTTCTCAGCCGTGTCTTTCGCTACTTTGGGCTCAGCTATCGAGTTTTTGTTTGCCGTGGTGGCTTGTGCAGGCATTGACACAGCTAGCTCGGTGACATATGCCGCCTCATCCCAATACGCTAGCTTCATGGCCGGATTGTTCAGTGGGCTGAATGTAAAACGCTCGGAGCCGGGCTCAGGGTTCATGACAGGCACAAAGACCCCTGCATGGATATAGCTGACCAGGACCTGTTTCGACGCAATGGTGAACCGCTCCATCGAAATGTACCGTGTCAAAGCCGCCTGTGCATCCTCGATAGAAGCATACTCAGCAAAGCCGTACCGCCAGCTTTCATTGCTTCTTCTATCCCGCACCAAGAGAACACGTCTGAGAGAACCTTCCTTCGCTCCCAGGTTCGCGTTGCCGGTAGTCGAGGCAACCTTGGCGCCCTTTTTAGTGGCCGTTTCCTCGCGTTGATTAGCCGATGGTCCAGGTTTATTCAGCTTGGCCACGCCCTTGGCCAGCAACTCTTCTGTCACTGAAGGCTCCAGACCTCGAAAAAGCAGAAACTGCGATGGCGCATTATCGAGCGAAACATCATTGTCGCCAACATTTGGTGCTTTGGCAGGGACTTCAAATCCGGGCTCTGCGCAGACATGAGCACTTGGTCAACCAAAAGAAAGGAGGAAAAAATCAATCTGACCTGGTCTCGGTGCTTGACATCGGAAACACATGCTTCGTGTGGAGAAGTTGTTGATGGCGCACTTTGGATTTTATTAGACATATGAACCGACATCCTGGGTTATGCTCAACTCACCATCGAGCAGATCCAGTCGTCCTCATCAGGTCGAGGCGCCTCCTTCCGTTCGCGCCCGAAAGCGAGCCGGACTTTACACACTCCAGGAGATTCATCGTAATCACCGTAGAGATAGAGAAACGGGTAGTGCTTGTCCATAAAAGACTCTGCTTGCTGCAAGCTCGAGAAGCGGAGGAACCCGAATCCCCGTGACTGTTCTGAAGGATCATGTGAGCTATCTGGAAGCGTGATATCATCCCGAAGACTTACTGGTTTGTCGGTCGCAAATGACACGAACGTCGTCCAAGCCATTGACATGATAATACTGTTTCAACTCGACGCTAATCTGTCACGGCAAAAAGTCCACATCTTAGCACATCATGCCACACTCAGACACGAAAAGTAAGTGGGGAGAAGAAGAACAAGGAGGGGAAAAGTGTGATGGTTGTTTTTTGTTCAAAGGGCAGATCGGGTGGGTAGGGGAGATCGAACATCGTCCTCCGTCAAGTGTGAAGCCAATCCCTCCATCATAATCTCCTTGCTCGGCTTGCCCCGACTGGTAGGTCTTTCGCCAGGAAGAGTCCCTCGTCCTCTGCTGCGGCTTCGACTATCGTCTCGGTATCTTGTGGAACGAGGATCGTCTCGGTCATAGTATGCCCGCGACCGACGGATGGGCGGTGGAGACCGTGAGCGAGCACCATCGTCCCTATTGTTGTCATAGTACGACCGTGGCCGACGGGGCGACCGTCCTTGGGCCGGAGACGGTGATCTGGTTCCATCATAGCCGTAGCCATGTCCCTGGCTAGGAGCCCCTCGTCCTCGCCCTCGATCTCCGTCACCACGACCGTCGTTATTATAGTATCTTTCGCGATCGCGATCGCGGTCGGAGCTCCTGTCATGATAGCGGTCATATTGCTGGTGCTCATGTCGACGATCCGGACTGCGCGCGCTTCGGCCACGAATACGAAAGCCTTCCTGGGCCGCTGCTTGTGGCGCCGATGGTGGTACTGCTGGTGGTAGTCCAGTCATCGAGAAATCTTGATTTTGGCCAAAAAGACGACAATCAGTATCAACTCCCACAAAGTGACAAATCGCCCCGGTTCTTTGATCTATGGTTTACCATGTGGAGAACTCTGTCTGGGGTCGGGGGAACTGCGTCCGCGGCGGTCTGGAGATCTAGATGTAGAGCCGCAGTCATCGTAGAAGTCGTCTCGCTGCTGTGGAGGGTATGTTCGATATGATTGTGCTTGGTGGCCTGCGCCGCCTCGTGGTCGGTAGCCTGACATTGTCACGGCATTGGAAGAATCAAGAGTCAAGAGTCGCGCCTTGCACAACGGCTGCTGGAAGTCAAGTCAGCCGCAGCGGGCTGCGGTTGAGGCTGTCGCAGATCGGGCGGCATGCCCCTTCACTCGGCAAAGCTTCCTACTCGAGCGGCCTGTGCAAGCGCTGTAAATCACTGATGCCTTCTTAAACTGATCTAACTCACAGTCACCAGATCAGGCGGTGCGACTTGGTAGCTATGTACTGTCCTTGCCATAACACGCCGAAAATCGCTGTCATCAACGCTGGTTACATTTGCCTCACATGGTCCATCGACAGGGACAACCACTCCATGCTTTCAACTCCCATATCGCATCAACGTGTTTGCTCACGTTCGGGTCTTCCACAGTCTGTCTCGCCATGGACAAGGAAGTATTCAATGTGCTGCTTGACCTGTACACCGCTGCTGCATGGCGTGTATCATCCAGACTTCTCCCTCTCCCTGATCCTTCTACTAAGGAATCCCATGAGCTTGCTTCCACCGCGCTCAGCACTTGTCGTTCTGTAGACAGGCTTGGCTTCGACATGGCGTATTTCCCTGCTCATCTGCTCTCTTACCTCGTCCTCAACTGTGGGCCCAAATTCTGTAAGTGCGGGTGGAGCGGTTTGGGGCATAGACGCTTTCCGCAACACCCCACCGCTGGTGAAGGGGCTCAATGGCCTTTTCTTGCGCTCAATGTCGAACTCCGCCCCATTGATGGTGACCGTAAGTTTTTTCTTGAGACGTTGACGAGCAGATTTCGGTGATCGAGTGGGCGATGCAGGCATTTCCGGGTCAAGCTGACGACATCCGTCCGGTGCCTTTTTTTCTGCCGGACGAGAAGATTTGGGAGACCACGGGACCGACGAAGGTAGCTCTTCAATGCTATCCTTGGTCCTGACACTTAATGAATCGTCTGAATCACTGATTGGGATATGTGCAGCTTTGCCCAGAGCCTGTATGGGACTATTGGCATGTCCTTTCGCCGGTTCATTTGCAACCAAGGCCGGAGATGGTATCACGGCCGGTTGTGGTGGGGAGCTTGGTAAAGGTGAGCCAGTCGACTCGGCGGTGTGCGGGTTGTGATTTCCAGGACTGGACATCGAGTCTTGGACCGATGCTTGCGACACTGTGGAATTCGGGGAAGTGCAAGGAGACGTATGGTTTGGCAAGCGAATAATTCCGTAGTTCTCGAGGTATGCTGGAGACGGTGAGCTGTGATTATTATGTTTTAGGAGGGATTGCTCACCATATGAGCGGCAATAAAACCGAAATGCAGCATATGGCATGTCGATGGGGTCCAGAAGTTGATATTGGTATCGTCTTGGGCGCAGTCCAGATTCAAGAAGACCGCCGTCAGCGAGACTGTGGATGATCAGCATTCAAGTTGACAAGGAAGAACGACGAAAGTAAACACTGACCGCAAGCCTTCAGTATGATTGCCGCCGACTTCCACCGCTCCCAGTCCAGGCGGTAGGTTGCGGACTCTCCTCCTATGTTCGATCCTGTGCACGTTGACTTCAATGATATCTTGCTCAGATCCCGATCCTGCGCGTCCGTTGCCAAACCTCAGCGATTGTCTTCTGACACCAACTCCACCATCTTCTACCAAAGTGCCATCATTCTCCACGACAAGGTTATACATCATTTTGCCGTGAAACCCATGCCTTGCAGTACAGTCCCATGCCGCGACGGCCTTGCCGTTCACAAACAGCTTGAAGAAGTAAGCCGCTCCCGGTGGATGAGGCCCGTCAACGGTGTACTCGAACCAAATCTGGCTGCCGGGGTAGATGGGGATGTAGCAAGACGCGGTGGGACAGCAGAGAGCCTGAACTTGACCTTGGGCTTGACCTTCTTCTGCCTTGTTTCTGTATTGGTTATGGTCCACCTGGATGAACGGATCTGCTCCCAATGATGGCGGAGGATAATTCGTCTGCTGATACTGAAACTCAGGGAGTTTGCAGATGTCGAATTGGGAGATGACGCAGACCTCGATGCCGCGGAATTTGACCATTCTGGCTACCTCTGTCTCTGTGGACGGTTGAGCGAGATGATCGATAGGTTGTGCTGATGATTCTGTCTGCGATAAGTAAAAGTAGCAGTGACAAGAGTGGTGTACGGGACTACTTGAGCCTCGCTGCGGCGACAGGTTGGAGGGGAGACGATCGAGTCATTTGGCCTCGCCTGTGTTCAGACTATTGTCTATTCAGGGAAAGGAAACACAATGCATTGCTGAGCTCCTGTGTTGCAGATTTGGTGGAGCCGAGACAAGGCAAGAAGCAATAACCAGACTGCGGTGAAGGCACAGGTCAGCCATCAGTGAGCTGAAAGTGAAGCCGTACATCAAGGCCATTGAGGGTGCGCGGAAACCGAGGAGGGCACCAGAGATCAAAGCCAGGCAGCCCCTTCGTTGAATATGTCTAATGCTGCCAGTAGGAGATGTGATACTGTCGTGGTCGTGAGGAAATCGGCCTACAGCTTGAATCCGTGACAGCGTAGCCTCCAGCCAGTCCTAAACTTGAAGTGAACTTCGCCGGCCAAACATATGCTTGCTTTTGCCATTTCATTGTAGCAGAAAATCAACGAGCACCAACGTGCCTAAACTGCCGTGGTAGGAAATCCTGCTACTTGTAGTCCGTATGGCTTGATAGCTTGAAGCTGTCACAGCCCTTTAGGGACCAAGAGCCTCCAGCCAGCTTGAAGCATGAGACAAGTTCTCAAAGAAATAGCAAACCGAGAACCGAGAATCGGGTATCAACATAACTTCACCATCTCCCCATGATCGATTTCACCACTGCGCCGCCGCAAACGCTTCACCGATAGTAGTAGCATGGGTAGTACTTCCGCATCACCACCCCAGTTTAACCTCGTCGCCATCCACTTCTCTGATCACAAACTCTGCTTCCTCGTGCTCAGGATTAGCATACAGCAGATTGAACCAGTCTAGAATACTGCGCCAACACCGAACCATGGCGTTCTCCTGGTAGGAAGCCTCGCCGCTTGAATAGCAATTACACCCATATGTCTCTCTGCCCACAATAGGGGTCTCCAGGGGCGCACCGTTGACGAAGTAAGCGCGGCAGCGTCGGGACAAGAACTCCAAGGACTCTCGAGGAACATGCTCGTCTTCCAAGTCCTGCACTTTGAACTGCGGTTCGATGAGAGAAATGCCCGTGATGCGCGGTGCCCATTGATTCCCTAAATATGGCGCACAGACAGGTTAACACCCAACATGGACCGCGGCTGGTAGATAGACGTGACTAGGAGAACTTACAGTGTTTCGCAAGATACTCGACTGCGGCGGAACCAGGATACTCGATGCCCACAATATCCAGTTTCGCCTCCCTTTTCAGCAGCCGAGGCAAGACCTGCTCGAACATATAGGACACATGTTCTCTGTAATCCTTGTTTCCAGGAATTTTATTCTTGACTTCATCCACCCTAAACGGCTCATGCACCGCCGACGGTCGAGGCAAGCACAACCACTCAGCGGGTGACACGGGTCTGGATCCGCCACGATACCATAAAAGCTGACATGGATTTGCAATGACGACACCCGGGACCGTATTTTGGGATGTGGGCATGGGCGAGAACAGCGCTGCTTTGACGAATTCCTCCACGGAGCCGACTTTGATCCCTTCGTCGCCGATGACGCGCCAGGACAGGATGCCAGGTTCGAAGGCCCGTTCGCCGAAGTAGACAATGGCCCTGTCTTTGGTCGAGATGTCCTTGGAGACCAAGATGGGGAGATGTTGATCTGTTTCGCCGGCACCCAGGGGTAGTCTGACGGTTTCGATACTTAGTTCAGAGAGTCGGTCCTGAACGATTTTGCGGACGGCGTCTGCAAAGGCCACATGGGCGTTAGATTAGCAAGCTGTGCGGGGAGAGATACTAGGTGCTAGCAGCATAAAGTAAATATGCAACAACATTGCAAGCTAGAAAAGGAACGAGAACATATCCAACAGCATCGTAAACCAGACATGCATCAGTGAAGAAAGCAACAAGAAGATGTCACTCACCATTGTTCGCTTGCCTATACACCTGATTGACCCGATCATTCCTATTGATCTGGTACTGGTACTTCTGCTCCGGGTTCTTGATCATCCGAATCTGATCGTCCTGGTTCACGAAGAATCCCAGCTTTTCTAGATCGGGCGTGAAAACCGGGTCTGCAGGCAGAGTATGGGGGAGTCGACGAAACATGGTGTCTGAGACAGCGGCACTGGTAGTGTACTGTATCTACCTGCACGCAACGGTGGAGTACCTTAGTAGTAGTCCTGCCTGGTAGGTGGTAGCAGTAGGAGCGCCACGTCCTGCGCTGCAGTTCAATTTGTTGTGCTCAGAGCGTGGTTTGGTTTAGGTTTGGTTCACGCCGAATGAGCACACAAGAGCACAGTGGCATGCATGTAGTTGAGGTTGAGGTTGAGGTTGAAATGCCTCTAAGTACAACTAGTTGGCGATCACCCGCGGCTCGGCTGAGGTAGAAGGGTGCAAAGACGGCGTTGTAGTACACTGCAGCGATGGCAAGAGAGGAGAGTGATGAGGGAAGTTGAACGGCACTTGGATGATGGTTTCGGATCCCAACCTGAATCAGAAAAAGTAGGTATCCTCAAAAGATTGAAGTGTCAAACATCAGGCTGAGCTTCAAGCGCTGCACTGCAGTGGCATACTAGAAAAAGTGACGTGTCTCCACAGGCGGTCTTGCTAGCCAGCTTCCCCTTTTCACATGTAGCCTCGCTCTCCTGCTGCGGACTCCCGTCTTCACTGTCTGACACTGGAATACCGAACATCCTATGTAGGATGCAAAATTTAGTTAGAGTACAGAAAAGAATCTTTTTGTCAGTCAGCTGTATTTCAGCTTACCATTCTGGGTCGGAAACGCTCAATCTGGTTGGCAGCATGCTCATTAGGGTAGTCAATTCCAGGCAGGGAAGGCACGATCTAGATGGTTTGACTGCAGTACGAAATAAAGAGAAGACCATCACTGCATGTCTGAGCCCCAGTGACTGGCTGCGCTGCTACCCGAGAAGGTGACCAACTAACTGGCGAAGCTTTGTTCAAGCAAACAAAAAGCCATTCCGGCGCAACCTCCAGTGACGCCGTGTCAACTTTGAAACTGCGATAGATTGCTTGCTTGCATGCATGCCACACTATATAGATTGACTGATGTTTTGTACGCTTCGTACGTGGTGTACTAATTTGTGGGACCTCGCAAACAACCGCAAACATTCTACGATGTACAGGTGGACGCCTGCAGAGGCATTTTGATCACAAACATGGTTAACGCTAGATTTCGTGGCAGAAGCTCCAAATGCACAGGATGTCCCTAGGTAGGTAGGTAGGTAGTAGACGAGGTGATACAATATCTGAGAGCTTCCTAACCGTCCGTCGCTCTGGTTCTGTTGTCCCATACTTCGGTTCAAGCAAAGTCGAAAAGCAAAATGACTCGGCCATCGCCATGACCGCCCCTCCACATAAGCCCGGATACGACATATTGCATACCATTGATGCTTTGCTTCGCTCGAAATCATACAGATTTGCAGCCCAGGTCTGGAAATAATGCTGATAATGTTTCATATGTGCAGTAAGCCACAACTGCCGTTCCCAAAACGCCATTAATAATGGATGCTACCAACATATCGGTAGAGCCTCGTCGCTTCGTAGTCGTACATGGGATCTGATCCCGGGATAGCCCAGTTGTTGTGCTGAACTCGTGTGGCTGCTCCAAGCGGAGCGTCGTCTCGAGGTGATCGCCGCCATCATAAAGGGCCCGAAAGCAAAGAGCATGTCTCAACCATCAAGACCCAGCTTTGGCAAGGCCGATGCTACTGCTCCTTTGCGAGCCCAAACCACCACCTGCAATGGGCGCAAACCCTTTGGCCAGGTCGAATTCACCATCACCGTCACCGTCCTCATCGCCATCTTCATGGTTCTGAGCCATGGTGGTGTTGTTGTTACTCAAGAATTGCGCATTGTTGCCCGAGTTTGGCTGTGTTTGTCTGGCGCTCGGAGGATCCGCAGTGGCAGCGCTAGCATCGGCGCTTCCGCCAAACCTACCGCTCCTATCTTTGTTCAAATCACTATCGCGTTGTCCAGCTCCTGGTGCGCCCTCTTTCCTAGCGCTTGAGCTTGAATGGAGCGGGATTTGGCTGCTTCTAGCAGGTTTGCTAGGACTACCCATGCCGCCATCCATAGGTGGCGGACTGGAACTCATGATATGGCGATCCAACCCATTGGTCCTGGTGTTATCATCCTTGACCGGGGACATATCAGGCGGCGGAGGTCCAGGCGTGACGCCCATCAGGCCTTTCCAGAAAAGACCGGGGCCAGCAGGAGAGGATTCCGGCATGAATTTACTGGGAGCCACCAAAGTGCTCGGTGGCGCTAACCTGGGATTCTGCCGCAATGGCGCCGGCGTGATGATGCTATGCTGTGATGGGTGGAACGGTGTGTCCAAATAGGAGGATGACAAAGTAGGGTTGGCCGGAGAGTGATGAGCAGGTGAGACGGAAGGTGGCAGCGTATACACTGGTAACCCATTGCCCATACGAGGCGTTGGCCGAGGCTGACCAGTTGGCAATGGCGATTCCTCCAGTTCCATGTCAGTAAGCGTGTTCTGTGTGTTGGCTCTATGTCTCTGAGGTGTCACGATCTCTTGCCGCTGTGACAGTGACGGCGCAAGGCTTGGGCCTGGCTGAAAAGGCTGCCCTGGGTTGAACGGCGGCAACCGGCCGGTAGCCTTGCCCGGCGCCTGTGCGCCGGGACGCTCGTTGGGATCTCGGGCGGAAAACTGGCTGACCATCGAAGTGTCGTATCCTAGATTCTGACCATTTGGACCCCTGAAATTGGGATTGACATCTTTGGCAGAGGCGGGAGAAGACGGGGCAGAGCCATTGCCGCGACGAAACAGCTTCTTCCAGTAATCTTGACGGAATTCTGGAGCGATCTGCCACTTCATACCCTTACCAGGCTCATCAGTCCGGCGGGGAACTTTTTGGAAAGCCTTGTTCAGTGATAGGTTATGACGAATCGAGTTCTAGGCGGGTCAGTAATGGAATTTCACAAAGGAACAGAAGTCTTCTTACCTGCCAGCCACTGTTAGAGTGACGGTAGAAGGCATATTTGTCCGCAATGAAAGAATAAATGTTGCTCAGGGTTAGCTTTTCTTCCTCGCTGGAAAAGATGGCCTGGGCAATCATGGTCGCATAGCTGAAGGGAGGTTTCAGGTCTTTGGCGCTGTCTTGAGAATAATCGATTTCCTGGGTGCTTTCCATCATCATTCCCCTGCTATACATAGGCGACATGGGCATCTTGCTATCGAAAACGCCCCTTTGTTGCTTTCCTCCATCAGATTGAGGAGGTGGGGTTGTTTCACGCTTCAGATCAGCAGGGGCCGGTGCCAGCGACGGGAAGTGCTGTACGTTTGTATAGGGCGACTCCTGTTGCTTCGGAGGTTCTGGGGCCATGGTGGAAGGTGCCATCTCCTCACCTGCGGCAAGGGCTTTGGCGCGATCAATAAAATACTGGTCGATTTGAACCTTATCGCCAGGCGTTACGAACATCATCTGTGTGCCAGCAATTTCCAGAATGTCGCCGGACCTAAGCTGTCTTCGCAAACCTTTCTTGACCAATACGTTGTTGACACGTACGCCATTTCTACCGTTGACTCTGAGATGCCAGCCACCTTCGTCGACGGGAAAGTCGGCGTCATAATAGATCGAGGCATGATGCCGCGACACGATCTTGCTGGGTCCTAAATCGATATGGACTGGCAGGACATCTTTCAGATCTGCAACAGGACTCGAGGCGCCATTCACGTTCTGTCGGTCGTCCGGGGGTCTTCCGATATTGACAGACTGCTCTTTGACGAAATACGTCCAATCTCGACCGGCAATCTTTGCATAAGCAGACACCTTCTGGGGGCTGTTGTTACGCGCCTTGTCGTTTGCATATTCTGACCTTGCGACAACCGGCTCTTTGGACACTTGCAAGTAGGATACGACCGAGTCGATGAGATCAGTTTGAGAGATTTCTTCGGTTTCATCGCCCGAATCCTGCGCGACGGAAGGTTGCTGGTCCGGAGAGAGGGATTTCCGCCTGGCTGCGGCGCGGGGCGCGGCGACCTATGGATGTCTCTGTCAGTCTTATTGTGGCTTACACCGAACAGCTCTTCGAGAAAGTGACGAACCTTGCGCTTCTTCGAAGCCGGAACTGTCGGGGAAGAGTCTGGAACGTCGAGCTCGGAAGACTCCAAGATATCGGTCGGCTTGCGACGTGCTTTACGCTTCGACGGCGGCATTGTGGCTGTCTTTACACACGAGGTCGTCGGCGATGAAGTTTACACAGGATGAAGGTTGCGCAACAAAGCGAAAAGGAGGGTCGCGGATGGAAAGGACCAGTGTGTCGCCAAAGTGAAGTGCGTGCGCACACGCCAGGTGGGCTATTTATTGGTGATTTGCGACGTCAATGTTTTGGTTCTGACGCAGGGTTTTCGCGAAGGGAAATTTTAGGAACGAAAGGGCCGGACAAGGATATGAGGGCGCCGAGGCAGCATGGAACAGGAGGATTCAGGATGCCAGCCTGACGAAGGGCATGTAGATGGATAGGATAGTGACAATAAAATGGTTCCAAGTCTGCAAAATCTGAGAGAGGAAGTGTGTGTACGGATATAGCAGTAGTAGAAGCAGTGGCAGCGGTTGGTACTGTAGATGCAATAGTTTATTGATTGCAAGGTTCGAGCGTGAAGCGAAAGATTCAGGGTGGAGTGTCAGAGCCGGTCGGTGCCAGTGGTGGAGGGAGTCGAGTGACTGCGCGAGTGGTGAGTGGTTGAGCAGAGTTTGGGGGGCGAGAGGAGCCGTGAATCGAGTGGCTGGTCAGCAGTGCCAGTGCCTGTCGAGGTCGCCTCCACTGGCAGTTCCGGGCGACGAAAACACAGGCCAGAGGCACCTAAAAAGTCTCCGTCAGTGGCACTGGCACTTCGCGTCAACTTGGGCGCCGCGCCATACGGTAAATATTGGATGTAGAATCCACACGCGTTGACCTGTGCCACACGCTTATTACACGCTTCATTACACGCTTCCGCTTCCGCTTCCATTTCCCCTTCCCGCCACCCGCTGGTTTCAGTTGCAGAGCCAGATTGTGAAGAAAAATAATAATGCAATGTGAATGATGATATCTTGAATATAAAGCACTACTACGCGATTACCAGTATTGCCTCATCTGGCGGGTTAGTCATGTCTACCACCTGGTTCGGCGTGTTGTTTATCATTCACCTTGTCGCCCGATTTGAGAACTACTACTAGTTGGTACTGTAGTATACGGCCATGACCAATATACTGTGCTAGCACTGCCAGTGACTGCACTAAAATACCTAGGTAAATATATGCATATGCGCCCTGCCCTTACAACTGATAATCCCGCGTACCTTGCGACCGCAGATACGTGCTTAATAATAGGTACACAGACATCCAAACGTGAGACGCAAGGAATGACGACGGTTCCTTGTACAGTATGTACCTAGCTACGGGTGATATCAAACTGGCCATCGACTCCTTTCAGCGGTACCTTGGGCAGTGCCTTCAGCAGGCGATCAAGCATCCCTATACAGGTGGTGAGGTGGTCTATGATATATCACCGTCCTCTACTGCTTCACCGTGTCCCCCGGTTTCACCGCAGTCGCCCACTGCACACTGGCAACAGTACAAACTCCTCTCCCATATCTATATCTTCCACGTCGCATATTATTATGGCTATTGTCGATCGTGATCAGGGATCGTGATCAGGGATCGTGATCAGGAAGATCATGATGCATCACTCACACTGCACTTCGCTTACCTTGATCAGCGTAAGGTAAGGTACAGAGTAGCGTACTGGAAGGCTGCGCCCACTGGCAGGTAAACATGATGACGTCTTAGGTCTTCCATCGCGTGCGCGGCTGGGAAGCACGAGTGCCAATGAAAATACAGTAAACTGTTTTGGGAAATGGCTTGACAATTCCTCGCATCGAGCGATCCGAGGTTCCGATTCGCATGGTTTATTGGTGGACGCGCATTGACATGGGTTCTACCAGTAGTAGTTGTACTAGTGCCTTGCTAAGGACCAGGCTAGTTGTACTATTACTCGAAGCTTTTGGGCAGGTACTTGCATACAGTGTCGTCGTCGAGTTCGAGCCTCACAGTTCCTTAACAGAGAAATATGCATTTCGCCAATAAAGCTATGAAGCCAAAATACTCAGGTCTAGGAACTGCATCAACACGAATCTGCGGCGCTGTCCCTGGATCCAATGCAATCCGCCAACTCCATGTGCTAAAAAGCATTGCGGCCGATAAACCCAACAGTGTAAGGTAACCATACTTCCACCCTTCGCCATGCATGTCATTAGATCATATCCCGAGCCTACCGCGTATCAAAAGGTATCATGCTCCTCCCCGACACCGATATGCGAAAATGCGAACCGAAGCAGCCTGATGTGATTAAGCCTCGACCAGCTCAACACCCTCAATCCCATATCCAAAGTCGATGATGACCACTCGTCCGTCTTGGCTGGTGCAAACAATCTTGCGGTAATTGCTCTTCGCTGCCAATATCCAACTCGACGTCCAGCCTTCAAAATTGATCTTGAGCCCTCCGTCTTCGGCCGCTTCCCCCTTTTCCGCATCCCACACCTTGATGGAATGGTCGTAGCTGCCGCTGATGATACGGGAGTTAGCCGAATCGAGGTGAAGTGATCTGACCAGATCTCCGTGACCTCGCAGCTCGCGGATACGGTTGCCCGTCACGGTATCATATTCGTAGATGACCTTGTCGTTTCCACCTGCGAAAATGGTCCGCCCGTTCTCGGAAAATTCGACGCAGGCAAGGCCGCGATCTTTGGACTGAAATTCTTTGATGCACACCCCGTCCTCGAGACGCCATAGCTTCGCCATGCCATCGCCACTAGCGCTGGCCAACAGGTTTCCCCGGACTTGGACGGCGTTGACGGGGCCCCGATGCCCGACCAGTGTTTTGATTAACTGGCCCGTAAATCTGTCCCAAACCTTGATTGTCGTGTCCTTGGAGCAGGTGATGATCCGCGTTTTATCCAGACAGACATCAAGGACTCCGGCATGGTGCCCGGATAGACGGAATAAAGGTCGGAAATCCTCCTTCATAGACCACACCAGGCAAGTAAAGTCCGAGGAACCCGTGACCAGGATCTCCGAGTCGTACTGTAGACACAACACTGACGCTTGATGCCACATTCCAATTGGTGTTGATGCCGGGTCGGGAGATGACATTTCAGCCTTGCAAAAAGGCAGAACCCCTTGCGGGTCAACTGGAGGGGGGACAAGTGTATGCCTCTCACGGGGATTATTGGGCGGCCCAAGCTTGCGAATGCATTGGTAGGTATGAGCATCCCAAACCCGGATCGTGTTATCTCTTGAACCAGTAATGATCTTTTGCTCGTCGAACTGAGCGCAGTAGACGCTATCCTTATGCCCATTGAGATAAATCGCGGCGGCCTCTCCATTGCGCCATCGCTTGTCGATCAGTGTGCGTACTTTGAACAATTTTCGGTAGTCTTGACCGGGCATTTTCTTGCCTAGACCAGCATCAACCGGCAGGTGGGTCGTCGGAGTCTGCACTTTGAGGCCGTACTCTCGGTAGAAGATCTTTCTCCAGATAGCCTGTGACCGGCACGCTTCATGCCATCTTTTTGATACCCTCACCGCTTGAACTAAGGACTCGACATCAAGGAAAGACATGATATTCTCAACCAGCTCTGTGGGAAGTACCGATGCAGGATCCCTGCAGACCAGATGAGCGGTAGCCGGAGATGACCCACGACGAGCATGTGCATCAAGGACAATACCAATGCCACTCTCGGCGTCATCCTCTGGCTTCCCCTCCCTCACGGGGTCATGCAGCGCGTAAGGTGGGAGAGGTGGAGTCCTGGAAGCATGGTACAGCTCATTCTGAGCAGCAGCAGAAGCCCTTGCACCTGATCCGCCGTATACAAGATCAGACAAAAGCGGCTGCACTCTGCTACGCGGCGCAACGACTTTTTGCGACTCTGCTTGGGACTCCAAAGCGCCCTGGAAGTCGAGTAGCGGTAAAGACGGTCTTCTCTTAGGGCCCGAATCGAAAACACGCCTCCCACGAGACCTTGGCAGGGTAGACATCGCCTCAGTCAGATCCATCATGTCATCGCCCGGCTTGAAACGTAACGACTGCGGTTCCCCAGCCTCTGTCCATTCCTCTTTTTGTCGATGGGTTCTACCTTTGACAGATAGTGACATTCGCCGAGTCAGAGAACGCAGTTCAGACATGCTGTTCTTCAAGGTTTGTGTAAACGCAGAGTAGCGTCGCTGATGAAAAGGGTCTCGGGTCTGGGATTCATGATCATAATCGCAAAACGGGTCGGCATGGACATTGTCCTTGCTCGCTTCCATCCCTTCTTTACCGCGGCCAAAGTTGCTCCAATCCAAACCATCTCGGACGTGGAAAGCCATCAAGGACTTTCTTGAGACTGGTCTATCGCGAGGTCCATCGTTTTCCAGTCCATTGGCGTTGGCGGTTTTCGGCCGACTTTGTATGAGGAGCGACGTTCTGCGACGAGGGGCGATGGACGAAGACGGAGGCTGCGTGTGCGACATGGGGCGAGGTGTAAGTAGAAGTATCGAGTCCAGCACGATTCCACGGCTTTTAGAAGTCACGCCTCGTCAACAAGCTGCTGTGGCTGTCCTGCACAGGTATCCCACAGTGCTGCCGGAGGAGGAACGAGTGGTAAATGTAGACGCAGAAGGAAGAGGGAAGCCTGCCCAGCAGATGACGCTCCGGCGACAAGCACTGCAGTGGTGAGGCAGAAACTTTGTGTACGGCAAAATTTTTGGAATTGTTGTGAACGACTCGGAGAACCAGTGCCCTGCAAGTGTGCAAGGGAAGAATCGGAGTCGGTGTTGAAAAATGGGATCAATAGTCTGCGGCCAGGTACTAATGGCGGGTGGCGCACGGGCGTTGCAAGTACTGTACTTTCGCAGGGATTGTCGCCGGCAACAGCTCGAACACCTTGTTTACGGAGCCCGTCAGTAATTAGGTAGTGGGTAAACGACCGCTTCCTTATGATAATACTGTACAACATTGTAAATTGGCAAGGCCTCGGGTAGCCTTTCGAGCCCAAACAACAATGGGTGTCCCCTTTATTTTAATGAGTGCGCCCATCACCCCGGCCGCCTGCACTTCGCCAGCAGAGAATGCGCCAATTATAATGGTCCCGCCTAAGCTGGGGGTAATAAGATGGGTGCCCGTTGCCCCCCGAGATGCCAAACAAGACCCGCAGCTCTCGCCTGGAGCCTCGAGTCGGCGTTTCATGACCCGACCAGAAGTATGACGTTCTATTCACCTCAGGCTTTTTAACCTGGGCCGCCATGTAGTATGTAGTACTAGTACCTACTTGCGGTAAGTTGTACAGTTCATTATCATACTGTACAACACTGCAGTGGATTAGAACCAGCGTAAGCTTCGCTGCTCCTCGACAAGTAAATCCGATCCACCATCTGTACCTGTGGGCTTTTACTCGCAGTATAGTGGTGAAGCGCAAGACAGCTGCACCCTTCAGGTTTGAAGCCAGCCGTGAAGAGGATCTGCAGCCAACCCGTCACAACTTGATGCTGGTTGGCAGATCTGCAGAAACCCGTCAAAACCCGATCTTGCCGCTTTGCTGCTAGTGCAAATCATTACCTGGCTACTTGTACTAGTACAACCACCACCACCAGATGAGCTGCTTGTTTGAAGTGTTCCTCTATTTATCATGTGTAGTGGCTCTGAAGTCAGTGATGGTGCCTTCAGCCTGGAACTTCCTTGTCGCAATGGTTTAAACACCTTTCATATGTGATCCAACCCAACAAGGACGACTTGTTGGGTTACAGCTGCAGTGTGGGCAGTGTCTCCCACCACAGCCCTGTTGGCTGGTAGAAAGCCTGAGGTCCTGACGCACCAGAAGATGACCTTTCAGGTCGGGACGAGCCTTCCTAACTTTACATGCGAGTCCTTGGTTGAACCGCACTGTTCTGGAAAGTATCTGCGCAAACTGACCTTTTTGGCTCTCTGGCATGACTCAGAAATGCCCATACCAGTTTGCCTACCAAGGTATTCTTTTATAAAGCACGGTTCATTTTGATCCTTTTCACACGTTCTTCTCTTCCAAGACAGCCCGCAGCCTCCAATTATGGCCCAATTCAAGGGAATCCCAGAGCTGACTACATCGACTACGCCTCCCGAGGGGCCTGCACAATCAGGGGTTGGGGCCGATCTGCTCGACCAAGAAACAGCCAAAGCCATCTTGCAACACACATTGTCATTATGCACGGTGGACTCTGCGTTTGACAGCTCCGCAAGATCGATGAATCCTGCCAGATTCGGAGCCATTGATGATGACGCTCCGCTGAGAGACATTGGACGAGGTAGCTGTGGTAGTGTTTTCGAAATCCCAGGGACCGGATACGCCATCAAGAAAGGTGCAAACACGGTTGCCATGTGGAACGACTTCAATTTGACGAATTGTGCCGCCAACAGTTATCTCATGTCTCTTGGATTGCTCGAACACGCCTTCCCCGAGCGTCGTTTACCGCTTGTGCCAATGGCGCGCTATTTCAACGGACCCAAAGCTGATGCATTTTGGCGATCACACATGACACGGTTTCCGCGGCCGGATCGGAAGAGAGCAGCAACTTTTCACCTCGACCATATCTTGCCGGTACCTACACGTACCCGTGAAGCGCTCGTTCGACGCTTTTTCGTCGACGACGAACAGACTCAGCGCTACGTGCTGAACTACCCGGACAATCGAGACTGCCTCGTACGCGTCTACTTTGGCAAGAACAATCCAAGCAACCATCTATACGACCGAACAGACACACTACGCAATTTTCCTCTCTACCTAGATCAAGCTAAGGAGATTGGAATCGACATTGATGCGTTGGCAGAAGAGATGGCCATGGGCCTTGCAGTACTACACTGGAAGGCAGGAATTGATGCTCAAGATACTGAATTTGTGATTGGCAGCTCGACAACCAAGGCTTTTGGAACGGTATTTTCAGATCACACTTCTCAGGAACCACCAGTGTCAACCATGGATGATCTCACGCAAAGGGAAGTACAATTATGGATGCTGGATTATGACAAAGCTTCCAAGTTCGACATCGAAAAAATGCAACCATTCACGCTGCTCGAAAGATACCTGGTCGCAGTGACCGGAAACGATCCATACTTCCCGCATCCTGTGCTAGACGTTGCTCTGTGGAGGGTGTTTCGAAATGCGTACGTGGAAGCGAGCCAGATAATCCTTCACGCCCAGGATTGTTATAAGAGCATAGTGCTTGCACTGCCTGCAATGTTGTTAGACGAATGGGAGGAATGGGGTGCGTTGGATGTGGATGCTGATGAATTTGACCCTTTTGAAAGGGGTGATGATGCGGACGATGCAGATGAAGAGGAGGAGGATGAGGACGAAGGAGAAGATGATGATGCTGAGAGTGATGACGAACACCGCCTATGAAGACGATGGGCAAGGGCATAGGCATGAGCATGGATCCGCTGCGTAGATGACATTATTACGTAGCTGCAGATTCGACATTCTTGTTTGAAATACCGATATCCCAATATTCCTAGCTATATGCAATAAGACTAATTCGGCTTTGATGTCCCAGCATCCGATGTTAAGCAGCACTCGCCAAAGCCACAACAGCCAACCTCTTCCCGCCCGTCTTTTCCATCGGCACATCCCAGACCCCAGCGGGCGGACCTCCCACGCTATCCTGGTGTCCATGACACCGACACCGTCTGACGGACTCATAGAGGCTCGTCAGCTCAAGGTCCTTGTCACCCTGTACGATTTCTTTGATATCGACATCCGCAGGCAGTTGGGGCGGGGTTATTGGTTCGTTCTCGGTTTCGTCGTTTTCTTCGTATGCATCTCCTTCCTTCTCAGCCTCTAGATCCAGCTCCTCGGGACGAATAGAAGGGTCTCCTTCTGGGTCTTTCTTTCCTCCTTGCGGTCCGGCTTGTAATTTCGACTGCTTATTGCCACCAATGTAAAGGTCGTCGTCGTCGTCATCATCGTCTTCCTCCTCTTCCTCCTCTCCTCCTGGCCCTGCTCTTGTTTTCTGTTCTTTGCCACGAACGGAAAGAGGCGACGACGACGAAGCAGAAGAAGCAGAAGATGATGACAAAGACTCCAACGACGTCGACTCTGGAGGCGGCGACCTCCCCCTCGGTGGCTGCGTTGACGCCGAGTCAAAGCGGCGGAGCGCCAGTCCAGAGTCATCTTCATCATTTTCCTCATCGTCTGCTGCAAGAACACCCACGTCGCGATCCACGTCGGCGTCTGCTTCCGCATCCACATCCGTGTTGTTGGTCACCGCGCTCAATCTCGAATCGGCATCTTCATCCGCAGTGGTCGAATCGAGCGTGAGTTCGTCGTCTGCCAATTCCAAAGCCTCGTCTTCGGCGTCCCAGTTCACCGATGAGTCGCGCTGGTTCTGGTTCTCTCGGTGGCTGCGTCTGGGCGATAATACCTCAGCAGCATCAGCAGTAGCACCAACATCGGAGTCGTCGCCCGCTCCAATTCCAGAGGTAGCTTCTTCTTGGAGCGAGACACCCTCGAACTCGTGGATGATGCTCTCTGGGTCGTCGTAGTCGTCTGACGAGGTGGTACTGGGAGTTGATTCGGAAGCGTCGTTTTTGTCATTGTTGAAAACTTCGTGTTCGATGGCTGCGGCGGAGGAGGATATTGCTTCTGATCCTGCTGCTGGATGAGAAGGGGGAGGTGACCGGTTTCGTCGAAACGGATTTGGACTTGAGCTGGGTTTGTTGGTACGGCCACGGTCACTAGTGGGTTTATTGTTGTTTGATCCAACTCCCGCAGTACTAGTACTTGATGGCCTAGCATTGTTGTCGCGGAAACTTATTCTACGACTGCTGCTGTGGCTCTGGCTGTGGGTGGACGTGGTGGCATTTCGCGATGTCCTCTCTTTTGTGCTGGAAGCGGAATAATCGTATGGTGGTGGTGCCGCGTCGAGATCAGATCCAACATCAGCCCTGTCCTTATACCTCTCTGCCTCATCGGCTTTGGTGGCGGAGCAGTCATAGTGATTACTGACGTTCCTGCCCGGAGGTGAAGACGAAGATGGTGATTTGTTTCCTTCCCGAAATGCCGATTTGGCACTCTGATTCTCGATCTCGACGATGCGCAGCATCAGATTGTCAAGGGTGAAAGCATGGCCTAGAACGAACCGGAGATTCCGGTCGGGTCTGTTGGCCGCCAGTTTGAGTTTGCATTGAGCAGTGTGCGCGAGCGTGTAGGTCGTGCTGGGCGTGATTGGTCGCCGCTGCAGCTTCGATTGAGGCATGTTTCTTTCTGGTCGGGGGACAATATATGTGTCGAGAAATATTGAAGACAAAAGTCAAAAAAATGGGGCACTGATGATGTCTCAGGTGGATAGAGTAAACGACAAGGAAAAGTCGAGTACTGTAGGTACAATACAGGCCGTGGCGGAAACGGGCTGTACGTTCAGACTTGCTTTGTTGTGGTAGTCGAGTCTAGTAGAGTCGAAGATACTGTAAGGAATGAGATCCGGTGGGTTTGTACGAGGACTTTGGGTTCCCTTTCCTTCACTTCCGTGCGCTTTCGACTGTTGGCCCCTGAGCGACGAGCGGGACAGGAGCCGGATCTTGTCTGCTGCAGATACCTTGTGATGTAGGCACGGCGTATTGTTCGTCCTGTGGGTTATGGCCACGGAAGAGATGTGATGTGCTATGATGTGTGCTCTTTTTGCTCTTGGTGCTCAGTGATCAGTAAGTCCAGTACGGTACAGGTAAGCCTGGTCGAGACACAGGTAGGTAGTTATGTACTGTAGGTAGATAAGTACCCGCCCCACTTGCAGGTGTCTGTACGTCTCGGGCTTTGGGGGGCGGCGATGGGATTAGATCGACAAGAGCAGACGGAGACAAATAAGAGGAAGAGATTGAACTGACAGACTCACTGATGGGACTGGCCTTTCAGTTCATGGCCAACATCAGACTACATGAACTTGAAATGAAGGGAGGGGTCCAAGCCAAGAACAATGCAGTGGTTGCGATTCCGAGAGATACGAGTAGGGAGCTGACAAACCAGAGCTCGAGGCTGCCGCACTCTGAAGTGGCGGTATCAGATGTGTAAGCACGGCATCTGACCAATTACATGTTGATCCGGAGCCAGCCTTGGAGAGCGGACTCCATGTTGGCCGACTACCTTCGTACCTAGTACCTCTACCACTCTTCGCAGTTACAGAGCACTGCAAGCCGACAAGGCCAAACTATGATCCCAAGGTAAGGATATATGTATAAATCATATGGCAGGCAACACGGAGTCGAGAAGCTTTTTGCACATTTTGCTCTATGGTTTTGGTTTCCTGTACGCTTCATGCAGTTCGTCGCCGCATGTCGCAAGCCGGAGCTCGAGGCGGGCAGAGAGACCCTTTGAGACCAGGGGCCACTGCAGAGGTCTCAACCATATCGTCCATCTCTGATAACAACAAAAAAAGTAGCCACCTCCAGGAAGTCAAAGTTCCTTGAACGCCGCGAGAAACCCCTTTGTTGGGAGACCTCCAATGCATGCCGCTGTATTTGGCACTTCCCCTTCACTTCCCCTTTTGTTTATATTGTACATTTGGTAACTGGCAGAACGCCTGCTACCTGCAATAACATACTGCCAGCCAGCAATCCAGAAATTCCATGTTCGGTAGCTGTTATGTCCGCTGGCCATGCTTTGATTGTGTGTCGGAGCTATAATCAAGAACGTAGGTGGCGTTGATCTCATGCCCTCCTTTAGCTTGTTGAAATCGCTTTCCCATGCTGTAATGTCTCCTCACAAATTTGAACGGTTACGCAATTGCTGATTATGCGTTTGCCGACTTCCTTGAACCTCTAGCTTTAGGGTTGAGAGGCTTCTTCTGCTGCTGCTTGGAGCGGCTGCTGCTCCCGGCGTCGTTGCCTTCGATATACCTCAACAACTCGTCAATGCTTCGGGAATCCATTGACACATGGCCGGTGCCAGTCCGGACATTTGGTTCGACTGCCGAAGGTTTGGTGCTGGAATTGGGAGCTGCTGTGCTCGCGCTCTGAGGTTGAAGCCTTGTGCCGGCACCCATCCGAGGAAGATGTCGAATGCCAAACCGTCGGCTCTGTAGTAACTTCGCTTGTTTCGCCAACGAAACCGCGTTTTGAGTCAACTGTTCCAGCCAGCTCTCGGCTTCCTTGGTGTTGCGGTCATTCGGGCCCAGTTCCGCCAAGAAGATATTGTAAGCGTCGCGCATTTTGTTGACTGCGCCCTTGGAGTCACCATCCAATGCCAAAGCCTGCGCCAGTTGGAACAAGATAGTGGCGGCATTGACAGATTGTCGTCCAAAAAGACCTTCGCACACTGTGTAGCAGGCTTCAAACCACCGACGAGACTCTGAGTACTCCTTCAATGACTGGAGCATGACCGCGGCATTGTTCATGGTCGTAATTGAGTCGGGATGATTGGGGCCGAAGATAATCTTCCAGACATCCAGGGCATGTCGGACGTACTTCAACGCCTGCCGGGTGTTACCGACGTGGTGCTCAAAGAGCGACAGGTTGAGGTACGCGAGGATAGATTCATGCGAGTCAACTCCGAGAGTGCGTTCAGTCACGATGACAGCCTTGCGGGCCAGCTCGACGGCAGCCTCCTTCTCATCCGTCTGGTAATAAATGGTCGACAAGGAATGATACATCTTTGCCACTTCCGGATGGAGAATTCCGTAGATCTGCTCGTGCAGCGACAGAGATTCCAGCACCAACTCCTGGCCCAGCTGCTTCTGACCTTGAGCCAGCGAAATCTTGCCGGCTTCCAGTGCTTCCTCGGCCAAAGCACTCCTTGGAGCGGCATCCTTCACGAGAGGAGCGATGTTGAGGATGTCATCCGCAGTGAAGGTGGTAGAAGGTTTCGCAACAGCAGAACTGGCTTGAACTTGTTCACCGCCCTTCTTTTTCTTCTTCTTGCTACCCTCCTCTGGCTGCGCACCGTTAGTGGAATGGGTGTCACTGCTGCTTCTAGCAGGGGATGAGTCGAGACTCAAGTGAACTCCTTTGCTGAAAGTGTATTCCCGAGCCGCCAACTGGAGACCAAGCTTCAAGCAGATCTCACGGAGAAATGGCAGTGGGCGGATTGATGCCAGCCAGTTGGGCTTCAGTTCGTGGCGATATCTGATCTTGACCTGTTTCTCGACCTCTTCTTGCAGTTTGGTTGGGTTGACCTTTTCAAACGAGAAATCTCCTTCGGGATACAGAGCCCTCAGTTCTTCGTCAATCTCGGCCCGCGGGTTGAAGTTCTGCTCGACTCCAAGCAAGCAGTTAAGAAGATGGGAGATACAAGCACCGGCAAAGACCGCTGGCAAATGGCGCAAATAGCCATTGAGAATGTGCTTGAAAGCCCTAGCAACCATTTCCTGCTGTACAACAGTGGAGAATGCCTCAAGACGATGACCTTTCTCCTCGGCAGCTTTGGCGAGTCTCCCCAGGTATCTGATGTTGATACCTCGCTTGTGCATAAGCTGGCAGAGGGACGGTCCATCCATGGGGAAACCAACATCTCCATCATGGAGGTCCGTGATCAACTCAGGAATCACCTTGCTCCTCAAGAATTCGCAGACTGCTCGGACTTCCTTTTCATCCTCGGCATATTCTTGTTTTTCATCATCTGTCTGAGGCACCTGTCCACTGCAGACATCTGGATTCAGGGCAAAATTGAAGTTCGAAATATCCACACGTTCCTGTTCAGAAGCGGGTGAATCTTTCTTAGACTCTTCCGAATTTTCTGTAGTAGCCTGTTCGTCCTTCTTTTCACCTTCGGCGTTGTCGCCGTTGGACTGGGCTGCTTCCACTTGACCTTGTGTCTCGGCATGACCGTTAGTCTGCTTGGAGCGACGCTTCTCCACTTCCGCGCGGACATATTCTTGCATCTTCAGGCGCCAATAAGCCTCGACTAACTCCAATCGCAACACAGACATCCGGTGGGGATATTTGTCGCCAATGGCATCGGCTTCGACTTCTTCTGACCAGGCTACATCGAGAGGAGTGATGCGATAAAGATCGAGAACGTATTTCCGGCCGTCGGTGCCCAACAGTCCCTTCGTCTCGACACTGCCTTCGAGATCGTGTCGCTTGCCTTCCTTATCCCACACGGCATGCTTCTTAACATGTAGGGATTTCGATAACTTCTCGAAAACGGGCACGAACGCTTCATTCTCCGTCACGATATCCCTGCCCTCGACACCACCATAGTCAATTTGGTGCTCGCCAGGTTCTCGCTGCTTGAAGATGCCCGGCACAATGCTTTGACCGACGATTCGCTTGCCGAGGTAGTCGACCACGACCGTGCCAGGAGTGAAGAGGCCATTGATGTCCAACTGATTCACAGCCTTAACCCCGGCAACATCCTTACCTACCGCAACTCGGGCAGCCTCATCACCTCCCTCACTGGCAAAGGTTTGAACGCCATCGGCACCGAAGGAGTAGAATATGTTGTTGTAGATGAAGATCTGAGCATCCCGGCCTTCGGTAGGATTTAAAGGAGCAACCTCTCCTCTGGCAACAAGGACCGCACCTCTGGCGGCAGCATCATTGTAATCGGCAAATAGCTTCGACGTCAAGCGTTCGCGGAAGACGCGATCTTGCAGAGTCTCTCGAGGAAGCTCCCGGGTGGTCTGGAACTCCTCGTTCCAATCCCGAAGGTTTTCCGCGCCATCGGCTCCACCAATCAGATACGCTTCCTGTGATCTCGTGGGGTCCGCCTGATGTTGAGTTCCTTGGGCGTGCGAAGACGGCACCAACCACGGGTTTGCGGGAATCGCATTCTGGAAGGGAAACGTGGTGAGCAGATCCTTCCGACCGTTCATCTTCTGAAGTTCGACAAAGGTCTCGTTGAACGACGGTGACACCAAAGATATCAGAGTTAGCAAAGAGTGTGCACGGTAGTTCTTTGGCGCCGGCCTCGGAAATGGATCGAATTTGTTGCTAGAGGATTTATTGACGTAGAAGCCAGACACAGTGGCGGTAATCTGGTGCTGCTCGCCTTCGTTGGTGGTAAGCTGCAAGTAGAGCAAGTGGCCTCGCTGACGCAAGTGATATGGAGGAGGGTTCCACTGCGACACTGAGAGAGACTTGATCGTCTTGGGCAATGAGTCCTGATGCGACGGCAAAATAGCCTCCATAGACGGGCGACCATCAACATCGTATCCAGCCAAAGGGTTGCCATCTGACTTGTCTGCCGGAGCTTGAGCTGAGCCAAACTTGTCGTCGTGCAGTGACAAGCCAGCATTAATACCGTGGAGCAAATCGGACCGGTCGCCAGCGGCCCCGATAAGCTCCCTTATGCGAACAACATGTAATCTTGCCTCTTTCTCGGTGTAGGGATCTTCAACAAGCACCAACTCATCATCCGGCTTCAGGTCCTTGACTTCGGAAAGCTCCACGAAGTCATTGACCCGCTGGCCGTTGTGCTCGAGATGGAAGCAGGTATATTGAAAGGTATCGGGGGTCTCGACGATGGACTGGCGCACATCCTGAACTTGTTCTTGGTATGTGACCATGATCGACTGCTTGTATGGCTTATGTGGCAGCTTCACGGTCACCTGGAACAGCCCTCCGGCGTTGGCGTCGTCGCCATGGGTATGTTCGTGGTCGTGCGAGTGCGCATTTTTGGACGAGTGGCCGTTTTCACCGTTCACCGGAACTGAAGATGACGCCTTATCCGCTGAAGTATCTGATACATCTGTCCACCAGCGTTAGATAATGCGCGGCACGGTGCATGTTCAAAGGGCGAACCTTGAGCTTTGTGGACGTCACCATTGGAGTCCGCCATTAGGAAACCTTGCAGTGGGTGAATACAATGCTGGACAAAGCGGCGATTAAGAGGCAAAATGCAGCGTCAAGTGAGAGGCGAAAGGAGCGACGAAGCAATACTATACAGAAACCGACGAGGACGATGGATTAATGTACAGTGTCGAAGAAGAGAGCAACGGGAAATTTTGAGGATGGTATGGATATTGGAAGAGAGGACGGATGGACTCATAAACAGCAATAGTGCAGCGCAGTGTGGATGGATTATTTTTCTGGAGTTGGAGCATCAGGCCGAGTTTAGTTAGCAGTTGGAGCACGTTTAGAGCCTTGCTAAGCCCGATCGCGCACTGGTGATTGGCCAGCCGGAAGGCAGGAAGCGTGAGCGGGAACTAGAGCGAGCAGCAAGAAAATTTCACGGCGCGGCTTCTATAGCTGCGGTTATTGCTGCGGACTGGCGAAGAGTGCCCCGAGAGCCGTCCGGGTTTCACGGCCAGGGGGCACTTTACGCAGCCCCAGGTCCCTAAGGAGCTTGGAGCCTCTGCGCTATAGGTCGCTCGTCCTCAAAATCCATTCCCGCCATAGCCGGAGAGAGCCCCGGAAATTCCTCGCACAGCACACGACACGCCCGTCATCAACCACCGGCAAGTCTTTCCATTCCACGCCGAGCAACACGCCGCAACATCCAGAAATGCCATACTGCAGCAGAAGGCCATGATCTATAGCTTCTTATATCTCAAGCATATAACGAGATCGAGGAGGGTCAACACCCACTGCAGCTCTGGGGATCAGCAGCGCCGGCAACTCAGCACCTGGCACTAGCTGCCAGGTGCAACGGGCACTTTGGGACCTACTGTACCTAGCAATCTAGGCAGTAATAATATGGAACATTTAATTTATCTCTGGGCAGGGCGTCGCCAGCGCGTGGCTCTTTCGATCGAGCTCACTCGCAACAACGCGCCGGCAGCTCTGTTATGTCCTTTTCCAGCATGTATCAGCACACATATTGTCGCTTTCGCTAGCTCCATACTAGGTTTATGTCTTGAGCTTGTCGCTGCTTTTGAGGCATTCAGCCATTGTTTGTATATTATTCCATTGTTTGGTTGAACTCTCAGCCAGTTATATTTCGTGGACGGTCGGTACAGGGGGGGGATAAGCAGCTACGGCGTCGCCCTTTCCCGATCCCAATTCCGTGACATCTGCTATTACTAGTACCACTCCGTTCGTCTTCGAAAGCTTTCTAGAGCATGCGCATGCGCGCAATTATGAGAGCCATGAAGGGATGGATGATAGCTAGGGCCCGAGTTGGTCCGGCGCTGCTGAGAGGTCGGGTCAAAACAGCTGGTCGGCCTACGCGTTATGGTTCATCACAAGTAGGCTCAACGAACACAATGCCTGGCCCCGACCAAGACGAAGATGACTCGTCGAACAACTCGAAATCCGGCGGGGACTCCAGGTCGACCTTCTTCAAGGTTTTTGAAACGGCCGCGACAACGTTCGCTTCGATAGCCGTTCTCGGTCTGGCAGGCTACTCGTACCATCTCTACTACAAAGCGTTGGTCCTGCGCAAAATTGAAAAGGCCTTCGCCCCTGGAGATCCTATGCTGGATCTGGCGTCGCCTCCCGGACCGCACGTTCATGCCACCGACGAGGCCGCCGACGACCCTGATAATTGGATAGCACGCCCGGAGCAGGCCAAGATTGACGGCATTATCAAGGGGGAGTCCAAAGGTAGATATTATCTTCTCGTGGGCGAGAAGGGGACAGGCAAATCATCCATGATTCTTGAGGCCATGCGAAAGATCGACGGCGAAGGAGTCTCCATGTTCGAAGCCCATGCTGACCTGGAAATTTTCCGGATTCGACTGGGTAAGGCCTTGAATTATGAGTTCCATGAAGACTACATTGGCTCGCTGTTCTCCATCCGTGGACCGCGGGACACAACGGCTCTACTTGACATCGAGCGGGCATTCAACAAGCTGGAAAAGGTTGCTTTGGCTCATCGCGACAAGAACCAAAAACAGACCGCTCGGAAAGGGCCCCTTGTTCTCATCATAAATTGCGCTCACCTGATTCGCGATGACGAGGACGGCAATGACTTGATCGAGTTGATGCAACAGCGTGCCGAACAATGGGCTGCAGCCAACTTGATCACGATGATATTCAATTCCGACGACTACTGGGTCTATGAACGCTTAAAACGCTATGCAACGAGGATGGAGGTCATTCCCGTATTGGACCTGAACAAGGAGCGCGCCATTGCGGCTTTGGACCGATATAGAGCGAAATACTTCCCTGAACAGAAACGAGATCCGGAAATCTTGAAACAAGTCTATGATATGGTTGGCGGAAGGTTGAATTTCCTGAGCCGGGTGGCTAAGAGCTCCGACATGCTCAGGATGTGCCATCAGATCAAGGAATCTGAAAAGACCTGGTTCTTGAACAGATGTGGTATCCTCGGGGAAGAAATGGACGATGATGTGATGGATCAACAGAAATATGCAAGTGCGGCCATGGTGCTCGCCAAAGCACTGGTTGACATGGATAAAGACATGGAAACCAGCTATGACGAGGAGAAGGGCCACATTCTTCCCCAAATCCCTCTTTACAGGGCTCGCCAAATCATGACCAGAGCTGATTTCATCCAAAGCTACGATCATGACAATATATTCACCATTGACAGCAATGCCATGGTTCGCGCTGACAGTATACCTATGATGCACGCCTTCAAGGAGATTTGCGCCGAAGAAGGTTTTGATGACTACCTGGAGGCCACTTTGGATCGCATTTCGGCGATCGAGAGTATCAACAGAACGAAAGAGCTGACATTCAAGGACTTGTGGTTCGAACAGAAAGGAGAACAAAGAGGGAAGTACTCGTTTACTATGAGAGATCCCAAAGGACGAGAAACTGGCACCGTCGAAATGAGAGTACAACCAGACAAATCAGCCGACGACAGCGACGATTGAATCGACCTCTATTGACCTACCGTTTTGCTTTTGCTCACACCAATCACGCTTAACCCCACTCCTCTTGAATCACCTGTCAGCTTCGTTAATCGACGCTTCGTTGTTCGACAGTTCGTTGTCCCAGACACACCATGCATCGCCGCAGCATTGAGGGAGGGAGGAAATGGTTGATCCGTTCTCCGTTCCCGTAGGTCTCCATCAATCGACGGTACCACTTACCGCAGTCAGGGCAGTTGTTTCTGTTCTGCCCGGGTTTCGAAATCCATCGCTCCAAACCTGGGCCATTCGGATCAATCTCCCAGCTGCGGGGAAGCACACATTCAGATTCCTCGAGTTGCTTGAGGTTCTCACGAGCTTTTCTCTCGAAAAAGCGGTAAAATGCGGCCCTGCAGCTCATACACTGCCAGTCAGTATAGTCCTGATGAAGAGTGTTCTCGTCACGGTTGAACGAACAGTCACATTGTGGAAGGCCGTTTGGATTGTTCCCCTTGATTCTCCGACTGCATGGACGGCAATAATGCATCTCAGTTTCCTGGGTCTTGCGGTGAACATACTCCTGCTGGGCCTTCCAGACGCACTCACCGCAGATGAACTTGTTGCAGCCGCAGAAGACACCTGCCATGGGGTGGTACTTACCGTAACACCGGCGGACCGGGACAGTGCTGGAGTCCCGGAAACAGCCAATCTCCTGGCATTGCACTGGCCTTATGCCTGCGAAATACGGGTCTTTGCTATCGGGTTGGAGGGGTTCATAAGGGTACGGTTTCCATTCTTCAGCCACCGTCCGGCAAGTCATCCTGAGTCGGCCATACTCATAAGCTGTGAGACCGCCGGCCAGCCGGAGAGCATCTCGAAATGGTGCGACACAAGCAAAAATGCTCTGGAAATCAAGTTGCGGCTTGGCGTACAGAGGCATGCGTGGGTGCTTTGAATTAGTGGTGTTGGTAGGATATGTCAGAAGTGTTGGACCAGCCAAGCTATCGCACCGGCGCTTACCTGAGGGTGCATTGTCAAATTCATCTCCAGATTGCCTTCGCTTGTTGATTAGCGCCATGACTGGTTAGTGTTTTGGAAGGAGATGCAGAGGGAATGCTGCCGGTGCCGCTGCCTTCGAGATCATATCAACTCGAGGATGACAAAGAGCCGAATTGACCTGAACAATGGCATTGTATGGGGCCCATCAGCCTGGAGAGAATGCTAGACAAAACCGTCATTGTTCTTGGGGGACTAGAACTGTCTAGTTTTCGCAGATATCCGAGTCGCAGTAAAGCGCTTTATGGATCTGATAAAGATACAATGGTTTCCACACCACCGGACAGCATTGTCGGTGCTTCTCCACTGGAGTCAAAGGCGTCTTTGTGAGCGAAGACATGGCCTAGGGAGCTATGGATGTGCGAAAGGAGCATCTTTGTACTATTCTTCCACGGCAGGAAACTGAAGCTCATCCTGCTCAAAGAGCTTTTACTGAACACAGTCTCTCTGCATCCAGTAGGGGTATAGTTGATGACAATCAAGCTCTGGGTACGCTCAGCGCGCATTGTTTGTTTTGTCTGAAGCTGTCAGGTCCAACAGGGCAAGCCACCAGTGGCCACCAGTGAGCGTAACGTATGCAGACTCCTCATGATGAAGCACGATACGTCTCCCCATCGTGCACAACTTGAACTTGAACTCGATGCTTCCCAAGAAGTCTCAAGTCCTAAGTTCCAGGTGGACGTGTTGTTGTATGAGCCTTAACCCTACTCGTCTGACTGAAAGACCAGGTACTGTTGAACTGCTATAAAGCGCGCGCCCAACATGTCAGACTAAACAATTCCCGAACCGGCATGCTTGCATCACGTGCTGTCGTGACGTAGCGCCTGGATGCACACTCGGGCCAATCACGTCACGATCGCGAACAGGCTCGTGCAGATGTCTCTCTGTCAATTCAATCAATGCTCCAGTTGCTTGCCAGCCACAGCATTTCATTTCCTCTTCATCCTCCCACACGCGACTGTCTTCACAAAACTGTTTTCCGCTCTCTCTCGCCACCCAACTCTTCCTCCGAGACGCCTCCGACGTCGATTCGAGCCTGTTGACACGACGGAGAAGCGCTTAATCGGAACACTGGACGACATTCGCAGAACCCACGCGGCGCTCAACACTCCTCGCCCGACCAGACCGACCATAATCTCAGTCTTCTCTCCAACCTAAGCACTCGCAGCAGCATTGCAAACGGTACAATGCCTCCGCGAAGCAGACATACGAAATCAGCCAGCATTGGCTCCAGTGTCGGCGACACCAGCGGCGCAGATACCACGCTCAATGGCGCAATGCTTCCCCCCGCGACACCTGGCTCATCGACATCCTCCCCCTTGACGGCGCGCAAACCACTTATATCGCAACAGACAACCCTCCCACAGCAACAGCAGCAGGATGCGCAGAAGCCCGTCGTGGAGATCCCCTCGCCATCAGAGCTTCTGCCCAGCAAGAAAACCACCCGCAAGGCCGCAGAAGCAGGCAAATTCACCCTCACACTGGTGCTCAGCGCGCTTTTGGAAGGAGTCTTCCACACTGCGACGGCGTATGTGATACCCGGCGATTTGGCATTGGTGTCACGACGGCCGGACACGGCGGCTGTGGTGGGGTTGTTGGGGTGGAAAATCGTGAAGCTGGCTCTATACTGGGTTCGAAATTTCGATGGTACGGTGTACTCTCTCTTTGATCACGTCTCTCTACTACTTCAGAAACAAGCCAACACCCCCTACCCCTGATTTTCGAGACTTGGACAAAGCAAAGCTAACATCGTTACACTTTTCCAGCATATGATGTGGCCAGCATCGAACTACTGCTATATACCCCGCAAAGCATCCTCTTGGGGCTATTCTACCAGATCAGCCCGCTGACACTGGCGGCGACCACGGCGTCTCACGTCCTCGGCAACGGCATCCCATACTACTTCCTGCGGCCTCTTTCGCCCGGCCACAAGCCGGGATCCGCACCAAAAGGAAGTCTGCGCAACCGGCCGATCCTGACGGATCCGTTCACGGCGATCGCAATCTCTGTGCTGGCGACTTCTGTCTTCGCAGTTCTCTTGCAAGCCTCGTTCGCGACCTTTCTCCCCGAATGGCTGGTCGTCCACTTCGTCGGGCTGGTCACCATGGAGCCTGCGCATCGTGGCCCGTCTGGATTCCCTACTCTGCTCCTCACTCTGTTGCCTGCCGGCGTGGCGTTGATGGAATTTCTGTTCGCCCCGTCAACGGCAGCTGGTAACGTGCCCGTGCCGCCATCCGAGGTCTTCGACCCGGCCACCGCCTCGTTTCTGCAACATGTCTCTTACAACGCTTGGGGCTGGTATACTGCCCGCCAGAAAGCGCTTATCGCCCGCACCACCCTGTTGGCTGTCCTGGTCGTCACCGAGTCTGTCGTCCAGCTTGTCGGCGGCGTTGCGGGCGTCGAAGTTCCTGGTGCAGTCGGGTATGCTGGGGTTTGGGGTCTAGGTGTCGTCATTCTAGGCGCTGTCTTGAACTGGGTCGGCGGGCCGAGCGATTAGAATGGATAACATAACATCACGGCCAAAAGAGGTTCAAGTTGACCTCTTGTGGGCGGAGCTAGAATGGACTGAACTGAGCCGGGCTGAACTGGAGCGTCGCCGTGATGTGACGTATTGTGATGGTGATAGAGAGGGCACACCAAATGTCCAGCTGAGTCCGCCAGTGTGGCCAGACCAGCGGCATGCGATCAGTTTTGCATTTCGGGGGCCGCTGTAGTATTGGTATTACTTTGCTTGTCCCGTCTTATATTTTTGCATTCTGCAGTGCATCGTTTTTGCAGTATGGCCAACAGTAGTAAAGTGCAGTATGTGGTAAAAGGTGATAAAAGAACCACCGAAAAAAGAATCAAATGAATAAACAAACAAACAAACAAACAACAAAGGCCTCTTTTGTTGTTTCAAGAGCAAAGTACCTGTTGTGGTGGCCTGCAGCCCAAGGAGTATTAGTCTGATATACTACTACTATTGGGCAATTAATAGTCCGATTGATTAGAAGATTGTGAGAAATCCTTCGCATTATTAAAGGAAAAGGAATAAAGCAAAGGTCTAGTACTAATATGACAAGACTTCCGAAGCTCGGTTTCGGCAGGTATTATTTTGACGCTCGTCATTTCGATCGAGTTGCCAGTCATCATCTATCTTGAAGGACTGGGTCGGTCCCTACAGCGGCAGACACCACTACCCTTTCTCTTAGGCATTCGGACGCTTGCGGCATGCAAGCGATACCGTTCACTCTCCCGCTGTCATATCATCATACAAGAAGCTCCAACACAGACACCAAACCCCTTCTGGTTCAGGACTCCAGTTGCTTTCATGCCGTACCCTTTCGCTTGCGTCTCTGTTTCACGTGCCTTTCTTCAGACAATGCTGGTCTTCATCCGCGTCTTAACTGAGCAAATTTTTCAGGCTCGGACTAGCACTTGCGCCTGTCGCATCCCTTTTCTCTTCCCTGAGCACTCCAGGTCCACCAGCTGGCGTAGGTGGTCTCTGGTGCGGGCTTTCAGGAATAGCTCGTGTTCCGAACCGTGGTGTTCCTGACATCTCCACGCTAGTTTGTCTCGAATGTGGTGGTGCCGATGGGTCGGATACTGTTTGAGCAATTTGAGCCAAGGATTGCGCCGACGGAGAATGTCTCACCATGCCTGCGCCCGGAGGCGGAGGGTGTGAAGATGTTTGCGGAGCAAGTCCTGAACCGTATTTCCTGGCACCCAAGGCAGGCGGCGCTGCGTAGCCATTGACAGGAGAACCGAGAGTCGATTGGCGAATTGGCTCAGAAGGGAACGGCCTAGACAGTATACTCGACGGTCCCAGACCAAGGTGGGATGATGACAGTGAACCTCTATCAGGCGCATACCGAGGAGGTGATGGTGGGCGAGCGGTTTGCGGGGCGGCGGTCGACGTCGGAGGATGGTGATGATGATGAGAAGGCGGCGGATAAGAAGCTGGGGGAGAACGATGAAGCAACGGGCCCGCTACAGGCGCAGGTGGTGGCGGGGGTGGAGGAACGGTTGAATACGGTGAGGCCTGTGATGATCTAGTGTACGGGGACTGGAACTCGGGCGGCGGTGCTGTTGGAGCAGGTCGATAGATCTGGTGCCCGTAAGGTCCTGGTAGAGTCGGAGGGGAAGGGTGGCGTACAGGCGGTACGCTCGGAGACGTCCACTGGGGAGGAGCAGCTGGACCAGGGTTGGGCCATGGTGGGAGATGTGAAACCGGGGGAACAAGAGGATGAGAGTGCGAGGCTGCCGGCTGTGGAGCGTCAACCGAGGGCAGATTAATCGGAGGGAGTCCTGTCTGCGGTGGTGGAAGTTGCTGGTACGGAAATGCTTCCGGAGCAGCAGGCTCTGGAGGAGGATACGGAAATGGCTCTGCGACTGGCTCCGACGGTACCTTTTCACGAGGTTTAACCTGAGAAGGCGATGAAGGCGGTGTTCGCTTCAGCACGTGGCACTTGTGGCATTGGAACATTACCTTCTTGTCGCCGTCAACGAGCATTCCAAGAGTGTTGTTCTCGGCCGGCTCCGGCTTAACAATGCCATTGGTCATGATTGCATCGCGACGACCATCGACGGCGCCAGGCTGGACGTGCTGTTCGCCGTGCGTCCCATTGGCAGCCGCTAAACATCCTCCGGATCCACGAACAGGCCACCAACGAGGACTGACATCCACAAGGCAAGTGCAGCACTTCCTGCTGGTATCGTCCTTCTCACTTGTTGTCAGCGCCGAGCCTGATGGGACGTGGCTATCCGTTGCAGATGGCGATTCTGCCGCTGGGGAGGACCGGATGCTGGCGGAAAATGTACGCTCCGAGTGGGCAGCGTTGCCGTTGGTGCCGTTGACGGCAGAGTTGCGGCCCTGGTGTTGAACTGCAGGCGCCGGACTGGGTAGGTTCGCAGTAAACTGTGCAGCTCGCCTCACGGTGCCCGTGACCGAATTGTCCACCTGTTTGTAGGTGCGGGCAAACAGCTGCATCGCGTTGAGGCCTGATTCAGTTGGCTCAAGCATGTTGTGGACGTAGGTCGGTGGAAGATGTGTAGGACACCAAATTCCTGCGGTGACCACACCTGCTTCGCCCTGCAGCTTCAACACGCTCACCGAGTCGCGACGGCTGCTCTTGACGGGAGCCACGTCGAAGCCGAAAATGTAATCTGCTTGATGAGCACAGCCAACATGGAAATAGGCGTTGCAGTTGGACTGATGACATTTCACCGTTGGGTATCCGGTTTGTTTGCAGATCTTACAAGGCTGCTCGAATCGTTCCGGAGGGATGAAGCCTACGCCTTCCGCGTCATCCAACAGTTCGGAATTGCCGAATTTGATCTCCTTTGTCCATAGTGCGCAGGTAATGTGAATCCAGTTGTTCCAAGCGGTTCTTTTGAGGGCCTCACGAGGATTAACAGGTCGGCCGGCGGCTTCCTGCTCCATACGCCACCGGCGACTGGCTTCTTGGATTATTTCTTTTTCAATCCGCTCTTTTTCGCGATCTCTGTCCGTCTTTCTCTTGTGAGATGTTTTTAACGGCTCCATCAGTTCCTGGGCCGTGAACTTAACGGGACACAGCACGCATTCGTACGTGGTCGAGACTTGGAGGTTGTGATCATTACGACACATATCACAAAACCACGGCTTGGTATTTGTCTTGGGTCCCACCCCGTAGCAGGATCCGTGAACATGGAGACGGCAGTCGCGACATTTAAGCAGTTCCTGTCCAGGCACATCAATAACGCGACAGACAGCACATGGATGGATTTTGACTTTTGGCGGATCTGGCTCAATTGGTGGCGGTTCTTGTGGCTTCTCAGGCGCCTTCTTCTTCTCAGGGACAACGTCTGGAGTTCCAGTTTTGTGAGCTGCTTCACGGTCGACTTTACCCTTCTTCTTCGGTGGCTCATCCGGCTGGATGATGTTTTGCGGCACATCCATTCCGGCCTTGTTAACCTCGTCCACCGCCCGTGGAGGAATGGGATCCCCTGACATCTGGTGTGCTTCCAAAATCAGTCGCAAGAGCTCTTCGTCAACCTTTCGCTTCGCTGCACGGCTTCCTGAAGATGCAATCTTTCTGGAGACCTCTTCAATGTCCTCGTACTGAACCGCGTATTTGCGCCAGAGATAGGCGCACCTTCCACATAAGGCCAGTGTCAGCCACTGGCTTTTGTCTTTGCTGTTTTTCGCAGCCTGATCCTTGGGTACCAAGGTGCCAGGAGGGGTCCCAGGTGCACGTCGCCATTGCCGCGAGTGATGTGTACTGCAGAACTTGCACACAAATCCACGCTTCTTCTGAGCTGCCTTCTCCGCATCAAATGCCGAGTCATCCTGGTCATCCGCGACATCGTCCAACAGCTTTGGTGCATTTCCATCTTTATCGGTGCGCTTGGAGTCTTTTTTAGAACGGCGTCCCTCATAGTTGCCCCATATCTGCTTCCCTCGTTCGGTCTTCTTCCACATGTAGTAGAAACGGACAATTCGCCATTCCTTTACGCTTGGGCCAACATGTTTCGAAACAAGATGGAGCTCACTCCCATACTTCGCAACCCCTTCCTCAAAGCGCTTGATCTCCTCTCGGTTGAGGTCGGGTTGCTTCAGGTCACCCCGAAGAGACAGCGTTTTCATCGCCTCCAGTGCTTTGTCGACATTGTAGTTGTGCTCCTGCAACTTCTCAATTGCCTTTGTCAAAAAGTCCACAGACGAGTCTAGTAAGTTATACTGGTCCGCAATCGGTCTGACTCTTCGCATGTAGTCGTCAACCAGCTCTTCGGCATTTTCAGGTTTTTCCGCCTCATCGCCACCTCTCTGGGGAAGTTGTGATGGTTCTGGCATCTTGAAGATCAGTTGTGCAGTATGCTCCTTCTTGCCCTTAATCTCAACGGGCTCGTCCTGTCCTCGAGGAATGTAGCCTACGGGCTCATCCACGACCCATTTTGGGCGCTTCAAACGTTGATCCTTGTCCGTATCGGTGCCTGTATCTTTGGTTGGCTTCCCACCCTTTTGGTGATGGGAGTTCTTCAAGTATTTTCGCTTGATTTCGGCCGGTTTCACCAATTCCACCGGTCGACCATGCCACACATTGACGTTAGCCTGGTGGCGAGGGCCTAGCCTCGAACTTGCACGTGGATAGATGCGGTCATCGTAGTCTAGAGCATCTTCTGCCCGAGCGTGAACACCTAGATACCTCCAGGGCCATAGGTTCGCTTGGGCAGCCTGCGCCGGAGTAGGTGGATCTGGCTCCCTCACGGCACTACTCTCCCGGGTCTCTTGCTCCTTCGGCTGCGTGTCCATGTCATCCTCGTCCATTAAGTCCTCGTCGTCCAGAGGAGCAACCTCCGAGCCAGCCGGCGTGTCACGAGCATCCCTCTTCAGCTCCTGCGCACGGCTGCAGGCCGCACAGGCCCATGCAAACCCTCGGGCGGGCTTCTTCAATAGAGGGGGCCTCACGCATTGCATGTGGTATGTCCTCTTGCAGACAGCGCAGTCTACTGAATCATGATTGCTGGCGAATTGTTCGCACTTGGTACACTTCTTGCTTTCGCTCGTCAATTCACGGCCTCGCCCGACCTCTACCAGGACGAACTTCCACCTCTGGTCAAGTACCGTCTTCACGTGCTGGGGGACATTGACCACTCTGTGGGTCGGAATGACCTCGTAGTACCGATGCATGTACCGGTCATAGAGTTTGTCGAACCAAAAGGAGTCTGGCTTGCTTCGGTACTCGTCCATATTGGAGATTTCCGACAGATGATGGATGTTGCACTTGCCACGGAGCGAGGTCAGGGGACATGTATCAGAGTGCATCGAGGCGAAGACCAAGCGAGTGTCTTGAACTCGCCGCAAGATGTCCTTTGGCCGATAATACCAATTAACTCGCATGGCGTCAACGCGGCCATCAGGGTCGTCTTTGGCGTACAAGAATTCCATAATCCGCGCCAGATAGTAAGGTTCGCCAGGAGGCTCGCAAACCAAGTAGACGTGATCTGAAAGTAGGTCAATTGCCTGCTGCAGGAAAACGCGCATTAACATCGAAAAGAAACATACCGTTAACTCCTACTGTCGTCCCATCGTCTGCAACCAATTGTTTCTTGTCGTTGAGTTTCCGTCCGCACTTTGAAAAACTCATCATATTTGTCTCGACATAGCCCTTGAAGGGGACAGTCGTCAGCTGTTTTAATCGGGAATTCGTCCCAGCGCTCGAGTTTGCCCCAACTGTATGGTGACTGCCTGGTTGTTTTCTCTTCTTCGAGGAGGTGGAAGTGCTGGCTTGCGCAGGTGTCGACGGACGGGCAGTCGGCGCATTCTCGATGTGATGTGCGGCATTGGAATGATTGACGGTCGCGAATCCCGAGGACGTGGATTGGTGTTCGCTATTTGCAGCCGACACCCTTTTGCTGGAACGGCTGACTTTGGGAGGGGGTTCCAAATCTAAGTCCAGCTCTTTATCTTCTGCATAGTTGGGACGGGAGGCGCCTGTGCGATTTCTCGAGCGAGTCCCGTAAGGGCCAGCACCGGAGCCATCGCCATTCTCCACGGGTGGTGGTTGTGAAGAGGACGAGGCGGTGGCGGTCATGGGTTGGGACTGGGGAGTGTCGAGGGCGAGCGCAGGCTCGGGGGCGGGCGAAACATCCATGCTGCTGGACAGGCCGCTTGGCGCCACTTCTCTCTGAGAGGTCGAGGGTGCATCTGATTGTGCTCTCGACTGGGGATCTGAAGGCCCCGCGGCATTAGGACCTGCATCGAGAGCCGACATGGCGAGCCAAGTCGGGTCGAGGCAAGGTGTGCGCGGTGGTGCAAGGAGGATCAGGACCTGGGTCTATCGCATGGCGACTGGCGGTTGATGCTGCGTGACCGGCACAAGGTTGGGTGGAGCGAGGTTGTTCGAGGCACCTGGGACACTAGGCGCAGAAGGTCGGCTCCAAATCTATAGGCGCTGCTATATAAGTTTCTATTGCAAATACGCTGTTTTGAGAAATGGGGAACCGAAAGGATTGTGGTGAAGAGGTGGAAAGGAAAATGCCGAAGAAGTAGGACGGACGGCGGAAGTGAGGAAGTGGGCGATATATTGTAAGGCACGCGCCTAGACCAGGGTGAGCCACTGACCAGTCCAGCGTGTGGGTTAGCGCCTCTATCGGGAGCTGGATGGGGCCGCCCTGTGGTTCTGGACACTGCAACGCGGTCGGTGCGAGGCAGTTGACGATGAAGCAGTATCTACCCAGCGAGGAGGAAGGGCGATGGCCAGGAATCAACCCCTGTCGATGGCCAGTACTGGTAGGGGAGTTGAAAGATGAGAAAGAGGTGGGTGAAGAGAAGAAGAGAGCACTGGCAAGGTAGGAGGATGGTAGTGGTAGTAGGCGGGAAGGGCCACGCGATGGGGAAAAGAAAAGAGGAATACTAGTGGGAGAGATCCAGTCCCAGTTCGGGGAAGGACAGAACTCGGCGAACAAGGTAAAGGAAATGCAATGTCAAGGTAATGATGTGCCAGTCAGATCAGGGACACTAGTAGAGTAGTGAAAATCCTCGACGTTACTAGTCCTACGATGTGCTAAATAGTCAGGCGAACAACGGCAGAGCTTCTGGTTGCAGAGCGAGACAGTTTGCTCCGAGTCGGTGAATTATTGGCACGTTTGACGAGGAGAAGCCCGAGAGAGGAATCACCAGGCATCCGGGGCACCACCGTAAGACGCTGAGACATGCCGGGTGTTTTTAACAGATACTTTATAGTACCTAGTAAATACAACCACACCTGGCCCGCCATGGTGCCTGTGATGCCTGGAGCAGCCGAGTAAGTTATAGATGGGGATATTGGCTTCGTGGTGAAGTTGAACTTGAAGGGGTGGGTGTTGACGGAATGTCAGAGGCGGTGTCAGTGGCCGTGATCATGCTAACAAATGGCAACCGTGTTATATTAGAGTGGTTCAGACTGGGTCCTCCCTCATCTCATTACTTCTAGCAGTATCATCAGAGAGTACTGTACTACTAGTACTATGATAGGGCCCAGTAGGGCCCAGTAGTTGGGACAGCTGGGTTCTGCCAGAGTTTAGCCTAGCATCCTTACGGTTAGCTTCAACACGCCCGTCATTAGTGCCGGAGGATCTTGGCGTCACCTGACCGCGGACTGCCCACCAAGATCCCTCTAAATTTGACCACATCTCTTTCCCAGCTCCTCGACTGGCACTCTCGACAGGACGCTGACTAGGTCCTGGAAGCGCAAAGAGACGATACTTGTGGCCTCTGCTGTCCCTGCCGTGAGTTCGACAAGACCCCGGAAGCAGCCGGGCAACAAAGCCCCAAACTGGCTGATTTCATACCATAATTTAGCCCGCCCATGGCGCCCCTAAAAACAGAACTTCGACCGCACCTCTGAGCATTCCCACTACTGGTACCTCCATCATTACATACCTGCGTAGGATTGCCTGGCTTTCAATTCCACTTGGGAAGTGAGCCCTCTTGCGGCCTACCTCATGTATACATACACCGCGGTCCTGCTCGCATGCCTGGCGCTATCACAATGCTTCATGGCTGCTGTTGATACCTGTCATTGCCGGCGCTATTATTTGGGTACAGCCTCCAACAGCGCAAGGGAGAGCAGGTTAAGGTGAGTTCAAGTCGCAGGCTTGCCGTGCCACTGGCAGTGAATCGACGTCGAATTGAATGGCTTGGCGGCGCAACTCCAGGGTGCGCTTGCTCTAAGCTTGGGCTAGTCTCTTTCGGGCTCGCCTATTTATCTCACGTGTCAAGTGGCGCCCGCCCTAAGACTTTAGCGGCTGGTGGCCTGCATGTTGATATACTTCAACTTGAAGTTCACCTCATCTTTGCATATCACGTTTCGCTGACCATCTCGCCAACGCCGCGGTATTCTCTTTGCAAGTTCTTATTACGGGTGTTTTGACAGTGCACATCGGCATGCTTGTAGTCCGTCGGAAGTCTTCTCCTCAATGGTGGCAATGATCTGCGTCTGAGCCGGTCATGGCCAACGCCTGGCACCAGCCCACCACTGTCTACGGTCAGCCAACTACAATAGACTTGGCTCGCCATCAAACGTATAATGTCCCGCCTGCTGCCGGATTTAAACGGCCCAATGATGATATAGACCATCGACAAGAGAAACTTCCCAATCAAAGGGTTTCACTGCCACAAGCGGCCCATGCGAAGCTCCCCGACCAAGTCAAGGCACCGTTCCCTCCCCGTTTACAGGCTAGCCGCATTATCCCCAGCGAAAGCGTCGAGCCAGCTCGTACCCCGGCGCAATTGCGCCATGTTATTTCTTCCACGCCGGGACCTTCCCAGAATCCTCTGCTTACACTTGGCCATGCGGCTTACGGGCTGCCTGCTCAGCTGATAGAGAATTTCGCTGCTCTAGGAGTACATGCAATCTATCCGTGGCAGTCGTCCTGCCTGTTGGGTAAAGGATTATTGACCGGAGAGCAGAATTTGGTCTACACTGCACCCACAGGAGGCGGCAAGTCTCTAGTTGCTGATGTCCTGTTACTCAAGCGTATCATCGACAACCCCGGCCAGAAGGCGATTTTAGTTCTCCCGTACGTTGCTCTAGTACAGGAGAAGCTAAGGTGGCTACGCGCTCTGGTTGATGGAGTCTCCAAGAATATCGAAGAGTTGGACGGGACGCCGAATCCGACATGGCGCCGACCCAGTAACTTGGTACGAGTGGCCGGCTTCTTTGGTGGCAGTAAGTCCACAGTCAACTGGGCAGACTGTGATGTGGCGGTATGCACGATTGAAAAGGCCAATTCCCTGGTGAATTCTGCTATTGAAGAAGGCAAAGATGCGAAGCTGGGCATCCTCGTTCTCGATGAGTTACACATGCTCAATGACGAACATCGAGGTTATCTGATGGAACTTCTTGCCACGAAATTGATGTCTCTGGAGACACCCGTCCAGGTCGTTGGCATGAGTGCCACCCTGCCGAACCCTCAACTCCTGGCAAAGTGGTTGAAGGCAAAATTTTACATCGCGAAATACCGTCCTATCCCTATCGAAGAGCACTTGGTTTATAACAATGGCATCTACCTCACAGCGAACGCCAAGGAATTCTTTCGGACTGCTACGCAGCTGACTGCAGGGGATGCGTTACCGACCCAGCGACCGGAGCCATTGCGCACTATCTCAAGGTCTGAACATCGGGATCTCCAAAATCCCATGGTTAACGCTGTCGTCGCCTTGGCGGTAGAAACGGCCGTTGCGGGACATGGCGCCTTGGTATTCTGCAGCAGCCGTCAGGGGGTGGAACGGACTGCGACGCTAATTGCTGATGCCTTACCAGTGGATCACGTTGATAAGGGTATTTTAGGCCTCCGGCAAGATCTCCTGGCATCATTACATGCACTACCAGGAGGCTTTGAGTCCACCTTCTCCAAAGCAGTACCCTGTGGGGTTGGCTTTCATCACGCAGGATTGACTGTCGAGGAGCGCAACCTGGTGGCCGAGGCCTACGACACTGGCGTTCTTAAAGTTATGGTTGCAACGTGCAGTCTTGCGGCAGGTATAAATCTGCCAGCTCGGAGGGTTATACTCAACGGGGCCCGAATGGGGCGAGACTTGGTTGGGCCAGCGATGCTTCGTCAGATGCGTGGGCGGGCAGGCCGAAAAGGTAAAGACGAGGTTGGAGAGACATACTTATGTTGCCAGAAGGCTGATCTGGAAGCGGTCGCTGAGCTACTCGAGGCTGAGATGCCTCCTGTTGAGAGCTGCCTGACTCCCGAGAAACGAGGAATCAAGAGAGCCCTCCTCGAAGTCATAGGCATTCGCATGGCATCAAGCAGAACAGTGCTAGACAGATATGTCCATTCATCATTGGTCTGGCATACAACGGAGCACGGCACTGTCATGGACATGGTTGAAACATCAATCCAAGAGTTGCTCGAAAGTGGCCTGATTCGGCGAACGGAATATGAAGATTGCCTTGAACCCACTAGCCTTGGTACCGCTGTGGTGGCTTCAGGCCTCAGCCCGGAAGACGGGGTTTTCGTTCACTCGGAACTGCGTCGCGCGCTGGAGTCGTTCGTGATGGATGGTGATTTGCATATTTTTTATCTCTTCACCCCCGTCCAGACAAGCGGGTTGGCGGAAATATCTTGGCCGACATTTCGCGATGAACTGGACGCTTTGGACGAAAGTGGTCTGAGAGCCATCCGACTGATCGGTATCAGCCCGGCCTTGGTCAATCGGCTTGTCAACAGTGGTGGAAAACTGAAGGAGGACACTCCAGAAGAAGAGCGACTGGCGCGAGTTTACCGTAGAGTATATTCAGCCTTCCAACTGCGCGATCTGTGCAATGAGATGCCGGTGCACGAAGTCAGTGTGAAATTTTCGGTGCCACGAGGACATATACAGAATCTGGCTCAGACTTGTCACGGATTCGCGGCCGGGATGATCAAATTCTGCGAAAGAATGGGCTGGGGTATGCTCGCCGCCGTGTTAGAACACATGTTGGATCGGCTCCGAGCCGGAGCGAGGGCTGATTTGCTCGAAATGGCCCAGGTCGCGTTTGTCAAAAGTCGGATGGCACGCATCTTCTGGGAGAATGGGTTCAAGAGTATTCGAGCTCTTGGAGAGGCCGATCCGCACACTCTGGTACCCGTGATGATGCAGGCTCAGGCAAGGAAGATGAAACTACAGGGCGAGGCGGCCGAGAAATTCAAGGCTAAGCTTCTCGCCAGAGCCGAGATCATTGTCAACAGTGCAAACCGACTCTGGGAGCGACAACAGCAGGTTCAGTGGGATGAAGAGTAACAACTCTTGATCGACGTGTGGGACCTAGTCGTCGGCGCTGCTCAAGGCCCCTGGTTTGCGACGAGTCCGACTGCTTGCTGGTTCTGGCCGCGCCAGAAGCATCATTTGTCAGTCAGTAGCAGGAGACAGCGTAGCCTGCAGGAAAAGTGTAGACTTTGCTTGTTTCAGGCCTCGCGAGATGCCTTTTGCAGTTAGATATAGAGGATAGACAGGGGCAGGTTATGAAGAAATCGACCGATGAATAACGGTTTGCAATCAACTTGGACAAGAGAGACCTCGACATGAATCTGGAACCAGTCAAATGCCAGTAGTCGATTATTCCGCGGGTTTCAAAGCCCGGGGCTATTGCGATTGGTCAGCCTGGAGTCTCGGTCAGCTTTTCGTAAGCGACAGTGAGAGGGGGTTTTTGACAGCATACCGTACTGATACATGGTGAGTAACCGGATTTGGCAGTTCCCTGGACGTCAAATACGCCCGTGGACAATGATTGAAAACAGACTATTGTAACCATAATACAAGCCGTTGTTGTCAGGGACCCGGTGCGCCCCATCATGGCTCCAGCCCAGAATGATCCGTAATGATAAGGTAATACACGGACTAGAGCTCTTATCGATAAGGTGGCCTCCTAGCGCCCGCGACATTATTGTCATGGAGACTGCATTGGTGACCCCTCCGAGTCTATCCTCCCTTCAGCGCTTCCGTGCATGGGCCGGGGGGCCTTGGATGTGCTTTTATGAGTGGTGATTGAGCTACCTGGCGGACGGATACAAAAAGGCTCGAAGCTTCCTCCCTGTCCCGGCTGCTTGTCTTCTTCCCATCATCTACGTCCCCAATATAGAACGAACGTCTCGTTGTCCCCTCTCTCCAAACAATCCATTTATACACCAAACTATTCACCATGGCTCCCAAGATCGCCATTGTTTATGTACGTACATACAACGGCGTTGTTACTGCGGGGCAGACATGCCTCTGCTCCTTCCATCTGTCTATGAGCTGACATATGTTGTTACACAGTACTCGATGTACGGGCACGTTGCCAAACTGGCGCTGGCCGAGAAGAAGGGCATTGAAGAAGCCGGCGGCACCGCCGACCTCTACCAGTACGTGATTCTGAACAGTCCGGCCAACTCAACTCACTCTTGATTCAAACTGACAATATTTCCCTGCAGAATCCAAGAGACATTGCCGCAAGAAGTCTTGACCAAGATGCACGCACCGGGCCCGAACCAGGACGTTCCCTTCATCACTCCGGACATCTTGAAGACATACGATGCGTTCCTGTTCGGCATCCCGACGCGCTACGGCAACTTCTCCGCTCAATGGAAGACGTTCATCGACCAACTCGGGCAGCTGTGGATGGGCGGCGCCCTGCACGGCAAATACTTTGGTCTGTTCGTCAGCACCGGCACCTTGGGCGGTGGCCAGGAGACCACGGCCATCACGGCGCTCAGCGCCTGGGTCCACCAGGGCATGATCTACGTTCCGCTCGGTTACGCAAAGACGTTCGACCTGCTGGCCGATCTCTCCGAGGCCCGTGGCGGTTCGCCTTGGGGCGCAGGCACTTTCGCCGCCGGCGACGGCAGCAGACAACCTTCGGCCCACGAGCTTGAGCTCGCCACCGCCCAGGGCAAGTCGTTCTACGAGACCGTGTCCCGCGTCAACTTTGCTTGACTAGATGGCAGCGCTGCCGGAAAGGCTACTACTACTACTACTACTACTACTACTGGGACGACAACGACGACTGCCGCCCATAATCAAACAACGACATCAACAACAACACCCGCCGCCGCGAAGACTAACACCACCCCCTCTCAGCGTCTGGATACCGATGAAAAGGAGGAGAGTGGGCCCTGTGGTCTACCTAAGAAGTGCGTCATCCTCTAGAAGGGGAATTGGTTGCTGGGACCTGTAACACAAGTGACAAACAAGCAATATGGCCCCTATACCAGTACCTACTGATAAAATCCCGTTTCTTTCAATACAAAAATACCTATTTGCCCTGCATGTTGCACAAACAGAAAAAGAGCACAATACCCATAGCATTATCGACTTATTATAGTTTTGCAATCCATCTTTACCCTTCACCCTGATGGTGGGAATCCATTCCAAATCATAAGTAATCGATCGTGACCCTTGATGCGTTTTCCTCTGTGCCATGCTAAGACCTGCGGAGTTATCTCCTCTAGATTAAAAAAGTATATCATTCAGTATATCATTATATCACTGTCTTTCAATGTGCCAGCATAAGTATTCGAGTATTGGTATTATGGGGTCGTTACTTGTCCGACAACATAGAACTCGTATGACTACATCAGGCCGGATCATCACTTAGGCACCTACGGACGTGATCAACCGCGGCGGTGGGCTGTCCAGGCTGCTCATGACGGACTTTGTGTGCCGCGCGATTTTGAGGCACAACCAGCCATCGCCCGAGGCATTGGTCTCGTCTTCACACCGCTTTATATCTTCCAGGGTCATTCCGGCACTATGTCCCCTGGTCAAGTCGTCCGTCAGGCGGGCGGGAAACTCGTGGCACCCGGGCAGCAGGCCGTGCCATTGTCTCTGCCGTCTCTCGAGCGCGTTGCACAGATCGCTGAGTGTATAGATAGGCTCTGCTGCTGCGGCATCAGCCACTGCCAAAGGGGTTGAGGCTAGACTGCTGGCCAGGGCGGGAGTAGTGTTGCTGTTACTGCCACTACCACTGCGACCACTTGTCTGCAAATCTGGTGGCGTTGGGACCGGGGCATCGCCAAAGACGTAGGCCCGGATCAGCTTGTAGCCGAATGTGCGCCACTCCAAATCTTCTCTCACAGACATAAGCTTGTTCGGGAGCGATATAATACCACCATCGGTTTCCGCCGAGGACAAGGCTGCTGAAGATGATGTTGCTGCAGACGACCAGGTCTGTTGCGGTTGCGCGCCAAACCCCTTTCTCAAGTCTATGGCCGTCGCCTTCTTCACTCGATGCCATTGGTCAGCTAGCACGGTGAGCAGCGTGCTACTGAGCATCAAATTTTGCGAGCCAGATTGAAACTTTTGCGGACATACGGCGCAGTAGATCACTTCACGGCCGGTCCGGTGGGCCCGTAGCAATGTGTCGATTGTCCCTGACGATATGGGGAGGGCTGAAAGCGTCGATAGTGTCGACAGCGTGAGATATAGGTTCGGCAGGCAGGGACAGTCGGGAATGGCGGGTAACTGTGTCAATGAACTGGGATCGGCGTCGGGATCGAAGCTGTAGTCACCGGCCGTGGTAGTGGTGACTGACTCGCCATTGCCCTCAGACGCGTCTGTAGCTGGAAGTGACGTATCCGCGGTATAATACGTCCCCTCCTTTCCATGGCTGTCATGCGCGGGCATTGCTAAGAGGCTCATGTCCGCAAAATCAGGCCATAACGACACATCGGTGGGGTAAGGGGCGTTCAACTCGGGTACCATTCCTGCCAACGCCGGGTCGGTTGGCGGGGTTCGAGGCTCGTCATATGGCGAAGTACTAGTCGAGCCCCTGACTGTATGCCGGCTGCCGCCATCTCCTGGAGGTGGTACACCATGTGCATATGGCCCTCTGGTCTGCTTGCCAGACTGTTGGTTGATGTGAGATGTTGACGGATTGGACGCATTGAAAAGGTATGTGTTCTCTCGAGGGGCATCCTGACTTGTCTGTCCACTAGTCATCGGCCCTGCATAACCGGCACCCATAGAATTGACAGAGTCATCAGTGTTGTAGTCGAGTTTCTGCCTCTTGCGTGGCCGACCCATCTGCTTCTGCACAGAATAGTGACATGTCAAGTGTTGCTTGCGACATCGTTCACACCCGTTGGGTTCGCCGGAGCACTTCAGTTTGCGTTTTCCTGCAAGTAGGAAAATGGTCAGTGATTGGCGGCCATATGAGTGAAGGGAGACAAACTGCATTCATCACAAGCAGCGTGCCTCTTCACCGAGACATCGGCGTCGAAGGCTGCGCTGTACGCGGGCATCTCGGGTTCCCCGATACCCGGTACCCAGTCAGTAGCGGCGAAGGTCGTCGCAATGGGGTCTGGGCCATAGGAGCTGAGGGACACCGCCGCGGTCTCCTTACATGCCATGGCTCCTGATAGACGATGTTCGATGGACAAGGACTCGATCACGACGACTCAATAACACATCGAGCATGTCAATGTTGAAAGCGCAGGCATCCGATGGCGGACTCACCGTGGTACCGTAGTAGTTGACTAAAGATAATTGAGGCGCTAGATGAATTGGGACGGCGATGACATAACCACTGACTCAGCTGGGCGCCTCATCGGCGATACGGCGCCTTGTCTCCGATGCATTTCACAAATGTCCAAAAAATTTCCAGCCTGCGCTTTCACAGTTGAACTTTCCAGTAAACAGCCAGCCAACCCCACCATGGCCGACTCAAAGAAGCGGAAGGCCGTGACCAAGGACGTTGAGGAGGATGCGGCCGTTGTGTCTGGAGATGAGTTCGAATTTGGCCAGTTGGACGGTACACTTTCTGGCGACGAATCCGAGAGCGACAGTGACGGAGAGCACCCATCCAGCGGCGCCGAGGATGACAGCGATGCCGTGTCGGTCGACAGCGACGAGTTGCGCTCGGATGCCAAAGACGACGGTGACTTCTTGACTCCCAAGAAGAAAGTCCAGTCAGGCGGTGTGGACATTACCATCTCCGACAATGCAGCTTCGAAGAATGATCCGGACGCAGAAATCTCCGAAGAGGAAAAGCCAAATTACAGGATCGTCAAAGATGCCAACGGTAACGACAGATATGTATACGACGAAATTGACCCTGGCGACGACTCCGACTATTCTGTTCCTGATGAAGAGGCAAATACAATTGGGAATATACCGTTGTCCTTCTACGACTCGTATCCTCATATTGGATACAATATCAATGGAAAGAAGATCATGAGACCTGCAAGGGGAGAGGCACTGGATGCACTTCTGGATAGTATTGAAATTCCCAAAGGATGGACTGGCTTGACAGATCCGTCCACCGGCAAGCCTTTGCAGCTCAGTAAAGAGGAGCTGGAACTTTTGAAAAAGGTGCAGATGAATGAAGTTGCAGCTGATGGCTACGATCCATACGAACCCACAGTGGAATGGTTTACTAGCAAGACGGAGACCATGCCACTCAACTCAGCACCGGAACCTAAGCGGCGGTTTGTGCCGTCCAAGCATGAGGCCAAACGCGTGATGAAAATTGTTCAAGCCATCCGCGAAGGGCGTATTCTGCCCTACAAGCCTCCCAAGGAAGACGAAGACGAGGAGGATGAAGTTCCCAAGTATGACATTTGGGCGGACGAAAAGCCCCGGCCGGAGCACGCCATGCATATGCCAGCTCCTAAACTACCACCTCCCGGATTTGATGAAAGTTATCACCCTCCACCTGAGTATCTTCCCGATAAAAAGGAGAAAGAGGAATGGGAGAAGATGGACGAAGAGGACCGGGAAAAGGAATACCTTCCTACAGATTACGCCTCCCTACGAAAAGTCCCCGGATATGGACGGTTTATCAAGGAAAAATTCGAACGTTGCCTGGACCTGTACCTTGCTCCGCGTGTGCGTCGAACAAAACTCAACATCGATCCCGAATCATTGTTACCGAAGCTACCTAACCCTGATGAGCTCCGGCCCTTCCCCACCCATGAAGCTGGTCGATTCCATGGCCACAAAGGCCGAGTACGATCATTGGCGATTGATCCTACTGGACAATATCTGGCCAGTGGTGGTGATGACGGCACTATACGGGTCTGGACACTGATACCCCAACGAGAGGTCTGGTCGGTTTCTGTCGGTGCCGAGACTGCGGTCAACGTTGTCCGGTGGCGACCTGGCAAAGAAGTCCCCATTCTTGCTGCTTGCGCCGGAGACGACATATTCCTATGTGTTCCACGTTTGGGAACGGATAATGGCCCGGAGGTAGAAGCTGCCCAGTCTTTGCTTGATGCAGGATGGGGTTATGCTGCGTCCGAGAATAGCACTTCAAAGTCGTCCTCGATCAAATGGAGCCGTCCTTCATCAGGTCAACGGGAGCAGGGAGTCGCCATCATTATTCATCTGGGATATACGGCCAAAACCTTGTCATTCCACTCGAGTGGGAATCACTTTGTTACCATTTGCCCCGCCACCACTGTCCCCGCTTCGCAGGCGATTGCCATCCATACGATCTCCAAGCATCAAACCCAGTTACCGTTCCGCAAACGACTTAAGGGCGGAGGCACTCCCCAAGTTGCTCACTTTCACCCCAGCAGGCCCATCCTGTTTGTGGCCAATCAGCGGGTCATTCGAGCCTATGACTTGTCTAAACAGTCATTGCTGAAAATCATCCAACCCGGTGCCAGATGGATCAGCAGCTTTGATGTTCATCCGACCAGTTCGTCGACGGCAGGATCGGACAATCTGATTGTGGGATCCTATGACCGAAGACTGTTGTGGATGGACTTGGACTTGTCTCCACGTCCATACAAGACACTCCGCTTCCATGAGAAGGCAATTCGTTCCGTGCGGTTTCATCCGGCTACAAATAGGTACCCGCTGTTTGCTGATGGTAGCGACGACGGGAGCATTCAGGTCTTCCACGGGCAAGTGACGAGCGACATGATGAGTAATGCACAAATTGTGCCATTGAAAGTTCTGCGCGGACACAAGGTGACCGGGGGATTAGGGGTGATGGACCTTGACTGGCACCCCCAACATCCATGGCTGGTGAGTGCCGGTGGGGATGGTACATGCCGGTTATGGGTGTCTTGAAAAGTTGTAGCCTAAAAGCTTGAATATATCTGCTCGTAATAGTGCCCAATTCTGCGTCGAATGTTTCCTCGTGCGAATTCTACTTGCTTGCTGTATGCACACCGGCAAGGCTGTACCGCAAGGCTGAGAGGTGGGACCAAGTCACGTGAGGGCGCGATGTCCGATCCCTATGAGACGCGTCTGCCTTGAACGCCACGCGCCGCTGGTCTTCCAGGTTGGTTCATGTTCAACACATGCACATCGCCGCACTGCAATAATCTGGATTACTGCACCCGTGCGGGCGAACCCAATACACGCTCTAGTATAGCACGTCTCTGGCCTTGTGTAATGCCTTCATGATGCCTGCGTAAGTAGCTCACCCTATGTGCCAAACTATATGAGCGTGCCGCTGACGTGTTACCTCCCAGCGTCGGTGACCAACATAAGTCTAGCGGGCAGCACAGCACGAACCCCTTCGAAGAACAGAGGCCGCGGATTTCGGAATACACAGCTCAGGAGATTGCCACCTTACAAAGCCGGCTGGACAAACAATTAGGACCAGAATATATATCTGCGCGAGCGGGTCCGGGTGGTTCAAGAGTACACTACCTTTCCGCCGACAAGGCCATCAGTCTCGCGAATGAAGTGTTTGGATTCAATGGCTGGAGCAGTTCGATTCAAAACATCCAGATCGACTTTGTCGACGAGCACCCTCAGACAGGAAAGATCACTCTAGGGCTTTCGGTTATTGTGCGCGTCACATTGAAGAACGGCACGTATCATGAAGATATCGGATATGGCCAGATTGAGAATTGCAAGGGCAAAGCGGCGGCTTTTGAGAAGGCCAAAAAGGAAGGGACCACAGACGCACTCAAACGAGCGCTGAGGAACTTTGGAAACGTTCTGGGCAACTGCGTGTACGACAAAGGATATCTGGCCAAGGTCACCAAGATGAAGGTCGGCGCACCAAAGTTCCATCCTGACAACCTTCATCGTCATTCCGACTTTGCACCTAAGAAGCAAGAGGAGGATGTCAAGCCAACCGTACAAGGAGGACTGCAACTGCCACAGGAGTCATCGACCGAATTCGATGATACCTTTGACCTGGATGATTTCGAGGTGGCCGACTTTGATGGAATTGATACTGAGCACCCGGACGAGGTAGCGTTGCCCGCAGACTCAGCAGCGAGTAACAGAAATCCGTCTAATTCATCAGATCGGATGCCGCCGCCATCTAGAGATGATCTGACAACACCGTCAAAACCACCTGTTGCTGCCGGGCCGTCTTTACGAGCAGGACCTCCTCCGCGGCAAGCTCAGGGTGCGGTTGCTTCGAACATCATCCCTCATCCACTACCACTACCTGGCCAACGGTCAGCGGTGGCCACGGCGACGGCGACGACGGCGGCGGCAAAAGGTCCACTCAATAAGCAGGCGACCGGCACTGGACCAGAACAAAGACCGAACTCCGATGACATGTCCCGATCTTCCTCCCCCAGCGTGCCATCACAGAACTTGGCCAACGCGACCAATGGGCAGAACAACTCTAATCCTCCTCTTGTTGCTGGCTTCTACTCTGCCAAAGCTGCAGGACACATAGATCAAAACAACAACATCATCGCGGCGTCTCCGGCCGCAGTGCCCAAGTTCAATCCGCACGCCGAAAGCCCGTCGATCCGCAAAACGTCCGGCGTCCCGCACAACAGATCAATCCCATTGAAACGCGACTTGACGCCCGACACCACCAACCTGGCAACTAGTATCATCAACCCACAAGCAGATCCGAGCAGAAGGCTGGGTGTCCCCGGTGCAAATTTGAACAGCCCTCTCCCAGGGATCAGAGGACCGAGCACTTCGGCCTATAGGCCACCAACGAGGCGTGGCGGGCCGGGGCCTGACTCCAGCACCATAGCTGCGCCGCAGCCGCCTTCAAATGCAGCAGTAGAAGGTGATCGAGCGGCGCCCGGCGTGGCGAAAAGGACACCACTGGGAGATGTGAGTAATGTACAGCAGCATGCCCATGCCACCACAGCAACTACGTCGGATGGAGTCGATGCGAAAAGACTCACGGTGGCAGGCGCACCTCCGCCACAAGTGGATGCGGCGCATGAAACAACAAATGCTACTTCCGGCAATGGATGAAGAAAGAAAAAAGAAAAAACGCAGCGAATCCGGTCTTTGATTCACTCTTTTGGAGGGGTTAGGTTGTTTGGCGTCTCACAGTTTCAACAGTAAGGTAAGCGGACAGCACTTAGCAGTTGTTAGTCGAAAAGCTATGATCTCGCCGAACCAGGGATGCGTACATCTACTGCTACACAACTCGCCGCCTTTTCTTTTTGTTTGGTCTTTCTGGCGCTGGCCCTTGTAGAGAGAGTCATCTTTTTCTAAATCCTGGGGCGGATGTTCCCATTTCCGATGCTCAGATACTCTACGAAGCGAAGCGAAGCGAAGCAACGCAAAATAATGCGTCGAATGGAGCGGATGAAAGATGGAGATAGAGATGGTATTTTCGCTGATGACAGCAGTGTAATGATAGGTTTATGAGCAGCCCAAAGATATCCAAGACATAGTATGCAGTGGCAGCCTTCGGCCATGGTTCCTTTCTTCCATTTTCGGTTTTTTATTCTTATTTTCTTCTCGACTCTATATAACACGTACTTGGACCCCAGGTCCCCTCGGTGTACTGGTATCGCTCTCGCTGGGATATCCGTTCTTGTCCTCCTCGGGGTCGTGGCCGTCACCATCCTCGTATTCGCATTCATATCGTGTCGTAATGAATCCGAGAATTGGAGTCGATGCTGAATTCACTCGATCCAAGCCAACCGATACATCAACCGACAGGGTCTTGAAGATCGAGGCAAGCCTGACAGAGCAGGGACGGCAGGGCACGGCAACCGGTGTGTCCGTCAGTGTCGGAGTGATTCTGACAAGGGGGTGGCGGTGGCAGTGGTACCGGCAGCAGCAGCGCCTCTCCCTAGTCTTTGATTATACAGTACATAGGTACAGACACAGATGTGCAGGCTAGTTTATAGCCAGTGCCAGGGTATGATGTCGGGACATAACACACTTCCCTCCATAGGATCGATGATTTCCCCGTCTATATCGTGGAGGGTTGCATGAAATTAGTGTGCTAGTGAGTAGAGTATGTAGTTCAACTGTCACTTGCCACACGAGAAACTTCACCAGAGACCAAAAAAAGAGACGATGGAAGGAACATGCATACCTGGGCTGATTTACCAATAATCAGGCAGACGAGATGGCATGTCAGGTCCACTTGGAACATGTTCAAGTCTGACTACCAGTAGCCACCGAACAACCCCATGCAGAATCATGCGGCACGGCAGCGACGTTGCAGCAGAAAAGAGAAGAATCCTGGGCCGTAAGATCAAGGGTATGTAGATAGATCGGAATCATGGAGAGAAAGAGAGACATCTAGGTGACGCAAGGAAAATGCCAGCGAGACCCGTGAAGACGCCAGCCGGCCGGCAGTCACAGCCCATGCCGCCCTCCTGCCCTCCTGGCCCCAGTGTTGCAAAGGCCCCCTAGGCGAGTGAGGCGATAGACGAATGAGCACCAGAAGAAAAGCAAAAACAAAGACAGGGGAATGGCTGAAGAGGTGGAATCCTACCCCAGCCCAGCATGATACGTACTGTGTGGGTAGCTGCTAGCTGCCAACTGGGTAATAGGCCAGGCAATCTCAGGACAAACCAAGGGTCGGTGATTTGATTGATTTCCAATTCATCTTGTCTCCCCTTGCTGTACCCACCGCTGAAAGGACAGTCAGGACACTCAACCCGCCCTCGCAGAATGCCATGTCCTCGCTCTTGTTACTTTGACCTACCTACAGTTGCAAGTGGACAAACGACACAGAAGGACTTAAGTCCGACCGAGACACGCTAGGATTCGTGTATGGGAACTGAAGTCGACCACACAGACATACATACTCATATCCTCCCGAGATCGCCCCGCTCCTTGCTGGCCTTGCTGGTGTCATCAGCAAGAAGAGGGCACGAGGGTAGAGAGTGTGTGGAGTAAGGCTCAGATTCCTGCCTGCCGCTGGATTCACACCAACATACAGTACAGTAGCCTCTCTGCAAGACTGCAATGATCGTATCTCGCGTGAAGGTTGCAAATGCTGACGAAGGACATAACAAGGGTAGGTCGGAGGCTCCTGCTCCTTCCTCTCACGGCGGCTAACAGCGGAGTCAAGAGGCAGAAGGAATGCGGTGCGGACACCCTGTCCATCAGTAATGACAACATTGAAGAGTCAGCTGAGCGATCGCCTATCTGGAAAACTGGAAGCAATAAATCAGAATGGCTTGCATGACATTATTGACACTCACAACCCGTTGGGCCCGGCAATCCTTTCCTCGACCTTGCCGTATGGATATACCTGTGCCGGTCATGGCTTGCATGTTTCTTTTGTCGTGTCGAATGAGGCGACTCACAATGCTACAAGTGCCACGGGATGCCCAAGGAAGACCCATGAATCCGTGCGGCAAGTCCTTCGTATCAGAGAGTGGCACTGAATTGTTTGTCGCAAGCACCTGCAGTGATGGACTTCATCCGACCACAAAGCCGAAGCCAGTCAGGGTGGTAGATGACTATCCACTGCTTTGCCAGTGCTCCAAGCGCTCGGGAAGCCCAGCAAATCCCGTCGTCACCTATTTTACGCTAAGGCCATGATTGAGTGTTGGTGGCATGATGTTCCTAACCCCTCTGAAGAGGCCAGGATGGCGCGGTGAGAAAGCACATTCCAGTGCCATCCTCTGGACGACCTTGATCCTGGTACCCTGCGTTGACGACCGTACCAGCCTGGCACCTAGTTTCGAAGGTGTGGCGGTGATCATGCCATGGCCATGGCGACGTTCCAGCTTCAGAGGTCATTCAGGATGTAACTGCGCTTGGAGGCTGACTGTTTTGAGTGCTGAAAGCTGTAGAAGGAAATCTGCCCGGTCACATCTTCCAGGTCCCCCAAAGCTTATAGGAGGAGGTGTGCCTCAAAGCACTGGCAGTTGAAGCGATGGGAAGAATTCCCACGCTGAGAAGGTTTCAAAGCTGAACCCATGAATCCGAATTTTGAGAAGATGGTGGAAAGTGACCCACGCCACAACTCTCGCTGATTCGGTACCATTGAGAAACCCAAAGTAGTTATTGCAAAAGTACAATACGTGACATGTCGCGGTGGCGGTTGGGACGACTTGCTTCGTTTTCTCATCATTAGTCTGGGGCTCGTCCAGGTTTCGGGGCAAGACTGCATCTGGACAAGCTGCGGCAGGTTGACCATCCGTGCATAAGGAACCCCAGCCGGCCATAAGTCCAGAAAGGGAAACTCGCGAGGTTATGAGATGGTGGAGTATCGTAGGCGATTCTTGACTGAAGAGAGAATGATTGCCAAACGATCAACAACTCTAATGGGTACCAATTCCCCCGTGCTGCTCTTCGATCGATCTGTGCAGAAGCGGATTCCCGATAACATTCCTGTCTAAAGTACAAAAGGTATGCTGTATCGCAAGTTCCAAGACCGGGGGCATCTTTTCTCTGCCAGTGTCCCTCATGCTTCAGCATTCCTTTGGAGCCGTCCGGACGGCACGGCTCGCTATTGGAGCGTTAGAGGTAGCGCAGGGAAACAAGCCAACCATTTGATTTTGCTGGTTAGATGGTCCTACCAATAACAGGGTATTCACGCGGCTGAGACTCCTGGCCATCCCGAGCTAAGTAAGGGTGGTAAGGGAGTGCTGCAAGGAAGAGAGGAGAACTGGTGGTTAGACTGCATAGGACATCAGCAACCAGGGCGAGCAGGGTGAAAAGTCAAAATCTTCGATGCTGTGTCGTGGGCGCAACGGCCATGGCCCTCTGCCCTCACATGGGCCAGGCCTTGTGCTTCAGAACCGAGTTGGTGACAATCTTCCCAGCCATACTGCGATGGTAGTCTCGGAATCTACAAGGGGTCGTGCATGATTATGGCTGGGACTGCGGCAATCCTCGCTGCATCGGTCGTCCTGGGAGGGCTTTATCACCGGCGAATCTGGCCATCACATGCCGCGTGTCCCGGCTCCCGGTCGTCATTCTCTGTACAGTGAAATTGCACAGAATATGGTACACGGCCTTGATTGGCTCGGGACATGGTTTTGGGCTCTCCGGTCCGGTCCCATGACCTGAGGCTGATGCGAGCCACTGCAGGATATGATGCCAGTTAGTTGGATCTGCGATCAAAAAGACCTGCTGCCGACATGAAAACTGCTGCTGTCGCTAGCGAATAGGAAGCCGCTGGTTCCCTCATAGCAGGGACTATACCTCCAAAGGTCGATAACGGCTTCGCTCACCCAGCACCGTCCTCGGACTCCTAGCCTCGATCCAGGCGGCAATTTGGCTTATGCAGGCGGCTGTCTGGATCTTGAGATTTTCCTGCACCTGCCGTAGCCATGGCCATCGTTGGGAAATATCTTCACCTTGCTGGATCCTAGAGTGCCATCAACCCCTGCTAAGTCGATCCCATCACGGACATACAACAAATCAGCCTATCATGGAGTGAGGCCGGCCTGGAAGCTGAATCTGTGTCTGCTGCTAGGAGGGTGTGTTTTCGTCACTGCGGCCGACTGTGACCGAAGCCAATAGAGCTGCCATCGTCAGGCAGGATAGACACCGGTGCAGGCCGTAAGCTTGTGGAATAAACCTCATTGGGACGCTTTGGCCAACAGCACTTGTCTCGTGGAATCTTTGCAAAGACTTCAAGCTGGCCGTGCTTTGAAGTGCTCATAGCAGACGTTGAATGTCGTCGGTTTGAGCGAGCGGCCCACACCTCCACCAAAATTGAAAATGGTAGCATCCTAAAGCGCGAGAAGTCTGGTTCAGCAAACCTGGGGCTGTGTAAAAGCCACCCTGACAGGCCAGGTGCTGAAGGGGGTCCTGCAGACGACAAGCACCAGGATATTCCCTTGTCTTCCCGTATCCGCTGTCGCACAAATACTTCAAATCCAGGCGAAGATGTGGATGTCTGCACCACTCGTCACGAACGAGCGACTATCGGGATGCAGCTGCTTTGGTTGGACGGGGTAAGGGCTCCCTGACCTGCTCCTAACGAATATTTATATAGTGTCGTGCTCATGAACCATGCTGCGATCTGCCCTGGGACAGATGCCCATGGATTCGATTTCGTCTTGCACTCTGTCCGCTCCATTGGAGATATTTGGGCTGGTATTCACCCTTCTGGCCACGTTTGTCCTCGCTCGCAAGTTGAGCCTCCATCAGAAAAGACCAATTCTACCATTATACCACTCTTCCGACCACCGTTCGCCCAACATGAGATGCGACCGAAACGCCAACCCAGGCAAGAAGGGCAGAGGTGGAAGACGAGCCAATCGAGCCAATGCAATGAGCATAAGCTATCTTCTGAACGACAACAAGCGCAAGCAGCCTCCGAGGGACAAGTATGATCAGGAAGAAGCAATGTTCATCTGGTACCATCGCATCGACCTAGCGCTTCCCTGGAGCCGGGTTCAACAGGCCTTTCAGCAGCAGTTCCATGAACAGAGAGGCAAAGCAGGACTCCAGTGCAAATTCTACCGCATCCTCACCAGTCACCACATTGAAAAAGTCAGAGCACAACGCACACCGGGTGAGAAACGCCGGCCCGAAGACCGAGCAGAATGGGGCGTGATTGCCCAAACACCGTACAGGTATGCGTGGATGCTACCTTTGCATCGATATCAGCCACCGAATCCGAAACGCAAGCAGTGATGAATCAATAGGCAGGTTGGTCTGGAGATAATATTGCAATGGAAAAGGTGCTTGTCGCTCCGCTTCACCGGCAGCAACGTTGGACATCTTATTTCGGGAGGTTAACTCAAACATGGCTGATACGAATCAGCAGTGTATCTACCACTTGTTGTTGTTCTCATGGAAGGCATCGTCGTCACTTCTGAAAGCCTCGTCGTCGGACCCATACTGGCGGTATTTGTAGGCATTATAGCCGTACTCATCGTCGGAGCTAACCTCGTCCTCTGGATAGTCGTTGGCAGGATTGTCCTCGGCTAATTGAGTCAATCAAAATATTTTTTAGTCGGAAATCCGGGAAAGTTTGCTTACCATTTGAATCTTCTGAATCCCAATCAGTATCATCGTCACTGTCAACATATTTTTGCCAGAACTCCTCGTCCTCATCCTCAATGACCAGGATGCCGACATTGTTCGGCTCTACCATTCTCGTTGCATCAGGAGTCTTATCATCTTGGCGAACCCGCACGTATGTTTCGTACACATAGTCGTCCTCTCGACACTGTGAAGTCATCTTGGTGTCCTGGGGAGCCGGCGCCGGCTGAGAAGAATGCTCAGCCTCAGCCTTTTGCTTGATGTCGGGGTCCAACTCCATGGCCAAGGCAGCAAGCTCATCCGCGAGCTGGTCTGACTCATGGTCCCAGGTACTAGGATGATCTCTGATTGACGTTCCCTTCTTCACACCACGATTGCTGGGTTGCAGGAATGTATTCATGAGTGTCCGACTCGACTTTTCCAAGCCCTCGGCGTCGGGCGTTTCCTTCTCTCCCTCATTGTCTCCTGCTGCTTCGTCTGCGCGGACATCCAACAATTTGTCCACAGGTTTGCCGCTGTAAAGCGGATTTTCTTCATGGCTGACCGAGGCACCATATCTTTCGACAAACGTGGCAAGCGGAGGGCGGATCGAACTTTTCTGCTTTCTAATGCCGCCAGAAGCGCTAGGAGACAAGGCCGACGAGAGATTGCGAGTGAGGTGGAACCGGCGAGTTAGGTGCGGGCCTTCCCTGGAGGCGGGCGCAGGTGTAGGGGGAGCGGACAGGCTGCCTGTGGTAGGAGCGGAGAGGCTCTCCTGTGTCTTCGCACCGTCGTCTGCTTTCTCCTTGAGTTTGGCCTTCAGTCTCTCATAGTCTTTCTTGTCGTCACCCGGCGACGTCCACCGAACAGGGGGAACACCAGGAATTGAGAGCTGCGTTGGTTGACGCATCGCCGGGCTCTTCTCTCGCTGGGAAATGGGTGCGATGATCTCATCTCGCAGACGCTGGAAGTAAAAGTCGGTGACTCTTCGTTTCTTGTCGGGAGCAGTGCCATGCTCAAGATCTGTACGGAATGTTAGATAGGCATTCTCAACAACAGCGGAGCAGCGAAGGCATACACAGAGTGTCGACGGGTTCGTCGGATCGCCTGCGCTTAACGCTGATGCGTTCTGGCGCGAGTGACATTTTGGTTGACGCAGAATCTACGGCGATGGAGCGCGAGGAGGCGAGCCGTAGGAAATGTTTAGGTAGTTGGTGGAGGACATACAACTGGAGTGTGATAGAAGATGATGACGCTGCTGCTAGTTGTAGTTCAAGTTTGTTCCCGACATTTATTTAAAGTTGGCTCCAACGTCGATTTATTTTGGCCTCAAAGTGACGCATCCATGATCCGAGTCCTTCCCCAGCATCCGCCTCGCGTCTATCGCCTCCTCTGATTCGATCATCTGTGACCCTGACAAGAGCCTCCACTGCGCCTTGCACAACCTTCTACACTGTACTACATACTGGACAACATTATTGTACAATGTTGTGCTACTACTTGTTATGACGCCTGCACTGGCTTCTATGAGACTGCGCAGTTCACGACAGCTACTAGTAGTCTATTCTAGTGCCTGCGTGCTTATTCGTGAGTTGAACGTGTGCTTGGAGCCCACATCGACACAAGGGTACCTCGCACAACGCCATCATTCGCCTTTGCATTCAGCATTGTGATTGTGTATACGGGGACTGTCTCGTGACCGAGAACACCAAATTCATAGCTATACCGAATTGCTGTGCAATGTTGATGTCTGCTTTTTGCAGGCACATGCTAAGCCAGACCTGGGCCAACACGTCCGGCAGCGTGGGCCTTCCTCCTTCCTCCTTCCGCCCAGATCCCTCGCTATTTTTTCGACTGCTCCCCAAGTACGCCCCTCCACAAGGTGAGCCTTCGCAGACCCGAACAAGAAGACTGGTTTCAGGATGCCGTCCTCCCAAGGTAGAATGCCCTGTATCGGAGAAAGAAATAATGATATAGAACGATGATCTCGTCGTCAAAGAAGGCCGTCCGCAGGCGTAATTGAAAGAGTGCGGGCTGATTGTATATAAAACCAGTCCTGAACTCTCACCCCATTCCCAGAGCTGAACATTGCCATACCTGTCCAATTACAATGCACACAAGAAGCGTAATACATCTCCTCAAGCTACAGAGGCATTCGAGTAGCTCTTGCACAGTTGGACGTGAAGATTCGTGGGTTTTGAAAGAGTCTCCAGAAACGACAGCATTGCTATCATATGACGTGCGCTGCACCATCGTCAAAGGTATGTTCGGTGCCGATAACATCTATCTCTGCTGATCAAAGTTAGTCGGCGCACGCAGTAGGCTTCCGAGTCTTGACTCACCCTGCGCCCGCGTCCCCCTGAATAGCCAGTCTGCACCGGAGGCGAATAGAAGAACTGCTGTTGCTGGGGATAGTTATACACGTTATTGGGCCCTGTCGGAAGGTAGTTCTGCCCCGGGAATCCTGCCGAACCAATAACAGGACTCATATGGGCAGAGAAAGACAAAGGCGATGATGAGGGATTCTGCAGAGTGCGGAAAGGATCGACAGAGGGGGGCGTCGCGAAGCCCGTATAACCGCTGGACATATAGCCAGTGCTCGACCGTGGCCCCTGGTTGGGGAAGTTTTGATATTGAGTCTGCGGAGTCACCTGCTGGTATGGGAGTTGAGAGTATGGTTGTTGTCCTTGGAAACCGTTCACGCCGTATGGTGCAAGACCGAACGATTCAGCCGATCCCGTCCTGACGGGGCTCATCCCGTTCTCAAAGGCATTAGCATTGGCGCCAGGTCCGAAACCGCCGTTGGATTGACGTGGGAAATTCGGGGGCGGCAGTCCGCTTCCAGAGGCTTGCTGCGCATGTGTCGGCGGGCGACCTCGATCATTCGTGGACGGGTGCGCGTGAGCAGGATATTGCGGGGCCGGCACCTGGTTAGGTCGCATGGACATACCGACCTCGTCCATGATTCTCTTGTAACCTTGGTTGGGCTGGGCCTTAATCTTGGTAAGCACCCGGGCAACATTCTGCACGACCTCCGGACGCATATTATCGTCGAGGAATGGCGTGGTCAAAATCTTGAAGATTAGCGTCACTCCTGACGTCTGATCGCACAGAATCTGTTCGAGAACGGCGTCGTTGGGGCTGAAGAAGAGAGCTTTAAGCACCATATCTCTCGCTTCCGGCTCGTTCCGTTGATTGATCACCTTCAGCACGGTCAAATATGCAACCTTGTGAGTGCAGAGTGGAACGAGGTGAGGGATCAGCCTAGGGGCAAGGACGGATCGTCGGCGAGGGAAGGTACATGTATCGAGCAGCCACGTCAACAACAGTGCTCCGTTGGCATTTTGTGCTAGCTGGACGCTATGCAATGCGATTGCTGCGGCCATCATGCGTTGCTGGTTCTTAGTAGAATGATGCGACTCCAGGCAAGCACGCATGGCTCTAGCCCCAAATCGGCCTTGCGCAATCTCCCAAAGCTGGCTGAGCATGGTTTCGAAAATGAAGTCGTTGTAGGGCGAGCCAAAGCGAAGGCAGCACTGCAGGACGTAATTTCCATATTGATCCAGGAAAAGGGCAACAGTGTATGGACGAAGCGCATCGACAATCATGCGAGTCTGACTTTCAGTCTTGCACACGTCGATGATCTTTTGCGCTGCCCATGTTCCATTTTTGTGCACTCCAATCTCCGCCAAATGTGGAGCAATGCGTGTCAGCATCTGCTCCTTGGTTTGCTCCGAGCAGTATTCAAAAAGCTTCTGGACTACGGTGTTCCCTAGGTAGTCAGAAGAAAGCTCTGCAATTTCAGGAAGCATGTCGATGGCGATCTGCTCAACTTCTTGAAGTCCACAGGCACCGTTGTCAATCCGTTTGCGGAAGTCTCGTAACCTAGGAGCATCATACATTCTCGCCGCACTCGGTTCTGGAATGGGTGGAATCTCCCTTTCCAATTTCTGATACCGTATGGCACTCTCAAGGTTCGCAGATACTGAAGGTAGGTCTGATTGCTGGCCACCAAAATCCAGGACAATTTGCAAAATCTCCGGCTGCAGCTCGGCCAAACGGTCACCAGTAGGCTGAGAAAGGGTTTGTTCGGCATTGGTTGCACCCGTTGTGCCCACATTCCCGTCTTTACCACGCGAAGTCTCGAGCGATCCTGTAACCGCCTGTGAGCCCGGTGGGGGAGTGCTGTTTTGGTTTGGAGTCAAAGATACAGATGCGTTTGGAGCTTTGGCAAACCCGATCCTAACAGGGCCTGCTCCAGGGAAGATTTCCTGGCCGTTGAGAAGGTGGCGGGCACGGATAGCAGGCTCTACGGACTCAAAGTTCACGAACCCGCAGTTTTTGTGGGTGAGCACTCTCGTCGACTCGATCGGCCCAAAACGGCTGAAGATGGCGTCCAAGGACGACATGGTGGTGGAGTTGGGGATGGAACCGATCCATAAAGACCGCGACGGCTGGACTTCTGGATCCTCCATGGTCTCATACGGGAGCTGCCCATGCTCGATAATGTTTAAGCCCTGCAAAGCGTCGGAAAGGGCAGCTTCTTCCATGCCGCTGGAACTCTGCATATCGAAGCCCATGTTCGTGGCGTCGGTGTCATCGGGACGCACCAAATGGCGGAGCGACGTACGCTGTGGGGTTTCCACCAGGCCAGCAGTGCGGGCGCGCGGACGTGCAGCACTAGCATTCACAGCAAAGGCCTGAACAGCTTGGTTGTGAAGACGGACCTTTTCCTGGACACGTTCGTATTCAGCTTCCAGAGCAGCCGCCGCAGATGGTGTCAAGGTCCCACTCGGGTATTGGGTGTGGGCATGGTCATCATCTTGGCCTTCGTTGCCGTACTTTGGTTGCGTGTTGACCGAAAATGATCGGAAGCGACCTGAATTGCGCATACCAAAACTGGCCAGGACGTCAGACAATCCAGAATCCTGCGTCCGAGAAGGGTCATTCCCGTCGTGCCGCATTGCGTCCGACAATCTCGATTGTGGTGGGGGCTCTGCTAGACCCAGGTAGTCAAGAGTGCGGACTCCCGAGTCGGACATGTTCAGGCCAGACTGTTGAGGTGAAGTCGGGTCTTCGGCGGAACTGATACTGGTCAAAGTAGCAGCACGAGTCCTGGTGCCCCATCCGGAGTTGAAAGCAGCCTGGCCGAAGGAGCTGGACTGTCCTAACAAGCTCGCCCGCTGAGGCATGCTACCTGCCCGTAGTCGGGAGAGCAGGGCAGAATTGGCTGAGTTGGCTGAGCTTGATGCATTCGAGTAGAAAGCCGTCTCCGCGGCCGATGTCGAGCCTGGTCGGAAGGGGCTGGTAGAGGGTGTGGGCCGCGAAGTTTTCGAGGTCAATACATTGACTCCATTAATGGTGCCAACGGGCGAGATTCTCGACGGAAGCGTTCCTGCACGACCTCTTCTGGCTGGGCTGTTTATACCGGTTTCCGTCAGGGGCACCAGGTCGGGAAAACCGTCTTGACTGGGGGACTCTGGAATCTCGAAAAGCGGGGTGGAAGTTCCGCTTGTAGGAGGGCCCCAAATGTTTGAAGACAGACCAGTGGTCTGAGATTGTAGTTCTCGAGTGCGTTTGGGAAACAGTCGCGAAGTCTGTTCGTGAAGAGGAGAGCCTGCTCCTGCTCTTGAACCAGACAAACCTGTCAACCCGGAGGACTTTGGTCCACCAAAAGGAGATTTCGTCGTAGGCACCGTAGGAGGCTCGCTAATGGTGTTCAATCCGGATAAATTGATATTCAGCTGGCCTTCTGGCTTTGTCGTAGGGGCCATGGTAGCTCAATGGCCGCAGAACGGCGTCGTACTGACTTGTTTCAAGGTCGGCTGCCGCAGCCTGTACAATGGGCAACTTTCAAGGTGTACCAGCTACTTATATAACCTTTATTCCTGTCGGCGTTGTGGCAGACGTATTCAATCAAAAGAATGTGAGGTTGAGGCCCCAGACCTTGAGTGAGTAGCGGTGACAGCGTGTGCGTTTCGTCGTGCTGCAAGATTTATATGTTCAGTTCCGACCAGCGCACAGGAGGGGAAAGGTATATCTTTTTGCAACCACCTCAATGGGATTGTAACGGAAAAGAGGAATATGAAGGACTATGATCGTGGCAGCTGCGTGAATCGAGGGCTCGAGACGAGGATGGCTTCGTGGATGGACTGGTATTACTCTAGCAGCTGTAGAGCACGAATTGCTCAGTAAGAGGTCGTATTATGGAACCATAACATAAACGATGGAGAGAATCGAAGCAGCACTCCAGGGCTGAACGGACATTAGAGAGGAGGATTGGAAGTCAAGGCACGAGGCAGACGTCAAAAAGAAAGAGTGCGATAGAAGGAAAATGGGGAGTTGGAGGATGTAGTGCAGAGGAAGATGCAGTGGATGGATGTCAATCAGGGGGAAGCCCAAAAGAGCTGCGGGAGAAGCGCAGACGACGCACTGCAGAACAAACTTGAAAGGACTCGGGAGACGTGGACTGCGCGTGTGCGGACAGGCCCAAAGCTACAGTAATGTCCAGCTGCCAACTACCAGGTACAGAGCATCCCAGCTCCAGGGACTTTCTGTGTAGTGCTACCTCATGTATAGCGGTGAAGTTCCTCTTGTTGCACGCTCCTCGCTACATTATGTTGAATATCAGACTCCTTCTCGTCAGTAGTTTCATCTCGTTGAAGCCACTTCCAATGATCGTTCATGAGATGTTTCCACGCATCGACTCCGCCGCAGAGGAATGATGCACTGGACGATTGAAGCCCTGCCCAAACCCAATGCTACCTAAGACACGGGACGTCGCTCGTCCTCATCTAAACCCTCAGCTATCGACGCAGAGCTTGAAGCTGTAGCATCTACTAGACAATGGAAAGAGGAATACTACACAGGAGCCCGCTGGGGGCCACATCGGTGCCGACACACTCCCTTGTACAGTACCTACCGACGTAGCTGGGAGCAGCCTATAACGGCCACCAGGGCCAGGGAGGCCATCTCCCGCACCAAGTCCAAACCACAAGCGTCTTCCGCAGCCGGGCCTGAAACATCCCCATTTGTCCACCCACCACTACTAGCGACACCTCCGGTGCAATCCATCATCCTCAATCCCCAAACCTTGGAAGAGGATGACTGATCATCCTCTTTCGCGAAGTGCTAGAGGTTCTTGTCACTACTCCGCGCCTGCGTTCAGCCAACTCTTGGTGGACGAGGCCAGGATCTATTCCTGGGCACCGCCGGTTGAAGACCAGAGACTTGCCAGTGTACACACTCTTGAGCTGTGGTCGACTGCAAAAGATCCTGAAACACTGGCGTCCGGCTCAAACGACCAACCACATCCTTGGGCCGGGAAGTCCTCCGCACCCGAAAGCACCCTTCTGGCGAATGCAGCTTACGACTCACAAGAGAAGGTGTCTTTTCACGCACGGGCACCCCTGTTGGCGGCTTGCGAGGATCGAGGCAGTTATCAAGCAGCCCAACCCCTGAAGAGAGCTCTTGCCAACGACTGGCATTGACGGGTGATCAGAGCAGAATCTTCACAGGCTGGCAGCCTATTATTGCCAAATAATATACTGTCAGCCTCCCGCTGTCCAGCTATCACTGTTCCCCATCTAATGAGAAGACGCGCGGCATGGTCACTAATGTCGGTTCCTAGTCCATCACATGGGGCTCTCCGACCAGCCGATATTCAGATTTTCCAAAGAACTTGAATTGAAACACTGCTAGAGGAAGGATTCGCCTACAAAATGGCGCCTTGCTGTGTCACGCACCACCCCTGAACGCAGGACATTACTATTTGAACTCCTCCAACCTCACTGGAGCAGTATGTCTCCCTCCTCCGTGTCTCCAATGGCAAAGCGCGAGGCAACGACTGCCCACTGCAGGAACAAACCATGATGAAAAGAATTTGGGCTAGCGACTGTGGCCGACGCTGATTGATGATTGTCCTTGCCACCCCAACAGCTTCCTACTCTCGAGCAAAGCTTTGAGCTTCTGGAGCACTTGCCGGACCAGCCATATATTCGAGCATAGGAAACAGGCCAGCCTGGCGGGCGCATTCTATGGCTAGGATCGATCATTGTGCACCGTCCTTGATGGCAATACGAAGTCTGGACATGAACTTACGAAAGCATCATGCCACTAACCAGGGCATTATGCTTTGCGGGTAGCGTTCGACTCCACCGCGGAAGGAGCGCAGTGAGTAGAAGCTCGAGCTTCACTATACAGTCCTTTCAATCTGTCCCTTGAGGCGGATACTGCAGGGGGACAATCCTTGGTGGTGAGTTGAGTTGTCCAATATGCAATGTAGTCTACCCTAAGGTTTGCCTGCGCCGAACCCTGCACTAACCGTTGCCGCGGATCGGGCTATTGTTCCCGTCCTTTTCATCCTGATCTTTCGCTACAAGTAGCGTACATGATATTTGGGTTTAACTCCCTTCGGTACGGCCCTGGCAGGATTGAATGGGAAGGATCGAGTCGCCCAAGGCAGACTGGGATCCGCCGGGAGCGGACAGGCTTGTTGTATTGTTTCTCTCAGGGCCCTGTACACTCGTTACGACTGTCCAGATGAGCAGGTTACCCCCATGAAAGTGGTGGGAATGGCGGAGTGGTGAGAGCATCCAATCGCCGGGCGCGGGAGTGTTGCAGTCACCGAAACTCACATGGGGGTTCTCGAGATGGTATGATGGGCAGATATATCAACAGGTGAGGCAACTTGGATGCAGGCCATTACCTGATCAATCTCTAGCGCAGATGAGTACCTACGTACTAGTATTTGAGGGAGAAAGAGCGGGAGAGGTAACAGTAATGATGTTTTTAAGGTGACAGTTTGTATGTGACAAAGATGAATGTCCGGATCTGCAGCCGTATCTCCGTGCTGGTGCAATTTGTTCTGTAGACGGTTGTGTTCGCTTCACGTTGTCTCTCCAAAGTCTAGAACCCAACATCCTCGACACGCTGCATCCTGGACCCCAGCGAAACACGAAAAGGGAGCTCCAGAAAACGACCTTCTCTGTCCTTTGTGATCTCGGATCTTTTGTGACGTCTTTCTACCAGGCCTTTGGACGCATACATCGATTGTCCTCCATCCCACGTTATCAGGCTGGAGATTCTCCCACTCTTCAACCTTGCTCAACCACGCAGGTTTGGCAATGACCCTCCACTGCCAGCATGAACTCTATCACCGAGCCATTACCTGGCCTCCTTGACGATCCTCAGTTTCAAATCTCTGATCTGCCTGCTTTGACCGAATTCCAAATCGCTCCTCTACGCAACCCCGCGCCTACCAGACATGGGAACGTCCCGTTGCCGCTGGAGCCCGGGGCCAACAACATTATACAAAGCAGTCGGACTACCAAGCAGAACACGCTTGCGGAGGAACGCAGCGAGAAGAAAAGAGCTCCCAAAATCACACCCAATGATGTGCTGCTGGCTAGAGAATCAAAGAAACCACATTTGGCCATTAGCGAACTGCTTGAAGCCAGAGATGGTCAAGAAATCGTTCCGACGCAGCTTCCTTCATTCATCAGTCTGTCAGTGGTGGAGAAATCGCCCATTCAGGCGCCCGCCACTTTGGAACATCCCTATGCTCAGAAGCGGCCGAGGATCGATGTGGAAAATGAATCCAATTCACTGGATTTGATCCGACGACTGCCCCGGCCGGCACCGAAAGATGAACGACAGAACCGGCCCGCCCCTATGCTGCCCGCGATGGTAACCGGACTACATGAGCCTCCACCGTCTGCGGCTTTGCTCCCTTCTATCGATGTCGACTCCCGGCCTGGGCTATCCCGCTCAAACACCACCTCCAAGATCCATGTCAAGGACATATTAACCGAATCGGCCCAGTACACTTCCCCAGCTCATGCCAACCCTTCCGCCAGTCAAGTTGATCAGGAGACGCCCACGTCGAGGCAGCTTACAGGTGTTCACACCACCTCGTTACAGGAAGCTGCCGTGCCGGCCAACCCGAAGCCGGTATTTGCACTGACCGCGTCGAAAGATAGCAAGCCTCGGCGTACACGACGTAAATGGTCCGAAAACGAGACGAGAGATCTTCTAGCCGGCGTGAAGAAATACGGTATTGGCAAATGGAAACAGATCCTCGACGATCCCTCTTTCGAATTTAGTGATCGCAGCTCAGTCGACCTCAAGGATCGCTATCGAGTATGTGCAAACAATGACTCAGTTCCTAGGACAGATACAGGGTTTGTCAAAACGCCCCCTGACACCGAGACATCAGCCTTTACAGAAGGCTCCGGTGCTCCTCCAGACTCCAGTGCTCCACCAGACTCCAGTGCTCCTCCAGACTCCATCTCGCCGGATAGGGGTGTTGGCACAAGTTCGTTGCGGGATTCAGGTCAATCCGGGAAACCGCGCCGCAAGCGCCGAGCCTGGACCACTATTGAGGACAGGAATCTGCTCAAAGGCGTGGGCAAACACGGATTCCAATGGACCGCCATTCACGATGATCCTGAGCTTGACTTACACCACCGCCGAGCGACCGATCTACGTGACCGTATACGCACCAAGTATCCAGAAGGCTATAAGCACGCCGAGACTGCGCCCCTCAAATCGGAGCTCAAAAGGACCGACAAGCTCGGCGGTCAAACAACTGTGCCGAAAGCTGCTGGTACAGGGACCGGCAAGGTTGGAATCCCCGCCAGGAGCCCAGAGTCATCATCAACATCGCCAAACCATCAGGCCTCTTCTGCCTTACGTTCGAATTCCAACATTTCACTGCACGGCATCGCTATCAGTGGGCTGACAAAACGGTCCACGTCTTCCAGTAGCATGACCATGTTACTCCATTCCGCGGATAAAGAGGACCACCAGGACCGCGAAGGCGCCAAAGACAAAGACAAAGACTATACAAGGGACAAGTCGAGCGAGAAGGACCAACAGCAACTACTACAACAACAGCAGCAGCAGCAGCCAGGCGTCACCTTGCCGAGCTTCACGCTTGATGTCGGCGACAACATGGATTGGGAGGACAACAGGCTACCTCCGCTCCATGAGTGGGAAGAAATCGGTATGTAACACGACAGCGGTCGCATAGGGGCGTGCTGTCAAATCACCGCCTTTCGAATGGGCTTTTTCGAGCAAAAGAGCACGATTTGCTCCAAGTGTGGAGCAGGAGTACCAAAAAATAGGGTGATTGCAAGAGCGCTTCCGCCATCGCTGACTTCTTTTTTTTTTTTCTTTCGCTTTCGCTGCTTAGACATGGTCCGAGCAGACCTTGGGTCTTGTAGCGACGTGAGGCAGCTGTATGCATAAATGACATGATTTCAAATCTGCTTATGAACGTTGATCCCCATGTTACCGGCGAGGTATCGGGTCCAGTACCTATATCGCAGTGCAGCAGTGAATCTTACGAACTCGAATTGTTGCTGAGCAGAAATAGACAAACGCTGCGAGTACTAAGCAAAAACATAGGAAACCTGGATGTAGCTAAAATGGCTTAAGCAGTAGTAGTTCAATGTCTTCATGTCATTGCTTTTCAGCCCTAGCAAACTGCTCCCGCTACGCAAGGTGTTGCATCCTTACCACCGAAAGATATGGGAACATCTGTAGGCCGGTTCAACATTGACACGTAGAGACTTTCCCACCCAACCAAGCTGATTGAAATTGAACGAAAGTGCGAGGTTCTGATCCCAGGCCCAACGGTATCCTGCGCGTTTCCAGCCCGATATACGTACATAGTCGACGGGTTGTTGTTCTCTTTCATTTTGCTTTGCTTTGTCTTTTGCTTTCTCTGCGGGTTAACTGTGATAGTAGGAGGAAGGAATGACTCGGTCGGTTCCCCCATACGCAAGCCTGGAGACTCATACAGCAAGCGGCGGGTTGAATCGAGCATGCGGGCATCTTTTGATGTAGGATAGAGTTAGAGTAGTGCAGACCATTTTGGGCCGGTCTGGGCCAAAAGTCGTGCATTGGAATGGGGTTTATCATTATGAGGGCGGGGCCCTCCGACGCTCTTCAACATCATCCGCCACTTCACCAAGCGTTGCGGTCCCAGTTCGGATCTGTCGTCGAGTTGGAAAACATGGTCAGCCTAGTACTTCGCAACCGAGACATGACCAGGGAGGGCCGTGAAGGAGCACCCTGCATGCTTCTGCTTACCTTGTATGAATGCGCCTAGCACTTTACTACCAGTCTGCAATAGCGGGTGACCTGCCACGATCTGCAAGAACCGCTGAAGCCCTTCTCTTCGGTGCTCGATGACATCGTCGGAGAAACGGTTGGTAAACACCTTTCCCGGCAACGGAGGGATCGTGACTCTGGCACTCTCCCTCTCCAGAATGTCGCGGAAGTACTCGAAGTCGGAATATCGGCGGCGCACGACCGAATGGCGCAGTTTGAAGGCCGGGATGTTGGTGCGCGTATGGATCTCGTACGATGTATACATGTTTCGAGGAGAAGAGCCGTGCGTTTGTGGGTTTTTGACCTGTATAGTATTTGTGTCAGCCGGCATGCAGGCGTCAGTCGGATCGGATCAGAGCTGTTGCCGCCGGCGGGTTGTGCACCAGCTCCTGCGAGGACGTACCTCTATTTCTAAGAAGTTTTCGGGAGGGCCATAAATCTCCTCGAAGGTCTGTTGTCGTGGTTCTGGTAAGGCTTGCATGATTGCGACGGTGGATGGCGGGGTGATGGGGCAGGAGAGGTGGGATGCGGGAGGGAAGTGATATATCGGGTTGCTCGCGTGCAGTCCGATCAAGCTGTTATCGAATCAGTCCAGACGATAGGTGCAACGGTGCTGTCTAGGACGAGTCCACGGAGTGTATACTAGGTGCAGCTGATGTAGGGAGGCGTGCGTTGTGAAAAGGTTGTCGTGGTGGTTTGCGGCTTCTCAAGGTTCTGGTGCTGGTGTCTCACTAAGTTGCTGATATTCTTTGTCGCACTGCAACTTGTGAGTGATCGTCTCTTGTCTTCAAGTTGTCTGGAACTTTCCTGCGCTTCTAGAACTGGAATTGGAGCTGGCGGGGTTTCGGCGAATCATTGATCCCTGCTGAGTCATCTTTGAGTCATTCTCAGCCTTGCGCTGCGCTGCACTGGCACCCCACACTGCCAGTGCTGTCGGTGGTCGGAGGTTCGGCGCCTTGGCATAAATAAAAAAGTTCAAGAGTTCCTTCCGGCGGCAGAGGGTGTCAGCCGTATATTTACAAAGACTCACTACGGGTTGTCTGCCAACGATGTCAGATCCCGGTTTGAAAATGTCGAAGAACTTGAAACGGAAGAGGGAAGTGGACACCGAACTGGTGCAGGTTTACGAACAGCTCGCCGATGACAATGAGTCGGTTCGCCTCAAGGGTGCCCATACCCTGGTGTCGAAGATCTTCAAGCCGGGCGTCACCAGTGCAGAACAGACGCGGACAATTTTGACAAGGTTGTTTCGCGGCCTCTGCAGTAGTCGAAAAGCTGCACGACTTGGCTTCTCTGTTGCATTGACGGAGCTGCTTTCACAATTGCCCCTGGAGTTGGATTCAGGTTCAGAAATCAGCTTGTCGGTCGGGACCATTGTGGACATTCTCGAGGCCCAGACCGTCCCGGAAGGCGGCACAAGCGGTCAAGATGAGCGTGACCACTACTTTGGTCGAGTTTTTGGAGCCGATGCGGTGCTGAAGTCCGGGGTTCTTCTGAAGAAGCCCGATCTCGCTGTCTGGAAGCGCCTGTTGGATTTGATCTGCAGCTTGGCCATCAAGAAACCCTGGCTTCGTCAAGAGTGTGGCTGGATTTTGGTGAATTGTATTGTGTTGAATCGTGAGAAACTGCCGGATACTTTTGTAGCCGAGATCATCGAACAACTGGCCGCGCACAAACTGGTCCGATCGCCCGAAGGAGTTGCCATCTGGTTGACGGCAGAGCGACTTTTTCCTTCGGCCAATCTGCCGCGGTCGGTTTGGAAGCACGGGGACCCGCTTGCGAAGAAGGATGTGAATGTCCTGGCCGAGTTCCTTAAAGATGCCCGAAGCCAGTCGTCAGAGCAAGAGGATTCCGAGCTGGAAGTGCAGGGTTCAGCTAGGTGGTCTGCCAACCTTCATTTTGCATGGGACATCGTGCTGGATGAGATCTTCCGAGGAGAAGCTTCTTCCAAGGGCAAATCGGACAGGGTCACTTTCGACAAGTTCTGGGACACGGTTGTTGACAAAGGACTTTTTTCTCCCTCCAGCAGCACGGAACGAAAGGCTTGGGGGTTCAGTCTCTGGAGGAAGGTCTTTGAGAAAGCTCCTCAGCATTTGCTAGAGCACACCTTTACGCCTCAAGCCACGCGTTGCCTCGCCAATTCCTTGAAGAGCTCGGAAAGATTCCTTCAGAAACATGCACAGAGGCTGTCCCAGGCATTCCACACTCGCCTTGTTCCCGAGGACCGCACCGCTCGCAGGCATGGGGTGACGGGGGCCTGCATCCGGGCACTTCTCGAGAGTGTTTCTTACGGCGACTTTGATCAGCTCACCAAGTCCAAGACGTTCCAGAGTTTTGTGGAGTTGGAAGATCCCCAGATTCTCGAGGCTGTTTATTGGACTCTAGACTCAGTCTTGAGAACAAAATCAGCTGAAGACGAAGACCCCAAGACCACCCTGATCCGGCAAAAGACTTGCATCAGCCTGGAATCAAAGGTGGTTTCGGCATTGTTGCGCAGTCCAGACCAGAAGACGCAAACGCATACTGAAAGCAGCGCTGACGCCACTAAACAGAGGACTGAGCTTGCGAAAATCATTTTGTCGGTGTGGGTATCAGAGGTCTGTTTCTGGGCCCACCCCGATGCCTCTAGACATGACACCAGGGAACATACCATCCATACCATCCTTCCCGAGGTATGGGAATTTCTCAAGGAGCGTTTTACTCTTGCCTTGGAGCAAGCACTGAGGCTAGGCCCCATCGGGGCCGACGTCTTGCTCGAAGTTGTCCTTCATATTCCAGACATTGAAAAGAAGATTCGCAAAGCAAACACCTTTGACGACAGCGTCCAAGATATAGTGCAGAAGGGGTGGCACGTGCTCAAGAATATCCCAACAACGTTTCACACGCCTGAAAAGAAACGCGCATCAGCAGCCCGACAGAAGGAAACAAAGGCGAAGACAACGACCAACGACACCACCAATGGTACATTTCCCACATTTGCAGATGGCCTGTCGCTGCTCTATGCCGTCGTGCTCCTGCAGGCATACCTTGATGAGACGGATGCGGTCGAGATATTACAGGAACTCCTCCAACACCAGCAGCAATGGGGATTGGAAAAGCAAAAGCGCAAGGCTAAGGACAGTGGTGCAAGTGCAGTTCCCGAGTCGATCGACGACATAGTCGAAATCATCCTGAGCTTCGCATCCAAGCCATCCAAGTTTCTCAGACGGATCTCGGTCGAGATTTTCGATGCGTTTGCCCCGCACATAACCGAGCAAGGGCTGGAGTCTCTGTGTCAGATCCTGAAAACCAAAGAGAATGCACAGGGCCAGCAGGAGATGTTCCAAGCAGAAGAAGACGTCGACATGGAAGATGGAGATGATTCGGACGTGGAAGTAGACTCGGATGTCGAAGTCGAGTCCGTTTCCGAGTCTGATGATGACGACGACGATGCTTCCTCGTCTTCCGCTGCCTCTGAGGACGAGGAAGGCGAAGAAGACGACGATGAAGACGAAGAACTCGCCAAGTTTGACGCCGCACTTGCCTCGGCTCTAGGCACACGACCACTTGACCAGAACGACGTTGCTGCCGACAACGACGAGGATGATGAAGACTCCGACCAAGACATGGGCGACGACGAAATGATGGAGCTGGACAACAAACTGGCCGAAGTGTTCCGGGCGCGACAGACCAAAAGCAAGAAAAAGGAAGCAAAGGACGCGCGTGAGAACGTGGTCAACTTCAAGAATCGGGTGCTGGACCTGATCGATTCGTACCTCAAACATCAGCAGCATAACCCTTTGACTATCAATCTACTTGTGCCGCTGCTGAGACTCGCACGCACCACACGCACCAAGCAGCTGGCCGATCGGGCATGCAACATTCTGCAACAGTTCTGCGCCCGCTGCAAGGGGTTCAATGTCCCCCAACTGAACAATGCTTTAGAGCCCGATCCATCGCTTGCTGTCCTCGAGACTCTCGTGGGTATCCACGAGGAAGCGGCGCGCGAATCGTCAAACGCCCACTCCAGCGTCGCCAGCCAGGCGAGCATTCTGGTCGTCAAAGTCCTCGTCAAGGCCGACCCAGGTCATATCGAGGATATAGTCGACATCTACGCCGACACCAGGCGGAGACAGTTGACCGACAAGAGTGCCCGCATCCTGCCGGGTTTCTTTACCGATTGGAACAATTGGTGCCAGAGTGCGAGGGAGAGATTGATTCAGCAGATGGGCCTGATCCAAATTTGAGAACGGACACAACACCTATGGTTTCACCTGCCCCAGACATTGCTGAAGCTGGATGGGTATGTGTTCATCTATGTAGTGATATGTAAATGCATGCGTCTACGGTGTACCTGTTTATGTCGGTACATGAACCAGCGCCTATAGATAGATACCATAGTTGCAGTCGTGTGTGGACAGGATGCTTTGCTCGCAGTATATAAGTCCCCTCGTGAGCAGAAGTGAGACAAAAAATATCAGTACTTCTCACTCGGTGCCACAGTGACACCCTCTTCGACCTCATCATCACCTTCCCCATCTCCGCTCGCCGGTCCAACGCGATCACGCGCGGTCGTCTTCTCATCCACGTCATTTGCATTGTCCACATCCATGCCCAAAGTCAGTGGCTCGACCGAATCCCCAAAGACCTGGCCAATATCCTCAAGCGAACGGCCCTTCGTCTCCGGGAAATAGAACCACACCACCAAGAAGATGACAGTGGTGACAGCAATAAACACCAGATAATATTTCCACTTGATGGCAGCAAACGCCGACGGAGCGGCCTGCAAAAACACAATCGTGGCAATAAACAGGCCTGAAATCGAGACCGCCAAACCCTTTGCGCGCACGGGAGTGGGGAAGATCTCAGCCGCATAAATATAGCTGGTGGCGTCGCAGCAGGCCGAGAAGAAGGCGATATGCAAAAACAGGAAAAACACAGCTGCGCTGGCGGATCCATGGGATCCCGTCCGTTGGAACACGTCGACCGTCGCGCACTCGCCAATTAAGGCGACCACGCATCCAGCGAATCCGACCATGAGCATTCGTGTGCGGCCGAATCGGTCAACGACGAGAGAGTTGAGTAAATTGCCGAATGGGCAGACGGTGATCCAGCAGCCTTGGATGACGAGTTGGGGCACAGTAGAGAAGCCGAGTGAGGCGTAGAGGGAGGGGCCGTAATCTAGAGAGAGAGATCAGAGGTAAGTATGATAGAAACACCAAAGAACAAAAAAGGGGTCGTCAAGAAGTGGTCATGCAAGGTGACCAGGTAAAGTGATGCAAAAGAGTAAAACTCACTATTGATAACCAAAGTTGCCGTGCCCTGGCATCCAAACATAGTCAACCAGCCGACGAGACATCTCTTGCGGAAATGGGGCAACTTGAACAATGAGACCAACGACAACTCCTCCTGTTTCTCATGCAACAGCTGGCCCTGCAACAACTTGAACTCGGCACGGATGGCATGTTCATTGTTCAACATGGCATCGTCGCTCTCGGCGCGCACCGCCACGAAAGACTTGTACGCCTCATCGACGCAGTTCTGGTCGAGCAGCCAGCGGGGCGATTCGGGCAGGAACAGAACGCCCAGCGACAGAAACAAGGGTGGCAAACACTGGATGGCCAGAGGGAGCCGCCACTGCGCACCGCTCGCGTTGACGAAATAAAACCCGAGCCCGATCCAGCTGGCTAGGGAGTAGCCGACACAGATTAACACGCCGTGCATGCCGACCAACAGACCGCGAATGCGAGGCGGAGCAATCTCCGACTGATACAGAGGTACCAGACCGACCAGAGCCCCGATGCCGATCCCCGTCAGGAACCGCATCACCAGGTACATGCCGATGTTGACGCTGCCGGCTTGCAGCGCGCCGCCGATGAGGGTGATGATCGCGTACAACAGCAGGGCCTTGCGGCGGCCGAGCCAGTCTGGCGTCTTGATGATCGAGAGAGCTCCCAACAGACCGCCCGCCTGGAAAAGTCCGTTGATCGCCCCCGTCAGGTCCGTCGCATTGGATCGCGTGTCCAGGTCAAAGTACGCGATGAACGAGGGCTGCCCCAGCGTCGTCGCAATAATACTGCTGCAGTAGCCATACGTCAGGGATCCGAGTGCGACGAATATGACTATCTGTGCGAGACAACATCCGCCCGGTCAGTCTATGAATGAATAACAACATAACATATCCGGTTTGGTATAAAGTGAGGTGGTCTTGAAGGCTTGGGGTGGGTTGTATGGACATACCAAAAACCGAACGGCGGTCGGCGAAAGCACCATGCTGGGCTAAGGGCAAGAAGACAAGGCTCGATTTAGTCACGTCGAGCCCTCACACCTTCTGTCGTTGTCGTGATACGGGGAGTGTCGATGGGGAGGGAAGTCAGAAAGTTTCCACAACCCACGGCTGCCGGAATGGTCAAAAAAGCCTTTTGGTTCTCTCCCCTGGTACTCGGACCAAACCCTGCAAGCTTCGTCGAGGCCTGGAGTCTGGGGTAGAGATGTCTTATACGAGTAGACTCACGTACAGTGTACTAGGTAGCCGGAAAGGGGCTCGAGCTGCCAACCCCCCCAAGCCCCGGCGATCGGTCCAGGAGACTTGATGGGACATGGCCGGCGACGTCTTTGTTGGATGGAGCGCCGACAGAGATTTTCCTGGGACACTGTTAGCTGCCGAGTGGTCTGTCGTTCGCATCCCCAACCAGGAGGGAAGCAGTGAAGGGAGAAAACAGACCGGTTGAATTTTAGCTGGAAGCAAATGGATCAAAAGGTCGAGGCCGACTCCACCAAATGGTGTATCTTATACCATGCCCACGAATCGCCATGATGCATAAAGAACCCGCGTTGAGCCCGGTCCAATTCGCTTGTCAACCAGAAGCCAACGCCACGGGTTTAGTGCCAGAACAATTCCTCAGAAACCAATATAAAAGCCTGTTTTAACGTAAGCTGTCCCACCAGCCCACAGCGTCGGGCGCCGGTTGCGTCTCCATCGCGTGCCAGCACCACAGAAGTCCAGAAGCAACGCCAAAAAGAGTCCTGAGGAGATTTTCCAGGCGCCGAACGGGCCGTTGAATATTAGATACATAAGATATGTAGATGTATCACCTGTGATGCGATAATGATAATATTGATGCGACGTCGTCGGCTCCAAACTTCATGGCTCATAGGTAGCTAAGCACAGTGTACCGGGCGCGAGAGAGACTCGGCGAGGCTATGCTGCCAATGTCTTTGCCGTAAGGTATGTAACACGGACAATCTCCTCTCTAAGGCACTACATGCTATGTACCTAGTATCAATTTTCATTGCGAGAAAACATGGAAACCGAAAATCGGTGGTTGATCGTGATCATTGTGCTTATTTGAAAAAGGTCGTAATCTCATGAAACAGCGCGCAATTCATGTTGACAGCCGTTGCCGTCGGGCTTCTCTCATCAAACATGCAACCTTTGCCGGGTGCTCTCGTGCTTTCTCTGTCCTGTTCTGTCTGTTCTGGGCTGCCCAGTGTCCAGTCTGTGCAGCTTACAAGCCCTCAAAAGCACCACCGCAGACCAACTCATCCCAAAGAATGCGCCGCAACCTAACCACTCAATCGAAGAAACATCAATAAACGCACAAGTCGGCTGACATGCTCTCCAAGACTCCTTTCTGTGTCTTGCCTGCTTTCCAATTCATATCAATGCTGTTTTCTTGCCTCTGCCACTCTAGGCTTCTCAATTCATCACACACTCGACAAAGTATTTCATCCCAAGGCAAATTGCAACGCTCATAGCCAATTCGAATGGCCTTCCTTCCCAAAAACTCCAATTTCGCTCAAACCAGACCGCGTAACCAGTCCCTTTGATAGATGCCCTCAACGCCAATGAAGGTAACCATTCCCCAAAATAGACAGAAAGGGTGTGCGCAGAAGCCGTCCTGCCATCGTTTCGGGGATCACAATATGCTCAATCAGGTGAAAGGATCGTCTGTCGGCGCTGAAGACGACGCCCGTCTCTGAAAATGGCTTGGGTGAAAAGGATCGAACGTGGCCAACCTCTCTCCGATGCTCATACTACTGGTATGTCCATGACTGGGCGTGGCCGAAGCAAAAGCGCTGGTGTTGATAAACGGGTCACTCATGCTCGGCACATGTCGCGAATTCTTTGCGCGGTAGCTTCTTCTAGACGGATCGAGCTCGAAAGGGCTTCCAAGCCGTTTTTGCGTCGAGTCGGGCTCGGGAGGCGCAAGTCCAGAGGAGACACCAGTAGTAGAATTTGAACCTGCCAGTGCTGTGAGAGAAGGTGGTAACGCCGGCACAGGAGGGATGCTCGAATCGTCTGTGCCAGGTGTGTTCAAAGTCGGAGGCGTAAACAATCGCTCAATGTGGTCTCTGCTGTTTACTGAGCCCAATGTAGCTCCTCTATTCCGAACACGGATTCGCCGCTGACTGATGTCGCCGGCACCCGTGAAGACCAATTCTGGACGAACTGAGGCTTGCTGCGGCTCAAACGTGGTCGGAGTGGGGATGTCCAAGTTGAGATTCGCCCCGAGCTTGTTACTGATATTGCTCCCACTGGGACTCAATTCATCCTCCAGATTATGCTGCGCACGTCGCTTGTTATTAAAAGAAGCGTCTGTTTCTAACTTGAACGGCGAAAGTAATCTCGAACCCGTTGCATGAATGGTTTCGAACTGGTGATGGGTAATGTGTCGGCGGTGCTTAGGATTGGCATTACTGGATCCATTCCAAGTGCTGTAGTTGAACGGCGATGCGAGGCGCGGAATATTGCTCGCTACCTTTAGCTTGTCGGCCTGGGTCTGAATTCCTAGACCTGCAGGAGTTGAGACGGCCATAGCGTCCGAGTGGTTGATAGGGGTGTTGAACCAATCGTCCGACATTTGCTGAGTAGGCGGTGACACGCCCGTCACAAGTTGAGCCAAGGGCGCCGTTGCTCCACTGGCAACAAGGGAAATACCAAGTTCTCGGGTGGCGTATGTTGTGCTTGCTTCAGGGTCAGCTTGTCGGGACATGGACGGCGACCGGGACGGTCGCCTGGTGAACTGCTCGTAGAATGGGGAAGGACTCCTAGACTCGCGAAGTCTTTGATAGTGCGCAGTGATGGTGAATTTCTCCTTGCATAATTGTTTCAGACGCCTTCTCGTGGCGGATTCTGACGGCCAGGAAGCCCTTGCACCCTCGCTGTGGTCAGTCCGCAGGAAGTCATTGGGTTCGGGAGTCTTGTCTCTGACGAAGTTGCGATTTTCGATGACATTGCGCATTTTGTATCTCCGGATGATGGGCTTCGAGATCCTGCTCGCCCTGGGCCACGTTTCTTTGGCTCTTCTAGCAACTCGATGGCAGACTCCGGTGGGTGGAATGCTGCCAGGCACCGTCTTGAAGGGGGTCACCGTCGGGTCTGCCAGATACATCTGATATACGTTGAAGAGATGATTGTCCATTTCAATACTCCACCGAACATTCGCTTTCGACATGAGTGGGTTGATTCGTAGCTTCTTGCTTGTTCTTGACGGAGTGTCCGGGATGATGTTGACCTTGGTCAGACAGAACGGATCCTGCAAGTCGAGGTCGGGACTCGTGGCGCTGCCATCAAAGGATGTTGGTCGGGTAGTAAAGGTTTCGGATGACGATTGAGATGAGTCGGAACGGATGGAACATTCGGAGGACGAGCGATGCATATCCCATGTACTGTCCTTGTATTCGGCTGCAACCACCTTCGTCTGGGCCACCGGGGTCCGTGGAAGCTGTGATTCTTGCAGCGCTGATAGCGTGAGTCGCGTACTAGGCGAGGGGTCTGTAAGGCTATGGGTATAGGGTGGTCTTGACTGCGCAGGGAAGGTTTCAACCGACGGCAATGGGATGTCTGCATCCAAATCGAATTGCGTTCGAATGGATCGGGCGCTGGAAGGTATAGGAATGTCTGAAGCGAAGAGGGTGGCCGGTAGAGCGTTGTTGCGCGTCTGGAAACCATCCATGTCGATCCTTGTGCGTCGAATGCGACACGTAGAATGACGGGGCGGAGGCGGTAGTTTGAGCTCTGCGAAAGTCTGGTCCGGTGTTTTAGGATCGTCCCCGGCATCGAGTCGTAGAGGAGCGAAGTTGCGAGGCAGCGTGATAGACATTTGTGGCTTGCGCTGCGCTGAGGAAGCCATGAGAGTAGGTGAAGTTTCGCGGTCGGCCATGGTTGCAAACAAGCGCGCTGGCTGTGATGAAATTCGATGAGAACTCGTGATCTGAATCGAGGGGACAAAGACCAGAGTCCTGCAGGTCTGGTCCGTATGCGAAGTGTTCACGGGCTCATGCTGTGCGCGCGCGCAGGCTCGGATATGCGGTTATGCGGTCGACCCGGTGGATGGATGCGCGTCGCAGACAGTGGACAGCGCCGGGGCGTAGGAAGGTTAACTTGTATGTTAGTCGCAAGGTAATGACGGTATTAAGAGATGCGAGACGCCAGAAAACGGATGCTGATGGTGGTCGTGGGTTGCGACAGCAGAGATGCGTTGTAAGACGCGCAGTTCGAGGACCGTTGACGAGAACGTGCGAGTATGGTCCGCAAAATGGCGGTGGCTGGGAAGCCCAGGGGAGAAGTTTGGGGCTTGACCAGGGTGTCTGCTGAGCGCTGCAGCTAATAAGTAGAAGAAAAGGTTCCGAGTTGAAAAACCCAGAAGTGTAGAAGCAACACCCAAGCTGTTGTTATTGTTGACCTGAAGATCAGCTTCTTGTTTACAGGTGTTGACGCGGAGGATAGGAAGGGTTTGCTGGTGGTGGAGGATTGGAATGTTGAAAGTGGGTGGACGGGTGAGTTTAGAAGGCGAGAGGGAGGAGAGCGATGACTTTCGCAGGGTGTTCGGCGGGCGGTGACTGACAGTAGTGAACTGCCAGTGTCGCAGAGGGCGTAGTAGCGGTCCACGAGGGTGGATATTTTGCTGGGGGACTGGGAGGGAAGACCGGACAGAGGATGCAGTCAGAGTTGGGCGGTCGGTTCGGTCAGTGACAGGAAATGCTGTGTGTGACCAGCCAAGTTGTCCAAGAAGTGCCAAAAAGGCCAGGTTCCAGGGGGGAGCTTCAAAGTCTGATCGAGCGCTTGGAGGAACTTGAAGAGCCTGAGGAGCCTGTGTGGCCCCCGGGAGAGGATCCCAGCGAAGAGGAACAGGAGACAAGGGGCGCGTGCGTTGCAGTAGTGAGTCCGGCGCCTAGCAGTAGTTCAGCAGCTGCTGTGTAATGCCGTCGGCTGGTGAGGCGAAGTGGAGAGGAATGGCTGCGTTCTCAGGGCGTTTTCAGGGAGGCGAAGGGTGGGCGGCAGAGGCGGGTGACAGGCGGAGTCAAAACAAACAAACAACCCGAGTTGATCGAGAAGAAAAGCAGAGCTGAAGAATGGTGAGCAGACGGATAAAAGTTGAGGTGTTGAAGAGAAGAGAGAAGAGAGGATGAGTAGTTGTATCAGTTGTAGGAGCAGTGGTATAGAGGGCGCAGGCGACGATAAAAGCAGGACTATACGCAAGAGGAAAAGTAGCACCGTGAGAGAGCCCGACACTGGCAGCGTGTGCGGTCACTCGTAGTGCAGAAGCGCTGGCGTAGGTGTCGGTGTCGGCGCAGCGCAGGCACCACGATCAGCCACTCCAGGCCCTGCTGTTCTCGATGCTCCTCTCATCATCGTCCTGTTTTGATCTTCTACGACTCCTCCAACCCTCTACCACCGATTCGTTCTTCTTGTCCCTGCTGCATTCGAGTGGAGAGGTCTCTGTTTGTGTCTGCTCCTTCGAACTTCCGCCCTGCTCTTGGTCGATCCTGGCCATGTCCATGTCCATGTCCATATCCATGACCAGCGTCGGCTGTCGATGTCTCTCCTGTCCAACCCACCATCTGCACGTCAAGTCCACTCCAGCTAGCTGCGGATGGTCACAACAAACTACCTACGGTCTACACGACTCTCGCAGTAGTGTCGACTACTACTGCACACTCCTAGAAAACGCCTCCCACTCGTCCTGAACGGTTGGCTACAGCAGAGCGTAGACAAACGTGTCGCCCTTGCACACCCAATGCAACGCACCCTGCCTAGGTTCTGGCCACGCATATAGTTTAACCGTTCGCAGTTTCCTGCACATAAGCAAGGTGGGACGCATGAACACGCTGTTTCCCGAGGGCGAATCGTCACTTCAATCCAAGTTCTTGCAGCAATGGTCGTGTGCTCGCTCTCATACTAGTGCATAGGCATCTGCTACGAGCTCTACTTCTTTCACCTTGCACGGAACTGACGCGTCAAGCTGCAAGGCTGCTTGAAGGCTAACGAAACGCTAGAGACGCGACACTGACACGCTAGGCAAGCGAGATGCCACCTGAATGGCCACACTGCAGCTCCAGTGCCTTTTCTGTCGCGCTGTGGCTGGCCAATGTCATGTCCAGTTTGCGTCTCCATATCTCCATCGAGGCCGCAAAGTTGAACATCTTTTTACTTCAAGTTGAAGGCGCCGCCACAACCGGGAGAAGCTGAACGCTGGACCCAGCTTTATCGATAGACTCCACGCTCCTCACGTCGAACTCTGGACCGGGATCAATGCTGGTCGAGACTTCTTCAAGCCTGGGACCCTCTCTTTTCACGTTTATCGGCGTATCCTCCCTGTCCGAAGTCTCAGGTCCAATCCTCTCCCTTCCGTGACCTCACCCATTTATTCTTCAAACACGCCATAGCGGATGTTGGCCTGGCGAGTGATTCTGAACGTAATCGCACTTCAAAACAAACAAACAAGGCATGCAAGACATGGAGTCTTTTTCGCTTGTTGCCATTCGTCATGGCAGGAGAACAATTCGCTTAAACAATTCCTTTGTATGTAGGAGGGTTTCACCCTCCTTGCAGACCAAAGAAATACTACTCCCTTCCGAAGCCATGGGGTATGTTCCGAACATGTCCCTTACCCTGCAGTACTCGCCAGGGCCAGCAGCCGAGCCAGATCATCTCGTACCTAGGTTTACCTGCTGCCAGTGTGGCAACACACATGTTAATTGCATGTATCCTGCAATGTGAACGAGCATTGAAGTGGGCGTCGCGCCGCGCCGGCGTCGGTAAGGAACTACAGGTAGGTACACATGCCTTACATTGTTCGGAGTCCTCAGCTCTCGATACTACGTATGGATCTACTACTACCGGGCTGTCGCGTATCGGGCAATCCTTGTAACAATGCAAGGTTCGTAACCTGTTTCTGGCAAACAATCGGGCACATGGCGTACGGTGCCTGCTTGGATCACGATGCAGTCCGGGAAATTCGGGATCGAGAAGAACTGCACATCTTTCCCTTTCTTACTGTACGTAGGTCCGTCAGCTCGACTTGTCCGGGTTAAATCTGGCTGGAGCTTTGACATGGTCTGGCCCTGAAAATCTGTCTCTTCTACGTCTTGTTCAGTATTGTCGATCTGTTTGTGTCTCTCCGGAGGTACAGTGAGGTTCTATTCTATTATTATCGCAGGGCTGCAGTACTGGTGCGAGGAGCTTTTTGACCTGGATGAACAGCGAGGTCATGCCTGATAATGTAAGGACGTGGGTGCTGTGGCATCGGCGAGCAGTGGAGTAGTTGGATCGGAAATCGTCACACCCGATCGATCGATAATTGTAGACATCGACTGTAGATTTCGATTCCCAACTGCAATGGGACAATTGATGGTTGTTTTCTCTTTGTCTTGCTTTCCCACTCCTAGTAGTATTCCGGGTTCAACTTCAGATCCCAGATGTACATGTAGGACACAATCCTGACCAGATGCAAAGTGCTTGTGGACGGCCGAGTCAATATTCTAGTGCATACCTAGGTAAATAATAGGTAATTTGAGTCAAGTATATTGCATGTCCATTACATTGCTGGCTACCTGATCAAAAACAGAACAGGCTCGCCGACACAATCAGGTATTTATGCATCTCTAGCTATGGAATTGGATTCGATTGTGTTAAAAGAATGCTTTCGGTCATTATTGATGCTACATCCGAAGCCAAAACTTGAAAGGGTGCAGTGTGCCGCTCTCAGGTAGATACTCACGTACAGCCAAATGTGTATGCTCATGCCGATATTCATGCCGGTGCTGATGTTCATGCTCCCGTTTCTGCTCACTTCTTACAAGTACATGAGCGACCAAGGAGGTCTGAAAAAAGGTGAGGTGGCCCAGGCGGGAACTCTCAGCAAAATGGCACACCCCGTAAACCTGTCTGTCCCCTTTACCTCATCCCACCTCGGGCACTTTGTCTTGGTCCGTCGTCTTCGTTCCGTCGAAGCCAGAGTCAAGCTCGAGTGGAACGATGTCTCTGTCTACTTTATGCTCTCCAGACAATATTACTCCCAATCGGACCAGCGGCCAGGATCGCCGACACCGCCGACGCCGCCGAACCAACACTCCCTTGAGTATGACCCTGACTCTGCGCATGATCTTCGGAGTGTTGGGTCGTGAATGCTCTCGCGTCAGGCCCACCCCAACCCAAGGGTCTGCGGAACCCTTCTTCCCAACTCGCCACAAGAGCACGGATCGCTTCTTCTGCGACCAGCTTGCCGCGATTGATGTCCTCGACACTCGTCCAGCCGGGCACATGGAGGAAAGCGACTTTTCCCAGCCGGTCGTGGGCGAGACGTTGTTTCTTGTGCTGCTCTTCGAGGTCTTGGGCCTCTTGACCTCTTTCAGTCTCGTTTTGCTGATCAGAATGATTATTAGTCAAAGGGGACGATCCTGATAATGACGACTGGCTCGCATGTTGTTCGACATGTCCTTCGTGCTGCTGTGGCCGCCAAGACGTTCCCGCTTCACTGTGGTGCTGTACTGAGTGTTCCTCTACTTGTGGATGTTGCTCGGCACGTGGCTGCGACTGTAGTAGATGTAAATGAGGATGCATGTGACGGTGGGCATCGATCCAGCGTAGACTAAGACTCTCAAACAGGAGATACTCGCATAGAAACCGGCCGGCATCGCGGGACAGCTTGACGGCGCTCTTTTTGCGGTTCTCCTCGGCTCGGGCAGCTTGCACCGCAGCCGCCACGTTGGCCGCGGTTTCGGAACTGCCCCATATCGAGGATGAAATACTTGTGTTCGTTCTGGAGTCGGCATTCGCCGGCCCCAAGAAGCCATGCTCCAAAAGACCAGTCTGGACTCCCGCCTCCCATCTCTTCAGCACATCGGCCTCGTCCCAGCCCACAAATAGCACATCCGGCACGCCTTCCTTCTTCCACATGCTTTCCCCGCGCGCAAAGCCATCTTTGTCGTCCACGTCCTTTATCCTGTACCCGTCGCGATGGGCCCGGGTTTCCAGCGAGTAGCAGTCGCGGCCGCCTGCTACACCAATGTGCAGAATGAAGTCCGGGTCGTGCTGCGATATGAGGGACGGCATCATTTCGGATACTGACGAGTAGGAGACTCGCATGGCGGAGGAGTGGACGATTAGAGTGATTTTATATGCTGGAACCGGTGAAGATGGTGACGTTGTCGGGTATAATTCGTGAGGGAGAGCTGAGGCGATCAACCATGAGGGGTTGACGAGAAACGATTTGAAAGGCTGTGAAGAGATCAGTATTGATAATATTCCAGCGACGGTGCTGCCCCGAAGATGCAATGCAGCGGAAACATGCAGTGTCACTATCACCCTAACTCCCAACCACTTGGACTAGCGCTTCTTGTGTAGCCGTGGTCCTAACCCTCCTCTTCCTCGATCACGCATAAAACCGTATTGCAGATGAAATCGACAAGCAGGAATGGTTTCGGCAGGAAAGGGGGGAAACGAAGTGCATAACATGCATAACACACAATGGGAAAAGGCTCCAAACACACACTCGGTGGCAAACAGCAGATGGAGGTGACCTACCCCGAACCCCGTAACAAGGACCTTGATCTCGCGCAACGGCGGCGTTTCCGAAGACCATGCCGCATCGCCCATCATGCCTGGAGGCGGAGTTGGCGGACCGGCATCCCCCATATCTTCGACTGTATGTGTCTAATATCGCTGTATTGTTTCTCTGGCCCGGCCAAACCAAGTCCTTCTTCCGGGTCTTTATGGCTGTTCTTCTAGCGGCAATGGCGTGAGATGACTCGCCTGAGCAGTCGAAACTCAGTGTAAATGCGACACCACCCAGGCTCTCCTGGTGTAGTTGTGTAGGGATGCCCTCTTCGACTAGTTCCGTAATCTTGATAATGGCTTGCGCGCAACACGGAAAATAGCGGAACGAACCCGGTGTGGAGGGTTATGTAGGCAGAGCCGGTGACTGCTGCGTGTATTCGGTATCGCGGCGCCTCGAATGCGTTTTCTCTCGTATTACTCTTCCGCCGGGAGTCACCAGTGTGGAAGGGAAGGGAGGGAAGGCGGATAGGTGAGTGCGGGCGGAGGAGAGCGTATATGTGGAACGGCCAAGGGTAAAGGTAGGTTACTGTCAGCAGCGCCGGGATCGCAGGATGAGGCAATGAAGCATGTCGTTATCTTTGTCGGCCCTACGTGCTGCGAGGATGTATTAGGTAGGTAGGTTGTGCCCGGGTGACGGAAGAGGCGAGAGAGACGGAGAGGCGCAAAGACTCGGATATGGGAGATGCAAGATGGAGATGGGAGATGATGGGGTGATCCCCCGCCAACTTGAAGTGTCAACTGGGGACGTAAGTGGACTTTTGCGGGCGGAATTGCCGGGGTGTCAGTGAGGAGGATCCAGTCCCCGATGTGTACAATACTAGCAATGATGGAGAGCTGAGGTGTTCTATCCCTGCCTTCAGCCTCATACAGGCCTCGGTTCGATGACACTGGTGTGAAGGGTCGGCCACAGATGTAATTCAGTAATTCTTGACCGAGTCGTACAATCGTTAGTGCCCGTGGACGGATCGATCGGCAGCTGGAGCATTCAAGTTGTCGGCATCTATGTCTGTCATGGGGGCGCTAAGATGAGATATTGCGCGGGCGTGATCATGACGAGGCTGAACCTCCTGGGACTACCACACAGTAGGGGTAGCCTGATATTAGTTTACTGCCCTGGGATGGCATTGAAACAGATAACATCTTGAATTGAATCAGACAAGTCAATTAATAGCTCTCTGTGCTGCGCGTGGTATCATCTGCCTTGATGATATGCGCTCTTAACCTGCCAACCAACGCCTTGCTTGCTGTGCATGGGTATTAGTCAAAACAAAGCACACGCCAGATCAACCCATTACCACCAAATTAGTGCGCCGTGATATCCTGTGCCTGCTGATACATCATACATACATGCCCCGAACCCAGAAAACGCTCGAGGCATAAGTAGTCCACAAAAGTAGAACGGATGGCGACCGTCCTTCAACAAGCCTGATTGATAGTCGCAACGACGTCTCTCTTACTTGCCAACCACAAGTCTCTCCATCTTCCTGAGACTTCCTCGCAGATCACGTCCACCTCGCTCTCCTTCTTGCATCAGCCACTTCTCCATCTTGACTCGGACACGTTTCAGGTTGTTTTGGATCGGCATCTCCTCCTTGTCGACAACAGAGCCAGGATTCAGCAAGACGGTAAACACTTCTTGCCAGATTTCTTTCTCCCAGTATCGCTTCAGATTTTCCTTCAGCTTCCACTCTCTCTTCTGGCCGGGACCCAGAGCCAAACCTGCAGCAGCAACAGGCACCGTTTCAATGTATTTGCCGAACAACAGACTGTGGATGATACCTGCCATGCCGTGGTAATCGATCTGCCATTTCCAAGGGCGACACTCGCGGATCTCGGCACAGTCTTGTGGGCATGAGGGCCAGTCAGCGATGAACTGGGCATTGGGCTTGAACATGCGCACATCGATGCCGCGGCCAAAATCGATTAATTTCAATCCTTTGGCGCTCCAGCCGTGGTTGCCCTCAGGATCGAAGGGAGCGGTGATCTCGACATTGGGCTCAAAGCGGACCAGACAGTTGTCACCCTTGAGATCGCCATGCAGGATGCCGATACGATGTAGATCCTCCAGTATGCGCAACAGCTCCACGCCGAACCACATAGCCAATGGTTCGTCCAGGCCTTCGGCGGGTTTGCCGGCTTTGATGCTCTCGCTCCTCGCCAGGTTGACCAGGTCAAGAAGCGTTCCTTGCGGGCTGTAGGAAAGTAAGATGTATGCTTCGTCGCGGTACAGGTGGCATTCGTGTGCGCAGACGATGGACTGCATGGTGCGTGCTGCAGAGCCCAGACGGTGGCGCACGAGGCGAAGGATATGAAACTCCCATACGAGTGTACCTGGCGGTGCTTCGGTCTTGAGGGCCTCCAGTGCCTGGCGTTTCGACTCTTTTGTTACCAGCTTGCTCCCATTCTCTTTATCTTCGCTTCCGTCGTCAACAGCCGTCTCACTCGGGTCATAGCTGTCGACGAGATAGACCGGTGCAAAGGCACCTTCTCCCAGCTGTCGTTTGACAGCGTACACCCGAGTGGTCCCCTTGAACTTGAGCATCGGTGGCACCGCTTTGCTGGCCCCCTTCTCGCCCTGACTCTTTCTTGGACTAGCTTTGGCCTTGCTCTTGACCATCTTTTCCCCGAAAACCTTGAGAGTTTGGTAGTGGTTGTAGGTTTGCTCCGAATGATCATGGTATCCAGAGTATGAAGACAATGGCGGATGAATTGTGGTCAGGATTTGCTGGCGAACCGCATCGTCACAAGGATTGCACTGCAGATCCGCAACAATGGGCCCTTTGCTGATTTTTGCGGGCTGGACAACACGCTGCGCAGGTGCAGGAGACTTGGACGGAACTGCAGGAGTCTTGAAGACAGGTTCGTCCGTCTTTGCGGGTTCTGCGGTCTCCAAAGCATGGGCAGGTGCTATTTCAGACTCTTTGTCCAACTCTTTCTCCTGTTTTTCCTCTCGATGGAATGGTTTCTTTGGCTCAGGAGACTCTGCTCTGTTCTCTACGTCTTCACCATATCTCTCACTGTGTTTTCTCTTCACAGACGTGGAGGGAGAAGGCTCTTGAGGGCTGCTCATGAGTAGATTGTCTGCTGTCAACGGTAGAGGGCTGTCGAATTCTCCCTTTGGGGATCGGCTCGGGGTCTTGTGATTGAAGTAATCAGAATCTCTGTAAGCTGTCGAAGGAGCCAGAGAACTCTCTGTTCTTTCAACAATGGGAGTCATGAAGGGCAACTTGTTCTGCGCTACCAAAACTGGATCACGATAAGGTCGAACAGGAGTGGGCTCATAGTCCTCCGGTGGAATGGGAATGAAGCGAGTTTTGTGTGAAATCTCAGTGAAAATGTCGTCGACCGGGGTTGTGGTGCTATTGTCGTTCTGAGACGTGTTGTTGTTGCCATCGCCCTTGGAGACAGGTCCGGGCTGGTCTGTTTCTGACCATTCATTCTCATCCGCACTGGCGCCCTGCTCAGCCTGAACAAGCTCCTCGCTCTGCTCTTTGCTGATGGGTTCCTGTTTACCATCGTCTATTTCAAGCTGATCGACGTCACCCGCAAGCATTGCGATAGCCTTGGTATCCATATCCTCAAAATTGGCTCCGGCAATGGCAGCAATGGCCTGGGTGTCAAGCCCATCGAAGCCAGAGGTTTGAGTGGGATTCTGGCTTGAAGATCCCATGCTCTCTGTCATGTCCTCGCTCATTTCACGCCTAAGTCTCCCTTTGGGCTTGGTCTTTCCCTGGCCTTTGCTCAAGGTTCGGGGCCCAGATCCTATCTTCTTGCCTGGACGAGGCACATGTTTACTGACCGTGAAGTCGGACCACGGCGAGACACTGTCGGGCTGACTCTGGTCCTGGCTATGAGTGCCTGTGGTATCTGGCCGCAGTGAGGACGAGGTGTCGTCCCCAAACTCGCTACCCTGTTCAAACACTCGACCGGTCCCAGTACTTTCACCGTCGCCCGTAGTGCTATATCCATCGTCGCCGTCGCCCTCGGTATATTCCGTATCATCGCCACTCTGAATGTCATCCCTAGCTGGGTCTTGACCGCGGAGTGGCTGGTTGAACATGTCGTAGATCTCATTAGTGGCTGCCTTGGAATGGAACGTCATGGTGGGCTCCGTCGTCGATGAGTTTTTCCTCTTCAGTTTCTTTCCTGTAGGCGACTCGAGGCGCGTCTTGACCGTCATGGTCTCTTGCTTAATCTCTCTGACTTTGGGTCGCTTTTCTTTTCTCGATTGAGTTTGTGGTTGAGAAGGGATATGCGTCTCGGGCATACCAACCATAGATTGTGTGGATACATCATGCATGTTGTGATTCGGTATATCGTCGTTCAGATCCATTTTTTGCTGCAAAGATTGGCTCAAATTCTCGACATCCTCCGGCTCTACTTGCGTGGCCGGTCTGGATTTTTTGTCCACTGAAGCTGGGGCAACGACATTCCCGCTGGTGCAACGTAAAGGACTTGTCGAGTGTTGTAAAGTTGGCTTTGCAACTTTCCAATTCTTTTGAGCCCAGCCTCTCGATCTGGCTCGAAGTTCCTCGAAACTGAACTCCTCTTCGCTGTGAGGCGGATAAATTGCGTCGATGTCAACATAGACTTGCTCCGCCCGGCCTGTACGGGGATTGACTACTTCATGTCTCTGCTTCGAAAGCTGGCGTTCCTGTGACTGTATAACATCGATTGTCAGCTATATCTTATACAGGAGATAGAATACTCATATACAAGAGCCAATAATTGTGGGATTGAAGGGAATCAGATCTTCATTGGACCTAGAAGTAGAACAGAGATCAATCATACCGGGTCTTTAAAGATCTCCATTTTCGGCACTGTCCCTACTTTGCCGCCTGCCTTCAATTTCTCCCCTGCCCACGGCCGAGCCTCAATCGTGTTCTCCTTTTTGCGTTCTTTCATGGATCCAATGCTATCCCAGCCTTTAGTGGTGCCTGAGGAGGAAGCTGGAGCTGGAGTGGCACTTTCTGCATCCGAGAAAATTGCCATCTTCGGCTTCCCTGAGCGCGACGTTGCTCCTGACCCGCTCCTTGTCCCACTGTGTTGACGAGCCGCCTGTGCCTCGTCGTTACGGTGCGATGTAGCAAATGGATCAATCTTTGCTGCCAGAGCAGGCCGCACAGTTGGCAGAGCTGGTGAACTTGGCTCGTTATCAGTGTGTGGTCGAGCCTCGAAGCGTTGTTGGAACTGGCCATATTTTCGTAAGAGCCTCTCGGTTGGTCTGGCCTCCCTCTCGATTCCCAGCTTATAAACTTCGTCGGCCTGTATCCATCTCCCGGCACTTTCTAACCATGCTGCAAATTCTTCATAGAAAAGCCCCAACCCTTCACCAATCCCATGTCGCGACAGGAATGCAAAGGTCTCCCGGGGACTGTCGGAGAACAGACGAATATAGTGCAACCATAGTTTCAGGTATCGTGGATCGTTCTTGTAGTGTGGAGAAGTAAGGAAGGCTTTGGTCGCGCGTTCAAGGAGTGGAAGAAGTTGTGACTGTGGCGTCGCCTGTGCGGATGGGTATGCATTCAAGGTCCATTTCACATAGCGGTCGTAAATGTCCAGGGGGTCATCGGAATCTGCTATTGACTGCAGTTCAATCTCGTATTCTTGCCGGATGGCATCGTTCAATGTTTTCGTCTCTTCTAACGTCGCTGGCGCATCGCCACCTTTGGCTCTCCCAGAAGGTAGCGGCGAGAGGATAGATGCCAGCTGTTTCGCTGATCGTCCGCCGGGCAAGGACTGGATGTTCTCTTTGTGTGTTTCTATGATGTCGAAATTGATGAGGTCGTTATCGGCTGCCGTAGGCACAGCCATTGTTTGTAATACCTTGCTGTCCCTATCCTGTTATGTTAAAATGCTGTCGCAAAGGCATAGAGAAAAGGAGTACAGAAGAACGCGACGACAACGTGAACCTGAGTTGCTGATAACAATGTAGAGGTAACTTGGATGCGACATGAAGCAGCGCAGCTGGATCGGGCAAGACTGTCAACAAACAATCGCCTTGGCACCGGGCTAATTCCGGACTTTTGCTGATCAGATTCACAGACCACGTGACACCAGCCGTAAATCGCTGGGGACGGTCACCACAGGGCAATGGCTTTCACCGCAACGCTGCCCTGGCCACCATAGCATGCGGCTGCAGGTGGTTTTTACCAGATAGGTACTACCAGTCATATACTACTAGTACAGTATATTGCAAGGTCCCCGCATGCTGGTATTGTCACCGATCTCACCCACATATACCCATGTCTAGTGTGGTTAACCGCAGACACCATTGAACGATTTAGCATAAGGTCAATACTGGAATGAGCAGAAAGGAACGTAGAGCAAAGTCTGGGAGGATACGTCAAATTTTGGGTATCTTCATTTTCCCATTTGAGCCGGATTAGCCGGCACCATGGCCTTTGTTGAACCACTACTGTTCAACGGCTAGAGCTGCGAGGATTGTGCAGATGATTGTGCACGGCACAGATGCTTTTTCCCCAACATCCTGAGCGTCTTCGACCTCTCCAGAAGCTGCAAAGTGGACTCGAAACTAAACACCGTCTATGCTCTGGCGTTGGCCAATTGAACAGCCCGGCGGCGATCTCTCTCCTCAGCGATGGACAACTAGACAATGTTGTTAGCAGCGATCAAAAAGATTGGGAAACAATGGCAATCGTACCTTGACACCCTTGCCCTTGGGCAGGCTGACCCACGGCTTCTCCTTGCCGATGATGAAAACGTTGCTTTCCCGGGTAGCGAAAGAGTTGTCAATGGCATCCTTGATGTGGACAATGTTGAAACCACCATCGTGTCTCTCACGGTGAGTGATGACACCAACACGACCCATGTTGCGACCACCAGTAACCATGGCAATCACACCAGTGTCGAATCGGATGAAGTCGGTAATCTTTCCGGTGGCGAGGTCAATCTTGACTGTGTCGTTGACCTTGATGGCCGGGTCGGGGTATCGGATACTATAAACTTATCAGCTTCTACTGATCTTTCCAACCACATCTTGGCCCAACGGCTGATAGACACTGGCGACTTACGTGCGAGCATCATGCGTAACCAAGTATGGGATTCCTCCTTTGCCCAGTTGGACTCTCTTCACCTTGCCGAGTTTGTACTCTGCCTCGGCTTGCTCGATACGGTGGACAGCGAAACGGCCCTTGGTGTCGTAGACCAGACGGAAGTGCTCGCCAGTCTTCTCAATAGAGATGACATCCATGAAACCCGCTGGATAGGTGATATCAGTTCGGACCTTGCCATCAACCTTGATGAGACGCTGCATCAAAATAGCAGTGGTCTCACGGTTGTTGAGCGAGTACTTGAGGCGGTTTCGAAGGAAAATGATCAAGGGGAGACAGTCGCGAGTTTTCTGCCATCCAGTTAGCATACTTGAACCGTCGCAATAGAGAAATTGAGACCAACGTGAGGCCCAGGAGACGCCTTCGGGGCGTAGGCGCCCGAGAGCTTGTCCAGCAGCCAGTGCGAAGGCGCACTGAGGCGTTTCTGATGCTTCTTTGGACCGCGACCCATCTTGATCTGTAGTTGTCGGAGAGGGATACAAAGTTGTAAGGACGAACTGCGCAAGCATCCAATTTTCAAAAGTGGTCGAAGTGTGCCAAGATTTGCTACACTAATCCCGATTGAGTGCGTGCGCTGAATGACTGACAGTGCCGTCATTTGAAAACCCGGCGCGGCTGCTCTCCAACATCTGCCGCCCCAACGGCCTGGAACTTTGGAGCACTAGAACAAGAACTACGTGACTTTTGTAAACTACCCAGGTATTAAAGAGGAGCTGATATAGGGTGCTGAGGTCTGGGTGCCTTACATACTGTCACATGTAGGAGAAGTCTAGGTATAAAGTATACTGTCCAATTCTACGGCCCGACATGCATTCTTATATCAACCCTTTGATGATGGCAGCCTCCGCATTCAGTATCGAGGACCCTGCTGCACCAATGACCGTGTTGTGGCTCAAAGCAGCAAACCTGATGTCAAAATGCGAGCCTTTGGCAGCTTCTCTGACCCTTCCGACGCTAACGGCGTACCCCCCTGACAGGTCACGATCAAGTCGTGGCTGGGGTCTGTCTGGCTCCTCAAACACGACTATGGCCTTCTCCGGGGCAGATGGGCATCCCAGTTTCTGCGCATCTGCGACGTATTCCCGCAAGGCCTGCTTAACCTGTTCCGCACTTGGTGGTGGTCTCTGTTTGAATCTCAAAGAGACGAATGCCATGTGACCGTCCGTAACACCGACCCGCGTACACGTGGCACCCACGGTGAGTCCGGATTGCTCTTCAAAGGCGGTCGCCTCTGCGTTGACTGAACCGAGGATCTTCTGTGCCTCCGTCTCGAGTTTGTCTTCTTCTCCCGCGATGTACGGGATGACATTGTCCATAATATCCATGCTTGGCACCCCGGGGTACCCTGCTCCAGATACTGCTTGCTCGGTGAACACTTCGACGTCTTCAACCGGGCCAAACTTGGCTTGCAGGGCGGCGAATGGGATGACTATGCCGATGACCGCACAGTTCGAATTGCACACCAAAAAGCCTTTCTTCAATCCAAAATGTTTTCTTTGATGCGGAATAAGAGCCAAGTGGGACAGATTGACCGTCGGCACAACCAACGGCACAATAGGATCCCTTCTGTAGTTCTTCGCATTGGAGAAAACAGGAATCTCTGCCTTCAAGAACTCCATCTCTGCAAGTAAATTAGCTCATGTTAAACTTCCCAACGTATCGTTGCACATACCGACATCACCAGCAACGTCGCTGTCGAGCCCAGAAAATACCAGGTCGCAATCGCTGAAGTTGCTCGCTTTGCATTCGCGGACCTCGAGATTGGCCAGCTCGGTAGACATGGGCCTTGCCTGCTTCCACCGCACAGCATCTTTGTAGAGCTTGCCCGCCGATCTTGACGAGGCGCCAACTGCTTGGAGGTGGAGTGTGGGATGGTCGGCCAGCAGTAGGATGAATCGCTGTCCAACAGAGCCTTCGAAATGTCAATATATCCGCCTGTTCTTTGCCTTGAGAGCACACACCTGTTGCGCCCAGCACACCACAACGCTTTTTCCCTTGCGCGCCTTTCGTTGCCATTTTGAGTGAAGAGAAATTCCTATCAAGCTTACCAAGGCCAAAAACCCCTTGCAAGTGGTTTGGAATAGTTTAGTGCACCGTGTGGCCTTTGGGGATCCCCTAAATGTCGATATAATTACCAGGCATTGAAGGCAAACTTTTTGGCTATAGTTGAGTCACGGAGGAAGTGGTCCAGAATCATGCACGTGACCTGACTCTTCCCGTCCGCCAAAATTCCGATTCCGCCTTCAAGTTCTGGACCCGCCTCGAGGTGAAGGTTTCAAGAAAGGGCGTCAGCGCTTGGCAGAAACGGCAGCGGTAAACCACTACGATCAGTTTATGCCCGGAGAATCGCGATTACTACCCAGATAGTCTGGATATCCTGAAGAGATCTACTCTATGCTCGATTCCCGGTTTCTTCGCGTTCAAGTCCAAACCGAGATGACATGACCTGCAGGGTACAGAATCTATATCGACGAGGTTAACGTACGCTGCACTGCAGTCAGAGAAGAGCTGGACGCGGCCGGCATCGGTCCCGGTCCCGACTTTCCCGATCGCCGACAACAACTCCAACAATCGTGCCATTTACGATCGCGCGAACAATCCTTTCAATTTTCAGGCCATGACTTCCTGAAGCTCTCTGGCACAGGTGGTACAGTGCGGGGCACGGTTGTAAGTGCATTTGCAATTGACATTCCTTATTGTGCGAACCACGAAAAATCGTCAACCTTACCGGAAAGTCGAGCTCGTCTTTGGGCTATACGGTCAGCTTCAACCATTGGTGACTGGCGAGCTTGCGTCCATTCCCTCGATAGCCCCTCTGTATTACCGACCGAGTCGCTCAACGCTTTGGGTCCTTCTTCATTTTCGTCACACGTTGCTACTCTTGTTTGGTCTTCAAAATGACTCGTGAAGAGGTCCTCGACCTCCATTCAACACTCGCATTACTGCCCCCGGTCCCCAAGACCGCGCCGAGACAGCATCCTCGAACGCAAACTGGCCGACCTGGTAAACAAGGTCAGCTCCCTATATTGGTGGCGTTGGATGATGATCCTACAGGCACTCAGACGTGCCACGATATCATTGTGCTCACAGTATGGGATGTGCCGACTCTTGTGGATGAATTCCGCTGTACAGTTCCAGGAAGCGGCTTTTTCATTCTCACCAATTCTCGCGCTCTACACCCGGGCCCTGCGCGGAAACTCATTACGGAGATCTGCCATAATTTACAAGAAGCTGCTCGACAAGCCAATGTAGAGTTCGAAGTGGTGCTGAGAGGCGACAGCACACTAAGGGGTCATTTCCCATTAGAGCCAGAAGCCGTGGAAGAAGTGTTGGGGGCAGCTGATGCATGGATACTGTGTCCATTCTTTCTCCAGGGCGGTCGCTACACAATCAACGACGTCCACTACGTGGCAGAGGGCAACAAGTTGGTGCCAGCGAGCCAGACTCCTTTTGCTAAGGATGCATCATTTGGCTATGGATCCAGTAATCTTCGAGAGTGGGTCGTGGAGAAGAGTGCTGGCAAGATCCCACCAGACAAAATATCCTCTTTTTCATTGGATCTGATCAGACATGGAGGTGCGGACAAGGTTTATGAAAAGCTCATGTCAATCGAGAAAGGAGCTGTGGTGGTTGTCAATGCAGCAGCGGAAGAGGATCTAGTCGTCGTGGTGAGCGCCCTACGCAAGGCGAGCGCCGAGGCTGGCAAACGTTACCTCTACCGGACCGGGGCTGCTTTTGTCTCTGCGTGGCTGGGAATCCCGCAAATAGCACCGATCACTCTGCAGCGGCTGGGCATTGAGCAAACAACTACGGGGGGTCTCATCATCGCCGGCTCATACGTGCCCAAAACCACCAGCCAACTCCAAACGCTGCAAGAGCGGAACACCGACGGTCGGCTCGTGGTGATTGTGCTTGACGTTGAAACACTGCTATCTGATTCCGCGAGGATCGAGATTGGGGATGCGGTTTCCTCCACCAAAGAAGCTCTTCTTGCAGGCAAGGACGTACTCGTTATGACAAGTCGCAAACTCATCGTGGGTGCTGATGAGGCGACGAGTCTTGACATTGGCACGAAGGTAGCAGAGTCATTGGTGAGGTTTCTTGAGGCCCTTGACACAAAGCCAGGATACATCATCGCAAAGGGCGGGATCACGTCCTCAGACATGGCGAGCAAGAGCTTACGCATGAAACGTGCGCTGATTGTGGGGCAAGCAGCACCTGGGGTACCGCTCTGGAGATGCGACGAAGAGACATCGAAATGGCCCGGCATACCCTATGTCGTTTTTCCCGGCAACGTCGGAACCAATGACACATTGGCCGACCTTGTCGAAGCCTGGAGATCCCCAGCGTGAGGTCAGTGGGCGAATGACAGACTACGATAGCAGTCGCAATCGCAGTCGCATAGGCGTGATATATGTTACCTGCCCCTGGGCTCCGTAGGGAGTAACAACGAAAGACTACCTAGGGACTTTCTCCCGTCTCGCCATATTCAACTGCTCAGCCTCGTCACTCTTTATGCACGCCACCAAACCAATCTCAGCTTTCAAAACCGCGGAGCAGAAAGCGCAGTTTAGTACGGTAGAGCATTTATATCTTGGCGCGTCGTGGTAGCAAAACTGCGAGTCAACGTGGTGAAAACCATCAAGCTTGATGCTGCGTCATCTATTCCCGCTATCTCTTCCCGGACACTGCCACGCACTTCTGCAGCAGAGGTACATCGTTGTCCGGGGCTCAGTGAGATAAGCTCCGATATGTGCCCTGATCGTTCGTCTTGTTGTGGGCGTCAACCCACGACGCAACCCCAGGCCTCGGCCGAAAAGGTTCCGCAACAAGTAAGCCGGCCACCGACACCGGTGACGATCCTGGCGCGGCCACAGGGTTAATGCTTTTCCAGCACGCATCCGATGATGCTTGTGGGACTTGATCAAAGTATTTCGGGACAGGAACAAGGCCTGTGCCTCTACTGAGAGAGTTTCGATGGGACAATCACATTGACGCCCTCCCCTTGCCTCGGCCTAAGCTGCTCCTCATTTCTGTCGTTCTTGTACTTCTATAAGCGTGTGACCGGTATGTCTTCTTGTTTTCGCTCATTTTTGGCCTCAAACGGAGTCCTCGGCCGCCGAAACGAGGCGAGGCTGGCTAGAGTTCGCTCACTATGCGGGGAAATCGAGCTTTCTCTACGCCACGGCACCGATGATGTCTTTTAGAACCGTACCTGACCGTATCCTCGGGGATAATCTGACTGTGCGGCGCCCTAATTAGCGCAGAGCTACCGAAGCGACGGAGGATTGGCGTTGCGGAGGAATTCAATCTGGGGAACGGCGTATACGCTATCTTCGGCCCAAGACTATTCAATCCACATATCATGGCGGTCACAAGATTGCAACATCGGCCTCTGAGCAAGTACAAATGCTGGCGTTGGCCTCTCTGGTGACGAGCAAAATCAAGGCTCGAAGAAGTGCCAGCTAGCTCAGCTTGATTCCTACCATGGCGCTTCCGTCGTCGATGTTGTTTGGTCTTTTGACATTTGCAAATGCTCTACAACACTACATACTCACCAGTGGACCAGGGGCTCGACCACAATGCTCGGCCACTGTCTCCTACAGCGAACCGACCTACACCTTTGGCTCGTTCGCGTACTCACTGAGCGAAACTGTAAGGAGCGCAACATCTGTTCCTCGTCCGACGGCGACGACCACCTACGCACCACCAGCGACATCGTTAACGTCGCTTATCCCATCCATCTCTTACACCACGTGGGGAAGTTGGGATCCCACTGCGACTGCAACAGCTTCAGATACAGACAACCCGTATGGAAATGCAGCATGGACAGCGCTGTGGAAGCATGCAAACCCTCCAAACTTCACCCAAACAGGCTTATACAGCACGACTGTGTCACCCACTCCTGTTCCTAGCAGCGAACTGATTTTGCCTCCGCAAGACTACTTTACTGCGACGGATTCTTACAACTTTCCTTCCGGCTTCATGTTTGGAGTCGCAGGGTCGGCCGCACAAATCGAAGGGGCCACAGCAGACGAAGGCAAAGCTCCGTCCTTGCTGGATATTGTTATCCCGGACCCCATGGTGAAAGACTATACGACCAACGAGAACTACTATCTGTACAAGCAGGACATTGAGCGTTTGGCCGCCATTGGCGTCAAGTACTACTCCTTCAGCATCCCGTGGACGCGAATTCTGCCGTTCGCGCTGCCTGGCACTCCGGTCAATCAACAGGGGCTGCAGCATTACTCTGATTTGATCGACTTCGTCCTCGAAAAGGGCATGCTACCTGTCGTCACGCTGGTGCACTTCGACGTGCCGCTTCAGATCTATGGGCCCAACGTCACGGATGCATTCTCTCCGCCGTTGTTTGGCTACATCAACGGCGGAGTCCAGAGCGACCTGTTTGTGGACGCATATGTCAACTATGCGAAGATCGTCATGGCGCATTTCGCCGACCGGGTACCTATATGGTTCACCTTCAATGAACCGTTGCTGTTCTCCGCGAACGGTAAAGGTATCTACAACCTCCTGCAGGCGCATGCGCAAGTGTACCACTTCTACAAGGACACTATACACGCGACGGGCAACGTGTCGATCAAATTAATCGACAATTTCGGTGTGCCACGCGACCCATCGAACCCCGCTGACGTGTATGCCGCCGACCATTACAACTCGTTCCAGCTGGACACGTTTGCCAACCCGATCCTTTTGGGGATCGATTACCCGGATTCATTCAAACAAAGCGTACCAGATCACGTGCCCCTAACTGCCAAGGATTTGGCCTACATCAAGGGCACGGCAGACTTCATAGGCCTCGACGTCTACACAGCGACCGTAGTGTCTCCACCGGTCCCGAACTCGATCGACTCGATCCGGCAATGCGCATCCAACGCATCCAACCCGTTATTCGCCTCCTACTGTGTCCTCCCGTCGACGTTGACCACGCAGGGCTGGAACATCGGCTACCGGAGCCAGACCTACGTCTACAACACCCCGACGTACGCGCGATTTTATCTGTCGTACGTGTACAACACCTTCCGGGTGCCCATCCTGATCACGGAATTCGGGTTCCCCGTCTTCGGCGAGGCGGCCAAGGAACAACTCAGCGATCAGTTGTTTGACTCCCCTCGCAGTAACTACAACTTGGCCTTGTTGTCCGAGGTCTTGAAGTCTATCTGGGAGGACGGCGTCCACATCCTCGGCGCTTTTGCTTGGAGTTTCATCGACAATTGGGAGTACGGGTCGTTCGACGCCCATTTTGGTCTGCAGACCGTCAACCGCACCACCCAGGAGAGACGGTACAAGAAGAGTTTCTTTGATCTGGTCGATTTCATCAATGCTCGCACTGTCCCATCCTGCGGGAAATAGTAATAGTGATAGTGATAGACAGGAGAAAAATTAGGTGGCCGGCTTACTTACCTGACACACGAGGGAGACGTTAGATGGGCCTGGGCTTGGGGCAGAGGAAGGAGAGGGGCGGGCGGGCAGGGAGGAGGCGTCGTCTTTTACTCGTGCTCACACTCCTAGATCGCCTACTAGTTTCCCACAACGCTCGAAAATGGCACCTAACCGCAGTAGTAGTGATGACTCTATCTATCAATAATGCCAATCAATTAGACTCGTTCGCATGATGCCACTGCAGTGCCCAACTGTATAATGAGTTTCGTGTCGGATGGAATCCTCTCGCTGTAGTTAGTGTAGTATCGGGGTTTATGCGCAGGGGAGCGTTATCTCCGCTTTCCTGGCTATCCTCACTGCATCACACTCGGCCTTATCCCTCAAGCCGTGTTCTTTCTCCTCCCTTCCGAGCGCGAGCATGAATAAGAGAAGGAAAGTCTCATAGATTTTTAAGATGGGGGCCGAAGTAGTACCAAAGCACAAATGGACGGCGGCTCCGAGGCCATTCTGCCCACTATCAACTACTACTAGTATTACCCGTCGTCTTCCAACTTCTACTTCCTCCCCTCACCTTCCCCCCTATTCTAGGCACTACTGAACTTGTAGTATACTCTGCTGTTAGTAGTATGTTATACTCCATTCCGCAACCGGTGGAGAACTGACACTGCAACACCGGCTTCAAGTCGCGCAAATCTTTCTTGTCTTTCCGCAATTCACGGTGGCCGGTTATGGCCTCCTGGACGCGGCCCATGGCGCTCTCCTCGCCCGACGATCCCAGCTCCCCCCTGTCCATCTCGCCTGACAAGACCGCCGTGCTCCTAATGGACTATCAGAACTTCCACATCACGAATCTAGGCGATGCGGGAGCCAGCGTGGTCAAGATCGCGGCGCAAATGCGCGACTGGGCCCTGGCTCGCGGCATGTCAGTCTTCCACTGCTTGGTCGACACGGGTCCCGAGGCGCGTCCGCCGCCTTGGAGCAAGATGGCCATGAAATGGAAAATGCACTATCAGGACATGTTGACGAATGCCGCCTGGCTGGGGTGGGAGGCTGAGTCGGTCGCACCCAAGGGAAATCAGGGCGGCACAGCGGGCACCGGTACTGCTCCAGCAGGTGGCAGTATGTCATTGTCGGCCGACCAGAACCAGCCTCGCGAGTTGACCGTGCTGCGCCAGCCTGGAATGCTATCTGCTCTTGAGTCGCGAGGCCTTTTGGAGATACTGCGGGCTCGTGGAGTCAAATCACTCATTCTGTGCGGCATAGCTACGTCTGGCTGTGTGCTGAGCACGGCCCGCGCCGCCACCGATCAGGGATTCATTGTGACGGTGGTGGAAGATGCTTGCTTCGACCCTGTCCCTGGCGTGCATACCATGGTTGTCACACACCTGTTGCCTGTCACTGCGCATGTTGCTACATCTGGTGAGGTTAGGGATGCGTGGATGGTATTTTGAATGGGATTGGAGTCATCAGAGTATTCACCATGTCGGGTAAAGCGTTTGGGCGTTTCATGCTCTGACTGAACGTGCGAGGCAGGCGAGGCTCATGTGCCACACCTCAATTCCATGGGCACGAAAGGGTATTTTGCATCGTTTCATGAGTTCCAGATGACCGTTTCAGGGATGAGATCAGTTTGGACCTGGACAGGAATGGCCCCTCACACGAATGCGAAAAATGCAAGGCTGGCCCTTTTTTTCTGAGTCATTTAGGCAACGCTAAGTATCACGTCTGAATAGTCTCGTACAGGATGTGTCGGATACCACCCGAGGCAAGGAAAGCTGCCCATTTGTTGAACGAGATGCTGCGCTTTGTGGGACGCGAATATTGAGATTGTGGATGACCCTGGTTCGCCAGGCAAATGGCGCTTAGGTCTCGCCAGCCTCACAAGTGACGTGCTCGGCTAGGAACGAACCACGGCCAAGTCGGCCCGTCATAAACTGGCCCCAAAGATTCGCTTGCCTGGCCCCATAACCCGAGTCCTGCCAGAAGGTCGTGTTCAGGTCACAACTCACGGTCAAGGAGCCAGGAAGTTTCATCGCGTTGTGTCAATGTCGTATCATTCACCAAAGTATGGTCGGCGTCCTGGTGGACGATGCAGCTCTGACACAGCGCCTCTGCAAACGAGGGGCCATGAAACTTCGAGATGCAGCCCAGGCGCTTGGACAAACTTGCGCGTGTAAGACACCGGATGCTACGCAATCCCGGTCACTTCCAATTGTCACGGCGTGTTCCCCCGTGACAAAAGAGCAGGACATCAATTACAGGTCCGGAAGTTCCCAAGCACAAGTGCTTGGATATCAAGTCCCTTGGGGGCGTACCATCATACGATGGTGGACCTGTTTGCGACCTTACCACCTCTTACCAACGAACCTGAGTAGGCCCATTTGCTATTATTGGCAATTTAGCTTGTCAAGACAGACACGCCAGCAACAACTGGTGAAGAGGCCGGCGAGTATGAAAAGAACTTGCATGGGACTGCTTTTGAATGTGAAGTCCGATGTACCTTCGAGGAGCCGCCGACAAGCCGCGCGCCTTCCCGATTATGGTTAGAAGGATTTAGCCAGGTACTAGCACAGTTTACAGTGGTAGTACTACCTTACTAAGTCGTCCTACTACTACAACTCTAACCAGTAGCTGCCAAACTGCGCCCCCCGCGTTCCTCATCGTTCGCTTCTTTCGTTCACGACTGAATGACAAGGCTGCTAATTGTTGCTCTACTCCTCTCGCTACCCGTTCAGTATCTACGAGCCATTATGGAGCAAGCCCAGCAGGCAGCTCTACCCGAGTTTGACGGTGGTGGCACAAGAGATACAGAATGCAAACAGTTGCCCGCCGTCAAGGAGAGGATAGCACGCGTAAACGGCGTCAATGAATGACAGCGAGCATTTGGGACCGTGGTTGGAGGTGGGCCTTCACCGATACCCAAGTCCAGCACTTCGGGTCACGTTGGCGTTGTATGAGGACAAAGTACAGTATGCATTGGCGAGTGCTCGCCTATCAGAAAGCATTTCCCCTGCAACCTCCAATGCCTCGCTACTATCGCCTGATGCACTCCCTGCACAAGTTTCAGTACGTGGCTGAAGGTAGCGCTCAGCAGCTCAGCCACCCCTGGCAAGCTTCAACATAGCCTGCTGGAAGACCGTCCTCTACAAACGGGCTCGTAGAGGCTATTGAAAAAGACGCGAGGTGCACCTCCCACATCATGGCTGCCATCTTTTGCATTGATCATGGACTCCCGTCCAGAGCGGCGCGTCCTGACCCCAAGGGGCCGCCTGGCTGCTTTCGAAGCTGCTCGAGCTTCTCGAGACTTTCCCGCTCTTCAAGCTGCCCTGGTGCTTACTCCCCCTCGCACGTCGCCCTTCCATGCACCATACACGGTTGCGGCCGGCTCTTCGTTTCCTCGAACCCCGGAACTCAGTTGGGACGAGACTCCTCCAGCAGCAGCAGACCCTCCAACGCCAGAGTTTGGTTTGGCTCTACATCCAGTTGATGATCCTCTGCTCCATTCGCCTCTCGCTGCTCGCAAAGTCCGAGATACTCTACAGACTACCAAACATGACACGTCCTTGCTTGACTTGGGTACCCCGTTCTATGATGTCAAAAAAGAAGAGCTGTATCATGCTTCTTCCTCTGGCCGTGCGTCAAGACAGCATATCAAGCTTGAGGACCACGGCTACTTCAGCGGGCTGAACAGAGCAATGCGGAGGCCGATGGCTGCACGTTCTTCAGAGCCCCTGCCGGTACAAATCTACCTGGTACGCCTGAGGTAGATCCTTTTGCTGCGTGCGAGGAGAAGTCTCTTGACCATGAACTACCGATCAAATCCGAAGACGAGAAGCCAGAAATAGCAAGCTGGGCCCTTTTGGCACCTCGTCCATGTTATGGGCCGACTAATAGCCACAATGTTCCACTTCTCACATCGGCAGCACCTGTCACAACCAGATCGCCTGCAGGAACCATCAAGCCGAACCCAGTCACAACGATAACCGAGACTACACCTGCGCTTCATGCCCCACCGATCACAGTGCAGCCGCCCCTCGCCGTGGTGTGGAATCTGACTTCGACACTGTCGAAGATCCTACCACTCGAGACAGCCGAGAGATTGCATACTGATCCTCTGCGTTGCATTGCCACAACCCTGAAACACCAAAGGTGCAGCAGGACCAATGCCTCGAAGCTGACTTCCGACGAGGCGGCTTCTTTGCTAGATGGGTTATCGTCTCTGCAACGTCCACTCGATCTCTGTGCGGCTGCAAAACACATATCAGCTGTTGTAGACCAAGCAACATGCCGACGTCGTCACCAAAACCCCGCAAGGACGTATCTGCGAGAGCTATGTTCATATTCTTGGAATTTCGACGCCACCAACGACGCCAATGTACATGGAGACAGTGCAATTGCACACATGGTAAGTAGCGTACTACAGATTTGGCTCGAGTCCTTAACACGACAATCTGTCAAGAAGACAGAAGCGGAAGCTATCTCGAGAAATGAGGGACTTCTTCCTGTGAAGCAAACTGCCAATCCTTCATGTTCTGTCAGGATCACCAAGGAAGGGAGATCAAATTCTCAAAGCTCTGAGCGTCCAAAACCAGTGATCACAGAAACGAGTCCCTCGGAAGTCGGCAATGGAACCACCAACGCGTCGCTGCTCACCCCTGTACAGACGAAACCGTCGGATCAATTTAGTCATGTGTTTGTGAAGTATCAGTGGTCGAAGAAAAAGGCAGCACTCTCTGTCCCAGAGTTGATCCGCCAGACACTCGTCCAACCGTTGACCCAGGCAGACCTCGCGCGAGTCGGATACATTTACATGTTCTGGCACCCGGGTGACTTTGGCTACGTCAAGATTGGATACTCCGAAAACGTTGAAGAGCGGCTCCGCAGATGGAGACATCAATGCAAGTTTGATCTTGAACAACAGACTACCAGCGGAGATCAGGACTTTGGTGTCGATCGCCAGATCCAACATCCCCACAGGATAGAGTCCCTCATCCACGCTGAGCTCAAGGAGTACAGGGTATCCGAACCGCGTTGCCCCAATTGTCACAAATGTCATAGGGAATGGTTTAATGTTGCTGAAGACTATGCCGTTAAAGTACTACGGAAGTGGGTACAAGCCGCGGAGTACTTGTATTCAGGACGACACTTGAACATTTCGGCTGCGCAGTTGGAGGAGTTGTGCAAAGTGACTGAAGACAACAGGGCCAAACTGGCTCCGCTGCCGAAGAAGGGGGCAAGGAGCTCAGGAAAGATTTCAGGTTCCAAGCCAGGCACCAAGGCTGTCGGCAAGCGGCGTGGTGCACGAACAAACAAAGTCCCCGATAGTGACCGGGTTGTTGACCCACCAACAATTGTATATACCAACCAGCCGACTGACTTTCATTTTACAAGAGCAAGGCGTTGACGAATCCCGCAGGTAAGTGGCAGTACCAGATGTTGTGAGATCATCGGAGTATCGCGAACAGTTCCACGGCCGCTCGGGGTACGCACCGAGACGACTTGAACTCTAAGCACTCGTGCTTTGGAAGCTCTGGACCTGCAATTGATATCCTTGCATTTTTTTTGTCACGGGTACGCTTAAAGACACCATCGACCATTCTCGAAGTTGCAACAATATATATCATTTTGTATAACAGCTTGTTGTCATCTTTACTCCTTTGCAGCTCATATTTCCTCTCGCCTGACACCCACCCTAAACAACCCTCAACAATGACAAGACCCTCTCTTCATGTAGCCTGCTCACAAAACATATCTGAAAAACAAGCCGGCGCCATTGCCGACCCCTTCGATGCCCGTGGAACGGTCGGCCTTGTCGTTGAGTTTCTTGAGCCAGAAGCGCAAGGCCAAGGAAGCTGCGGCGCAGCAGAGCAGGGATACTGTAAGCACTATGCACCCCATACGGTAGAGCCTGAAGAAAAGACAGTCAGTACGGTTGGTTTCTTCTTTATGAGACAGCAATGGCCAACTTACGGAGCATCCCAGGACGGGTAGAGGTAAGATGTGCTGATGTTGGTGGCGTTGGACACGGCGGTGGCAAGAGCCAAGGCGACGGCACGCTTGGCCTTGGGCCGGGGAATGGTCGAGGAGACCCAGGACAAGATGATCTGGAAGGCGGAAAAGGCACCCATGGCCTGGAGGAACATGGCGAAGTAACGAGCGCCGAGAACATGGGTGGACATGGAGATGATCTGGCCACAGGCGGAGAGGACACAGGCGAAGGCGATGTGGTAGGACCGATCATTGGTATGGCCCGAGTGCCAGGAGTTGGCCAGAGAGAACAAGAAGGCGGCAAAGTAAGGGGGAGCAGTCAAGAGCAGAGTCTCGACCTTGTCGTAGCCGAGGGTCTTGACAATGGAGGGGAAGAAGTAGGTGAAGCTCATGCTGACAACTGCGGCGGTCTGAATGAAGACCAGCAGGTACACCTTGGGGTCGGTGAGGGCTTGTTTCAAGCCGACAAAGACGGACTCAGTGACCTCGTCTTTGTCGCCGTCGGTTTCGCGGCTCAGGCGATACTGGGCCATGGCTCGTTCTTCAGGGGACAACCAGGAGGTGGTTGCTGGGTAGTCGGGCAGCAAGACGTATCCAAGCACGGCCACAACAACGGTGATGGATCCTTCAATGATAAACACCCATCGCCACGATCGGTACCCGCCCAGGCCATCCATGCCATCCACAATGCCTGCAGCCAGGAGACCGCCAAATGCCGATGACAGGGTATATCCCGAATAGAAGACGGAGATTCGACCGGGCAGCTCTTTCTTGGTGTACCAGCAAGACAGGAAAAAGATACATCCGACAAAGTATGGCGATTCGGTGACACCCACGAGGAACCGCAGCACTACCAGGCCTGGATAGTTCTGAACAAAGCCCGTGGCGCCAGACACAATGCCCCAGATGATGACGACCGAAGGTAGGTATACTCTAGGCTTGAAGATACTGAGCAGCATGTTGGACGGCACCATCATGGCAATGTAACCGGCCCACAGGACCATGACAGCGGTCTGGTACTGGACGTCGTCGATGTTGAGAGAGTCTTCCAACCCGCCGAGACGGGCGTTGGCAATGGCATTTCGGTCGAGGATGTTCAACAGGAACAGAATGACCAGGATGGGCAGACTGCGCAGGTCAATCTTGCGCACCAGTTTCTTTTCCAGCTTGGCGCGTTGTTCGGCCGTCATAGCCCGCAGGATCTCGGGCATATGGATGTCGACTTCGGCATCCTCGATGTTTTCAAGCATTTCCTTCTCCAGAGGGAGAGGCAGAGGCTGTTCTTGGGCAGGCTGATGCATGGTGGCGAAAGGTATCTCGCGTCCCCGACGAGCCTTGAAAAGGTCTTTTGGACGATGGTGAGCAGAGCAAAGAGAATTGATAAATGCAAACCAGTTTGGTTTATCTCTGTTGGGCTCCTCAAGCTGCCTGCCGGAGCTCTTGACTTGATCAAAATCTTCCCTCGTGTAAGCAAGGGCTCGAGAAGGACAGAGGAGGAGAGCAAGGCTGTTGATATTTTATATAGCAGGCCTCTCCCTTGGGTCTATTGGCAAATAGGGAATAGGAAGGAAATAACCGGGTCAAGAAGCTAAAAGGGGGGTATGGTATGGTATACTACTGGGGCTCCCGCGTGTCCAACTTGACAGCCAACCAGACCTGTGGGCGAGTAAATGTGCAAGATTTTACTTCTCTGCTGACCTGACCTGGTCTGAGCTGGTCACCCATGGGGATGCCCGCGAAGCGAACGGGGGCCCCAGCCCAAGCCAGCGACGCGGAGGGTGGGACTTGGACTCTGGCATGGCTGATGCGAGTGTATGTGTTTCCGCTCCACAATCCCGCCAGATTGGACGAATCTAGAGTCTCGCTGACACCTAGCATCGTATGCTGTACAATGTTGTACTTTTCTGTGAGTGGATACTTTTTCTTCGCTTTTCACGTTGAGCGGAATTTGCAATTCGTATCCCATGCACTCGTCGAATCGGTGTTGCGCCGAGGTGGGTTCGATAGTATCGGTTACAGCGCCGCCACTGTCTTGGTACGTGCCCAGCGGCGCGTGATACAGTGCTGTACAGACCGTGACTCTGGCGCCCAATTAAACGAGATACCTTTACAGTGCAGAATAGCCCTTATTAGCAGAAGCTAGACTCTTTTTGGGCTATGATTCAAGTAGTGCCTATAATGAGCTTATATGCGCCTGCGAAAGAAAGACCACGGCTGGTTACATAATCATGTCGAAAATATTCTGCCACGGAACTTTTATCGTCTTGTGTCTCCAACAAGGAGCGCGCAACAATTAGACATTTCAGCGAAAGACAATAATCTCCTACGCTGTGCGACAGCGACACTACGGTAGGCTTCCGGGACCTTATCGAACTTACAGTGCTATCTAGGCGGCGTTCTGCCAACCGCGAGCTACAAGTTCGTCTCCCATGGCATCTCCATCTCCATCTGGGTACGTCGGAGAATTCGCCGAACAAACTTCAATGTCGCATTTTCTCCGACCACAGGTCCACTAGCATCGCCGCCAGTTCACCGCGCCCGCCCTGCCCTCAGTGCGAGTGCCGGCAGATCTGTCCGCGACCAAAACTCGGGGGTCGGGGTAGACTTCACCTCAAGGTCGACAGCGAACCTAAATAGGATGATTTCATTGGTCAGATCCCCGGAGTAGCAGAACAATAGGGTCACGAGAGGAGAGACTCCAGGTGTTTTTTCACGCACTTCTACACGGGTGGCCATTCAAGCAAAAACAATATTATTATTGCCATTACTCTTATTTGACTGGCAGTTAGCTCTAGCTTCGAGGATATTGAAGAAAGAGAAACACAGAAACACAGAACGTTCCATCTAACCTCCAACATTCAAGCGAGGTTCGTCCTTTCAAGAAAGTCTAAGCCAAGGTCGAACAGACTATCAGTCGGGTTACTTGACTAAGCACAGACAACGACACACGCGACATCTACATACGTACTCGGAGCATCGACATCAACGCCTACAATATCAACAGCAACAGCGTCAGCGTCAGCATCAACACCAACACCAACACCGAAAACCCTCAACACAACACAACTCAACCAATTTCAATTTCAGCACCACATTCAAAATGCCCGACCTCAAGAACAACCGCGCCCTGAAAATCGTATCCAAAGCCGCACGGGAAGGCTACGCCGTCCCCGCCATGTGCTGCTACAACGTGGAAGCGATCCTCGCGAGCGTCCGGGCGGCAGAAGCCAAGCAATCACCGGTAATCATCCAACTATTCCCCTGGGCGGTAACCTTCGCCGACGGCCTCTTAGTCCACGCGGCCGCCGAAGCAGCCGACAAAGCCAAAGTTCCCGTGGCCGTCCACATGGACCACGCGCAGTCTCCCGAAATCGTCAAACGAGCGGCCGACTTGGGGGGCTTCGACGGGATCATGGTGGACATGAGCCACTACGACAAGGAAGAGAATTTCGCCAAAACGCGCGAACTCGTCAAGTACTGCAACGAGCGGGGCATCATCACCGAAGCCGAGCCTGGCCGCATTGAAGGTGGCGAAGATGGTGTCGGCGACACGGCCGACTTGGCTTTACAGGGACTCTTGACTTCGCCCGAACAGGCCGAGGAGTTTGTCGATCTGGGCGTCGACTGGCTTGCTCCGGCGTTTGGGAATGTTCATGGAAACTATGGTCCCAAGGGGCCCCAGTTGGACTTTGACCGGCTCAAGAGTATCCACTCCAAAGTCGGGGATCGGGTCCACATTGTCCTCCATGGCGCGTCGGGTCAGTGGTTTCATGAGGATTTACTCAAAAAAGTTATTGCTTGTGGGGTGGCGAAATGTAATTTGAATGATGCTATGAATGATCATTTTGTCAAGGTTCTCAAGGAGAAGGCAGGTAAAGCGCCCTTGACAACACTGATTGAGGAGGGGACCCTGGCGATGCAGAAGGCGATTGAGCAGTATATGGATTGGATGGGGTCGACTGGAAAGGCTTGATTTGGAGATATAAGTGACTGTTAGGTAGTTTGTTGTTTGAACAATGATTGCAAAAGTTTACCTCGAGAGAGAGACGCGCATTACACAGTCCTGCATACATAGTACTGCATACTGCATACTGCATGGACAGGAGATGACCCTTGGGGACATAGTGGTTACAGTATACGATATTTCTCGTGTTTGATGACTGGAAATTTGATTATTATCGGAATGGCTGTGTCATCGATACACGTATACTCCGGACATGGCTTCGAGAATATTGGTGGTACTGCCTTCGAACTCCTTCTTTCGAAAGCCTACTTCCCGATGGCTACCTACAGTATGACGGCACAATATCACCGGACCGTCGGTATCGGTCGCTGCGTGGCGGAGGAATGACGTGAAGAATGCAATGATACAAATAGGTAGTCATGTCGCGAATGCTGGCTGCCAAGCGGCGAAAAAAGAGCCATAGACACCTCGACGGATGAGAAACCATGCGAAAAAGCTCCAAACAAAATGGCAGGATTTCATTCCATTCCAGCAGCTGCTGCCTCGTGATATGCATGATAACGTCTATTTTTGACTTTTGCACCCAACGCCCCAAGATAGACAGACAATCGAAGCTATTCTAACAAGTCGTACATTCAAGCTGACTTTGGCAGACTTTCCTTGTAGTCTCTGACAATGTCGTCAAACGACACATCTCTCTTGAAACCCAACGATAGGGCTCTGGTGTTGTCAAACTCAGCTGGCCACGAATACAAGATGGGCTTCAATTTGGGGTCTTCCTTCTCACGCAGATACTTCAACTTGTCCTGGCCACCAACGCGGGCCAGAGAGTCGATCATGTCTTGGACAGAGACGCCGATTCCAGGATGGTTGACAGTCCGGTCGTAAGATGGAAGCGCATCCTTGGGAAGTGTGAGCGAATACTCGAGGTTGCTGACCAAAACACGAGGAGAACACAACCAGTGGCGGAACGAGCGGTCTTCAATCGGGATAACACATTCCTGACCATTCATCGGTTCGCGAATGATACCGGACAAAAACGACGATGCGGCCGCCGTCGGTTTGCCAGGTCGCACTGACACCGTGGGGAACCGCAAAATCAAGCCGTTGATGAAGGATCGTCGAGTGTAGTCGTTGATGAGGTACTCGCACATCATCTTCTCGGCGCCATACGATGTCTCGGGCGTCGCGGCCATGGCCTCGGTCACGGGCTGCACCACTTTGCCGCCGTAGACGGCTTGGCTGGATGCATAAATCACTCGGACGCCAGGGCAAATGTTGCGCAAAGTCTCAAGCAGAATGCGTGTCGCATCAAAGTTGACCTTCATTCCTGTAGCCAAACAGTATTAGTTTCTGTACAAACACCATCAGCTGCGACAAACGTACCAAGTTCGTAGTTGAACTCCGCACCCGAAGACATGATGCCGTGGAACACGAACACGGCATCGAGAGCCTTGTCTACCACGAGGCTGGCGTCCTTGCAGAGATCGGCAACGATCGCCTGAGCCTTTTCTGGCCATTTGACATTTTGCGGAATAGGAGGCTCGACAACGTCAGTGAGAATCAAGGTGTATCGCCCTTCCTCATCATTCAGCAGCTTCTGGGCAAGAAGTTGCCCGATGAAGCCAGCGGCACCGGTAATGAGGACACGCATCTTGCTTGACTAATCTGGCGGATGATGACTTTTCCTGGATCTCAAGATCGGATAGTGTGAAGACGTTTGATTGTATTCTAGAACTCGACCAGAAAGGTTTGCGGTGGGCGCCGTAGTGTGCTTTTTGGCGTTCGTCGAACACGCAAGTCGACGACAGTAGTGCTTCTCGAAGCACGCGCAACGTCCGCGCAGAACGGCCAGGGCGCCGTCCCGAGCTTGGATTCAAACCCAGTTGTCTGGTCGGCGAAAATCCGATTGAGGTGTCCGCGGGACACGGGAGGCCAAAGAGCAAAAGTGGGGATCGCGAACCATTCAGCGTGCCCCTGCTCCATGGCACGTGATGTGGATCTGGCGCTGTCAAGATCCAATGCCAGTGTCAGGAGGTCAGGCTAGAGTCCGAACTACTCCCGACCGAGCGGAATAAGCGCGCGGGACGAGCCCACGCTCCTGAAAGACGGCGCGTTGCAAGAACCATTCTCTCGGGACATCGACGCCAGCTAAACCCAGGTTCAAAATCCGCCGGCATCTTTGTCGGAAACTGCTGCCCGTATGGAAACAGCTCTCCGTCACGTATATGACCACAAATCGGGATCATGGGCTTCTACCTGACCCAGATAAGACTCATCAAAACCGAATCCGTAGGACCCCACCAGATCGTAGAAGTTGTAATTTCCGTTCAGCCCATCCGATGCATTGGTCGTGGAGTTTAGATTGCCGATAAACGGTTCTTGGGAATTATTGTGCTGGTAGCTGAGAGATCCGTCGCGGCTCGAAGCCTCAGTCTCCTCGTCGAAGCTCTTCAGGAGGTAGCGGATGCCGGCGACAATGTGTCGTGTCAGATGTTTCTGGTTCAACTTCTCGGAAACCTCAGCGAGGAAGTCGGCAGATCTGCGAATGAGCGCAATGACTTGGCTCGCACTGAAGTTCAACCCTAAATTCGAGGCATCGTGGCTCCATGTGTTCATCATGACTGGCGTGTTGCTGCTCCATTTCATGGCCATTTTCAACAAAAAGGTCGCACAGAAGGCTACCATGGTGTGGGTGAAGATGGGCACGCCGGGCATCGCACGTCGTAGGTCGTTTTCCTCCAGAATCAGAGTCAGCGTACTAGTTGCCGCCGAGATGGCGATGTTGGCGGCCTCTCGCCGATCGTATGTCAGAGGCTCAACAATCGGGCTATTCGGTCCAGCCACTGCTCTCAAAGCCAGGGAATTCAGCTGGAATCGTGCAAAATGGTAGTACAACACAACCCCTTTGGAAGGGTACGAGCCAACCTCTACACTGTCGGCCGATCTAGCCTGCCAGGTGAGTCTCCATTGCTCGATGGCAAAGTTGAAGACGCGAAGTCGTTCAAAGTCTTGCTCCCCAAGCGGTTGTTCTGGGTCGCTGCCATATTCCGTGTAGGCTTCAGTGAGGATGCGGAAAAGCGCCACCTGAGCGGCCAGGCGAACGTCGCCTGGGACGATCTCCGGGCTTTCCAAGAACTTTTCCACATTCTTCACGGCCAGATCATCCCCAATGATGGGTGGCCGACCATAGGCGATGCTGAAATGATGTTCACAGACATACAATGCGTACCAGAGCCTAACGCACTCATGCTGATTGGGTTGTGGCCGGTTGCGCTTCTGAAAAGACTGGTGCAAATTCATCTCTACCGCGAGCCTCACGGCCATCCCCGACAGCTTCCAACTAAGGTTCGACAGGTAGAAAGCTCCCAGGGACAGCGCTCGAACATCGTCCAAAGTATGATGCCGCGAGAGACATGTGTTGCTCACCAGCGACACAAAGATGCTGTAACAAGTCTGCAATAACTCATCACGATCGGGCACGTGTAGAGCTGCGATGGTGAGAACGGCGGCAGTCAGCATGGTCGATGAGCGTCTGACTGAGACCAATGTCGGATGTGGTAGCAACACCCCACCCCACAGCAATTGGTTGTTGTTCTGCAGGTAGCGGGAGAACAGATACTCGGCATCCTCCAGGGAGATGACACCCTGGGAAATGAAGTCGTCATCCAACATGTTTGCGTTCTGTCGCCATAGCACAGAGCTGCGTAGAGTCTTGAGGCGGGTGAGGTCGTACAAGCTGCTCATGGGCGCCGGCACAAGACCTGCATCATCACGCGACTGAGGTTCCTGGGAGTTCTCACGCGTCATGTCCATAGGGGGGACAATCAGGGCAGCAGCGGAGCCCGGGTTCGCCGGGCTGGTGACAGTCGATGCTGCATGGTATGTCGAGAGGTCTGGCAACTGGTTGTGTTTGAGCAGGTGTTGAATGGCTGCGCGCATTTGCCCTATTTCCATCTTGGTCTGGGTTTTCCACCTACCAATCATGAGTGGCAGTTTGAGAACGTCTCTGACTGACTTACAAGGCATCTTCCTCCTGGAATTTCTGGGTGAGATCTTGGAATACGCACTCAATGCCACCCTTGAGGCATTTCGTACAGGCTGACTCTCCCGTCCTGACTTCGCATTTGATCTTGTGCCTTCGGCATTCCATACCTATGAAATCAGACCCCGCGATTTGACAACTGTGAAGCCGGGTTGCAACTTACATGCTTTAGTCCTTGACACCCGTGGTGGTGGCGGTGGTGGCCGACGCCCAGGAGATTGCCCAGAGTCATCGTACGGGCGTTTCTGCGACATGACAACGAGTATGCATGGCCGGATCTGGCGCAGCACCCCAACTCTTCACGTCGACCGTGGATCGTAGTCGCGGTTACAGAGCTCTTCTTATGTGCTGGATCCGGATCTCAGCATTTCGGGCGTCTGCTCAGCCAAGTCTTCAATGTTCCAGCTTCGACCGCGCGTGTGCTACAGTCGCAGCTCTTGACGTAGCGGACAAGTTTGAGAGCAAGTCCAATTAGCACTGAGCTTCAGGGAGTGCCGCCTTGTAGTTCTGGGCGCGTCGCCGTGTACTATTATTTTTTTGTATTCAACAATACAGGCACTAGCAGCTGCATTGAATTCCGATTTTTGTGTTGTGATATTGACCAGTAGTAATACACGTCTTTTTCGAAAATCGCTCAATTACTAATGGTTTTGATTATACCCGATACGTGCTAGCGTAATAACACGTGATCATCGGCTCCATCCCCCCATATCTCTTCGCAAGTGCACACCATAGTACTGGAGTACCAGGTAGCACTCAATCTTATCAATATGTATACGAGTAGTTGTGTGTAATCTGAATTATCATTAATTCAAGTAGTCATAGCTACTTCGTCGTCGATACAGGACGGTAACTCAAAGTGTCGTAACGATCGCGTAAAAAAGTACACGCGCGGAGTTCGCCTTATTCTCCGCCTCAGCCTTGTTGCGGCCCTTTCTCATCCTCCAACTCCAAGCCTCTTCATTTCATTCAGATAGGGTCGACTGCAAGTTCAATGAGTTTGAGCTGCACCGGGAGTTCATTTCTTTTACTCCCGGTGTTGAGTCTCCTTTTCTGCTTCTGTGCCGTCGCTACTGCGAGCAGCAGCTTCTCCAGCCTCTTCAACATCTTCGTGGGTTCCGGCTTGTCTTCGGATCTTGGTGATCTCCTCTGGCGGCGGTGCTATCCATGATGCACTCTTCCAAGGCTTCACTCCCAGAATGTACATGGTATCAATCTCTTCCAAAGTCCGACCCGAACCTTCAATGACAAAGAAGTATACCAGCATGCACGCGACAAGGTTGCAGCCTGCAAAGACATAGCCGTAGAGGAAGTCAATATCGTCGGTAATGAACGGTGTGAAGAAGGCGATCAAGAAGTTCCAGAGCCAGTTCGAAGCGGTGGACAGTGCCATAGCCTTCGCACGGTAGCGAGAAGGATACAGCTCACCACAAAGAGTCCAAATGATCGGTCCCCATGTTGTTGCGAAGCCGGTGATGAACAATGCGGCAATCACAATCATGGCTGTTCCACTCGACTCGGTGTTTTCGGGTGTGTTGATGTCCAAGGAGAAGTGGCCAACACTGGCGAAGATCATGAACATCAAGAACATCCAGAGGGAGCCGAAGATGAGGGACTTTCTTCGGCCGTAGTGTTCGACGACATATAGACCGTAGAAGGTGGTGCCGAAGTTGATGCCGTTCAGAATCATCTGGGTGACAAACGAGTTTTTGATACCCGTTGATTCGAAAATGACTGTGCCATAATAGAAGAAGTAGTTGGCACCCGTCAACTGTTGGAACATCTGCAAAAGCATGCCGAGCAAGATACGGTAGGCCATTTTCGGTGCGGAAAACATGTTGATCCATTCCCGGATCGCACCTTGCTGAGCTGATTCAGCGCGGAATTTGGCTTCAATCTCTTCCAATTCCATGTGGACACTGTAGTGGTTCGGGGGTGCGCCGTACACCTTGAGCATGATTTGTTTGGCTTCTTCTTTCCGTCCCTTGCGGTAGAGGTAACGAGGAGTATCTGGGAAGAGAAGGATGCCGGTGCCGAGTATGATGGCCCAACCGAAGCCGACACCCATTGGAATTCTCCATGACCCGGAGTTGTCACGTTGGTGTTCGTTTGTGCCGTAGTTGATGCATGCGGCAATAAAGATACCGAGTGTGATGAAAAGCTGATATGTACTGATCAAAGCACCACGAATGTGTCGAGGTGCGGTTTCAGACATATACATGGGGACAAGCAGGGACAAGCCGCCGATGGAAAGACCAGCGACCCACCGACCCATCATGACCTGATACCAGTGGTGATCTGCGGAGATCATAACAATGTTACCCACGCAGAAGATGATACACCAGAAAGTCACGCTGAGCCTTCTGCCAATGGCGTCTGCGATAGGAGCAGCAATAAGGGCACCAATCAAGGTACCGATTGACAGCTAAAGATCGTCAGTTGAACCAGTCGCACGTGCATGGGACAGTCGAACATACCAATGACACAATGAGGCCTGACCGTACATGGCTGAAGTAAGCTGTGCCGTCGTCCCTACGTTGACCAAACCTGTCCAAGAAATCTGGCATCGCAAGGAAACCACTGATTTGGCCAGTATCGAAACCGAAGATCAACCCGCCCATAGAGACGAGGATACCCATCCAGAAGGATTCCCATGTTACTCGTTTGAGGGGCGAGTAATCCAAGCCGGCAAGCGACTTCCTCTCCTTGTCCGACGTGGCGGAGTTGGGGTCATATTCGTCGTATCTGACATATTTGGTGAGGCCGAGGGACTCACGTGTCAGTTTCGGAGCCTTGAAGTAGCCCATTAATTGTTTGTATTTGTGATTCAAGTATGAATTGTGTTGATGTTGAGTGCAAGTTGAACATGTTGGGTTCCAGCGGTGCAGCTTGGACCTTTTATTCTTCTTCAGGCTTCCCGCAAGAGAAAATTATGGAATCCCAAACACGTGGATGAGGTTGTCTCGTTATGTTACCTCGAGCAATAGTCACGGAGGTTCGCGGATGGATGTACAATGTAGCGTGGAGCATCGGCTGGGCATGCCTGGATCCAATGATAGACCGTATTGAGGCATTTCCCCGGGAGCCGTGTCAGCAGGGAGCCTGACATTTTGTGTGAGGTGACGTTCGAACAAGGCTTGCAAGACCCACTGTCACGAGTGAGAATGCTCTGGACGTGTGAACTGTGGGTCCCCAAAGGAGACAGCCGATGCCCGGTGCGATAGATCTCCAGCTAGGAGAGTCAAGCTTCATCCGCTTCAACAGGCCATGACAACCTCGACCTAGTAACATGTACCATCAGATAGAGTTCGCGTCAGAAAAGGCTTTGGGTTCGATCAGAATCTCTACCAGAGCCCTCGGAGCCAAGCGCAGGGGTTCGGAGTTCCCGGAACCCGGTGGAGGCTCACGCACAGCTCAGCACTATTGTTTGGAATTTACTAGAGTCAGCATTCAAGTTTTAACAATGATCATTTGACCAGATGACGAAACCAGCAGCACGGATACTCGGGGAGAACATAGTTGTAATCAATGCATCAGCATAACAGAGATAAGCATAGTTTTGTTCTTCCGGGGTCCGATTCGGTTGGCTTGTACCCCGTGGGAAGACTTAGATTCGGATACGATATACATTGTACAGGATGGACGGTGGGCGGTGGAGGAAGTGTTCCAGAAGTATATGATGCTACTCCTCGGTAAATACTGAGCAACTATCGTCTAACAAATTTGACGAGCGACGAACAAATCGTTGAAGTGATTATTGTTTGTGATATGGGAGCCAGCTCCGGTAAACACGTAGTTTGTTAGGAACGCCTAATGGGAATAGGCAGAGTACAGCGATAAAGTCTTCAATTGGTATTAAGTGCTCCTTAACCCTATGGTTGTACACGACTCGAAGCATGAGAGAAGGAGAGCTCTCTCATACGGGGCGTGTGCAGTTCATATCTCTCAGCTCTGTCCGAATAGCCGAGGGATGCAAGTTGTCGGCAATTGGCATCGGCATTCGTGACATAGTTCTTGTTCTGCTTGACCAAGGGCAGCAGAATCCGTGGAGATCGAGCGCGCTGTTAGGAGACTTGTCGCGCAGTATGAATGAATTGCTTTGCCAGCTCCAGGGCAACGAGGTGAACGAAAGGAGATTGTTTGAGGTTGACGAAGGTGAGGCAGGGCAAGGCTTCGCAACAGGATGCAGACGTCAGCGATTGGACCACGTGAGGGAAAAAGAGCGGAACGACGGGTCCGCTCGGGTTTCCATTTCCGGCAACCCTCTCATCGCCGGGCCGAGGTTCGTGGCTGAGCTAAAACCATGATTGTTGTGTATTTTATACTGCCAATGCCAGCGTATCACAGGCCACGCCGTCTCTAGCATCACCTGATGTTAAGAAATTGTCGTAGCGTCCACCATGTACTGTACATGTGCGTACTTTTTTGCACGTGCTACTCCATACACTCTTCCCGTCAGATGAGGTCTTCATAGTACGTAGGGAGTGTTGTCCGAATCCATCTGCCGACAACAATTTGCAACATATGGAAACTTGGAAACTTTGACCCATAGTCAGGTGTAAACAAAATGGATTATATTCAGGCATTGTGGGATGGATGATGGAGCATGCTCTCGACGACGTGCCTCTCACACCAGCCATCCCCACGTCACACTCTCTTAACTTTAAAATCTGGACTGCACTTTGGCTGGGACGTCCTGAACGGCCCAGTCCGAGAATTTCTTCTGGCTGACTGTTCGCTTGACTTGTTCTGCTGTAAAGCCTTTGGCTTCCGTGGCGGGGTTATATCCGAGACCGTTAAGCTTGCCAACCTCCTGGTCCGAGACAGGGGAGGCCACTTTACCATCCACGCGCTTGTACACGGTCACGACGACGGCGCCGCCCAGACCAAGGTTGTGTTGCAAGCAGTACTTCGTGTTGTCGGCCAGACGGTTGTTAGCCCAACCTCGGAGATGCCATGTTAGCTCAGCGCACTGGGCCAGTCCAGTTGCTCCTGGGATACGATGTCAGCACACAGTCTTCATAATGGTCTAGCGAGGGACCCTGGCTTACCGAGAGGATGGCCTTTAGAAATGAGGCCGCCGGAGGGATTAATGACATATTTTCCGCCATAGGTGATGTCGCCGTTGCGGACGAGCTCGTGCGCTTTTCCCTTGGGACATAAGCCAAGGGCATCAATGACACACATCTCGTTGGCGCTGAAGCAGTCATGGAGTTCGACAACCTTGACATCGTTGGGAGTGATGCCTGCCTCTTCCAGGGCTTTCTTTCCGGCATATCGCGACATCTCGTATCCAACCAGATCCATCGCGGATCGGCTGAAGAGATCGGGAGAGTCGGTGGCCATCGCCTGACCGGCAATCAAGACAGCCTGCGATTTGAGATGTGGGCGCTTATCGAGGAAGTCCTGGGACACTATGACAGCGGCGGCACCGCCATCCGAGGTCGGGCAGCATTGGAGCTTCGTCAACGGCGGGTGGATCATGGGCGACTTCAGGATTTGCTCCCGGGTGTATTCGTCCTGGAACTGCGAGTATGGGTTCCTCTTGCTGTGTTCGTGATTGACTCGAGCGATTTCGGCGAAGTCTTCGGGGGCGGCGCCGTACTTTTCCATGTACTCTTGACCAGCGTTGCCGAAGAGTTGCGCGGCGCCAGGAGCATTGGTAATGCCTCTTGTCGCCTTCATCATGGCGTTGGTCGTGCCGGTAGGGTTTTCACGATCATTGAAATATGCTTGTAGACTGCCAGGGCTCATCTTCTCAAAACCAACCACCAGGACACAATCAGCGGCGCCATAGGCGATGGCTTGCCGGGCCATGTTGAGGCCGGTGCTTCCTGTTGAGCAGTTGTTGTTGACATTGTAAATGGGAATCTGGGTCATGCCGAACTGGTAGAAAACGCGTTGGCCGCAGGTCGAGTCGCCGTAGCAATAACAGGCAACACCTTGGTCGACTTCATCGTAGTTGATCTGAGCATCGAGCATGGCCTTGATACCAGCTTCGAAGCCCAGTTCGGTGTAGTCAACCTTCCCACGAGGCTTGATGAACTTGGTCATGCCAACGCCTAGAACGTAGGCGGGCGCTGGTTGTCTGCGAGGCATGGTGGCGGTGTGTGGAGAGAGGCTCGGTGAGGCGAACAAAGGGGGAGAAACCGTAGAGACCTAATGGCAGACGGCACACAGCAGAAGACTTACGACGAAAGTCTCCGGAAGAAATACTTTTGAGAACACAGGTATACTAGATGAGGACCTCTGCTGGACGGATATCAAACGTTGGTCTTCTAGATATATCTTCGATTGATGCAGTGGTTGTCATATTTAGTTGACCGACATCCTCGGCTCCCGAGTCAGTTCTATCGCCGAAGCCGAACAGGACTGATTGGCGGACGAAGATGGAGGCGGTCCCTAGGAAGTCGAAGGCATTCAGGAATATTGCGGGGAGTAGGAGGATGTGTGTGCCAGGGGCCGAGGGGCGCCTAAAGCGGTGCCAGTGGTTGATGTTGCCCACGGCCAAGCTGCTTTTTTGACTGGCGGAGCTTTGGGAGGACACTTTACGCCCATCCAGAAGCACCGAGGCTCCTGGTCAGCTCTTACTTCGCGTTTGCTCCCCAGTGACTGCTGCATTGGTAGTACAAACATTATAGCACCCTAACCTACTCGGAAGGTAATAAGACACGTACGAGCGCACAGCGCACTTTCAGTCGTAAGAGCATCTGCACACCGTCCATACCATTGATGATCATTCACTCCCAGACCGCATGAGCAGCACAGTGCTTATAGACTGATAACTCTCGCTGCAGGAGGAAGTGAACTTGAAGAGAGCGCCATGACACGCGATTTATCTGCAACCATGCCACTCGGAACATCACCACTGCCACTATTCGGAAGTGATCTGAAGGCCAGGCCAGAAAACCAACCAGCAGTCGATGAAGTGCTGGGATGCGCGGGTACTAACATTTATATTGTATAGCACCTAAACGGGCTGCAGGACCTACCTACAGTAAGTCCTCGAGAGACCCCTGCGCCCTAGACACGCTGCACCCGTTCACAGCCATTCAAGTCTCAGTTATTGAAACCGCGGACATGTTGAGCCAACAGACGAGGTGGGCTTGACCGCACCCGGACTAGTAGGGGCCTAGAGAGCTGTCTAAGGCCTGAGAGGGCCTAATAACATTCGTCGCTTTGGGCTGCCACACCCCGTTTGTTCCGACGTCACTGTGTTTTCCCTTGTCTCCCACCACCAGATCCCCCACATTCATTGTGCCTGTGTCGCTGCAAATCCGCTGCAAATCCACTTCGGTGCCAGTGCTGCTGCTCCTGTGCGTGTCAGTTGCAGATCGAGAACGCGGGCAGCCAGACAAACCCGCCAGCCAGAGACCCGTCCTGTCCTCGCATCGAATGCCCAGACTGACTGTGTGTGCCCTTTTTCAACCTTTGCACATGTGGTCAGGACCATACTATACATAACATACATCTTCTACCGTTCCTGTCTGCATTGACACCACTTCTCGTTCCTCACCACCCTCTCTCCTGTTGTCCCCATTGTCCTGGCCTGACAAAGGACAACTGGTCCCGAATCCAATCCCGACCTCTTTGATTCTCCGACTCCTTCTCGCGGAAAGCTTGCACAGCTGTGACAACGGTCCAGCGAGCCACACCCACCTCTTGAACGTCCTTCGCGAGCACTGGGAGCTCCTGTGACCCTTGAGACAATATAGAAAAAAGGACGACAGTCCCTCAGATTGAATTGGGGAATTGAGCCTCCAACAAGCTCTATCCGCTTGTCCCAACATATCCATTTCTGTGTGAACGCGTCGGTGCCGTAGCCAGGAAGTGGTCTTGTGCTCAGCCACCAGTCATCCTCAAGAGACTCGCTTCCGCGATGGGAAAAGAATTTCACATATAGGAGGTCTGATATGGAGTGTGGAACGCGGAGAGATCTTCTCAGGTGATTGAGAGATCTTCTTGCGTTCCATCGGGTCCCGCAGCCCAATTGTGTTGTGAACAATAAGGCGCCTGTCCAGCGTCCACCGTGGTGTCCTATACAACGACATCATATCGTGCGTTGATGACCTTGTTCTTCTCGGCAATGAGCCATGCCAGTAAACACCACGATACTTCTTCACTTGACCATGATTCAACTTCCAAACTTCCATCCAAATCATCTCAACCACCGTTAACCATGGCTCCTCAAACGAAGTTGAACACGGCCTGGAACTCCCAGGATACTCGAATCTTCTATGCAAAGAAGTACCGACAAGTCCTCTCTTCCGCTCCCGCTTGCGCTTTGGCTGTTATAGCAGGAGTAAGTGACTTTCAAGGAGCCTCGCCGCAGACAGGCCGCTGACTCGAAGACAGGCACCTTTGGAAAACCTCAAAGTCCGAATGCAATCGTACGTACTTACTGACAATTCAACGGAGACGTGAGTGGGATGCATGGACTGACGAATGGCAGGCGCAACTTCCCAAATGCATTTCAGGCTCTCCAATACACCTACCGCACCGAAGGTATTCGCGGTTTCTGGGCTGGTATGACGAGATTCTGCAGTTACAAGAATAGGATGCTAATTTACTCATCCAGGAACATTGACACCCCTGGTCTCTATCACGGTCTCACGAGCTCTTGGATTCTCGATCTATCGCAAGGCCAAATACACCTTTGACAGCTGGATCGAGTCGACGACTGGCCAGTCTCCCCTGCAACATGTCAACAAGCCTGGAACATATCCCAACCTAGCCACCGTGATCTGCTTTACTGGAGCAGGCATGGTCTCGGGCGGGATTGTTGCCGTTGCGCTAAGTAAGTCTGCCGATCTTAATCTCGAGGTAGAAACTAATCTGAATGCAGCTCCTGTTGAACTGATCAAGAATGCGACTCAAACCTCCGTCCTCATGGCCTCGAAAGGCGATACTGCCGGTCTCGCTACGGTTGGCGTCAAAAATGCTGCCAGGGTCAGCTCATGGGTTTCCATGAAGCGTGTCATTGCACGGCAAGGAGTCTTGGGTTTGTGGACTGGTTTTCATCTCCATCTGCTGCGCGACGTCATCGGAAGTGGCATCTACTTTGGTGTTTACGAAACTACGAAACAGACGTTGAATTCCTACTACGGTGCTGAGAAGGCGAATTCGGCGGGTGCAATTGCCATGGCTGGTGCGATTTGCGGCGTTGGTGCTTGGGTTGTGGTAAGTCACTTCCGTCCCCTTGACACTCGCGCCCCTTAACGCTCGCCATCACTCAAGCAATCCGATTCACTAACGGTCTATAGACTTATCCGCTTGACACTATGAAGACTCGTGCTCAAAACAACCTTGTCGGCGCAGATCGCGCTGCCTCTGCCGCTTCCTCGGCCAAGTCGGCGGCCTTGTCGTCGGCTTTAAACACCGCCGCCAAGGCCGCCGCCCGATCGTCGAAGTGGAAGGGGGTCGAGATGATAATCCTGCGTTCCTCGATCCAAAACATGATTCAGATGTCGTTCTTCGAGCAGGCCAAAGTGGTCATTGACAATTTGACCTTCTCCGACGGCAGCCGCACGCTGCCAGAGGTGGAGCGCCACTTTGGCCGGGACCGAAAGCTGAAGAACGACCGGTTGTGAGCGCGGTGCGCTCCAGAGCTATCGTGTGCTTTTGACAATGAAATGAGTAACCGACAATTGTTCCGTTGCTGTTTATTACTTGCTTGCTGTTGTGGTCGCCGCCTCGTGCCATTTGTGCTTGTTTCCCAGGGTGGATTTGCAGTATAGTTTACCTACTCTTCCCATCTTGTCGTCCTCCTTGCACAAAATATTCTTTATTCTCTAACACTTGATCGACCGCTATGCACATCAACATTCATAGAGGCTTTGGAACGGAAACGTTTACTATGGGTATCGTAGGCGGGTGCTGATTATACTGAAAACCAAGACCGAACTGTTATTGCACCAACTTGAAGTGCCAATACATCTGTGGAGACTACCGTTAACATTACCATCTATTATTCTTGGCTGTCTGATGGCAGTAGCTTATATCGTGTTCTGTTGCCACAGCGTTCTCCTGTGCTCGATACAGCTCAGATCCTACACTGCAGCGTTGTCGGCAATCATTCATATTGCTGCTCTCCTCGCTTGAAGGAGGTACACGCTCTACTGGCAACACGGTGAGCCTATTGCCAATGTCTGTGATGCACTTCTAACTCCTATCTACGAGGCCACATGCTTCACCTCTGCATCGTACAATGCAAGAATGTATGTCCTACGTTGAAGCTGCTGGAGTGAACCTGCCCCTGCCCGAGTGGTTCTTGATCTGGCATATCTTGATTACTCATCACCTGCCTAAATCTGCCTTCGGATTTGATATCCGGGTGTTGCCTATGTACCTCACGGCCGGTATACTGACATCGATGCCTGATTCATACAACCTGGAACTCAACGGCCGTAACTCACTGCGACCCGGGACTCACGTTGACTCATTATTGTTCGACCAAATGTACCTAGGTAAGCAATTCACTACTACCGAATGGAAACAGCAGAGGTGCCGCGTTCTCAGTCTCAGGATCAGGCACCATTACTAAGCAGTACTAAGATGCACTAATGAGATACTCGCAGTATTTACCTTATCCAGGATCAACTAATCTCGATATCCACTATTCATGACGATGAAAAATATCGCTTGATCCCTGTTGAGACAGCTAGGTAAGGAGACCATTGGCACGCCCTTTCTTGGAGGCCGGTAGGTATCCAGGCAGAAGCTGCATGTATTCTGTGTTTGTGCCTTGACTAAGTCTTCTCTGGGGATGATATAAACGACGTTGTTATATTCCAACCTTCAAGTTTCCCAAAGTTTATTCCACACCACCACCTTATCTTACTACGACCGAGTACATTGTACAGTGCCAGGGCAGTACGCCTCGGAACAAATACAGACTACCTAAACAAGCGCGGTGTCGTGCCGTGCCGTGCTCACTGCCAACTTGAACACTCCACCACACTACTAGTACAGCATATACACAATCGTCTTTTTGCAGCTACAGGTTCATATTGTTGACCTAGAGCAAGAACTCGCTTTTTGTTTCTGTTTCTCATTCCCATCAACCATGTCAGAACGCTACCCGTCCGAGATCAAAGATGCATCACCGCTCGCGCAGCCACTGCACTTCGAGTTCAGCGGGCGGACCGCGATGAACCGGCTCCTCAAGGCCGCGATGACAGAGCGACTGGCATCATGGGACCCTATCCACAAAGAGAAGCGCGGGATCCCTTCCGCCAATCTGATCCGAGTATACCAGCGCTGGGGAGAAGGTCAATTTGGGGTCTGTCTGACAGGCAATATAATGATCGACTACGACCAGCTGGAAGGACGAGGCAACCCGGTCATCCCACTCGAGGCACCATTCTCAGGCGACCGATTCGAAGCATTCAAAGACCTAGCAACTCAAGCCAAAGCGCACGGCAGTCTGATCGTAGCGCAAGTCAGCCACCCGGGCCGCCAAGTCGAATCCAGCATCAACGCGGACCCAGTATCAGCAAGCGACGTACAACTGGAGGCTGAAATCTTCGGAATGAAATTCGCCAAACCGCACGCTGCAACAATCGAAGAAATCAAAGGTATTATCGCCCGCTTCACCCATGCGGCCAAGTACTTGTACAAGGCAGGCTACGACGGGATCGAACTGCACGGCGCACATGGGTATTTACTCGCGCAGTTCCTGTCCCAAACGACCAACAAGCGAACCGACCAGTATGGCGGCTCGCTGCGCAACCGGGCCCGATTGATTCTCGAGATTGCCGACTCGATCCGACAAAAAGTGCCATCTTCGTTCGTGTTGGCTATCAAGATCAACTCGGTCGAGTTCCAGGAAGGCGGGTTCACGGCCGACGAGGCAAAAGAGCTCTGTGGAATGTTGGAAGAATCCAAATTCGACTTTGTCGAGTTGTCAGGCGGCACGTACCAGGAGTTTGCGTTCACGCATAAACGCGAATCCACAAAGAAGCGTGAAGCGTTTTTCCTCGAGTTTGCGGACAAGATCACACCGGCTTTGAAAAAGACAAAGACTTATGTCACGGGCGGACTGAGGACTGTTACGGGTATGGTTAATGCCCTCAAGACAGTTGATGGCGTGGGACTCGGCAGGCCCGCATGTCAGGAACCCCTGATTGCAAGGGACATTCTCCAGGGCCGTGTCACGGGCGTTATTGCCCAGAAACTCGACCCGGATAACTTTGCTGTTACGAATCTTGTGGGAGGCGCCCAGATCCGTCAGGTGGGAAAGGGGCAAGTCCCTATCGATATGTCGAAACAGGAAAATGTCGATGCGTTCCTGAAGGATCTTGCGAAATGGTCAGAGAAGATGGCGACTGGCGATCCGAGCAATTATGGTTTTCTGGATATTGAGAGTGCTCCGGTGACATTGTATGATGTAGCGTGAGTGAGCGTGATGTGACTGAGTACATGTTGGAAGAAAGCAATGATACAAACTGGCGTTTGATACCCCTGAACACGATTGGAAGATGAGGAGCCTCTGTTCCATATACATACATCACATATGATATAGAGAGAGTCTCTTTAGAAAAATCATCTAATGAATATCACTCCAAGTACCTCGTTCATGACAAGCGAGCCCGAATGATGTGTACCAAAACCCGCGTGCCCAGCCGGTGCCCAACCTGCAGTTCCCTCGTTGGTACTGTACCACCACTGTGTTGCACACCGGCGTCGTTGCACAATCCGGCTGTCCTCCTCATAGATACCCCTCTTTAACCTCGCTCTTGCTCTCAAGCTTCGGCAATCCGCGGAGTCGAACCTGGAGTAGTAGTAGTCGCCGGTACTGCAACTAGAGTAGACAAAAACGGACTGTCTGATTTAAGAATGGAAGTGTCAATACTTCAAACTGTTGTCTTTCCTCGTCTGAAACGCCTATTGAGTAGGTACTGTACAATGTGACAATGATTGAGAGCAAGGTATTTCATCCAGCACCCGTAAAATTAACACCCTCCTTGATGATTACCGTTTTGCGCCACACTTCACATAAAAGCCCATCCAGCGCTCCATACCAGGATCTGCGCTGTAGTACGAATGGTGGTCAAACCCCTTTTTGGCCGCATGCCAATGGAGAGGAAGAGTGGCAATGCCAGCCATAATCTGTGATATCCATCCTTCACAACAAGTAGAATGGATCTGTTGTACATACGACCCGTCCACAACGGAGCCTTGATGGGTCCATCATGGAGAGAGCAGGGGACAAGAAAAGCGTTTAGTATTAGGCGGTTGTGCCGCAGAGGCGAAGAATAATCTCGTACCTGTGACCGTAAGTCAACGAATGACCAACACCAACAACAACGACATCGAGACTTACATTCCAAACATGATGGCCGCGCTGGGTACCACTCTCAGCAAATGCGGCGTCATGCCACCATAAAGGCCAGCCAGACCCTCCTCCTTGGCCACGGTTTTGAAACACTGAATCAGACCGGTGTACTTGACGGTGACTTTACCGTCTTCGGTGATCATCGTCGGTGCCTGTCGTAAGCGTGTCCTCACGACTTCGTGGGGGTAGGTAATGACTGCGGCGACCAGTTTGGCGCCTGCAGCGGCGGTAAATTTGCCGGCCCATTCTTCTGTATTGTCGACCCAGGTCTGCTGGTATCCTGGGGTGGCTAATCGTTTGGCCTCACGTCTTGCCAGGGCCAGCTTCATCCGTTCGTACATGACCCATTGCAGGGTAGACTCGGTGACGCCTAGGTATGAGGCGGTCAAGCCGCGGTACAGACCCCTAATGCCCTCGTGTCGAACCGTCTGCTTGATACAGTCCCAGCTGTTCTTGTACTGCCGACCACGGGTGGGATCATGGCTCGCATTGTTCTTGTCCAGTTGTAATCTCGTCTTGACCAACCAGATTGGATTCGTCGCCGTCCCCGTCACGATACCCGCCGTGGCTGCCGCGGCAAGATGAATGCTCCAGACATTTTCCCGTCCTTCGGGGTTGAAGTAGTCGTTGAGAATCCTCTTTCCGTTGCCGTAGACGTAAAAATTAATGCTTCGGGCGGGAACTACGCCCACCAGGTTTGCACCCAACCCGCGGAAAAGCGCCCGGAACCCTTCGTGCTGGTATATCGATCGTAAAATTTGTACAGTTTCGGCCAGGTGGAAATATGCCGAACGAGGTAGAGAGAGAAGTGTGGTCTTTTGCGGCAGTGGGTGTTTGGAGTGAAGCTCTTTTAATTGTGCTTGGTAGAAATCTGATTGGAGTCGTGTCTTTAGAACGTCAAGGGGTGAGGTTAAGGCGGCAGCGGTCATTCCACCAACACTATAGTATTAAAGTCAGTTTGTCTGCTCGATCGTGCCGCCATGAGTATAACATACCCGCCTGCTACAAAATGAGCCCATGGCTTGGCCACGGGAGCATCCTTGGTCACCGAGGAAGATCCATTCCCAGGCTGTCCTTCTGGTACCACTTGACCAGTCTCACGGGGCTGAGGGAGCAAGTTCTCTTCTCCTCGTGTGGGCACCTGGAAAGGCTTGGAGTTGGTTGAAGAAAATGTCATGAACGTCGCGCAAAGGCGCAAGAAGTACACAAATTTGCGCGGCTGAAAATGAGGACTGGAATTAATGTACAGTCAGGAGCGAGATCTCAAAATCAGTGCGACGGGCCAGGGCAATGCAAGAAGAAAAGGAAAACGAGGATTGATTGTGAAATTCTGTGAATTGAAGTTGTACTGGGCGAGGCAAAGCAGTTCATCCGTCATCGCCAAACCATCATCGCAGTCCAAATGAAAAGTCCAAGATTGCTTATCACCACGTGATGCAACGGTCACGTGCGATAAGCCATCATTTTCCCATCCCAATGCCAGCCTAATAGGCGTCTCTCATCAACGAGGCTCGCACTCATACCTGCACCGCTTGTGGTTCTCGTGTTGCGTCCAAAATTTATGAAGTGTTAGATAGACTCTCCTAGTATCGTGTTCCTCCTACAGCGTTCAAGTTCGCGATATCCACTGTCCGAATCCAATGATGTCTTACTGGTAACACAACAAATAGCCGAGGTCGTGGTTCTCATTTTCCGCCGGAATTATCGTTTGGCGTTTCTGTACTAGCTTGTGGGTCAAACAACTGTCAACATCGCACGTCTGCATGTTCGTAACCGCACTACTGCATTGAAAAGGGGTCAAAGGCCACAAAAAAAAAGCAAAAAAACAAATGTTTCTTGTCAGTTCGAATGCTCCCTACAGGACTTGAACCTGTGACCTCCACATCTCGTACGACAGAATTGACGATTACTAGTGTGGCGCTGCTACCACTGAGCTAAGAGAGCGTGTTGACTGAAGTTGCTGATCTGACAACCAGATGCTTCGTGAAATATGATGGAATAAAACTTGAATGTGCTTATTAGGCAGCTCGGCCCGATGGAGATTCCCTTCAAGGCACTCCGGTGGAAAACGTTCACCGCCTTTCCCTGTCAGTATGCTCACTCTTTACCGTGGTCCTTTTGGACATCGTCTCCATCACTGAATGTGGCCGGCTCTTGTCTGGTACGGTTGACGTGGAGAGAAAAGACATCCAACCTCTGATACCCTCCGACCACGTCGTGGTACTGCTTGCCTTCGATGCACTCGTTCAAATCCAAAGTGGCGTACAAAATGCCCTCTTCATCCTTCAACGTGTGCCTGGTGGACATGGTTCTTGTGTCTGGATCGATCACGTAGCCTGACACGGTCTTTCCATTCGGGTCGAGGAACTGACTTGCAGCACGGGGATATCTTTTGAGCATACTCTTGATCTCCTCGGGATTTTCGGTCATGGAGGCAATCTCGTCCATTGCAGCGTCGTCCAGATTGGCGGCGCACATGACGCCAAAGCATTTGGCCTCGAAGCAGTGCGCGGCTGCCCTGGTATGATTTGCAGTGACGTTGTCGTAATTACGACTGGTCTCGGCGCCAGGCGTGTCTTCACTGATGGCCCGGGTCGGCCAGATGGCAGGCCAGGTCGAGATATGGACCTGCTCGCCCTGGCTCATCAAGGTGTACCGGGCCAGCGGGTTGGTGTTTTCACCACAGATCAAGGCCCCTATCTTGCCATATGGGGTGTCTGCTACGCGAAGGCCATAGCCGTCCCCAGGGGCCCAGCTCAGCTTCTCGAAGAAGGTGGGCATCAATTTGCGGTGGTGGACCAAGATCTGGCCATCCTCACCGATGATCAGATTGGTGTTGAACAGTGTCGCGGAGCTATATGGAACTTTCTCGGATATGCCCAAGCTAACTGTGACGCAATGCTTGGAGGCTGCTTCACGGATCGCGGCAACTTCCTCCCCATCTACATATAGTGGTTGCGAAGCGAGGCGGCGGAAGAAATGATGAGTCTTGGTTGGCGGCAGGATCGACGACCATACGGGGAATCCGGGGATGGACGCCTCCGGGAAGACGACCAATTTGGCTGACTGGCTTGCCGCGGTCTGAATGAAGCTGATGGTCTTTTGGGTCGTCCGCTCGGCAGAGAGCAGATGTGGAGTGAGATGGCACGCGGCCGCTTTCAATTTGGGAAGAGCCATGTTACAACATAAAGCCTACCTTTGGGCATAGCAACGCCCGGCATCACGGCGGAGAAGGGAAGAATCACCTCGGAGAGCTCCAGCAGTTGATGGTGGAGATGTAGGGCTGTATGTCAGCCCAGCCAGTAGTGTGGTCTGATACAGCATGCAGTAGCAATAGAGCCGAGAAACAGGTTCAGAAAATCTGGACTTGTAGTGGTTAAGCAGGGCTAGGTCGGCGCCCGCAACGAATGATGGACTGCTAACCAGCGTCCGGCCCTGTAGATGATTCTGGGGTAAAGGACGGAATTCTGGAGCAATCGGAAGGGCGGATAGTGCCAGTGGACAAGGCCGGGCTGACTGATAGTGGACGGTCTAATATGGGACTATGGAGCGGTATCTGTTGCCCTTTTGATTGTCTTTCTCCGCCCGAGCTTGTTGGAGCATCAGCCTCGGCTCTCGGATGAGGTGACTACACGACCGCTGACCAAACAACCAACCTGACAACCAGGGCTGCTGAGCACCTCAGGTCATTAATAAACTGGTCATTGATTCAGTTCTGCTTCTGTATTATATTCCCTTGGTCTTCTCAACTCGCAATATCGGGCGATCTCTTCCTCGAATCTGTGCTGTCGATAACTCTGCAACATGTCGGTCCCTTACTTGATCAACAGCGCCACTGGCCACATTCCGGCGTCGGAAAGGATTCCCGTCATTGCGCGGCCTTTTGTGAGCGAACGAGCGAAGAAGACTTTGGACCTGGTACGTAACAAATTAACCATTAAATCGGACCTCAATGCCAATGTTTGTATCTACTAGGTTGAGAGATTCGTCGAGGAAGAATGCATCCCAGCCGATGCCGTCTTCAAGCAACAGATCGGCGAAGGGGCCGTGCAGCGCTTCGACTCACATCCTCAGATCATTGAGGACCTGAAAGTCAAGGCGCGGAAACTGGGCCTGTGGAACATGTTCCTGCCCAAGAACCACTTCAAGGAGGGTGCTGGCTTCAGCAACCTCGAGTACGGCCTGATGGCCGAGTACCTTGGCAAATCTGTTGTTGCCAGCGAGGCAACCAACTGTGCCGCCCCTGACACGGGCAACATGGAGGTGTTTGCCAAGTACGGCACCGAGGAGCAGAAGAAGAAGTGGCTGGTTCCCCTGCTGAACGGCGAGATCCGATCCGCTTTCTTGATGACCGAACCCGGCGTTGCCAGCAGTGATGCCACCAACATCGAGCTGGACATGAAGAAGGATGGTGACTACTACGTTTTGAACGGACAGGTCTGTGACTCCAACTCCTTTTCTGAGACCCCCTACGTTTTTGGAGGTTGCTGTTTGCTAACAACTTTTGGTCCTGCAGAAATGGTGGTCCAGCGGTGCCGGCGACCGCCGCTGCAAGATCTACATTGTCATGGGCAAGACAGATCCTCGCAATCCGGACAAATACAGACAACAATCCGTCATCCTCGTCCCGGCCGACACCCCAGGCATCACTATCACCCGGATGTTGTCGGTCATTGGATTCGATGACGCCCCGCACGGCCACGGTCATATTGAATTCAACAATGTCCGCGTGCACAAGAGCAACCTGGTTCTCGGCGAGGGCCGTGGTTTCGAAGTCATTCAAGGCCGTTTGGGACCCGGCAGAATCCACCATGCCATGAGATCTGTTGGCGCTGTGAGTATCTCGGGCTGTCCTCTTCCCTATGATTGTCCTGTCTTTGGGAGGCATGAATTCGAAAAGGAATTGAACTGACAAGAAACTCTACTTTTGAACAGGCCGAGAAAGCCCTCGAGTTGTTCCTCGCCCGAATCAATGACCCATCCAAGAAGCCATTCGGCAAGCAACTGCATGAGCACGGCATCATGCTAGAGCGAGTGGCCAAGTCGCGTATTGAGATCGATGCCTCGCGCCTGGCCGTGCTGAATGCCGCCATCAAGATCGACCAGAGCAACGCCAAGGACGCCCTCAAGGAGATTGCCGAGGTCAAGGTCCAGGTCCCAAACATGCTGTTGGAGGTGCTCGACCGCGCCATCCAAGCTTACGGTGGCGCCGGTGTCTCCCAGGACACGCCCCTGGCCGCCATGTGGGCCAACGGTCGAACCATGAGAATCGTCGACGGGCCGGATGAGGTGCATATCCTGCAACTCGGTCGCAACGAGAACAAGCGTGGCCCCGCCCTGTTGAAGCGCATTCAGGCCCAGAAGGAGAAGACCAGAGAACTGCTTAGGCAATATGGCCTTGAGGTGAAAGATCCTCTGCAGCTCAACCGCGTCAGCGGAGGCAGCCAGTCCAAATTGTAAACAGAACAGAACAGAACAGCTATATATACCTACCTAGGAGAGGATGGCGTGGCACAAGACAAAGTGTCTGATCTGCTAGTCATGGAGCTTGAAGTTCTGGATGTTTGGGACACTGGCACAATGGGAAAATATTTTGTTACGCCGTCTTCTTGCTAGAAATTCCCTCTGCTTCTCCGACCGCTTATGGGGCATCCGTATCACTTGCTGTATCCATGCTGTCCCATTAAGCGTGCACCTTGGAAGTTGTTCTTTCGACAGGCAGATAGTATCGACAGTCATTGAACTCCAGATTATGCTCTTCGTCAATGTAGCTGAGCGCATCATATCTACCAGGTCATCTGGGCAATATATAATGGGATGAAGCAGCATAAGTCTGTGAGCAGGTACAAGAATAGGATATGCATTTTCATCGCTCTTCTAGGGTGCTGTAGACCGTCAGGCAGAATGTCTTTGCGTTCAGACTTTAGACTTCCTGCATCTGTGCTCCCCATCCAAACGGGAGTTGCAACCTCTCAAACAAAGATAATTCCAGAATTGCCCAGCTCGGGAGATGATGGATTGTCCCCTTTCCTTAAAGTGGACCAGAACCGTAGCAAGGCAACCACGCCACATAATGCAAGAGCACACCTGGCCAGTCAACTCCGAAGTCGTCTCAGATCTCATTGGTGCCGTATGTCTTGTGGCTCCCGGGCAAGTCCGGGGCAAATTCTGCACCTCGCCGTCGGTTTTGCACGTCCAGTTCTGGATTCCGCAGCTAGACTTGCCTTTTGACCTTGCGAGAGATAACACTAAGTCTGTCGGCTTCCTCGGATTGTATGTGCTCGATCTTGCCCATTTCACGTCTGGCAGAGGCTATCCTTGACATTCTCTGCGTTGGCCAAGGTAGAGGGCCGTGACCAAGCATAAAGACCAGCTACAACAATGGTTGCCTTGGACGCTGGACAACTTGTGGCGGCTCTCCTCAACTGAAATAGTTCAGTCAACCAGGTACGGGTTCTCGCAGCTCAATCGGAGGTCTGTAAATCCTTGAGACCCAGCATGGAAGCGGTAATCTGGTTGGTGGAAGTACTGCGCCAACCGCGGAGAACGGCCGTAGTCTGGCATTAGACATGATAAGTGTCTCATGGTCTTGACTGACGCCTCCATCGCACGTTCAGGAGACTGCAGTTGTCGTCATCACGGATGCCCATATTTGACACAACCACTATAATTGACAATGGGCTTGAGAGAGGGCGCCACGGGATCAAAACATCGTGGGGGCTACCATTTAACCAACCCGTCGTAGCTGTTGTAATAACACCATACCGACATCAAGCATGCCCATTTGGCGCAGACAAGTAAATATCGAACTGACTTGGCGTAGTTGCTGACCGGTCTGGGTGAAGATAGCGCGTACCCTCAGAGGCGGACTTATTTGCCGGTTGTTGATGCATAAGAAGCATTGGGCTTGGTGCCCGTTTCTCAGTCGTAAAGCCCTGTATAGGAAGCCTCTCGAGTCTGCTGGACCATGGCGGTCGCGACCATGCTTTAGTCATCCTTTTCACGGCGGAAACATGCTTTCTCGGGAGTTTCGCATTTAGGTGTTTTGCTGGATAGCTGGTTCACGCGCTTCAGTAGTCTGACCCGGGCTGTTCAGCTCAGGGTTCGTGTCGCACAGTTTTGCAATGACGTCTGGTCTGATTATGTCTTTCCGAAATTGTTCCTGTTGGAGGAGTTCGAGATTCCTAAGAGTTGCGCCAGGGTGCGTTAGGTACTTGACATACTGCGGCGTGCGCCAGTACTCGTAAAGGTATTTGAGGTATCGCGCAAATCTCGCTGCATCGCAGTCTTCATCTTCAGCAGACTCCTGGGACGTGGTCGGCTTATTAAGTAGATGGGGATAATTCAAGGCGAGATATTGCAGATAATGTGGATTCGCGAGACATAGCACAAACTCGAGTTCGAGAGTAAAGCGATGCGAAACAGGGGTCGGGGGTGTCGTGGTCTCCATCGTCGTCAGCGCTAGATCCAGAGCGCTCTGCGTGATCGTCCAATCCTTGCCGTCAGTAAGGTGACTGAAAGATTAAGTGATAATTGTTGTATGTTGCAAGCTTCGAAGTGCACAGCCCAGTCCACTGCCTAATCTGGTTTCGCAAGCAATATCAAGACTGACCCACTTCTCACGTGCCTTTGACCCGGACAGTTGGACTCGTGTGATCTCTTCGACCTCGGTCTACAACATTGTACGTCCTGTATGACCTTTGCTAAATAATAAACGGCTTCAGACGTAGGTCGAGATCGTGCCTTTTCGCCGACGGAAGCGAGTGTTCCGCGCCGTTTAGGGGTGTGGCAAAGCTAAAGGTAACGCGACCGCGCCGCCTGTTGTTGGTTCAACGTGTTTGGCTCTGTTAGTCTTCGAGGATTAAAGTGTGTGGCGGAGAAATAGTTGGTCTGTGCCCGCTATATGGTAGGCTCTCCTGAATGACAGCTGTCCGGGGAGACCACGACGTACAACGGATATTGGAAGGCTGGGAAGAGGATTACGTCTCACTGTCTCTGACTTGAGAGGTTCTTCGGCTTCCAGTGAGCGGCGACGGGATCAGACGAAAGGGCTGTGCAGTAGTGGGTAGCCAGTGCCAATCAGCTGGGCGGTTTCGCTTTTCTGGATGCAAATCGGGCCAGGTCTGAGACAGTGAAGGGGGGATGATCACTATATTGAAACCAACGTGAAGGGAGATTTGCCGTCGATCACGATGACAATAATGGCATTTTTGGAGGGCTCAATAATGATATGCCAGCCTGCTCTCGCTGCCGCGTTGTCAGGACTGCCAGGTATAGGACTGCCAGGTATACAGTTGGTGGCACCGGCCGTTGGCGAGTTCCTGCCAAGTTGTCGCAATCAGAGTGTGAAGTAAGCAAGGAAAAGGGCTCTGGAGTCGTCATGCGGTCCAGGTCTGGCACATCGTAACCGGATACCTGTAGAGAACTTGAACAACAAGGGGTGTTGCCAGAAGTGAGTGGTCGATGGCTTGCTGCGTGGTGTGGTGTGCCTTGGATGCAGTGTGTGGTTCTGTGCCTGCGCCTGTTCCTGTGCACCAGGGATCCGCGGAGACGGAGACCAAGCCGGGCCAGTGAGTCTCCAGGCACCTTAGGTATAGTGCTGGTGGCCTGCACCTGCCTGCGCAGGCCCGAAGCGGCCCTTGTAGCCCAGCGCTCTGCTCTACAGTAGTAGTAGTACCTAACCGTACAACGTAGGTACTATTATTATTGCCGTCTGCTCCCCTCCCCCCTGCGCGTAACCATAATAATAATAGTAGTAGGTGGCCTGCGCTCTCTTCGCTGCCACCAACTTCACCTGCACCTTGATCAGCCTCCCTCCCATCTTCTTCCCCTTTTCTTCTCACATTCATCATTCACCGCGACATCAAGCATATCCTACTTCAGTATTGTCTTCTCACAACAGCCATACGATACCCCTACGGCGTCTCTTGGTTATTTGGCGCACGGCTACTGTCTGCCCGTGTTCCTGTGATTGATGCCCGAATAGGGGCTTCGCTGGAACCACACGACGCAATCCACACCTCAATCTAAACAAAAACACTCTCCCGCATCGCTGTCGTGACCCACATCAGTGTCCCTTGAATAGCCAGCAAGGAGGCTGTGACCTGAGTCGAGGCTTTGATCCTTCACGTCTTCGTATTTCGAGCCTCATACCAACGTGACGGCTACCTCGCCGAACAGACACCCACTGCACACCTACTTGTGCTACACTGACTGGCTACTTGCGCGTCACTCTCGATACTCGACTACAGGCAAGTCGACTTATTGCAATATCGTTACAAATTTGGAGATTAGGGGGCTACAATGGCTTTTGCGGCACCCATGATCGGTACGTGAGCGGTGTTATCAACTGTGCCTGTCTTTGTCGCCTTTGTCCTACCTTGTGGTGTTGACCTTGGATCTAAAACACATGAACATTTGCTTCTTCATTCGCGACAGCAGATTTACCATGGATTCCGAAACTGACCTTTTTCACATAGAACGTGGCCCTTCTCCTCTCGCATCCAACAACCCTTTCCGCAACCGTGCTGCCGATCGAGCCATCAGCCCAGGTGTTGCACCTAGAACTACCGCTACAAACCCGTTTCTCGATGTCAGCGAACTAGGGTCCGCAGAGGGAACGACCAAGACTGGCGCAACAGCTGGGAATGCAAAAACTCCGTCTGCTGAACAAACGTCCGACATATTTGTGAGTAACTCATATTCCACTGAAGTCCCTCCCCTGACATTGTGACAGCAACTGTTGAGTCTCGATGACACTTCCAAGCCTGCGCAACAACCCCCGGTGAATGGCGCTGCCCGGAGGGAGAATGTTGCCCCCAGACCATATCCAACAAGAGGCACTTCATCCCGCCATAGACGGAGTATGTCGGAAGAAGAGCGTCGACGTCAGCAGAGCAAGACACGAAACCCGCAGAATGAACTCGACATCTTTGCCGATCCTCCGGGACCAAACCGACCTCGAAATCTACGTGCGCCACGACGTAACTCGGAATCTTCTGTACGCGATAAACCGAAAGACCTGGACCTTGAAGCTGAAAGAAGGAGAAAGGAGAGGAAAGTGCGCGACGGAAAAGGCTCTCACCGTTCGAAGAAACCCAACGCTAAGTTGGACATCATTGACAAACTAGACGTCAGTAGCATCTACGGGACTGGCTGTAAGTTTTGCATGTTTCTGTCCATGGGTTCCACTAACAACTTTTAGTGTTTCATCACGATGGTCCATTCGATGCGTGCAATCCTCATCGCAACCGCAAAGGCGCCAAACAGGCTCCCATTCAAGCCTTCCCCAAAGACTCCGTCAACATGCAACTTGGTGGCTCGGGTCCTCTTAATGCCAAGTTGAACTATGATCAGTACAATGGCACCGGACAAGAAGCACATGTTGATTACAATGAAGCTGCTGTCGCCGATGAGGACGCCGAATATCTGCGCCGGCCTCAAGTCGAGCGGAGTGCCAGCTTTAACCCTACCGCTCGTATAGACCCCGTTCATGGCGAGGAAACATATGGACTTGGTACAAGCACCTTCCTGGAAGGAGCCCCTGCGAGCCGAGCAGCAATCCAGCGTCGAGAGAGCGAGAATGAAGCGGCGCAGCAAGCCTACAATGCAGGCGGACTATCACGGAAGAAGAGTTTGGCACAGAGAATCAAAGCTGTCCGTCCCAAATACTCCGAAACAGGACGGATGACCTCTCCCGAGCCGGTCGGTGCGACTGGCAGCCCACTTGGCACCGGCAGATTTGAACAGCAGACTGGAAATCCCTTCTTCCAAGACTACGACAAGGACTATGAGAAGAAGGGCACACAGATTGCATTCGTCGAAGAACAACAAAAGACGGGCCGAGCTCGTGCCCCCAGCAGCCCGCGCTATGGCCTAGGCCTCGAAAGAAAAATGACTTCAGAAAGCGTGGGCGCCGAAGAACCCAAGTCAGTGAGCACCGGCGGCGGCTTTCTTAGTCGGGTCAAGAGCATGAAAGGTGGCCGTAGCCGTACACGCGAACGCCGAGATACCGGTACATCATAGAGAGATATCAGATTTAGGCCCGGCGCAGACGGTACTTGGGGGTTTAGGGCAATGGTCACTGGATAACATGACTGGGACCAACGAACGGATTCTTTCAGATGCGAGGCGCAATTGAGACCCAGGCGTTCACGGAAAGGTGCATATGGGCTATTACAACGTGAACCTGCTACTACCTGCAGCAAAGGAAGGACAACAGCCGTGGAAATGGAATGACGACATGAATGACATGTGGCGAGCCAGGGCGGGAATGATAACAGCCTACCTTCTGGAAGAAGTTGGGATAAACCGCCACAGCCTCGACTTGGATTCCGTGGAACGGATCGAGCTGGAAGATTTTGCGAAGACACGGTTTCTGTAGCCAGATGTTGGCGACGGAGACGCAGCTGGATATGGAAATTGAGATTGGAGCTGGCCACGGCCGTCGCACTGCAGAGTGCAACATTTAAAGCCTGGTGCACAACCTGCACCGGGATGCCCGCTTTCACCCTAGAAATTGGTAGTCATTAGTCCAGTGCTGTTTCGTCCCTCGCTTACTGGCAGCCTAACTATTAGCTGGCTACTGAACTCCTAGGTTGGACTTTCTACATACAGATTGAACGAAATCGGCTTTGGAAAATCAAACCCATGAATTTCTGGTCCCAGACGTCTTGGATACCCAAGGGGTAGATTACCAAGCTCGGCGGCAGCCTTGCCAGTCCGGGTTGATCGTTTTAAAGATTAACCGATCAACCTCGGAAAGTCCACTGTCTGGGAACACTCCTCCCACGCCGCCCTTTGAGCTGACTAATGGACAAGGTATACGCCGACCATGTTGGTCGGATAGAGTAATAAAAGAGGACAGACAGGATAGTGAGATTTAATAGCATGAATCAAAACACGCTGCAGCTGTCTACCTAGGTGACTCCTGTATATTTATTTCTTGCCGTTCGCGCAGCAGCAAATATAACTGGTATTAAACCACACGCGTCCATCTCCTCACCACCACCAGCTCATTGCCATCAATGGTACGAAAACAAAGTCTCAGAATCACGACCTAGAAGCCGTGACTACCATGTCCAACGATATCATCCTCTACGATCTGGCTTCCCGCCAGGGAAAATCCTGGAGTTTGAACCCATGGAAACGTGAGTCGGTTCCCATTTCCCCATGAATCCCTCCATTGGTACTCCTGCAAAAAGGATACATTTAGAGCAGAGGGTGTATCGTGTGATGTGATTGACTGACTTTCCGTCCTCACCATTCTGCGTATGCAGCACGCCTGGTGATGAACTATAAGGGTATCCCATACAAGACGGAATTTTTAGAGTATCCGGAGCTCGAACCTACCTTTAAAAAATTGTGAGTCTGAGCCGCCCGAGCCTCAGAAGTCGTATACCTTGTCTAGGTACCTGGGAACACTCTTTTCTTGTTGAGACAAATAGAAGATTCCGATCCGCTCGCTCACAGTTCGTTTTGTTTCTTTCAGTGGAATACCGCCAAACGAGACCGGAAACTTCAAGTACACCTCGCCCACGATCCGGCTCCCGAACGGCCGGTACGTGATGGACTCACGCAAGATCGCGGACGTTTTGGAGGCAGAGTACCCGGACCCGCCACTGCATCTGGATTCGCCGTATCAGGAACGCGTCGAGGATGTGCTCAAGGATGTGCTGGACAACTGCCGCCCCATCTTCGCCCCGCTTGCGCCCAAGGTCTTCCTCAACACGGCGTCGCAGGGGTATATTGCGAAGTCGCGCCAAGAGCTTTACGGCAAAACCTTGGATGAGCTTTACCAAGAAGCGGAGCCGGGGTTCGAGAAGGCCAAAACTGGGATCAAGAAGCTTGGTGATTTGCTTGATGAGAATCCCGCCGGGCCGTTTTTCGAGGGTAGCAAGCCCATCTATGCGGACTTTATGGTGGTTGCTTGGCTCAAGATGATGGATGGCTTGGGTTGGGCCGAGAGGATTTTCGCGTGCGAGGGTGGAAAGCAGTTGTTGAGACTGTATCGGGCTAGCTCTAAGTGGCTGGAAAGAGATAACTGAAGCCATTGATTCAAGCAGAGTCAAAGGATGCTGGGGCTAGATAGTAGTAGGTATTTCCTCCTGGGGTAAGATAGTAGTAGGTATTTCTTGCTGGGGGTAGATAAGGGAGAATCCTCTCCAAAAGGCAAGGCTGTGCTGTCATGGGGCCACCACTGCAGACTCTCTCATCCTTGTCCTGTCATAGACACAGAGCGACAAGCCTTGCCTTCAATCATGATAGGTGCTGCACCATTGAACATAGACGGCCAGGAAGACATTGTCTACCATTGAAGCCAGGTCTCACCTTGTCGGGACCTCATGCATGAAGCAAGGTATGTTGGCAGACAATAACGGACGACGTGCTCAAATTGAGATTGAGGGAGGCGATGATTGTAGTTAGTAATGCAAGAGCGCATTCCTACCGTGTATAATCAATAATGGTAGTAGTATGTTGCATGGTTCATGGAGAGTGTCCCACTGCCACCACGTTGGCACCAAAAGGAGGGATGAAATGTGTTTCTATCTTAGTGCTTTAACGTATTGATGCGCCGCTGCACACTACGGCGACGCAGTTAATGTGCAAAACGAAAAGGTACGGGACAACTTCCTGTTTAAGAGATTAGGGCTACGAAAATCTTGGCACTCAAATACACGTTGGCTTCCACCCGCAACCGTCGAAAGTTCAGCGAGTCGACCGTAGGATCAATCCAGCACCAACACCTGCAAATCCGAGACAATTGGCGGCCGGAAACCAGCTCGCAGTCCTCCAGTCCGCAATCATGTCTCAACCAGCGCTGAACAAGATCGCCCACAACAGCCCTTCGAGGCAAAACCCGTCCGAGCTGGAGACCAGCATCGCAACCGCCCTGTATGAGCTCGAGACCAACATCCCAGACTTGAAGTCGGCCTTGAGACCTCTCCAGTTCGTCTCTGCTCGCGAGGTATGAACGACCCCTACTTTGCCGTCGAAGCGAACCATCAGTTGCAGTGGCATTTTGGAAACATACAAGGAGTTGCAAAAACGGAAACTAACAAACGGTCTACAGCTCGAAGTTGGCCACGGCAAGCGCGCCATTGTCGTCTTCGTCCCCGTTCCTCTTCTGTCCGGATTCCACAAGGTTCAGCAGCGCCTGACCCGCGAACTCGAGAAGAAGTTCTCCGACCGCCATGTCATCTTCATCGCTTCGCGCCGCATCCTGCCTCGCCCCAAGCGCTCCAACCGATCCCGCAACTCGCAGACCCAGAAGCGTCCTCGCAGCAGAACTTTGACCGCCGTCCACAACGCCATCCTCGAAGATGTCGTCTACCCCGTCGAAATCGTCGGCAAGAGACTCCGAACCAAGGAAGATGGCAGCAAGGTCTTGAAGGTCATTCTGGACGAGAAGGAGCGCGGTGGTGTCGACTACAGACTCGACACTTACTCCGAGGTTTACCGAAAGTTGACCGGCCGTGTCTGTGGCTTCGAGTTTCCCCTGAGCAGCGCCGTGGACTATTCTTAGATTGTGTGCAAATGCAGGGAGGGCAGCAACTGGTGTTTAAGCTTGCAAGTGGATAGGTGAAAATGATCGATCCGGCTTAACCAAAAGAAAAGAATCCGCACGACCGGTTCAAGGGTGCTTCATCACGGTCGTGCTCCAGTTGATGAAAAGAGAGACATGACCTGGCAGCTCACCATTGTCATTATGCAAAGGCAGCAGCATTGTGCCTCGGTGGAGCGAACGCACCAAATACTTCGTGAAAGCAATCAAAGTTCTACCAAAAACATTTTCGGGTGTTTTCTTGTTCATTGGGAAGAGTTCCACATGGTCCAAGCGATGAAAACTTGTCGTATATCTACATTATGGTTGGTTTTCTCATGTACAGCATCTATTGTTACAGGCCGAAATCCCCTCCACCAAGTATATCTTTCATGTTGACTTTGCCGCTGCCCCTCTCCAGAGGCATTGGCTGATTGGGGCCGGCTTTCCATCCTATCATGTAGATGACACGAAAGGTTGCGGGGATTCTATCCTTTTCCCCTTCATTGCAATGCAGTTCGCGATATATGGCCTCGTTTGCAAGCAGGACATCTCGACTGATCGGGCCGCCGCCGGATTTGAGAATCGCGTTCCCTTCTCCCATGGCTTGTATGTCTGTCATCAAGGCAAATGTGTCAGGGTATTCTACGATGATGTCGTCGACGTCCACTGTGAGGAGTTTGAATCCCGCCCGGCCCAGCAGGTTCCCCACGTCACGGACATCGGCTAAGGGCGAAATGTGCGGCGACACTCCGCCCCGGCGCTCTAGATCAGCCAGCTGTAACGATGAGCGCAGTTCGAATAGTGTATCTCCGCCGAACATGGCGGCGATGAAAGGGGCGTCTGGTTTCAGAATATTGTTGATGCTGGAGAGCACTGAAGGGAGGTCGTTGATCCAGTGTAGGGATAGAGAGGATAAGACCGCGTCGAACGAATTGGCATCGTAGGGAAGTGTTTCGAGCGAGGGCAGGACCGTCTGGGTGATGGGCACTTTGGGCGCAGGCAGCGAGTCGTCCCGATGAAGGGTCGTCGGCGAGGTTTCTGCACACACCAGGTGTTGGACACGTTCAGAGAGGGGAATTTTGGCCTTTGCCTGGTCCTCGGGTACTTCTGGTGCAATCAGAGGTGGTCTGGACAGCGCTCGTGCAATATGGCAGCTGTTGGCTCCTAGATCTAGGACTTTAGGGAATTGTCGGTCAATGTCTAGGAGCCGGTCCACAAGCCGCTGCGCCACTTCGTCTTTGAGGTAGTCGACATGTCGACTGTATTCTGCGTTCGCGGCCGCCCGCTCTTTCTGAAGGTATTTGACGTTCTCGTTGAATACTTGAAGCGTTGGTCTACCGGGAGCCTGCACTGCATATTTTCTGGAAATGGAGAGAGGCCGGTGTAGAGCTGGCATTGCAAGCCATGGTCGCAGCGCTGCTGGCTTCATTTTTCACCTTGAAACCTCCTGTTCACTCAGGCAAGTCAATGCCTGGCTGCACAAGAGATGAACCTGACCGTTCAGTGATTGATTTGTATAAATTCCATCATCATATATCCTCGTCCAGAATTGAAAGTTACGTCGCCGCTTTTACAGGGCCTCTATCTGAAGCCATGAGCACCCAGAGGAAACCCAAGCTGCTTTAGCACAACAACACCGACACGTCCTACTAGTAGTACTTTCCTCCCATTGAAACGCGGAGTAAACACCACCCACAGCTACCACTGCAGGGTTCTTTGCTGAGTGTGCTGCTGGACCGCGGCCAGTGGCCCGGCGGATGCTACTTCCAGGTATGTCACCTCGAATTCAAGGGCTTCGTTGGTTTGAAGTGGTCCTGGCCCTAGGCTGTCCGGACCAGCAACCCGGAGTTGTCGTGCAATGACGCTTCAACCTGGCTGGCTCTTGCCAGAGTTGTACAGGGGCACAACTGCGTACCTACTACCTTTGCGGCTGTCACTCCAGAGGATGCAATCGACGTCAGGTCAACTTCAAGGATGATTGTTCCGCCAATTGAGCCACAACAATTACCAACATGCTGTTGAAGTTGAACCACCGTTGAAGTCATGTTTCCCATTGCTGTTGAATTAAATACCGATGCAGACATATGCTATCAAAAGGAAGGTGAGTCTCTGCAGAATTCTCACAATGTATGCTGCTCGACGTGTTGTAGGGGCTACGGTCCCAAAGTTGGTGCGCCAACGCCCTTGCTGTGCTGCTTCTCTACGAACTAGAGCCCCAACCATCCTCGGCTTACCACAGAAGGCCGTCTTCCAACCACGATTCATTTCTTCCACGAACATCGATGACAAAATTAGCAAAAGCACAATCTCAGGTATACAAGGAGGATCAGTCGTCAGTGTCATCAAGCACGATCATGAAGAGTTGAAACAGTTTTATGACACGATCAAGGAGGCCAAAGACGAGGACACTAAAGTACGCTTCCAAAACCAGTTTACGTGGGAGCTTGCCCGACATTCTATTGGTGAAGAGCTTGTAGTGTACCCGGCCATGGAGAAGTACGTGGATGGCGGAAAAGAAATGGCCCAAAAGGATCGCGACGAGCACAACAAGGTATGAGATCTTCTGGACCTATACTGCGTATGGTAATTGATCGATTACCCCCAGGTCAAAGAGCAACTCTATGAATTCCAGGGCTTGAAGCCATCGGACGACAAATTCGAGTCGACGTTGGACTCTTTATGGTCTACGCTTTCCAAGCACATCGAGGAGGAGGAACAGCATGACCTACCGGCCCTTGAGAAGGCACTTCCACAAGGCGAGGGCGACTCTCTAGCCAAGAGTTTCTCAAGAACCAAACTCTTTGTGCCTACTCGGAGTCACCCGATGGCACCGGACAAGCCGCCCTTTGAAACCGTGGCAGGGATCCTTGCTGCTCCCATCGACAAGCTGGGCGATTTGTTCAGGAAGTTCCCGCCGGAGGACACGATTGGGAAAGCTTAATAGGATCGGGATGCGGCTTCTGAAACACCTCAGTTGTAGGATGCGGAGCCCTGGACGAAGAAGTCTGGAGGGGGTTTGCCATGGGGAAAATGGAAGGTCTACTCTCAGGCATGCTTCTCCATCGACAAAGCTACAGCCACAGTACTCTGCTTCAACTCTGCCCAAGTATCAGGAGGATAATGTAAGTAGTAGTACTCGATAACTTCATATTACAATGGTGTAAGAGGTTCACAACCATCATAGCCAATAGTCTGGCCCCAATAGCTTGCTGACGGAGCGTCAGGAGAAATGGACATCGTTGTAGAGGTTGGGCTGACTCGCGGGGTTGAGCCCACTTTTAGTCTCCACAAAAAAGTCGACGGTAACGTCACTTGGTCTTTTGTTAAGGCATACCATTGCTAAATCAGCCACTAAGGTATCCTCGCCCCGGAGGCTCAATGACGACTCGGCTTCTGTATACCCTAATTCCAACACTCCCTAGACACAACGCACACACCACAGTTATCTCGAGTGCCTGAGGGTACCTAGAAGCTTAGAACACATACCTGCCAGGCACTCATCTGAAGATATAGTGCGGAGGATGGGGATTGCCAATGTCCTTAACTCTATCGCAGGGCTTTTGCCATGGGATTTTGTACTTTGGCAAATGACCTGTCGATCAACGCGTCGTTGTATCCTGACCGGATCAAATTCCCGATCGAATCTATGACCGCCATGGACATCTGCGGTGTTCGTTCAGTGCACTGGAAACTTGCGTGTCGTCATGTCAACAAACGGGCAAGACGTGTAGGCACCAATGACCGCAGTTATGATGCTAATCTACATCACCACAAGGCTCCTTAACCAATCCTCGTGACCTGCTCCTGAACCACGAAAGACCACAAACCATGGCGCACGCTCACGGCTGGCTTCAACTCTCCCTCGCCTGCACTCGACGTTCCTCCTCACAGATCCTCTATCGTAACCTTGCGAGCAGCATCAGATCTCGTTCAAGCCTGCCTCATAAGGTCGGCAGTTTGTTATTCTACAAATCCTTGACCGTTCGAAGCCAGCCAGCAAGACGAACCCCCAGCTTACGAGCATCTGTAAGAACCATGGCGACAGTCAATGGAGACGAGCATTTCATGAAGACTTCCGGTCAGCATGACCCCGTCTGGATCCATAAAGATCCCTACATCAATCGCCCCGAATTTCGGCAACTGGACAAGGACTTGGAAGCGGATGTCTGCATTATCGGCTCAGGAATCTCGGGCATTTCCGTCGCGGAACAACTCGTCAAGAGAAACTACAAAGTGGTCATGATCGAAGCTAGAGATGCCATTTCGGGTAAGTTATGCTGATACCTTTTTGATTGCTGCTGGAGATAACTAAGACCCTCCAGGTGAGACGAGTCGTACGTCGGGTCACCTGGCATCTGATCTCGATGACGGCTATACCGAGATCGCCAAAAAGTTCGGACGTGAGGGAGCCAAAATAGCAGCTGAATCTCATAATTGGGCTATCAACCATGTGGGAGAAGTGTCCAAAGAGCTCGCTATCGACTGCGAGTATCGCAAGCTACCAGGGTACAATATCTCGCAGTACCCCAAAGGAACAAAAGAGCACGATGAAGAAATCGAGACCTTGAAAGAGGAGGTCAAGGTTGCTCAAGAAATCGGTCTCGATGCAAAGTATGTGGAAGACGCAACCATTCGCGGCTGGGACGGGAAACCCGACCAGCGCGATGCAGCGATATACAACGGTCAAGCAACGTTCCACCCCACCAAGTACCTCAACGGCGTTCTGAATTGGCTGAGGAGACAACGCAACTTTGACTGCTACACGCGCACGCGGATGACTTCGATCAACGAAAAGGGTGTCGATGTGCCTTTGACCGACGTCCATCTTGGATCGGACAAGGTGATTGTGGAAACTGCCAACGGACATAAGATCACCTGCAGCCATGCTGTTGAAGCCACCTGCGTACCGTTGCAGAAGCTCAGCTTAATTGCCGAGATGGAGTACCACCGAACATACTGCATCGCCATCCGAGTTCCAAAAGGCAGCGTGGAGGACTGTCTGATTTACGATCAAGCAGAGGAGTACAAGTATGTGCGCCTGACCGAGTGCGATGACCAATGGGATTACATGGTGGTTGGAGGCTGTGACCACAAAGTGGGACAAGAGGATGAATGGGACGAACGATACAAGGAACTGGAAACATGGACCAGGGAAAGATTCACGAATGCTGGGTCGGTAGATTACAAGTGGTCCGGGCAGATTTTCGAACCTGTCGATTACATGGCATTCATCGGAAAGAAGTCGGGATGCACACGCACATATACGATTACCGGCGACTCAGGAAACGGGCTTACTCACGGCGTGCTCGCAGGGAAACTGATCGCCGACGAGATCCAAGGTATTAAGAATCCTTGGGCCAAGGTGTACGACCCCAAGAACCGCAAGACGACCCTTATCAGCAAAGCCCCCGATATCCTCCAGCACGATCTCCAGATCAACGCACAGTACAAGCGGTTGGTGAAGTCAGACATCAAGGATATCGAAGACTTGGGCTGTGATGAAGGTGGCGTTTTAAATCCTACCATGTCCAAACCTCAAGCTATCTACAAAGACAAGGATGGCAAGGTGCATAGGCTCAGCGCCCTATGTCCGCACATGCAGGGCGTGGTATGCTGGAATAACGATGAGAAGAGCTGGGATTGCCCCGTTCACGGTAGTCGTTTCAGCAAATATGGTACCCAGCTCATTGGGCCAGCGAAAATGGGCTTGCAGCGTTTGGATGACGAGTGAGTTAGAAACCGTTCTTCCTGAAGTAGCACGGAGCTTTAGGCGTCAACAGAGATACTGAAGCAATGAAATAATGTATCACTCAACGCATTCCCATACTACAGATTATCCTTCTGACTGACAGTAATTCCTCTTCGGCTTATCGCTTGACGAGGACTCGATGGAGCCGAGAACCTACTGTATGATCTTGAATAGGCATGCGACAAAGAATTAGCGTTGATGATGTTGGCTGAAGTGTATGCGGGTTGAAACGCGACTGACGGCGCGAATTTTATATTTTCGATACTATAAATATAATAATAATAATCATTATTTCCGCCATACCCCAGAGTTGGACTACCAGGGTGTAACGCGTCTGAACTACAACCACGCGCCCAATTTCAACCCTCGGCATCGCTCGTGCTAATGATGGCTTGTGAACCTCGGACTGTTCCGGTGACTTGAAGCCTTATTGTTTTCCGGTCACTATGGCACTGCCATTCCCCTACGTGTTTATCTCATGCCCCTGCTCAGAGGCGTCGACAAGGGCATTGACCTCAAAAAGATCCTCCAGAGACGTGGACTTCGATCGGGACCTCGAGGAAGATGAAGAAACTTTTGATCCGCGACATCCTAGGGCCGCCTTTTCGCTTTTCCCGCTCGAGCATTTACTGTACTGCGAGGAATGTCACGAGATCAAATGCCCACGGTGTGTGACCGAGGAAATCAACGCCACATACTGTCCAGACTGTCTTTTCGAAAGCTCCAAAGTCATGGTACGAGGCGAAGGGAACAGATGTCCCCGGAACTGCTTCCACTGCCCGATATGTACTTCGCAAATGATCACCACCTCGATTGGCGATCCCCGGAACGGGCCATTCATCCTGAACTGCAACTACTGTATGTGGAATACGCTGGACGTGGGCATCAAATTCGATAAGGCCACGGGAATCCGTGGGCAGCTAGACGAAATGGTCAATGGCGGAGGCAAGCAACAGCCACCGACTATACGGTCGCCCTATTCTAGCCATACCGAGCCTGCTCGCAAGTCCTCTCTTTCTCAACCCCCTTTTTCTCCTGGAGAGAGACCCGAAGTCGCGGACACAACAACGGAGAAAACAGGCTCAGACGTACCACTAGACCCAACCGCCAGATTCAACGCACTGAAAGCATTTTACAAAGAGCAAATCACCGAATCCTCAGCGACAGATGCCAGTTTCCCAGCATCGGCGCTCGACATGGCCTATTCATCACCATCGTCGCTGCAGCGGATCATGAACATCTACACCAACCGAGAAAACTCGACCAAGCGAGCTCGACAGAAGCTGACGATCATGCGAGAGGCTCGGACAGCTAGCGAGGGATTGATCCTGACCGGAAGCATCACCACCCGGGATTCTTCGTCGAACATTGACTACAATCGGACGACAACCCCGGACCAACGAGCATTTCAATATCCATCCTTCATCGGCAATCCAGATGCACTCCGTCTGGCAGACCTCAAACCCATGCCAACGTTGATGCGAACCAAACGATCAAAACGGTGCGCCACATGCAAACACATCCTCACGCGGCCAGAGTTCAAAATCAGTTCCGCTCGCTACCGCATCAAATTGATCGCTCTGAATTACATCCCATTTGTAACTGTTAAGCCGCTCCCGGTTACAGGTGGTCTCTTGCCTCTAGGACCAGACGGGGGAGATGTGGTCCTCACACCGGGCAAGCCGGTTCAGTTCATCATGACGCTGCGCAACCCGCTGTTCGACGACGTCAATGTCAGTCTGGGTTCTCCCAGCGTCACACCGGGCCGACATGGCCACAGAATCACCATCCTGTGTCCGCAGTTTCGCATCGGCAAGAATAGCGATGCTTGGGACGATGCACTTAACACTGATAACAACACATTGGACGGACGTGGCGGCGGTGGCGGCACAGCTGCTGGAGAGCAAATCGCCGGGAAACTGTACGATAAAGGCAGGAACTGGGCAAGCGTCGTGCTGGAGATCATTCCCGCCAGTATTGTCCGTCAGCAGACCGAAGAACTGGACGAGGACGAAGATGTCATCGAGATCCCTATCCGCGTCAGGCTCGGGTGGACTGTCACGGCTGATGATGCCGGATTGGAACATGACCGACGGAAGAGGGACAAGGACAAGCTGTTAGATGACGGCGACGAAATTGACGATGGGAAAAGGGAGTTGAGTTACTGGATGGTACTGGGAATTGGAAGAGTTGCTTGTTGATATGCACCTAGTAGCACTGCAAGTTTCAAGATACCCAGATTGTACTGAGCATAGCATAGCACAGCACCTCGGATTCGATGCTAATATTGCTGCAATTGAAGTTTTTTTCTCTTTTGGGCTGCGCTTGTTCTTCTATTAAATAGACTGCTCTGCCGGCGTAAAGGACTGGCATTTTAGACTCTTGTCATGTTTCTCGTTTATACCGTCCGTCGATCCGACATGACTCTAACAATCCCACCCACGCCCACGACCTCAGTCAACTTTTCATGCCAACTCAGCAACACACTCATAACCTGACCGCCGCCTCCTTCGCCGAAATTTCTCGCATGGATCTGACTGAACCCTCCGGACTGGGACCCGGTGACCTGCGGACTCATAGCTTTGTTGCTTGATCCACCTGTAGTACTACTGCCGGCCATACCCTTGTATATGTACTTCATCAACGTATCGCCCAGGGCCGGTCCACCGGGCTGTTTCAACATCTCCCCCAATATCCTGCTGACATCACTCTGTCTGATCCCTTGTAGCACTTCGAGCACGGTGGTCAAGTGGACCTGTTTGGCCGCGTCGTCGCCGGCGAGAGGGGCCGTCTCGAGCGCAGATTGGAGTGCTCCGAGGCTGTCTCCGGCCCGTAACAGTTGTCGCACTTGCTGGCCTATCTGTGCGGCTTCGGCTGATGTCGAGGGTGCAGGCAAGTTCCCTGGAATTAGTGTTGTCAACGGAAAGTTTACCGCTGAGTCCGGGTCGTATGCGTCCACGTTTAAGGTTCGCCAGTTGATGTTGGCCATGATGATGCCTGCTTAACAGCCCGCGCGTGTGCTTTGTAGGTCTGGTGTGGTATGTGCTGTGCTATGCTGTGTCTGAATGGGCAGAGAGGGGTGTTTCCACGTTGTGGTGGTGGTGGTGGTGGTGGTGGTTGGTGTGTATGATGCTGCGCCCAGCTCGCTTCGGCAAGTGCCACACGGAGGACTGGTTGAACTCGTCGTTGGCACGCAAAACTGACTACTGTTGCAGGTTGGGAGCTCGGTAACGAAGAGAATTCAGCGGCGATAGTAAGGGTCGGCGTCGAGTTCAAGCAGCGTAAAGACACCACCGCACTGGCAACCCTGTGATGATCGCAGGTGAGCCGCTGCGCAGGAAGGAGGAAGCGCTTATGTAATGTGCCAAGGGTCAGCCTTGCTCAGCCTTGTCGCGGCAGCCTGCCGGTTACTGGCACACTAGCAGTCCCTCTACTACTACCCAGGTACAGATTGGCATGATTCATGTTACTGTAGGAAGGCTGAACGGCCAAATAACCCCAAATGACGGGACCTCCACGCCTCATGCGGGATCTCAACCTGACCCAGCTCACGTATACCAGCCATTTTGATGAAAGCCGTCCGGAAGCCTCCGCGTGGTTTACTGTAAGTCAAATATGCCACCCAGTTCGCCAATCAATACACTTTTCGGAATGGCTCTGCATGCCTTGAACGCAACCCAAATATGTCGACACATGACGAGCCTAGGTACCATCCTGCTGCCGAGTACTTCGTGGTGTCCGAACACGGAAGGCCTCGGTCCCATGCAGTCAGCATCGCCATCAAGGGACTTGTGGAAGGCCAGCAGCTGCAGCCCAATCATGCCAAGGCTAAGCCAACTATAGGGACCATAATAGAACTGTGACTAGGATCGTCTGGCTTCGGTTGTCTCTTGCCGACTAGTGGTCTGGGACATGGTGAAGGGTTTGAGGTCTGTACCTTCACTTGATTCAGACACTCTCGTAAGGTACATCACAGCACTCCGCAAATGCGCCACGAGTTAATGAGCGACGGAATAGCTTTGGCCAAGCTGCCTTGCCAGGAATACTCCCTCCACCAGCTCAGTGCACGAACTGCAAACCCGCCTGTGTTCTTCAGATTGCCTTCTGATTGGCGAACCAGGGGGCAACCGGTCTTGAATCGAGGCAAACCTGTTCGGACTGATAGGAACAAATGCTTGGACTGGTAGGACGTATATAGAAAATTCGCTTGGACGCAGAACCAGGTTTCTTTGCCGAAGTTGGAGGCCAAACGCCGCAACAGCCTTACCGTCTGTTGACATCCTGATCATGTTCTCGTCTCTCCAGAACCTCTTTACTGAAGTTGGAGGCCTAATTACCCACGACAGCCTTACCGACTGTAGAGATACTGATCATCTTTTCGGGTTTCCAGCTTTCAGCGTCTGTGCACTTTCGATTGTGTCTTGAGCGCACATGTTAGGCAGAGTAAAGGCTGACGTGTCCATGGTCTGCAAATCTTTGCAAAGGTCACAATAACTTACGCACGCGTGTCAGGACATAACAATTCTGCGCGAAGGGCTTCTTGACGTCTACCCGGTCATACATCGATAGTAAGGGACCAGTGACCTCCGTTTAGTAATAGACCAAACTCACAGTACAATGTACAGCATCAGAATCGAACAATTCTGTTTAACCGTGTTGCTTCCTCACCTGAGGTTCTGATCAGGCCGCCAAAGCGGCTCTTCTCCTTCGCTTGCACCTTTTCTCGCTTGACGCGCGGCTCGGAGCGGGCGTGCTCCTTGACCGTTCAAGTTTAGCTGTAGGTCAGACGTTGGGCTTGACAGATGGGCACTAGGACGAATTAAGGGAAAGCGCGCACGGAGCCGACTGCTTGGCAAATGTTAATCTTGGCGACAAGTCAAATTTCCCCGACGTCTGGATCTTCCACGCCAGCCACAGTACCACTAATAACAAATCAATATTGCTAGCCGAGCTTCGAGACAGGGCGACCAGCTGACAGCTGTCTGTGGCCTCCACTATACCCACTATCGGTTCCCCCCTGAGCCTGAAACAAGTCACCCGGGCGGCATGCCACGCCAGGCTGGAGAAAGAGGCAGCTTCAGGTCGGGCAGCCATGCAGCGAGGCCATGCGAGACGTTCAGCCTTGGATGGATGTGAAACAACAAAACAGGGCAAAAAGACAAAATGCTACAGGATGAATGGATCAGGAAAAGCAAGTCCAGTAGTAACAACGGGTTGTTGCGCAATGCGGCAAGCTACAGTGGTCTAGCCAGCCAGCATTCCCTTGATGCGTCCAAAGTATATGTGCACAAGAATTGTCCATCAGGCTCATCCTCCACCACAGGGCGTTGGCAGGACAGCGCACATCCTCCCCATGCGAAAAGCAAAAGGCAATTGCGAGCTAATTACAAAAATAGCACACCCCCATTTCTCCAGGTTCCCTCTCATATCTTGCCTTTCTATTTGACCTCGTCCCCAGACATGGTCCCTGGTTTTAGGCATTGGGCGAACGTATGTGAGTGTTGTAAAATCGTGACAAAAGGAATCTCAGAAAAACTCGCGCGATCGACGAACGAATCTCAGATTCGCTTATGCCAGGACGATAGCAGCGGCAGCGGCAAGACCGGCCAGAGCGAAAGAGCCAGCGTTGGCAGAGGCAGCGCCAGTGTAGGTGGCCACAGCTGGGCTGACAGGGGAGCTGCTGAGAAGAATTGTTAGCACCATCCAAAAAGGTGTCGGTGAGCGGGCAAAACTTACGAGTGAGACCAGGCACCGGTGCCAGAAGCAGCAGCAGGGCTGCTGGAGGTGCCGGCAGGCCAGTATGGGGTCTCGCTGCTCTGGCTGGCGGGAGCCACGGGGGTAGAGCTACTGGCCACAACGGTGGTCCAGTCGTTCCAGTTGCCAGAGGGGGAAGAGGAAGCGCTGGCCGGGGCGACAGGGGTGCTGCTGCTGGCGGCGCCGGTGACGGTGGTCCAGTCACCCCATTGCTCAGTGGAAGAGCCGCTGGCAGGAGCAACTGGAGTGCTGCTGCTGGCAGGGCCGGTGACGGTGGTCCAGTCACCCCAGACCTCAGTGCCGGTGGCGGAGCTGCTGGCCGGGGCAACAGGAGTGCTGCCGGTGACGGTGGTCCAGTCTCCCCAAACCCCGGAGGAGCTCGAGGTCTCGACAGGGGCAACCGGGGTGGTGGTGGTGGTGGTCTCGCTGTTCCAGTCACCCCAGACCTCAGTGCCGGTGGCGGTGGCCGAGGCCTTGTAAGGGCAGTCGGTGACAGTCGGCTCGCACGAGGTGATGGTCACGTCGACGGTGTCGGTGACTTGGATGGTCTTGGCCGAGGCAACGGCGACGATGCCGGCGGCGATGGCGATGGAGGCACGCATTTTTGTTGTTGTTGGTAGTTGAAATTACCGGAAGAAAAAAAATGTACTGACAAAGGCTTTTCGTTTGGAAAAACGAAAGAGCGGTCCGAGGAGGATTTATTAACGAATGTGGTGGAGCTGAAGCTGAAAAAGAGTGGACGACCGAAGTCAAGATGGCGTTTTTGGATACTAAAGTAGCAGCTTGAGTATTGAGAAAAAAAAGAAAGGCGTATGGCACGGGCAGCTGAGGCCTTCTTGTAGTGCCGTCGTTGACCTGGGAGATTGAGGTCCGGGCGAGGCTACTGGGCCATTGACGGCAGCCAGATTGAGTGGACAGGGCTCATACTGGCTAGACATGATGCGAGATGGGCTGCGCTATGGGAGATTGCGATCTGGTAGAGCCGCCACAAACTAGTAGTAACATCGTAGTAACTGGGCCAGACAAACAGACAGGGGGTTATAGGGGGGGTGGGTTGGAGCGTGGGCGGTGGCCAGTGGGCAGTGGGTGGTCCGCCAGCAACCCTGTCGCGCCAAAACTATCCGTTCTCGCCCAGCGACCTCTTTTCCGACCCATTATTTTGAGCCTCGGCGCTACTACAACTTCACAACTAGTCGAGGTCAAGGCGCAGAAATTAAGCGTGCGCCCGTCCAGGTCTCATCGTTGAGCCGGCCAGACAGACTGCCACACGTGAGCGCCACCGTGCGCCAAAAACAGTCTGTGGTCCTACAGTTTGGGCAAATTGCTAGTGCCAGCAGTGTGCGCTCCAACCCACAAGCCGTTGTTTGGGGTGTCGTGGCGCCCGAGCAACGGGGAACAAAGTGTGGATAAAGAGGAAAAGGAGGAATTGCAAAGCCCAGAGCAGACTCGGAGCACAAGGTGCTACACTGTGCTCCAGTAGTGGTTGGCCCACGCGAAAATCACCCCGTGAATCACCACAGGACTACTCCAGTACACAATACTACTGCAATTAATTAAAAGAAAGGTTCCGGTCCCCATCGCGACTCTGTTCCTAGCCCAAAGCTTCTCCTGAATAGGTACGGGCAATATATTACTCGGCGCTTGTAAATCCAAGAGAGGCTACAGGTATAGGTGAGCTCCGGTAGTACTGTAGTGTAGTGGCTCGCGCCATAGCATGGATAGAATGAGGTGTATAATCATAATCATGACAAGGGCACACACACACTACTACTACTACTACTGCAGTAAGTAGGTATCCATCGGCATGCGACACCAGATCCAGTCGGGAGGAGAATCGCGAGTTTCAAACTGCCACCGCACCTCCGAACAGGGAACATGTCAAGTCGGAGTCGGTCCGCTTGGTGTACAACATAGGTACCCGGTACCTGCTCTGCTGTTCAGGGGTAACGCGGCCTGGGTCGATGATTCGTCACGCCCGTACAAGTATCCGCCCTGGGCCTCGTGCCACTTTCACTTTGTGTCTCCTGAACGACGTGAGTTCGGCACATACTGTACCATGATCTGCTTCGTTATTCGTTATACTTAATTTACTCGTTAGTAGATCTTCGTCGCGGTCCTCAGTTGCTTTAATCAAGAGTGAATTCGAAATCTCGTCTGAAGATTGATCGTCTGGTCGAGATGCTGCTCTAGTTGTACCGAAATTCCAGCGGTCTCCAGAGTGGCCAAAAAGTCTGGTTGTGGTTCAGGATTGACGGACACATTCATTTATTCATTCACATGTGGTCTTCAACAAAAGCAGGTGGGCCAGAGAGGGTTATTATTGGGAAAAGAATAGAAGCGCGGAATTACGCGGCGGTGTCATCACCGCGCAATTGTTCCTGAGGAGGCGTGATGTAGTACACTGTAGACGGATGGATGCTGCGGTAGAATACGTGTGTCCACGGGCCTCCGCACTTCGCTACAGCGGGCTGTGTGTTTGTTTGCTGGTACAGCAGGACTGATTATTGGCGGTTTCGAGTTTACAATGTCCATCTATCACTCCGAGAGCCTCTCGAGTGTATACAGTGTATTAGGTTGTACATACTTCCACGCACGTTCTGGACAACTGTCTATCAACGCAGATTAGAAGGGGGCCCATTACGTCAACTGCCAGTGCCAGCCGAAGCATGATTTGCATGCCACTGACTTGCTTCAGTGTTCTGTTGTGTGTGCAAGTTGTACCGTACTTGACTGACACGAACGACCGAGCTCCGGGGCGTAGCAGTAGTGGACTGCTGCCACTGTAATCACAAAATAAAAAGTCCGTGCTATCATTCATCTATCGATCGATCGACTGCAAGAAGCTGGGGCCTTTGCTTGTTTACTTTTTTCGTGATTGTTATTGAGTCCTCGTCAGCCACCTGCGTGGACGTTTTGCATATGATAGCTCCACGACGCTGCCAATTTTGATTGTTATCATGTCTCTCATATGCGGGACGCAGATGGTATCCGCATCCAGAGTCTCGTGCGTTCTGAGTCTGGCTCATCAATTTCTGGAGGAACACGAGCTGCCACAACGTAATGCTTAATTCCCGGCTTGTCGGTCGTGTAGTGGTGGAGGAACAGAACCATGGATCCGTGCTCCCGGAACAGGACGCACTAATTATATGGGTCGGGGCTAAGGTGGGCTGTATGTATATCGAGAAAAAGGAGATGCTTTTCATTAATCCGTCGTCATCCGTTTGAATCTGCGTCTGTCTGTTGTGGCATGTCTCCAGTCTTATGTGAAAACTCTGGACTTGGCCAGACTGGTTCTTGATACTGGGCAACAGGCACTTGTTTCGATACCAGTGTCGATTGGATATCAAGACTCTATGAAGCGTTGTCTGGCAAAACATGCAGAATGGAATGAACTCCCATATTCCATCTTGGCAAACCTTCGACCTTCCCTTCAGGAGTCACAGCCACCGGCAAGCGGTTTGCCGGAGGATCACTATCGAGTTTTTCAATGATGGGCATCAACTGAAGGGCATTTCCTGGGCCCGACTTTCTTCTTGCATCGCCGCTGCTGTCACGTTCTCAAAACCAGTGGCCAACTGCCTGGAAATGGATCATGCCGGGGAATATATGCTCTTCCATCTATTTGTACTAACAGGACCAGCATAGAGATGTGCAACCGCCACAGAAATTTTTGACGATGTTCCCGCCGAGATAAGCAAAACTATCTGCCCATGGGAGAGGCTGCTTGATCGTGATCTTGAACCCCAACCATAATATGTCGGCAAAAATCCAGAATTTGGTACGCTAAATGATGCTGCTCCCGGAGGACAGACACTGCTGCTGAGAAGGGTCATGGATTTTGTCGTGGCAGAGGCAGTGGCTGAGCGACAGTGAAGTGAAATCCCAGGTGCCATACGTACGCGACATTTTGCGTCACTGTTTCAATTGATAGACGCGCTAAGGCTTGCATTACCAGGGTACCTGTGAATTCCAGTCGTTCTGAAAATTCCCGCGGAGTGAAGGCGTAGGCTGAAAGGACATCAATTGTCTGGGTGGGGTTTTGGGGATGAACTCCCCACGCTGGCCCAGAAGTGAAGATAGCTATGTCATGGTGAAGGGAGGATATATTCCAAAACAAGACTGTCCACGAGCAATGGCACTGTGTAGCAGAGCAGTGAAGCTGATCCCCATTCATCGGTAGTACTCGCGGCGACTTCTAGAGTCATATCCGAGGTATGGTGACCGGTCATCATCATCGACCGGGTCACGACGATATACCTGGTATGGTCGTGCCCTTGGGGGATAAGCGGGACGCTGGTCATCTTCATATTCGTAACGTCGCACCGTTTCTTCGGTGTACGTTCTTCGGTCATCATCATATTCATAATCGTTCAGTCGTAAGTCGTTGCGTCGAGCATAGTAGTCGTCTCTAGGTCCGGACCTGCCTGGTACCCTGTAGTCGTCCATATCCATATCATCATCATAGTCCGCGCCACGCCTTAGATACCGGCCAGCAATGCGCGCTTCCGCACCTGGCCGTTCGTGACGCTGTTCTGTGGCATCATGGTGGCTTAACTGGTCACGGTAGAAGCCCACGCTCTGAGATCGTTTCCGCCGCAGACGTTCTGGTGGAGGAGTCTCGTTCCGCCCTCGCATGGCGCTCTTGCGGCGCTGTAGAGGAGGAGCACCCTCGCCACGGGCTGGTGGTCTGGGGTCTCTCGAATACCTCGGATCATCCTCCGGATCCTCCACGATTTCCACGTCTCGGTAGTATGCACGGTCCCGATCGGGGATTTTTGGTGAATCATACGAGGCATATTCACCTCTTCGCGAAGGCAGTGAAGCCTCCGGTGCGGTTTCGTAATACCGCGCACGGGTTGGGGCATCGTAACCATCCGAGTCGCGGTCGGGGTACCTACGCGCACGGCCGCCGCCAACATCGACCACATAAGTTCCGTCGTCTCTCCTTTCAGGTCGAATGACTTCGTACTCAGAACGTCCACTGTTGGCTGGTCGCTCGATGACCATTGCATTGGCGCGTTTCACGTAGGCATCGGAGTTCCTGTCTCTGACGACTTCATACTTTATTTTGGTCGCGCCGCCAGTTGAAGGGAGAGAACTCCGGCCAGAGTAGGATTGCGTGCTGTCGCGAGATCTTCCATCAGCATCGGTTCTATCGTCTCGATAGTCACGCGTGTAGGACCTTTCTGGAGGGTAGTCATCATCGTAGTCGTAGTCGTGTTCACGTCGATAGCTCTGACGTGGGCTGGAGTCAATCGTGGCGTCGGGATCCCGGGTGCGGGTGGAATAGACAACTTTATACGGCCGGTCACTCCCGCGTGACGCCATCTCAAAAAGTCCTTGACAAGTTAACTCCTGTGTGCGTTTCGTTGGCGAGGGTTGTAGATCATTTGTTTGAGTTTTCCCTCGCGCAGTCCTGTGGTTAGGATGGTGGTGTTTGCCTCAGCCGCGCAGCTTCTGGACACACCGCACTGGAACACCACAACGCAATCAAGTGAAACAGCAGTCGATTCGACGTCATCAGATATTGGCTGCCAAAAGTGTACAACGTAGTATGTGGTGTTTTGATACTACAGTAGCCAGAGATACATCGTCTTTTAACACAGGAAAAGATGATGGCCAACAACTACCGTGGGTATAACTCGCAACAGCGGTGTTGAGCCTCTCGCTAGTCCCTCATTTGTGTCCCGCCGCCGCATCACGCGACTAAGCTTGGCGCATACCACAACGTCCTCGAATCTCGCGAAAGACCAAAAAATCATGTGTTCAGTAGATCCGCAGCATCCGCTCGGCATTATCAAGGTCCAGAAAAAAATGAAGCGTGCGTGTAAACAACGCACAAAAAAATGAAGCGTGTTTTTGGTCTTCGCCGTGGTTCGAACACGGGGCCTCTCGCATATTAGAGAAGTACTTAGGAGTTTGCCCTAAGCCTGTTGAATTTGTTAGAACAGAGAATTGGAACCAGCAGACATGTTGGTGGTGACTTACGAGAATCATACCACTGTGAAATGTTAGTTCACATGTTTCTTCGAGGTGGATTGGATGTACCAACCTAGACCACGAAGACGCCTAAGTCCCGTTGAGTTTGGGGCTTGATTTGTTGGGAAGATTTCGACAGCGCAAAAAATAAATGACTTTCTCTACACACTTCACTTTATTATTGTGACTACCTATGCTTGTCTGGTGCTAGGTTATAGCCATAATATGACTTACTATACCTTTAAAGTAATAGTACTGCCTGAGTCTCAACAAGATATGCCATAGCTCTAATATGCACCATAGTGAATGGTTCTCTAATCTCACTACTATCATTTCAAGTTGGCCTATAGCTTCCTTTGCCGTTTCTTACTAGAAGCACCGCTAGAAGCACCACTAGCAGCTTCTACAACCAACCTATGGAACAGTGAACAATGGTATACACGATCAATGTGGTGAACTCGTGCGCAGAGCTCTATCAAGACTGCTCTCCTGCGTGCGCGTCGTTCTTGTCCCCTGGCTTCATCTTTGATACAATGTGAGCAATCTTGCCTAACCCCAGTTCTTTCGCATGTCCGGGGCAGGACTTGCTTCGTTCGCCTTGATCATTGTCCGAGGTTCCGTCATATGAGACTTGGTCTTCACCAGCAGGGCCGCTGACTTTGACACCCTCGTCCTCGTCCTCGGATCGTTCAGCATCACGTAGCTCGGTGCTCTTACGAGGAGGGACAATGTCTTCTCCGACTGGACTCGAGGCGCGACTGAGATTCGCACTACCGGGATCCGATTTTCTGAGACCCAGTCTCCTGCTCAAGCACTCTGCGCCTTGATCGATCATTGCACCCGCCGCAAGGGCAGTTCCCCCCGAATGACCACTTGCTGTAGGAGTTAGGCCCCCGCTCTCGTCGCCTCGCCAATCTGCCGGCTGGCTCTCCGGCACGGGCTCGCCCTCTGCAGGTTCTTGGATGACCTGCTCTTGAGGTGCGACATCTCCCTCGCTTTTCGCGTACTTCCACACCACCTTGAAACGGTCAAGTGCTTTTGTGCCTTTCCGGGTGCTACCCTTGATACCGTCCATGGCCTCCCACTCGATCTCGAAAACGCCAGAATCATGGCCCTCGTAGCCTCCTTCGAAATAAGCATTGAACCACACATGAGCGATGGACGTAACGACTGTGAACCCTGCATAACCTGCCTTGTTACGTCGCTCGAAATCTATGTTGATATCACTGGTCGGCAGAATAATGGGCGACAAGGGTTTAAGGATAACCGTTTGGGTGGACGCTGAAGATGGGTGGTTCAGATTCGAGCTGGAGGACTGGGGAGTCCCATGTACAGGGGTGCTCAGCACTTCGTCGTCTTTCTTTGCACTCGAGGTCTGCTCCGGTCGTACACTCGGAGCGACAGGGGTGTCGTGACCACCTTCAACCACCATTTTTTCCTGGCGGCTAAATGTGTGGAAATGCTTTATGCGGCGTCCATTCTCCACGTAGCCCTCCACTGCGACTTTGACCCCGTCTCTGAGCCCGTAGACATGGATCTCGACGACTTCAACCGGTCTTTCGACATATTTCTTGCCCATCTGATTCGCCCAGCGATCAACGTACCCGACGTAACGGAGCTGGCTGGGAATACTCACTCCCTGCCCGAAGCCCGCTCGCATTCGTCGCTCAGTAAAGCGGACAAGTGCATCTTCTTTCTTCCAACCTTCCTCACTGATCAAATATGAGCATACCACAGTTCCACTTCTGCCCTTCCCGGCCTTGCAGTGGATGACGGCCACTCTCTTGTCCTTCTTCTCCTTCTGCTCGGGGTCTATATTCTCGTCTAGACGCTGGATCCAGTTGCGCATAGCAGCCATAACGTTTGGTATGATGGCAAAAGGCGGAGGGTGGTGGTCAGGCCAAGGGAAGTGATGAATTCTGTTGTACACCTCTGAATCGGGATATCCGGTGCCTTCTGCGCGGAACTCGAATATAGCCCAGTCCTCTCCATGTTTCTTGTCCAAAAATCCCACCAGTTGATCCAAAGGGTTTCGGTAGGCTTTCTTCGGCCATACTGAGCTGGGGCCGGACGTGACCACGACTAGGGAAGTCAGCCGACTGCTGCGCCAGATGCGACGGCCAACTCACTGTAGTCGGTAACATAGCATAGGTCCAAGTTGGACTCTTGATGTTTGATCCGCGGACTTGCCACGATCTGCCGAAGGAGTGAAGCCTGTGACGGTCAGTTGGGTAATTGTGAACACGAGGCTGTAGATACCGTACCATCTATGTCGATGACAAGACTCGACTAGCACCACATGCTGCTAAGTGAGTTCTTGAGCAAATATGCTTCTCAGCGATATCGCATGTGCTTATCTTAAGCAGGAGAAGCCTTAAATGGCAATGGGTCACACGATAGAGCGAGTTGTTCTGACGATAGCCGTGCAGTTTCCTTGCCGGGGACGCATTGACGATGCGTTTCAACTTCCAGGAATTGGACTTTGTTTGGTTGACGTCAGAGATCGCAGTGGAAATGCTGACGTGGGATCTTATCTTATCGTGCGCGTTGTTGTTTTTCCACATCGCTGTCGACAGCAACACCTTTGACCAGCATTCGTCCCTTGTTGCAGGCCTACCTAAGTCATCTGAGTCGTGGACGCTGTTGAGCCTGGAGAGATCAACTCCTGATGACTGCCGGCGTCTGAGAAGTTGGCTCGACATCGACGCCCCTTCACGCAAAAAGTTATCATCAAGAACGCCCCTTCCAGCCATGCGTAATTGAGTGATTCGACTTTGATACTTGACCAGGTTTGTACTCTCTTCTGTCTTTATTCTCTGTATGCGTTCAAAAGACCAGTCTTGTGCGACGAACCCTACCAAGACTTGGCTAGTGGTCTCAAACCTCCTAATATCGCAAAATCGCAGAATACGAGTATGGAGTAGGGATGAGATGTCGTTCTTCCGCGCTCTCATTGACACAATCGCTCAATGTGCCTTCATCGATACGTTTTCGGATCCCACGCGTTTATATACGGGCCGTCTGCACTGGTAGCTGGGACTGTACAGATTCATTTCGTTCGACTACAAGGCATCTAGGATGTTTCCATCGAGCGACACCACATCTGGTCAACCTGGCATGGGAAGCCGTTGGAAGTGGATATCCAAGGACTCTGAGGATGTCCCAAGCCTTGCCACAACTCGACTACCTGGAGCTTGATATCCTAGGACATCTTGCATTGCTTCGGACGTATGTCAAGGCCTGATTCGAGACGTTCTGGCGATTCATACCAGTTATGCGACGTTAATTGTCTAGACGGAGACAAACCTCAGATCCGGAGTCCCTGATGACGCCTTACCGTTCCGTTGTTGATGATGATGATGAGTTCAATTGAGGCGTCCCAGCTGCCAATATGCAACTACGCACCTATAGATATCTATCTATATACTGTAGCAGTCTCGCTCTGCCGCGCGGTATAGTTGTTGCCCTAAGGCGCTGTTGTTCTCCCCTTAAGTTTTGTCGAGCAGACTTACTCTGATCCTTGTGCAATAGATTGAACTGTATGCTACCGAAAGCACCTAATAATGAGAACAACGACATCGGTCTTATTGTCCGCCATCTGGAAACCTCAGTATATGTCTCCACACAGGCTCTCTCCAGGAACAGCTCGGCATGAGTAGTAGTTTACTTCCGATGTCAACTCGGTGGTGTCAGATCTCCATAGTGTCTCCAATTCCTCGGTGCGGCCAGCCAGCGTCCTATCTTCCGGCTGCTAAACACTGGGTGCTGAAAGCATGCAACGTGGTGCTCATGTTGCCAGTTGCCTAGTCCCGCTGTCCTCCTTCTACCTCGGCATCGAATCCCAAGCACACCATCGCACCGCCCATCATCGCTCGCGGGTTTTGTTGGTTGTTGTACACCGGATTCGCAACCATCGCATTATGCGCGAACTAACAACATGCGTGCGTTGGCGAGCTCGCTCCCTAGCGAGGCTAGGTACTGTACTGTTCTACTCTAGGTACCTACTCCGCCTCCACAAAGTCTGGGCTCCCCGCCGCCACCTCTCCGCGTTTCCCATCTTCCATCACTGCTCGTGGAGTGGACTGCTCGTACTACTGGATGTTCGGAGGCCGCGGCGACCGACATCGCGAAACTCGACGAGGTGTCAACAGACGAGACGTGAGATTATGCCGAGCGCAAGTGGGTGGCCGTGAGGTGCCTGACCGAACATCCTGTGTCTACGAGGTACGATTCGCGAGTTGCATAAAGTGTTATTATTTTCGACCGGTAGGAATAGGACGGGGCTAGGAGATGGACAAGACCCGAGACCGGTGGTGGTTGTAGTGGTGGTAAAATTCCGCATTATTTGGGTAGAGTTGGAAGCCTTGCACGAGAATTGGTAATAATAATATATTACTGAACATCAAGGCAGCCAGCCTGCCAATCTTTCTCCCCCCCAACTGCTTGTTCTTCCACCCTATACCAATCAAAACATTGGCGACATTCGACAGCCCAGTTTGGTGGCCTACCAATACCTGCTGTGTTTACTGATCAGTCTTTCGTTACTCAGCACGAGTGCAGAAAGCAGTGAGAAAGGACAACACTACAGTGGCAGTCCTGATTGGCCGCGACTTGACGAGCAAAGTGAAAAGCATTCAGTAGAGGTTGGTCCTGCTACGAACGAGATATACTCCTTTCACATCCACCTGCAAAGACTCTTGTCATCTCAGGATCATTATCGATCATCATCATGGCAGCCGAAGTCCAAGGACACACCGAAGCGGCCTTCGAGCCACTCCGACAACTGATGCAAGAGCTGATCGCATCCGGTGAAGAACTGGGCGCATCGCTCGTGATCGACATTGACGGCAAGACGGTCGTGGACATCTGGGGCGGATGGGCGGACGAAGAACACACGCAGCCATGGACACGAGACACCATCACCAACATCTGGTCATCGACCAAAACGGTCGCAGCACTTGCAACCCTAATCCTCGTCGACCGAGGCCTGCTCGACGTGGACGCGCCCGTGGCGAAGTACTGGCCAGAATTTGGAGCCGAAGGCAAGCAAGACGTGCTGGTGCGCCACCTGCTGTCGCACACGTCGGGCGTGTCAGGCTGGGAGAAGCCCAACATGACAGTCGAAGAGGTCGAAGACCTGTCTGTGTCGGTTCCCCTACTAGCGGGCCAGAAGCCATGGTGGTCGCCGCCGGGTTCTGTGTCGGGATACCACTCCCTCACATATGGGCATTTGCTAGGCGAGCTGGTGCGACGCGTGACGCCCGACAACAAGCCCATGAAGCAATTTGTGCGCGACGAGATAGCAAGGCCTTTAGGGGCAGACTTGCAAATCGGCGCCGAGGAAAAGGACTGGTCGCGCATTGCTCCTGTCGTCCCGCCGCCGCCCGCTCCCTTCGATATCACCAAGATGAATCCGAATTCCGTGCTTGTCAAGACCTTCGCGAACCCTATGCTCGATGCCCGTGTCGTCGTGACTCCCGGCTGGCGACGTGCTGACATTTCCGCCGCCAATGGCCATTCAAATGCCCGTGGTCTGGCGAGAGTGTTGTCTACCGTCACGCGCGGCGGTTCCGTTGACGGCGTCAAGTTGTTGTCGCAGAAAACGATCGATCGTATCTTCGACGTTCAGTCTGATGGTCCAGACCTCGTCGTCGGCGTCCCTGTCACTTTTGGTATCGGGTATGGTCTTGCTGGCCCTGGTACGGCCCAGTCGGTCCCCTGGCTTCCGAAAAGCGGAAGAGTCTGCTTCTGGGGTGGATGGGGTGGAAGCTTCATTCTCATGGACCTCGATCGCAAAGTCACCTTTTCCTATGTCATGAATAAGATGGGTGCGGGCATTCTGGGCTCGACTAGGTCCGAGGCTTATTTCAGGGCTGCTTACAAGGCTTTGGGGGTCGAAGGATACTGAAAGGACAGTGAAGGAGACGGTGGACGTGAAAAGACAGGGGGCCATCGGTGCCTGCGCCTGAAAGGGGAAATGGATACTTTGATATACGAGTACGCAGTGATGGGGCATAGATGGTTGAAGACCCATTGGGTCGGTTCAAGTAGTCGTTGACCAATCAATCGATAACCCAGTCGGGAAGCGAGATACAGGTGTATCAAGTAGTTCAGAACAACATTTGTAAGCAGCTCAGATCACATCATGTCGAAAGTTGCTACCAGTTCCTTCACTTTGCCTGTTGACTCGTGTTACAGGACAATATCGCGATCGTCGGTCGGGTTGACGACGAGTGTGTACGATGGACAAACAGGTTGCCCACCGGCACTCGCTGGAAATTTAGTAGCGCGCATAGACGAACTTGACCGTGACATTGATTCGGACCTACCGTTCGGTTCTTGGTCACGGCCGGTGCCCAGTTTCGGTCTCTGTGTTCTCCGTGCTAGCTCGCCTCTTGACCTCCAGGCAGCCAGAGTCGTATATTCTCTGGTCGTTGACCTTCCATCCACGCACCCTAACTTCTAACCGTCGATGCTTTTATTCTGGTCCCGATCGCAAATTCCCAATTAGGATCCCCATCGCAACTGATGAGGGAGGATTAATGAATCGAAATGCGTGGTCATCATCACAAGGTGAATGACCCTGTATGGTAAGGGCACAGAGTTGTGAGTGGGCAACAGAAAGGACTCCCGGGAAGCCACAGAGGATCTCACGAGGAAGGACCCCGACAGAGGTTTGTAATTTGGTATATATGACCCGAGAATGATTGCTGGTGCCTCTGAAGGCTGCTATATATGCGGACATTTGGCCAGCAGACCAACATAATCAAGCAATAAATCCGAAGATATCTCTCTATATACATGTCGGCATGTGGTGCGTGCATGAGTACAAGAGAGTTGGGATGACACAGCCATATGCTAGGTATGACAGAACACGACACGATTGGCACTGCACATCAGGTGCGGTACTCACCTGGCTTCAGCCAGAACCAAGGTGCTGTCATCCACTTCCAGAAACCCCGATTGCGTGCGTTGACACGAAGCGAGTCTGGCCCAATTCCCCCCTTTGAGGCTGAGCCTCCCATGCTAGCTCCCTTTTCTGTGTCGACATTCCACATTGGCCTTCCCAAGCCTTCCGTAGTGCTTCGCTGGAACGTGGGTATCCGGAGACGTCCAAAGCGCTCTCACGGCCAGACAAAAGATTGAGTCATGACAGACCAGGCAGATTTGCCATCAGGAAGAGAGCACTATGACTTGCGGAAGTCAACGACTGATGACGGTTCGGCGTGGTCGGGGGCCTTGATCCGATAGATTCCGGTTCCGCTGTGAGAATGACGGTTCTTTGTCATCGTGGGCCAGGGATAGGGAAGGATACCACTTGTTTGAGCAGCGACAAAGAACAGACGTCCCGCGCCGAGAAGGGAGACGTGCGTTGATGTGTTCTGTATGCGGAAGCTATTGGTTTGAAACATGTCGCACCGAGATTGTGTGGATCAAAGGGCTGACTCGGAAGGAAAAGGTAGCGTCGACCGAAGGCCTCGACGAGTGGTTGACAAGTTGGATGGATTTGGTGCTTGGCACTGTTTGGGTGAGTAGTCCATAATCAACCAACAGATGCCCGTTGGCCCCCAAATAGCTTTCCGGATACCACCGAGACTAAACGGTTCTTTAGGCAAGGACGTAAGGTATGTCCCAGACCATGTAGGCCAAGCAAGGGCAGGTCATAAGACGACGGACTTTGACTATGACCGACGCACCCGCCCATTATTGCGCCAGAACCCATACAGGCACAACGATTAATAAAGCAAAGGATGTTGCATTCGCTTCACCTGCGCCGTTTCTGTTGACTTTTCAAGCCGCTGGCCAGACGGGAAGATACGAGCGCTGCTCAAGTCGTTCTGCCACCATCCGCAGACTGCGCTCCTGAAAGGAACTGGAGTATAGATAATGAACCATATGGTTGTGCAGATCTTCGTAGGTGGTGAAGCCAAAATATCGAGACATGTTGACCGCGCGGACGATGAACCATTCTTGCTCCGGCAAACCGTCTGCTGACCAGACGCCGATTAGCGTTCCCCACAGCGCCAGCCCGGCGTGTGTATGTTCGTACACAGACAGTCGACTGCCGGGGACCAGAGGCACACAATCCTTGGTCCAGCCTATGGCAGGACACCACGCCGCGAAGGCGGCTTCCTGGGCCTTCTGCAGCCGTCGAGCATTTGTTCTGGCCGTATGAAAACCCACCAGAGTACAAGCATGTGTCATCATGATCAGCAAGCAGATCCTCAGACATTCGGTACAGTCGGCGACAATGGTAGGGCCAGTGTTATTTTCGGGAGCCATAAATACCAACGCACGAAGAAGCGCTCTCGCTTTCCTGCACAGCCATTCGGCGTCGAAACAGACAGCCAAGGGAGACAGCCAGACCACCTTTGCGATCTCAATGCAATCAACCAGATCGGAGATGATTGGGGCCGTGCCGCCGGAGTACAGCCCGACCTTGAGCCCATAGGTGAAGGCGGTTCCCATCCGCACGTCCAGTGTCTCTGCCAGATCAGCAATGGTATCGGTCAGTCCTAGAGATGCCTTGGGCCCTCGTGGCACCACAGAGGAAGGTCGCATAACGCCTTGTAACCTCATTCTCTGGGCCTCTCTGCGAAGGGTCGCCATTCTTTCCGGCAGCATAGGGCCAGGCTGGAAGCTCCTCTTGATGACGGGATGTGTGGCAGTGGTCAGAGCGAGTTGGTTGTCCACATGAGCAGCGGTCTCGGAAATCCACCGATCAAGATGTTCATTGTGGTCAAGGAGATGGAACAGCTTCCCAACGATCTGAAGGTGTTTTCTTGCGTCGTCATACCGACCATATTGGACTTCATTGACCACCAAAAACAAAATGTCGAGGATGGTCTGTTTGTCGATATAGCCTGTGCGAGACGCCCGGATCAGCTCTTGCCGGAGATGATATGAAGCAGTTGCTCGCAGTTCATCAGCGTCATCGCCAAAGATGGACACATCGAAGCAGTGTTTCAACCGAGCCACCATGCCCGCCATTATTGCATACAAGTGGTGTTCCTTGTAGACACTGCGCTCAACCACTTCTTTGATAGGGAACCGAGAGATGGTTGATCGCACATGGGGAGGCAGGTGTGCTAATTTGAAGTTGTTGCCAGAGTAAGGATAGATGCGTAGGGTGTATTGCAGAATGCTGTGGATCTTAGGGGTAATCTGGATTGGAGTGGCCGAGAAGGGATCCACGCAATCGTAAGCGGTGAAATTGGCCCGGCAAACAGAAGTCAGCTGCAAATTCTCGCCGTCGTCCGGTTGATCCGCATCCTCGTCGGGACTGGCACCATCATCATCCCAGGCGCCGTTGACCACAGGTGGCGCAGGGGAAGAGATAGATGCCGTTGCTGCTGCTGCTGGCCATGGCCACGGTCGTGTACGACTTGCTAGACTCGAGGTCAAGGCCACACAAGGCACGGGAATATTATGGTCAGTTGCTGCCGCCGGTGTGGCTAGGGCTGCCAAAGCAGCCGGTCCGCTGCCATTGTTGTCCGAGTTTGACGTCTGAGATAAGTCTCCTTCGCCAGGGGTGCTAGACTCGTGTGAGCCATATTGAACGGGGCCAATGTCGGTCACCGACTTTAGGTCCTACCTTGGGGTGCTCTGCTTTTTGTGCCATCCATCTCGCGCTATCCGAAGAGCGGAAGAAGAGCTGGTCAAGGCAGAGGTGATTTTTTCAGCGTCAACCTTGCGACTTCGGAAGTGCTGGGCATGGCGATTGATCTGTTTCGCAACAGCACCATCGCTTTTGGACAGAGACTTGGACTTTTGAGTCTTGTTGACGAAGAGATAGACTTGATTGGAGCTGCTGGTGTCTCTATCCTTCATTCTTGACCTTTTGGGCAGGACATGATTGAATACGTGACGTAGAGGCGGAAGAAGCGAGCCTCTTCAGGCCCTTCGCGAATGGAGGTATAGTTCAAATAAGAGATAATGAAGAACAGCAGGCGGTGTGTCTAGAGGCCAGATGAAACCACAGGAATACAGCAGTCGAAGATGGGTCATATGGATTCGAAGTTGTCGTGGCGTGGCGTCCTACGTAGCCGCAAACGCGAAGGCGGCAAAAGGGTTTTCCGCAGCTTTGAAAGCGATGAATAAGCACGAGCCAAACGAGGCCAACACGGATTTTCTGTAACACCACGACACACTGGCAACACAACGACACCAACCCCCAAACTTGGAAGGCCCAGGGATACGCGCTGCTCTGCTCTACCTTAGCGAGCTCGGCTACAACACCGACTTGCTCGTCTTGTGATCTGCTGCACGGATCCTTTTCCATTTCAGGGTTCGGTTCGTGCGCAGGATGCGGCCAGACTGTCAGACGGGGGTGGTTCTAACTTGCATGCCGGCCCCGACGTAGAATAGTCAACTACAACCCACTACCTAATCCTGTCTTCGTTCATCATTAGTCTAGCCGCTCTTCGTACTCGTTTACGTCCTTGCCGCTGGAAACGATGATAAAGGAGGGTCGTTGCACCAAAAGATCAGTTGCACGCGGCCCGACATATCAAGAGACTGGCACACATTCTATAATCACAGACTCTAATTGCAGCACGACATGTCTCTAATGACTGAGCCCAAGGCCAATAGATCAAAAGCAAACACGGGCGGAACACAGACTCGAGATCAGGCAAACGATATTCGTAATGAATCCTTACAAGTGTTGCAAACAGGAGGATTCCAGTGCATGTCCGCAGCATGCTGCTACCCAGTCCAACGCTAGCCTTGCCAGGCTGATACAGTGTGTTCGTGTCCGTGTCCGTGTTCAGCGTTCGATTGTATCTCTGCATCATGCAATCGACGCACCCTCCCCGTGCTCAACCACCGTTGCAGCACTTCCGGCGCCCTTGGGTTCATACACCCATTCCATAACCGAGTGGCAGCGAGGATCATGGGTGGCCCTCAACTGACCGGCCTTGAAGCTCCTGAACACCAGGTTTGGTTCCGCAGATTCAAAGAGCTGCTTGAATTCGCTTAGCTCTCTCACCTTGCCTTTCATCAGCGAAAACATAACATTGTCCAGTCGGCGTGTGGCAAGCTCGGCGTAGTGTGGTCCGGATCCCATGGACGGCATCACGTATTCAATGCATATCACCCGGGTACCAGGGCGCAATGCCGGCCGCAACGCCTGGACGATGCGGCGAGCTCCAGCATCACACCAATTGTGGAAGACCATGCGGAAGAGATAGACGTCCGCCACTGTCAGCTGAGGCTCCAAGAACGAATGGGCTTCAAAGCTCACGGATTCGTGAGGAAAGTTAGGATCTTTGGCGGTCGCTGCGATAGCCGAGTTGACCACCTTGGGAAGATCCTGAACAATGCATCGTATACCAGGTTCTTTACGGACAATGGCAGTTGCCACGGAGCCAAAAGAGCCACCGCACTATAATTGATGGTCAATATTTGACAAGAGGTCATCCTTGCCGCGAAACTTACATCCACCAGCGTCTTTCCCTTCAGAGAATGCCAGTCGTAGCATCCTTGGATGGCGGCGTCGCCCGATTGCGCCGCTTGAGCACGCATATGCGCTGCAAATCGACGCCCCTGATCGGGGTGGTTTTCCAAATACTCATACAGTGGCTGACCACGGGCGAGGCTGAAGCCGCAGACTGTCTCTTTCTCGTCCGTGGGGTCCTCGATGCAGACGTCTCCCAATTTGAACGAGGAACTCGGCAGGTGGTCGAGCATCACTTCCATGCCATTGGCCATGAGTGGGTCAAGTTGCCAGATGATCGAGTTGTTGCTATGTTTGACTTCTCCCGATGCAGTCTCGGCAAGGAAGTTGGAACACACGGCGGCAACGCGGACCAAATGCTTAAGACGATCGGTAGAGACACCAACTTTGGCAGACAGCTCTTCATAGGAGATCGATCCATCCAACGGAACATGTCGAGGGATTTGAAGTTGACAAAGAGCCTGGACTACTCCTGCTTCGGCGCTCTAATCTCCTCCTCAGTGAAAGAACGACATTAGACGCGGGAGATTGGCTGACCTTGTAGTATAGAGTCTGCATGGTATCTTTCGGCCCAAGAACAAGTTGTTCGAGTTCTCTGAGGGCACCAATGAGTTGATTTCTCGCCTCCTCACCCTTCTCGTCCAAGGGCGGGATGGTGGTACGGCGACCTTCGGCAGACGACAGTCCATGCGCCTCGTTCGCATGCCATGACTGGGTCAGTATCTCTGAATGTGCGCTGACCGCGCGTGCGAGATCTCGGATTTGACTCATGACGGGAGTTTAACGGTCCCCAGGAGTTTCTTACTTCAGAAATGTTCCATGAAGGATAGAATATCTCCCCTTTTTATATATACGCGGCAACGGACCGCGACAAATGCGGCGCGGGATGTGCTGTGCACATGCTTTCGTAGCGAGCGGAAACCGGCCCTGATTAGCATCACACATTCGTCGGAAATGCAAGACAAGTTCAGGTCCGTAGCGGACACTAGAACCCTCATTCGCGGGAACGCGGCTTTGATTGAGATGGCAGAATGGGCCGCGTCGATCAACGAGATAACATGCAATTTGTTGAGCTGAAGTCTCGAACAGTATCAACCCATGCTGCCCACAGGCTTGGCTACAGGGAAATGGGATAGCATAAACAGCAACATTGGCCCAACTGTGGCATAATGAATCATACGTTATTGTGCTGCATGTCTTGGTCCTCTTGTTTTCGTCGACAGAATTTCAATGTCGCGGGCTGATTGCTCAAGTGGTAAGGTCGGTTAACGGAGCGAACGTACCACAAGATTAGCACCTGCAGGATCAACACGGGGTTCCGCTGCCAGCATCTTCCATTCTTCTTTGGTCTTCCTTCTGAAAAGAGTACACGGCTAGCCCCCTTACACGGCTGGCCCCCTTTCTAGACTCACCTGTTGGTTGCCAGGTCAAGTATTTGGCTTCTCCGACGTATCCGTCGGTACGAAGCTCCCTGAGCGAGACCGACACATTGAATCTCAAAGCGAAAGCGGACGAGAGCAACGGTGTGGGTGGATCTTGCTCGGAGAAAGCAAGATTGACTTTGGCTAGAACGGCAATCCTTCTGCTTCCGTGGAGGAATCGTGGAGGCTGGTCCACAACGCGACGCACGCTTTGAACTGTAGCTGGAGGCAGTCGAGGGGAGAGAGGAGAGAGACCTGCATCTGCATGCACGAGTGCACCCTGGCTCAACGGAGTCTACATATCTGCACAACACATCAATCGGAGGGGGTTGGCTGTGGGTAGAATCGAAAATGAATGACGGGCTGCGAAAACCTGCAGTGGAAGGAAGTGCCAGTGTCAACGACAGCACCGAGTCTGGTGCTGCTATCGCACGTGACCGGGGCTGATAAGCCCTGATTAGGCTGCCGTTCGTTGTATGACGCAGACGTGGAGCTACGAGGGCCATCGAAGAGTCTGCGTACTATCTCAAATCACTGGCAGAGCAAAGCACAATTATTACTATAAACTCGGGAATGGGAACCCGGCAAGATTGCGACATATGTGAGGAACAGAACACTTGTTCTGAAACGAGTTGTAGAAGAAATGTTGCCCTTCGCGTCGCTGCACGCTAGTTACTGGACAGCGACCGGTTTTCGGCCATAGTCCTGATCCAGCTGCGTGCAATGGGAAGAGAACAAGAGGATTGAAACGGCATCTCAGATATGTCTTAGCCTGTGGAGCAGAAGATACCACAATTGACTGTGGGGCAAGGATGAATATCATCAGCATCACAACTTCGCAAACCTCTCGACCTCGTAGCTTGTGTCTCGTGTCTGCCTTGCCCTGCAGCCTGTTCTCTCCATCGTGTATGAATCGGCTAGTGACATTGGAAGGGAAATGTCCAAACGCCAGCGTCGAGGAGGGATCATCACCCTGATCCTTCAAAGAAATACATCATAGCCTATTAGGGGACCGTCGCCGATGTCATGCCCAGAGACGACCTCTGCGCGTTCAGGATTCTCCAAAGGTGTTCTCGCCGGAGTATCTAATCATTTGTCAGCGTTGGTAAAGCCCGCGTTCAGAGCATGGGACGTACGTGATGTATAGGAAACCATCCTCATCTTTGTGCTCCTCGTAGATGCTGCTCATGAGGGCGGCAGTAGGTGGCAGAACCTCATCGACGAAGATGAAAATGGCTTTCTCTGGGCTCAGCTTGATGCGCTTGCGAATAACATAGACGAATTGGCCGACAGTCAGGTCCGCGGGAACAAGGTATTTCTTCTTATCGATGGTCGCGATATCTGACTTCTCGACTTTCTCACAGATCACCTAGCATATTGTCAGTATGCGAGTCTATCGAGTATTCAACAAGCCAAACAGCAAGAACGTACAGGAATGCGATCGGCATATTTCTGACGAATACGTTCGGCTTCTGCCTTACGCTTCTCGAAGGGATGCTCGTCCTTGAACTTGGAACGCATGATGGCGGATGGGTGGGTGACTTATTGTAGGGTAAGATGGAGGACTGAACTAGGGAACCGGAGCGGTCAATAAATCGCGACTTGGTTGTGGTGAGGATAGAACGATAGAGGGAAGATGGCTGGTCGGTGTGAGAGATGAAGTCCAGGCGGCGGCGGCGACGGTAGTAGGAGGCAGGCGGAGGCGCAGGCGCAGGTGCAACAACGCGCGGGCGGTCAGTCGGTCAGTGTCAGCAGTAGCAGCAGCCAGTAGTGACCGGGCCTGTGCCCGTGCCGTTTAATAATACGGGGGATCAGGCGCCGCAATGGCAGGCGCCTCTCTGCCCCGCACTGAGTCACGACTCGGACTGCAATTGTAGGTAGATACTCCAGGCTGCCACTGGCAGTGGTTGGAGATGGTGATATTGCGCACCGTAGTAGATAGTGCAGAAAATACCACTCCTAGTTCTGCTTCTCCGTATCCGTTTATTAGAACTTGAAGTTGACGGCTGTGCCAGCAGGTTCCGCGAAAAGGTAGGATATTGGCTAGGTCACGAGACTGTGGTCCTGACTCGCTAGCAGAGTGCCCGATATTGTTGCTGAGCGCAGGTTCTTACAGACTTCCTTTTTAATGGTATATTGCTGTTGTACACAAAGGAAGCGTCGCTCTATGCTAGAAACGGAGTAAATGAGTTGGCATGCCGCGGTATCAGGATGCAAGTAAGGGGAACTTCTTTGTGACCGTCTTCGTCCAAAGGCCATGGTTCTGCCCAACCAAGGGTCTCAGCACCAGACATGCCGCGGAGCTGTAAGGCTACGAACCAGATTGTATACCATCTTATGACTTCTCTCGCTGCGAGCAGCCACCGGGCGAGGAAAAACTCCTTCATCCTCAATTCTTACACGTGTTTGGTGGTGTGAGCGAGCCTCGTCACGTGTTGGTGGAGAAATATTCTAGCCCGAGAGAACCAGACCTTCAGAGTCTCCAGCAGGTCCAGCTCGAACCAGTCGTGTATTTTTTGTTTGTAAGTACAGCCACAATATATATTTCAATGGCGGCGTAATACCCTGATTCTTTCGCTTCTGCTGAACATGTACCGCCGCCTCTTATGACAGTCGTTGTGCTGGTGGAAACAGGAAACACTTGGTAAAGCAGATTCACAATGGCTTTCTCCAGACCATCATTGAGTTCTGTTCGGGCGCTCCGGGCGACGAGAAGCAGAGCCTCCGCTGTCCGACAGGCCTCTTCGCCCTCGTACTTCTCGACTAGCTTTCCTTTGAGATCCTCTGCGTCCGGAGCGTCCTCCCAAAATCGTGGCGCGTTATGGAACCCTTACCTTCACATGTCGCTCGGCGCCGTGTGCGTTGGCGCCTTGATGTATTCTCTGCAGACTGGGTCCATGGCCGCAAATGACTCTCCCCCGATACAACCTGCAACACTGGCCGAGGTTGACGAGGTGACCAAGAGACGAACCAAAATAACACGCAAGTCGCCTATGCGACTGCGAATGGAGGCTTTGATCCAGGAACACCAAAACCGCATCGTCTTCGCTCTGGAAAACATTGATGGAAAGAAGTTCCAGCGCGACGAGTGGACCAGACCACATGGTGGAGGCGGAACCTCTTGCGTTTTGCAAGACGGTAACGTGTTCGAGAAGGCCGGCGTCAACACCAGCATTGTCTACGGCGAGCTGCCTCGTCCGGCAATAGAGAAGATGCGCGCAGACCACAAGTCTTTCGTGGACTCGGACGTCGAAAAGTTGAACTTCTTTGCAGCTGGAATCTCTCTCGTCCTCCACCCACACAACCCTATGGCTCCTACGGTGCACCTGAACTACCGTTATTTCGAAACGTCTGATCCTCGAGACCCTGTCAACGCGACCGGCACGTCACAACAGAACTGGTGGTTTGGAGGCGGCAGTGATCTGACACCATGTTACCTGTTCGAGGAAGATGCACAACACTTCCACAAGACCATCAAGGCTGCTTGTGACAAGCACGACAAAGATTACTACCCGAGATTTAAAAAGTGGTGTGATGAGTATTTCAGAATCCCACACCGAAATGAGGCACGAGGTATTGGCGGTATATTCTTTGATGACTTGGATGCCTCTGCGCAACCCACTTCTAAAAATCCCCAGGAAGACCTCTTTCAGTTTGTTGTTAGCAGTCTGGAATCGTTCTTGCCGGCATACCTGCCCATCATCAAAAAGCGAAAAGACATGCCCTACACCCCGGAGCAAAAGTTGTGGCAACAGATACGACGGGGACGATACGTCGAATTTAATCTCATCAATGACCGTGGAACGAGTTTTGGCCTACGTACTCCCGGCGCTCGGGTCGAAAGCATCTTGATGAGTCTGCCATTAACCGCTCGCTGGGAATACATGCATCCAGTCTGTGGCACCGGCGTCCCCGAAGACGCTGCTGACGAAACCGGTCAGGATTATGAGAAAGAAAAGGAGTTGATGGAAGTCCTGAAACATCCAAAGGAGTGGGTGTAGACCAGAATTGGGTTCATGCGTTGAGCAAACACGCTTGCAACCATGCCGTTCCGAGAAGGCCGTCCAATCTTGACCAGTACTGCTTCGCGGATACACACGAAGCGGCATATCGCACAAAAGGCAGACCTTGTGCGAAGCATGGGTAGTGGAAACTATCAATGCCACAGCGTCTGAAGGCGGGATGTTTTTTATATTCCCTTTACAGTATGTGGGTTGTGTCTCACAGCACTCTTCCCGAGGCCTACCACACTTTTAAATGGCGCCATCTGTTGTGGTTCATTCCGAGGCCATTAAACGGCGATATTCCCTACCTCACAAGAAGCCCGGCTTCCCCCCATGTGACATATACTTGTATTATTATAGCTGCAGTATGCCGAAGTTTGTCATCAGGTGCTCTTATCCCCTAATCGAAAAATGCGATACATCTTCCGGACCAATATTCCTCAGCTCTGTCTGGATTGCTCGACATACAGGGGACCTGTCCCGAGGCCATGGGTGGGTGTCCAGATCCAACATAACCTCATTGGATCCTGGGCAGTCTGCCAGGGGCCAATACCACGTCGCGGCATTATGATGAAAGTAAGCCCGGCGCCCGGGCCTTGGGACTGCTTACCAGGTTTCCAACGTCGAAAAGGTCCGTGGCTTCTCCGGCAGCCAACGAATCCTACATTTCCAACATACTCGAATGCGCATCCCATGTACGGGCTTCCTCAGCCTCCATTTTCTTGCCCGTCGACACAGGAAGAATGGTTATCCTCAAACGGACTTAGGTCGAGTGACTTACCTTCGACCCATTGCAGGTGGCCTTTGTCAGCCATAAAGGTAAGGTTCATTTCAGAGTCGCTCAGCTCTGAGCTGACATCCCGCGTAAGTCATGAGGCCGGCCGAATCCCATGGCTACGCGATGGGTTTCTTGATGCTATTGTTTTCGCAAAGACTGCCACCTGACCGGGTCGTCAGCGTCCATTCCTTCATCCTGCCACTCCTTGTTATGCTACGTTGTGCGCAGTCTCCCTATCTGCCGCATTTGTACTGCGCAAATGGCATTGGTTGAGTCCCCAAAGCCTGTGTTGAACCAATACCCTCAATGGCTGACCTCCCGGGATCCATCTCGGCTAGGTTAGGGATATAATGTGCCCTATGAACCAGATAGTCTGATGTGATGGAAATATGCTATCACCGCCCGGTACAAATCACTTTCGGCCAATTGCTATCTTTTTGGCCAACGGCACTGACTGCGCAGTGCTGTCCCGAACTGTGGCCCTAACGCCAGCATTGTCCATATTCGGTGAGTCTGACTGTATTGAAGAGGTCTTAAGGATCTCGGTGAGTCTGCACTTGTGGGAGTTATATTTCCTGTTTCCAGATCGATATAAGACGCTGGCTTTCCCTCTGAGTTGTACAAACCAGCATATTCTGTCCTACCTTTGTGTCGTCTTTTCCGGCCTCTCTGCTCCTAAAATATGAGGACATGGATGGATGTGGCCTTTGTAGGCATTATATTAGTTGGTGGCGCTCGAGCACAGCTGCAGAGATGGATGGGGGTGAGTATAGCCCGCCCCTTATGCGGAAGCAAATCACTGATTCTCAAGGGTGGTGACTGCCCTTGGGCGGGCAAAACGGCAACAAACTCGCATCCACAAAAGGACATGCCGGATACTGGTAGGCAGTATTTGACCGATATCCTCATGTCTAGACACAACTGATGAGAGCAGGTGTCACCAGACACTTCAATTTCACCATAGCCCGGGCGTCAATTGCACCTGATGGAGTACAGGTTGCTGGCATCGTGGTCAATGGACAGTACCCGGGTCCGTTGATCGAGGCCAACTGGGGTGACTGGTAAGAGGCTTTGGTACAAAAAGGTGCCATTTGCTTTTGCTGACTACAGATCAGGATCGAAGTCAACGTCTACAACGAAATATGGGGCCCTGAAGACCTGACGTCCATCCACTGGCACGGATTCAACCAACAGGGCACTCCGTACTATGACGGTGTAGCCACTGTGTCACACTGTCCCATTGTGCCTGGCACAAACCTGACCTACCGATTCCGGGCAGATGAGTATGGTACCTCCTGGTACCACAGTCACTATTCAGCCCAATACTCTGCAGGAGTACATGGGCCGATTGTGATCCACGGGCCCGACGTCGTCGAATACGACGTTGACCTGGGACCAATAAGCATTTCAGACTGGTTCCATGACTCGTACGACCATCTTGTCGATCTCGTCTTGACCCCCACCGGTGATGGGTTACCATTCCGTCCGTTTTCCGACTCCAATCTTGTCGGTGGCGCCGGTCAACATCCATGTGCCAACGTGACCAATGGCCTCCCCTGCACCACTGTTCCTTATGCGTCCTACGAGTTTCAACCAGGCAAGACTCACCGTTTGCGTATCATCAACACGGGTGCATCGGCCTTTGAGACCGTCTCGATCGACGGCCACACCATGACCGTGATCGCCAACGACTTCGTGCCCGTCCAGCCCTACGAGACGCCATTCGTCACCCCTGGGAGTCGGCCAGCGAGTAGACGTTGTCGTCACAGCTAATGCTGCCGCGGGTGCGTACTTTCTTCGAGCCTACAACTCGCCCTCATGTGGCGACACCAATGGTCCCGACGGCCGGGGAATCATCTACTACTCTGGCATCGACCCGAACACCACCGCACCGAGTAGCACGGGCAACAAGCCACCGCCTGCGAACCCTGCATGCAGCAACGACCCGCTCGGCAGCACGGTGCCAGCATACGCCATTCCAGCCGCAGCGACCGCCGACACGACCATCACGCTGACCATCGGACTCGTGGCCAACAGCTCGGGCGTGTTCCACTGGACCATGAACGGCGCATCGTACTTTGGCGACCTCGACAACCCTTTGTTATTTGCCGGCGTGCAAGGCTCAGCGCAGACGTCCATCTTCCCGCCCGAACAAAAATCTACAACACAGGCACAAACGGCACTGTGCGGCTCATCGTGATCAACACCACTCCGGCGCCTCACCCAATGCACATCCACGGCCACGACTTCCAAGTGCTCGCCGAGGGTCAAGGCCAGTGGGACGGCAGCAGCATCACCAATCCTTCGAACCCGCAGCGCCGCGACACACAAATGCTCCGGGCCGCTGGGGCGAACGCGACGAACCCCACGTACATCGTGCTCCAATATGGACAGGATAACCCTGGTATCTGGCCTTTCCACTGCCATATTGCATGGCACTTGAGTGCCGGCATGGGCATCATGTTGCTCGAACGGCCCGCCGATTTGGCTGCTGATGTCAAGATCCCCGCGGCCATCGAGGACTCGTGCACCCTCTTCCAGCAGTGGCAGACTTCTAATCCTACCACAGATGTTGACGATGGACTTAGGAGGATGGCCGTGAGACTGAAACGTGATACTGAGGCTTCAGCTGACTTGCTCGCTCGCCGGACGTTGGTCGAGCATGAAGAACATGGGCACCAGCAGCATCATCATCATCATCGCCGGCACACTAGGCACCTCGACAGGCACAATAGGCGCAGCTTCAACGGTCTAGGTCGTGCCAGGACGTGAGGATGTAGGTACCCGAGGTATGGGCATATCTATGGACTCGGACGTTATCTCTACGGATCTGATATACCTACTTCAAGTTATGATTCCTTACCTCTCACATCTGGATATTCACGTCCCCTGATGCAGTGTCTGGTTGGTCGGAGCGGATTCATACGTATATTACCGATGACAGGAGGGGTATTGGACAACTTTGCACGCAGCATGATTACTTGACTGTCCCTTGGAAATCGCCAGTCTTCTACTAATATACCTAAGGTAGAAAGGGCAGTAATAAGATAAGATTTCATTATTTCGTATCATATCATGGAACTCGTGCGTTCCCATATTAACCGTAGGCACGATATCAGCAATTCATTCCATCACTGGTTCCCCGCTCTACCACCGCGTTGTCGCTGCTGCTGCTGCTGTCCAGCGTTGGTATCGCCGCTACCTCGGTTCGAGTCGAAATACCGACTCCGTAAAGCCTGACTGATCCCACTTACTCTTCCAGCAACTCCGGCGCCGGGCATGGTCATGGTCGTGTTGCCCATGCCGCTGAGTAAGGCCTCTTCCAGCGCGCTCTGCGTCACGCTGGCATCGTCCAGGTCGGAAAAAGATGATCCCATGCTCGGAGAGGTGTCGGAGCCGGGTCCCGGATGGCGCCGTGGCGAGGACTGGAGAAGCGCGCGGTGGGGTGGGGACAAGGGGTTTGGAGTGGGATTCGGATTCGAATTTGCCGGACGATTTGTTGGCGGTGTAGGAGCAACTGTCGGCTGCGGTTGTGCAGCAGCTGCTGTTGGCATTGGTGTTGAAGAAGGTTTGTTCTGTCTTGCAGTGCCTTGTGTACTTGGTGCAGTTGAAGTGGTCGGAGCCGTAATACTAGCAGGTCCTCGAGGTCGGTCAGTCTGGATAGGGCTGGTGGTGCTGCTGCTGGGCGGTTCAGGCGAGCCGATACGTTCCGACGTCGTTCGCCGGATGGATGCTGGTCGCGATGAGTACCCCAGGGGTGGCTGTGCTGGTTGTTGCTGTTGATGTTTGACAGTAGCTGGGCCTGGGCCACGCAAGGTCGCGCCAGAATCTTGTGGTGGTGGTTGCGAGGATGACGATGGACGGCCGGCGAGCGAAGCTCGTGTCTCGGAAACAGGCGGTGTCGCGAACGGCAGAAACGCGGGACCATCATCGTCTTCGTCTTCATCCCCATCATCATCATTGTTGTCGTCGCCGTCAGATCCTTGCGGCTGCGGTGTACTGGTGTCACTGGGATTGGAAGAAGACCCGCGGTGGGATCGGGGGTCTTTTCGCAACGAGAGCGTCCGACGATGGATGGACGAAGGATTAGGTCGGCGCGCAGTGATGCGTGACTGGGTCAGTTCTTCCTCGGATTCCGACGACTCGGGCGCCGCCGCCGCGGCCACCGTCCTTGTCAGACCCGGCGATCGTGCCAGATGATGTTGGATGCTTCCTCGGCGGGATTGGGCGACGGCGTAGTTGGCCACTCCTTCTGTGTCCTTGGACGATTGTCGCGATATAGGCCTGGATATCCCAGTCCCAGTCCCGGTTCCAGTTCCGGACACGGTTCGAGCCTGGGATGAACTGGTGCCGACGCCGCCCGCTCCGGCGACCGAAGGGTTGCGGAATGGCAGAGAACCTCTACTCTTAGCAGGCGTTCCAGGAGTGCTGTCTCCCCCTGTCACCGGAGACCCAAGTGCCTGGGTGGACAGGCGTGAGGGTACCCGTGAGCCTCCACTTCCTGCTCGCTTCATCGCTTGTCCTCCAACCATGCTGGCAGCCGTCGATCCGGGTGCCGGTGATGGTGTGGCCGATTGTCGGGCCCCTACTCGACGCATCTGCGCCCGGACTTGAGATAGTTGTCGCTCGTAAAGCCATGCAGCTTGTTGAAGCAGGAAAGGCTGCGTGACCTCGAATTTCTCGGACAAGGAGCGCCAGTCGATTTCGTTGCCCTTGGCTTGTCGGGACAAGATATCCCATAGAGCACGCTCTTTGGTGGCAGACCAGGCTACAGGGGGAGGGTCGACAAAGTCACCCCGGTTAAAGGGTAGACGAATGAAGACTGTAAAGTGATTCTCAACTGCCGCCATCGTTGCAAGCGAGCAGCCGACGTATAGTACTAGCAGTCTGGACGACGGATTGTATTGTACGTGGATTCAGAAAACAAGAAGCTATTCGTCCATGATGAAACCCTATGCAGATGCAATGCAATGGGGGATGTACTAGTAGTTGGAGGCGAAAGGAAGATGAGGCTGCACAATGTTCTACAACGTTGTATACGACCTGATATCACACGCGGTTGAGACGTGGCGGTGCAAGGACGGAACTTGTGGCGTAGTTGGTTGGCGGTGCCACAAGGCTGCCCGATTAGTCAGCTCTTGATCAGCCGTCGAACACGCAGGTACGTGCAACATCAAACTTCAGCCGATCATGATCAACGTTCTCGGCCCCTCTTTAACCTTTCGAGTCCCTTCATTATCTGCCTTTAACGAATGCGAGCCATGTGTTCGTTCTTCTCTGAACCGCCACTGCCTGAGTCAGGGCACCCTGCTGCATTCAGTCATGTTGCTCCTCCTTCTAGCTCGAGGAACAGCCGATGTCCTAGAACTCCAGTCTGATGAATCCTCGCTTCTCGTCCGCCGAAGCGAAGCCTCCATGACGCCTCGCCTCACGTATATGGGAGACAGTTCCTCATGCCTTGAGAACCAATACCACGATCCGAGCTGTGAGAAAGATGTCCAATGACTGTAAAAATATCCCACTCCACACAACCTTTACCGTTCACGGTTTGCACACTTAGAAGAACTTTCCAAGCTCCAGCAAGACAATTCGGCAATGGACGAGTTATAGTTTGGATAGATGGATGGATCAAAATGTAAGAATTGTCCTCCCAGCGAGAGGCCATCACCCCAGCCCAGCCGGGCTCCAGTGTTGCCGGTCGTGACAGTGGCAGTGGCAGCAATTCTGGTAAAGGGGTTGTTCCCCTGGTTTGAAAATCCTTCCCGTTCTCGCAGACCGTGAGTAACACAGTCGTATCCTGAGGGCATGGTACTCTGGGCCTCTTGCAAAGGGGTCGAGCTGTCCTTTCATGATTATCCCAGTGCCTGTTCCTGTTCTCGTCTCACTCTGCCTGTATTGAAAGAGTATGCTGTTGTTGCTGTGTCCCTACTCCCTGACTTGCGGCCCCCAGGGCGGGCTCAAACACCTGAAGGTGAGTACTTTTGTCCAGCAGATTGCATATGTCGTGAGGGAGATGAGAGGAGCCAGGACCAGCTAGATATCGGCCGTACCCTTTTAAGACCCTACAAGTGTATGCCTCTTATGCTAACATTGCACACTAGATGGCAAGATCGAATACGCTAGCTTACTATAGCAGAAGCAAGAGAACACAGGTATCTGGCGCGTCTCGTCAACTCTACATCCTTTTCACGTGTCTATCTTTGTCGCGCACCATAAGGATAATATTTGCAGGAAGGACTATCTTCTTCTACCATAAATTACTTTGTCGCCTTATCACCTTGTCTATGTGTCTACCGCACAACACGCTTCTTACATCCTCTTCTTCCCTAACATATGCGAAAGATCACCGTGTTCTTGTAGCTCTATCAGGTATCCCTTGACGCAAAGCGTCTTTCAAAATCACTTTGGACAGCAAGCGTTGACGGCCTTGGCCGTAGCAGCGCAGGCGTTTGTTCCTGCGCCCAGTCCAGTCGACCTACAATCCTCAAAGTCTTGGACACTGCACCGACAACAGGCTCAAACAACCTCCTGCACAGACACGTCCTTACTGCCCACACAACTCCTGTGAACGGATACAGCAGGGCCTAGCTTGGTTACAGCCAACTTCAGCGCCGCGACTTGTCACCTACTTACAGGGATCTCAAATCGTGCTTGCTCGCGGACACTTACTCGGTACGGATCCTCTACTGCGGCGGAGCTACTCTATCTAACACTCTTACAGATCAGCACGAAGTGGACTATTGCTCCTTCAAGAGACAGCCTCCCAGGAGTTCTAGCCAGGAGCCAGGTTCCTAGGACTTTTACGACCTTATTCTCGCATTCCACATTCAAGCAACTATCGCATAACAGGACAGACTTGGTTGAATGCTACCAACAGCGGTATTGACACCAACTTAACTCTCTGGATACTCCACAAGCATACTACCTGTCAGCCAGTCCATTCACCTCGTACTATAATAAAGCGTTCTGGTCAAAGAACCGCGTTTTTGAGGTTCACTGGGTAGTATTTGACAACAAACGCACACATATCCACACCCGACTTGGAAGTGTACTTACCCAGTTTGGAAATTTCCACGCTGTCTGTACTATTCAACCAAAATACAAACAAACCACCAGGCCAGGACCGTCAGAAAAAATGTGCTTCGCATACTGCTGCGTGTCATGTAAAGTGACCAAACACATCTACTGTGAAAATTACGTCTTTGAGTCCGGTCGGACCTGCTGCAACAAGCCGACCATCGAAACGCCCTGGGGAAGTCGCAAGCTGTGCTGTCACACCTGCATGACGATCAAAGGGGTCATCCATGAGTTGAGGGTCCTCGCCTTCGTCGAGCCTTGGCTCCTTACTGAGGGCATGGCTGGGGCACCAAAGAAGGAAGCTTGGGAGCTGGTGGGCAACGACGGCAGCAGTGGCAACGACGATGAGGACGACGAAAACGAGGATGAATCGGGTGAATCGGATGGTTTGACGCGTGAGCAGAGAGCTCGCATGCGGGCGGAGGCAGAAGCCGCGGTCATGAAGCGCTGGGGCTTGATGAGGGCCGAGCAGGCGGCAGAGGAAAAGGACAAGGCCACGGAGAGTGAGAGTGACGGCGGCCAGGGAAGTTGGGTGGTGGTCGAAGCCCCAAAGAACAAATAGATGGCAACCACCTGGCCAGTAGAGGTCTGGTGCTATGTCAAGCCTGAGGTACTAGTACTAGTTGACCCCAAGGGGCTTCTCTATTAGATTTTGTTAGCTCAACACGATGAGCGAACGCAGTTAAACCATAGGAGAACCGACTCATTTATTGCCTTGCTCATCCTTGTGTTTGTAAAGCTTGCAAGTTGTGATCATCTGGTATAGTGTGGGTCTTTCACTTTCGTAGTGCTTCGCGTACCGTGTAGTGGTGGTATTAGTGACTCTATGAGAGTGTACACCATTCATTGTTAGTTTGCAAATCTATGCTCACGATGTTCAGAGTTTAGGCGACAAGATTCTCAGCCATTCGGAGCACGACAATAGTCCCAGTACCACAGTTCAGACCGTGTATTGCCACCGACCCCCCTGCCAGAACACGGTGTGAATAAAGAAAGTGCCAGCTCGCGTAGCTGTCCAGACAGCTTATAAGAGCGCCCTTCTGCTGCCAGTTGCAGTGTATTCTTCATCCTAGATACACACCCCCAAAAGAACACTCACACTACCTGCAAACAATATTGAACACATCACCTTAAGCGACAGAATAAACTGGAAGTCTTCCTGCAACTGAACACCTCGAAACACAAATATGGCTCTTCAAGCAGCGCTTCCAAATCTACCTATCTATTCGGAGATGGCGGGCAACACATTGCCATGGACAGCAAACACAAACACGAACACCGAGCACCTAATCAGCAACCACGATGGACACCTTGAATCCAAGGAGTCTTCCAGCTGCAAGAAGTCGTTGAGCAATATTCTGAGCCGGTGGCTGAAAAAGACAAGTAACGCCCCTCTGCGGATCAGCCCACCGGTCTCTCCTAGCGACAACATCGAGGCACAAGTCGACAGAGCCTGGAGGACATTGTTTGTGTCTTGCCGCTGTACCTCTTGTCGGTCTCCCAGGAGAATGCAGCCACAGCTCTGCAGCAAGGGCACATACCGCAAATTCAAAGCGAAGCTGGACGATTTTGCCAACGTGTACGGCTCCGATGGGGCTAAAATATTCTGGGATATGATCCTGGAGGACCTCCAACGATACTTTGACGCCGCCAATGCACCAGGGACAAGATGCAGAGAAAGCACCAAGTTAGTACTCGGAGGGCTGCTCGACCGGGCCCAGAGGCAGGCCGAGAGAACGACAGTGGCACGGGGGACGACGCTCTCCCGCTCACACACATCTCCGTTGCAACGAAATCCCCACAGACAACCAACCTTTGTGATAGTGCCGGCACCAGCGGGAAGAGGATATGAAGGAAAGAGAACCACTTGGCTGCGGAGCTGTCATGTGAGCAACGAACAGCAATTTGCCAACAACAACTCGCTCCAGAGGCACAAAACGAAGATCATCAACATCGGCGGCCGCCAGTTGCAAGTGCGGGCACATCCCTTTGACAACACATACCTGCAGAAACGGGAGGTAGCAGGCTGTGCGAGATTCGAAAAGAGGTTGGCCGGCGGCTCGCCGAAATACAGTAACCCGGGACCAAGTGCGCTCTCACAATCGGTGACGGCAGAAATGGTACAATATCCCACCTTTTCACAGAAGCAGGCCCGCTGGACACTGACAACACTCGGCAAACTCACTGCATATGCTTCTCTTTCGGCATGTGTGGTGTCCATCACCAAGAAGTATAAGTGGGAAGGAATCAGCCGCAGTCAGGCATTGTCAATCCTCAAACAACTCGAATCCAGAAGGGACCTGCTTGTCCGCGTTGGCGCCGAATGCGGGACGACCAACAGTGACAGCAGAGAAGGACAAGAGAGATATGTGAACAAGACCACGGTCGAGAGGAGGGTACAGTGCATCAAAGCGGTATTGGCGCAGATGGCGAAGGAATATGCCACGGCACGCGACGCGTTCGGCCGCGGTATTCATGGTGGGAATGGTATGGTAGATCTGGCGAAGGTGGGCAGGGTAGCCATTCCAGGCCAGCAGGATGTTAGACTTGTGCAGGAGTTGGTTACGGAGTTGTTGGAGGGCCGTAGCTAGACTGCGACGGGCATGTTGAAGACGTGGATTTGAAGATCAGGGACGGAAGAGAGATGTCCACGATGTCCACGATGTACACTTTGAAGTCGAACTATGAAGTTGGACGAGGTTCGAGACCTGCAGACGGAAACGGGGAAACATTACGCCGAGATGTATATCAGTCCCTACCAAGACAACCACTGTTTCACACATCTACAACCATAATATTTTTCGCTGGATCTTATCTGTTGCCTTCGCAGTAGAAGAGCCGAGTCGCTTGGTAGGGTGCCAGTCACAGCAGCAGCATTAAGTACCGAATCGAGTTTTGGCTATAGAACCAATCCCCAGAGCAAATCAAGACCAGCCGTGATGCCTTTTAAAAGTACCTTCTCAGCATTCAAGTCCCAACTCAAGGACCTTCATCAAGAGGGCCAAAGACTGTTCAATGAACACTCTCAAAAACAGCAACAGCCACCTCCCCAGAACCAACTGCAACATTCGCAGTCATACTATCCTGGTCAGGGTGCCCGCCAGGCGCAGAATTTCTACCCTGGACAGCAACCTCAGCCTTACTATCAAGAAGGCCAACAATATCAACAACAAGTACCACCACCGGTGCCTCAAAGCACCCGTCCCACTGTTCCAGGGCAGCCGCCATCCTCACCCGCAGTCTATTGGCAGCCCCGATTCGACCCTTCGACGCCAGTCAGTGTTGAATGGGAGCATAAACTGGGAAACAACAATGGCTGGGGCAATAACGAGAAGCAGCACTACACCGCTGATAATGCCAATTCGTTCTAGTAAGTTTCTGGTCTACGTCCGTCCTATGCCGCAGATACCGGCTGAAGGACAATTTCACCCTCAAAGATAGTCGGAACTGACGATGCAGCACCCCAAACCATCTTCTGGTCCTCCGTGCCATCTCTCAACCGGCCAACCCCGACCCTTCCAAGAAATACACCTCGGCTCGACTTGTTTCACGACAACGCCTGGCCCGCCCGCGAGGCAGTCTGATTGCAACTTTGACACTGCCTTGCGCGAGTGGAATATGGCCGGCTTTCTGGCTGCTTCCGTTCGAGCCGTTCACCTGGCCCACGGACGGCGAAGTAGATATCGCCGAGACGTGGAATGGCGATGGAGTCAATCATTCGTGTCTACACTGGGGCTTTTATACGCCACAGGACAAGGACAAGCACCGCGTCGTCCCGACATTCGTGCAGGGCATGCAGCAGGGACGGCCTGTACGTTTTGAATTTGCGTGGCAACAGGACGAGTCAACTGGTCAAGGTAGACTGTTGTGGTGGATAGATGGCCGTGCCGTTATGAAGGCCCCTATTCCTCAGGGGACAAGACGCGTGGCTGATTTTGTGGTCTTGTTGAACATCGCCATGGGTGGAAATGTATGTCAAGGCCAAGAACCACGTGAGGGCACCTACGATCTCGTCGTGCATGAAATGAAAATGCAAGAAGAGCCGGAAATGGGTGGCTGGGCCAGATTCGACGGTGACTGGAGCTGGGTCCGAGAGGGCGATACGATGTGACCTCCGATCGTGGAAAGATGGAACAAACAGGGTGAAGCCGTGGTTGGTTTGCGAACCTGCTTACCCTCTGCTTATAGAACGCAAATGAATGAATGAACGATTGAATGATGAAGTGTGATGGTACAGTGATGGAACTTGTCAGTCCAGTTAGACTGAACCCTAAGCATGACATGAGCGAGACCACCTGAGCTTGTTCACATGTCCAACATTGCCATCAGCCATAGGGTCCTGTTTCTAGGTAGGTACGTCGTTGGCTTCTACCGCCTGTCGAACGACTGCCGGTTTCGCCTACGACGTTACAGCCTCTTACAATTCAACCAAGTCCAATGTATCATTCACGACGTCCAGAAGCAGGCGTCACAGAATATGAGCACCCTCGCCAGAATGAATCGGCCAATTCTTCGACGTGTTAGTGTGGGAACCGCATTGCCGGATATACGGTGTGTCCTGGCGGCCATTTCACAGCTGCATATGCAGATATTGACAAGGTGCCCGTGGCCGGCAAGTTCCTGGTGGCAGCCGCGGAGGTACTACTAGTATCCCGTGGAATCAAGCCAAACTGCAGGACCAGGATTTCCAGTGGGAACCCTTCTATTATTGCGCAAGGTATCGTGCCTGACAACAACAAAAAGTGTAACTGGACGCTTCAACCAGGAGATCTACAGCTCGAAGAATCCCTCGGTCAGTGTTACCACATTCGGACTGGCAACTGGTATCGCTCGCCTCCCCCTCATCAGCTCATGCAAGGAGAACACTACAAAGCTCTGCGGTCAAGTTTGATTGTCAACTTCTCGGCCGGCGTACGACTCCGAAACCAGTTGCCTCAGGAACGTCGTAGTACATTTTCTGCTTGATGACGCCAAACCCGGGGCGAGACAAGGGAGATCTCGAAGACAGACAATTGTCATTGCCATGCCAGTGTCGCCCGTCGACCGAGCTGTCACCGGCAGAGCAGATCCAGAAATGAGGGCCATTGCGGCATCGGCTTTTCCAAAAACCTAATCTTGGATGCTTGTTGAGAAAAAGGCAAACTGCCCGATCGTGATCACCTATGCCATTCTTGTTAGCTTGACGCAAGAGCATAACGGCTGTTAGACTCGGACTTTTATTGTTTCTGACCCAGTACGTGCAGCTACTGTACAATATGCCCAATAAAACAATATTCCTCCAGGGTGTCAGGTGGAAGTCCGGGCCTAACATCGTAGCTCTCTGCACGCCACGCCGTCGGACGCGGCTTCCGGATGTGGCGCTGGAGCTCATCCACTGATCACCGCTCACGGTTTTCATACTGCATTTCACCACGAGATGCGAGCACCAGAATATACAGCGTGTCGTCTCTAAGGTAGGCAGCATGATCGGCTCGGGCCTCTGAAGACTCTGGCGACGAGAGTGGTCGCCATGCTCTTCTCGCCAGGCAATCCAGGCACCTCGGCGAGCGAGGGAAGCTCTCCATCGTCGAAAGCTACCCCTGTCGAGCAAACGGCAGCGGAGACCAATAGCTGTCGCTTTGACCCTCCGGGGAAAGCTCCCGGATCTTGGTTTGTCAACGTCATAACAGCGACCAAACGGCCCTGTCTTGACCTCATGTTCCGCGCGGCCACGTCGCTGTCACCCTTTTTTTCTGTCCGCTGCATGGCTCCACCTCCTCCTCTTGACCAAAGCGACATGGGGAGCCAGCCTCGCCTCTCTTCGAAGCATCATCGACTTTCCGACCGGCAGTTCCAGCGGTACCCTTGCTGCTGCAACAATGTACATAGTACTACCACATTGGAAATGTCTTCCTTCTGCTCCTGCTTGGGCGGATCACGACGTCAGGCCCTTGCTCTCTGAACCACCATGGCGTCCTCTGGGGGCGTCATTGGTGCGTCTGATCGTTCCGATACTCGGCCAGCATCAAATATTGGAGGCGAACAAGTCCTAGCGGTAGGGGATCAATCAATAACTGCGTCCCAACACGAGCGTTTCTGTGACATTTGTTTTCTTTGCGTGAGGTCATCTACCCCCCAGGTCTGCCCAGCTACAGATGTTTATATGTTGCGCATTGATTCTTCATCCAGCCTGACAGCCCAGCCTTCAATTGATTGAGCACGTACTTGTCACAAGCAGAGGTCAGGTCGCAAGTATGAAGTCCGGATCATCGATCGTGCTCCTCGGCATCGGGGCGTTGGCAGCAGCCGCTCCTCAGGTCACTCTCACTCCGCTCAGTGGCCCTATTCCTCCTGTTCGAAGCTCTGAGGTTACCGGTCCTACATCCCATGGACCTTTCTCGGGCACTCCCACCACCGTAGGCGCCTTGTCCAAGCCTGCGACTGCTCAGTCGATCGCGCCTGCCGGTTCGCCTGTGGTCACTTACACCAACACCAATGGCGAGCTTCAAGCGACCTACATGCCCGTGCCGTATCAACCCGCCGGCGGCCAGGGTTTGAATGGCACGATTCCCTACTACCACCCTCTCTCGGACTTCGACTACGAGTCCCTCACCTTGGCCCTGTATCAAGAGTGGATTGAGTTGGATCTGTTCCACAATGCGCTTGCACGATTCTCGGTCGCAGACTTCGAGGCCGCCGGCTTGACCGCCGAAGATCGGTTCTTGATTGAGTTTATGGCTGACCAGGAAGTCGGCCACGCGACTCTGCTGAGCAACATTCTTGGGCCTGCTGCGCCGCCTCAATGCACATACAACGTAAGTCGATTATCCTGCTACGGGGTGAAGAAGACGTCGGACGTATACACTCTCTTGTGTTCGGAAAAACAGTTATCCCGTCTCACTCTTCAGCCTTGTCCCTGCCTTTGGTGATATAGAATACCATGTACTAATCATTCTATTTCCCCAACAGTATCCATTCCAAAACGTTCGCGAATTCGTTGATTTCTGCCAGAAGTTAACTCGTTTCGGCGAATCGGGCGTCTACGGCTTTTTGGGACATCTGGATTCTCGAGAATCCGCAACGCTTCTCTTGCAGTCCATCACCACCGAAGCGCGCCAGCAACTCATCTTCCGCCAATTCGACGGCTTGTTCCCCATGCCAGTATGGTTTGAAGTGGGCGTGCCACAAAGCTGGGCCTGGTAAGTTGCTCCACTCGCTTCGGAGAAGTCCAAGTTTTTGTCTATTTCTGTCGCTAACAAGTAGTACTATAGGACTTTACTCGCACCCTACATCTCAAGCTGCCCGGCCAACACAACTCGTCTAGCATGGCAAAACTTCCCCTCTCTCACCGTGCTCAACCAACCAAACCCAGCGAAGACCAACCCGAACCTGGGTCCCGATCAGCCAGGCACGGGCTCCAACCCTCTCAACACCACCGGCGTTGCGGCCAGCAACCTTTGTCTCAATGCTACCGGCGAATCTTCCGACTGCGGCCCGGCAATCAGTCAAAACCGCTCCATTCCACTGTCGTACCCAGGTCGCCCCGTCCATTTCCAATGGGGCAATGTCAACGAGACCGTCGGCCCCAACAACTCGTACGTCACGGCCCGATCTCCCCTGGCCGATGCGCCTCGATACGCCATGTTTGTGTCCCAGCTTAATGCCACTTATGTCCCGCTCGTCAATATCAGCGGCAACACGGCCTCGGCTGTCCAGCCTAACATGAGCACTTTTGCTGGCGATCCGGCGGCCAACGGAACAATGTTTATTGTTATTACCTCGCAGAACCCATACGTCACGGCCTTCAATTTGAGTATGGTCAACCCTTATGTTTATTCTGGGCCGGTGTTGTACCAGTCTGGCTAAAGGAGACAAATTGTCCAACAGTCCGGTCTGGATCAAAACGGTGTGTCTTTCGTCGGTTGCGTTGCGGTGGGATAATATCAGGCAGAGACTCCTGCCAGTGATGTGGGAATATGTTATTCAAATCTCTCCCAACAACAGGGGTGATTTGTGATTGATTTTGGTGATCATGCCTCCTACACAAATACCGCTCAACGCCTTAATATAAGCCTAATCATATTTATTTACCTACATATCTATCTGGGTTTTTGCTCTACCTTACTTGGTAATTATATGGAATGTATTTTAGACAAATTTAAAGCCATTAACGCATCTAATTACTGATTTCAACTACCATGCATGGACTGAATTGGTTGAATCGATCTGAAGTTCTGAACTGTAGTACCTTGTATGTTAAATTGTACCGAATGGAAATTGGAACGACAACACAGATACCCTCGATAAGTCCTGGCAGTGCACACAGTCTGGAAATTCGATGTCTTTTTTCTTGGAAAGCCGAATTCGGGTTATCGTGAATGTGATCAAAGTACGGTTTCATGTTATACCCACGTACATACCTTAAAAAACATAGTCATCCTTTCATACATGCATACAGACATACACATTCATCCGATCTATAATCTATCTCATGTCTATAGCTAGGTAGGTAAGTACGTAACCTACATACGTACCTGGTCATCATTATCCGGGAAAAAGCGTCCATATCAGCGGCGCAGCAGTCGTCCATTCCTGACAGTCACCACACTGACGTCTACTAGCCATAATGAGTAGGTACTGAGCATTCAACATGGTTGTTTCGTTATGCCCATTGCCAGTGATCGGTTGATTCTTGATCCGTTCCAGTTCCCGGCCATCATCCTTGGATATCCAGGATTCATCCGACATCAAACCCCCTGTTGTTGTGGACCACAAAATATCCCTTCCTTAGGTTGCTCCTCTCGTTTTTGTTTTCTTACACCTTTTTCTTGACCCCCTGACCCATCTTCAGCCTTGCGACCAACACAAACCCCGCGGCGGCAAGGGCGACGCCTCCAGCGTAGAAGATGGCGGGTCGGTACGGGTCGATCGAATGGGCACTGTTGGCGGCGGCGGCTGCTTTGTTATTGTCTGTCATGCCTGCACTAACACCACCACCACCCACACCGGATGCTTGAAGTAAATATCCTGCAATAGGCACGCCCATGAGATACCCGCCTGTCCAGCCGGTGATGGCCATGCTCATGGCGACTGCGGCGACGGGGCTGTTTGCACCACCACCACCACCACCAGTATGGTTTCTCATCCCAATAGCAGTACTGGCCACGACGACGGGATAGACGGTAAAAAACGCCCCGTTCGCCAGCCCGTTCAACATGGAAAACACAATGAGCGGCCCTAGGGAGTCAGACACAGGCCAGATGGCCAGCATGCTGACGGCATTGAGCAGCATTGTGGCCAGGAACATGTTCACGGGCCCAATGGCGTCACTCAGCCAACCGGCCAAGAATCGCCCGACGGCCGTACACGAGTTGAACCCGGCGACGAGGGCGGCGCCAGTGCTGGAACCCAGACCGACGCTCTGCGCAACAAGAGGCAGGAAAAACGGTGGGACGAACAGTGCAAAAGTGCCCACCGCGCCGGCACAGAAGACGGCGGTGAATGGCAAATGGCGGAACATGGAGAGATCCAAGAAAGGGACACGGCCGCTGTTGCTGTTGGGGACGCGTTCGCAAATGAACCAGGCGGCAGGTCCGGCCGTGGCGAGCGTGCTAAGCCCTAGGATGCGGAATGTCCATGCTATGCCTACGCGAGCGATGAGTTTATCAATGACCACACTTAGTACGGCAGCTCCGATGCCGCCGCCCAGTTTGACAATGCCAGATGCCAACCCCAGTTTGGCCGCAAAGTATTGCGTCGGCATCGTGTTGGAGATAGAGTAGCATAGACAGGCGCCCAGACCGAAGAGGACCCCTGATGTGCCGAAAAGTCCGCCGATGTTGGACGTGGTGAAGCTGGAGGACACCTCGCTCAAGGAAATGAGGAGGACGCCTACCAAGGCCGTTGTTCGCGCGCCCAGCAGCCGTATCAGACGGACGCCAAATACGCCAAATGCAACCGCGCAGGCCAGTCCAAGTGTCCCCACAAACGAGACGGTTGAAGTCGACGTGCTCGGTAATTGGGACTGGAGGAGTGCTGCTTGAATCACCCCCCAACTGCCCATCATGCCGTTAAACCAGAACGTCACAATCGCACAAGCTGTCACAATGACCCATCCGTATCCTCCATCTGGGACAGAGCTGGAAATTGATATGGCGACATTCGAAGGGGCCGGTTCAGGCGACAGTCCTGCCTCCGGCACGTCAGTTGCTGTTGCGCGCCGCCCGTCGCGATCATCATATGTATCGAGAGGATCGGCGCGAGGCACAACCCGCAGCTCAGTCTCTGTCGTTGTCGACATTATCCGCGTGTTTGACCCCGAAAAGGTCGGTCACAATTGAAGACTGGCTAGGTGATGTTGAGTTATGGTGCCTTTCCAAGTTGGAGATGACACGATGAGTCAGCCGCCGCTGCAATCGAGGGTGTTAGCATGATTTGCGAACGCAGAAGGCAATGACCTCAATATTAGGTTTGGGTCTAGGTTGTATCAACCGGTCCAGTCAGAGTGGTTGGCGATGGTACTAACAGAGCATGTGCGCTGTTCACCCTGACGAATAGTATGCCGACAGAATAAGGTACAACATTGTAGACTGTCATGACCTGAAGGAGTTGGTGTTGTACAATGGAACTCAAATCGGACTTGAGCGCTCCAGTGCTGACATTTCCATCAAAGCAGATTGGAATCAGGCGGCCACCTCCTGCATAAGATATTTGACCCATGGAATCCGGTGTGTGGGTATCGCTACAGATGTGGATCTTGATTTGGTGATCCGTGGAAGCCTTCCCATATTCGGATATGGACTCCGATCGTCGGATCAGGCAAGCAACATTGTAGAGCCTTGAGCAACAACTTCCGAGTAATAGTCCCAGGACGATTTGATATGCAGCATTGAGGTCCGAAAGGCAAAAATTGCTGTATCAACCAGTTTCCTGGCTCATTTGAATTGCCATTCAGGACCCCATCGGCGTGTCGTAGTACGCTTGCTGTTCGCCGCTGCCATAGTCTGCTCCTGGATAGGAGGTATCCATCGTGGCATCCTCTCGTGAGACCTGATGTTGAAGCATGGGGAATGCCAGCCGTCGACTATCAATGCTGTCGGCCGCTTTCAAGAGTGCACCGACCGCTGACTCCAGGATACCACTGGCAATCTCCAAAAACTCCGCACTCTTGTTAGATACCCGCAATGTCCAGCGGTACTCTTGCAGCCGGCGACGATAGAACTCGGCTTCTTCCTGGCTCACCGAAGTGACGAAGCAAAGGCCGGCAAAAGTGCCAATGAGTGCAAAATTGAATTTGGACGCGAAATACCAGAACGACTGGAGATGTTCGGGCTTGAGGCGGTTGAAAAAGTCCATAGCACTGATGAGCCTGGCCTTGGCTGCTGACCGGCAAATCTGGACCAAATAAGGATCTGTCTTTTGTGATAAGGACCGAATCACCCGACGGTGCAGGGTGATCTCTGTAGCGAAATATGCCAGGTGGAGATAGCCCACCGAGCTCAGCGTGCCTGGCCGTGTTGCATCCATCCGAAGGACGTCAGGCATTTCAGCATACCACGACCGAAGCTTGAGTTGAATTGGTTTAGCTCGTTCAAGAATGGCCTTTGTCGTGTCAAAGGCATTTTGTACCTCCATCTCGGCTTTTAGCGAATAGAGGTTCTCCAAAACTTCGCAAAGCATTTTTGTCAGCGCGATCATGTAGGTGAATAGCGTGCGACCCTTTTCCACTCCCGTGCTGCTGGCCTCCTCCACGTCGCTTTCCACACTCTCTGGGAAGTCACTGTCACGCACAGGCTGCACAGCCCAGTTCGTCGACGAGATGTGGGGAGGCCGTCCGTAGATCAGGGCAGACCATGTATCCTGCATGTATAGAGCCCAGGCGAGACGCCTTCGAAGTCCTCGTTCCCACTCAGGAATGCGCCAGTTGGAGCAATCCAGATGAAGTCCCAGATCCTGCCCAATGGCAACCAGTTGAGCCGTCAGTTGCCATGCCTGGTTACTTCGTGGTCGCTGAAGAAGTAGCAGTCCCGCTTGTACAGTAGATAACTTGGCTCGATGAGACACGTCTTGCAACGTCCGGTAAGCGACATCTTCAAGCTGAGCGACGTCGGGCTTGACCAGCTGGGACAATTCAGGACTGTATGACCACCAATTTAATGCAAGAATGTAAACAGCAGCCAGCAGCGGGGGTGAAAATTCCCGATACGTCCTGCCGTATTTCTCGAGAAACACCTTTTTGTGTAGAATGGGGTAATTTGGATGGACAATGCGAAAGTAGAGCTTGATCAGATCCTCTCCATGGGGTGCCACAATGTGCTCGATGTTATCCAACTCCTCGACCTCTCTGAAGTGATTGGGAGAGTCCGAGTCGGCATACTGATGGAAGAACTCGTTCGGACCGACTTTACGAAAGGAGCCTTGGTCGGCAGGTGACTCGCCCTGCACATCGTCGTACAGTCGCAGATCGAGGAGCGCAAAGTCATGCTCGTCGGTTGGACCAATATACTTTGCGTATCGATGGTTTTGCAGGCTAGCCATCGAGGTCAGCCACGGCGACGAGGTTAAGAAAGGCATTGGAGCACAACGCCGATGTAGTTGTGATGCTTTACAACGTACCCAAGGGTTTTCTTCAACATCGACTCTCCCTGTAAGTTGGCATAATCGTCGATTCCGGGGCCGGTTGGGATGGTTTCACCAGATTGCCGTCGTGGGGCTTGACCGTTGCCATCGGCGGCTCTGTTATCTCTTTAGCCTGATAATAGATAGGGGAGACGGATGGGGATGCAGAGAGGGTCAAGGTCCAGATTGGACAGGGAATGGGGGAAGGGTGGAATGGCCTCACGGTTGTATGTGTCGAGCTAAGGGAGCACCCGCTGCAGTAGTCGAAGAGTAATTGGTGGTGATACTGGAGGATCCCATAACAGGGTTGGGCTGTTGGCGTCGCCTCGGTACCACATCCTCGATAAAGGTACAGGCTTGTCCGTGAAACTGGCACATCACACAGGAAGCCGAGTCAGGATTGATGACGCAGTGACCCTGGCGACGGCGACAGGCGTCGCAGGGACGATCAGGTCGAATAGGAGGAGTTGCTGCTGGATTTAGACCATGATTGCTGTTATCTCCCATGCGAGGCGTCATGGCTATCGAACTCAGGCTGGAGAGGCTCCCGCTGCTACCGCTTGGGGTAAGCACCGGGTCGAGTGGTTGCTGGAATTGCTGGAAGGGCTGAGGCATGGTCGAGAGCATGGTCTTGATGGAGATGACAGCCCTTGATAATCAGGCTCTCTGCTATTGGTGCCAACGCTCAATTCCAACTTGAACAATAGATATTAGCATTATCAATTTGGTATCTTGCTGGTTTTGAGGCTTGGCCGGTGGTTGTATGACGGGACTGGACTGGACTGGTCCACTATCAAGGTATATACATGTGTAGGCGAGACGTGCACGTAGGCAGATGGCAGATCCGGCCCTTTTGATCGACGACTCGGACTTGACCAACAACAATTTAAGACTATATGAGCCGCTGTCATCGGGTAGGGAGTTCTTGCACTTGGATCAGCAATGCTGGAAGTCAGAGCGTAGACTGGAAACAGTAATAGTTTGCAGTGAGACAATGTCGGGAGGCTGCGTGAAGGGGCGCCGGCGGATCTGGCATTGGACCGGGGCCGTGCATGGCGGAACCCAGCATCGGGAAGTGAGATTGGGTCGCATCCCAAGCGTGCATCAAGCGTGTATACAGAACTTCAGGTTGGCGAATGAAGCAGCATTTGATTGTGTAAGAATTTGGCATCGCGAATGTCGACGAGATAAGCTGCCGCCCTGCCATTGGCCAGCCTGGTCGCGGGCAGCCGGTCACGTGTCACGTGAGTGTGGGATGCCCCGATGCCCCATACATTGTACTGAACCACCATCTTTGCCCTTGTTCTCTATCACGACCATGACTCGTATCCAGGCCATCGATATCACTGCAGGTGGGCTCCTGGTATAATAACATAAGATCATCTCTCGTCTTGGAGGCACACGGGTAATGAGATCGTCTTGCTTTGGCGAACGGCTGGTGTCAGGACCGCCCAGTAGCAGTTGGTCTGCCTGCTCACAGGACCAACCAGTTGCCAGTAAGCTTGTATTCGATGTTTTGCTTGTGTTTATCTTGGCCACAAGGTAGTTGCTGTCGAAGCAAGCCTTTAACTATGTAAGTTACAGGTCTTGAGCTTCATGAAACGCGAAACTTTACAGGCCGTATACTAGGATATCCTGTGATCTGCTGCTTCAAGTTCCAGTTCAAGTTGTCCGCGGAGAAGGAGGACGCAGGCATCTCCCACCACTAGCGACGAGTTGAATTCGGTTTTGCTTCCTCAGACGCACTCTGTGGTGCCTCAGCTTCCAGCGCACTTACTTCTCTCCTCTTCCTTTACTACGGAGCTTTCCAAGTGTCCGCCTGGCTCTATTATCGAGATGGCAGCCCTCGCCCTGATCACAATCGCCTCGACATTTGAAATCTTGCGTCAAACATACAGGACGAGACTACCTCCTCCCACTCCGTCGCCTTTGTTCTGCCGAGCTGAACGAAATCAGAGCTAATTCTTAACCAGGGTGCATCCTTCCCGAAAGAACGAAGCCTTCTGTTCGCCACCCAGACACGAATGGAGGAACAGACTGTTTACGATAAGAATGCACGCAATGAGGCAGTAAAGTGCTAGAGCTGTTTGCAACCACAGGGCTTTTGCGTCGCAGGATACGCATACCACGACCGAGACCGGCCATCATCGACAACTTCTGCCTAAGAACAACCGGTTCAGCTACCACGCTCTGCCTCCCGACTCGAGAAGGGTAAAAGCGTTGCCAGCGATTGATGGGACCGACGAGGGATCCGACATCCCGGTAGCTCCAGGACAGCAGCATAGTGAGCTAAGAGTCACGAGCCCGAAGGCCTGGAAATTGACACAATTTCGTTTTAGACGCCATTGGTCTGGTTCAAATCAAAATATTGAGAATTGGTATACCGCTCATTTCTCTACTACAGGCGGTAAAGAGGCCATCCAGATAGCGCTTTGGAAGCCCTGAACGGTAAGCCAGATCCCATCACCGCCAATCCACGGTATCCAGGTAGAGGGCCGGCTTCATTGTCCATGGGGTCTTTGTTCTCCGTGCTCAATGCTCAAGGAATAACTGACACCTGAGTTGTGACCATTCTTTGCCCACTGCAGTCGCTACCATATGTCGCATTTTTCTTTCAGCATCTACAACAATGGAAATTCCCTTGATCATCTGTTTCACTTCCTTGCTCAACCTCTTTCCGGTGGTTTGACGTCGGTTTGTCAAGGAACTCGTCCGACTTAGCTGCTAATCAACCCGATTGGTGTATTGTGGCTCATTTTATCAGCCCACACAGTCTCTCGCTGTTGCAGCAGCGGTGAAGATCTGAGAGTGCATACTGAAAGAAGTACAGCCACTTCTTGTTTTGGATGTTTCACTCCTCTATTTTCTATGGTGACAAACACCTTGTTGTGGTAAGTAACCCGTAAGTTTGCTTCCCTATGCCTAGCCAAAGGAGTACTTTGTCACCATGTCTCACATCAACAATTCATTCGTTGCTTTCCACTGCTTCACACTGTTGATAAACACAGGCAGCGGTGACTGCTAACAGCAGCTGTATATGCTGTTTCCTGTCCTTGATGTGTTGATAAATATGTCGACCTGTTCGCCTACCAACCATGCCTTCACTTGCCATCATCTCATCCGCAACATCAGCTATCACCATAAGGTCATCATCATCAACACCAACAAGCTTAGCAAGGTCAAGGTCCCAATCAACATCACAACAGCACCAACATTGACATAAATAGCATTATCAACATAAATAGCATCATCAACAGCACCAAAATGCCTGCCACAAGATCAACCTCGTGTGCCCATGTCCATCATCACCATCCTGCTTCTGCTGCAGCTCAACAGCCAGCCCCGGCCTCAGCCTTGCCAGTCCCCATGCTCGCCCCAGGGTGGCCGACATGTCCTTTTTGCGGCTCTGGCCATGATCCGTGTGAAGCATGTTTTGACTAGACGCCCATGCTTGGCTTGAGTGTGAATCCGCTTGATGAACAACTGCACTCCCAGTCTCGAATCTTGAATCCAGATCGATTTCGAATTGATTCGAAAGACATCGCTCACTCCTGTACAGACCTGAGAAGTTGATTGTTCCAGCTGACCGCATATACTGACATCATATACTACTGTACCCTCTCAAAACTTGAGTTACTGACTGCCAGGCGCGTGAATAGGATTTACTACTGGTAGTACTACACCACATTGGCACACACATAGGACAGTGTCCACTGCGTAGCTTGGCCAGACCAACTACTAGGAAATATGGGTTGGTACGAGCAGGTACCTAGGTTTACAGAATACCCCAAAAGGATAGAGCAAATGATACACGCTGAACATTGGAATCACTTTTCCGTATGAAAGACCCATAGAAAATTTTCATTTGTTCACAGAACAAAAGAAAGTACTACCGGAAGCTAGAGTCGGCCTTCAGCTGTCTCTGAATAAAGAGCTACTGCAGCATGTTTCAAGCCGGCATACAAAGGAGTCTTCCTTTGCTTCGTACCTTAACCCCGAAATTTCGTTTGTTCGCTCCAAATCACCCCAGTAATGCCCATACCATCTTCCTCAGCAGTCCACACATGTTGTGTTTTTTGATGGTTGAAAACTCGATTTGTAAGTTTTATGTGGGTGGGCAGTCAGTGCAACGAGTTCGAGTTAGGTAGGGTGGCCAGCACGCTCCATACTCGTGATGCTCCAGCGCTCCATGTTCCATGCCCATGCTTCTGCTCAATAGCGCTTGTAACTCAGTCATCCTCAATTCACCAGACTCCTGAAGCCCTCACTTGGCCATATCACCACCAACGCCCCTGTCGCTAAATGCATATTTCTTCATTCGTATCCATAGCAGCATCTCTACTAGTATCGCTGGAACGTGGCGCATGCGTCTAACTGACATGTTGCTGCACAGCCTCCCGCGGAACAATACCCTGGGCGATGAAGATGTCAACAAGACCCTGGAGCGGTTCCATGTCTTTCTTGGGCAACAGGTCATAGTACATGGCGACGGTGATGAAGTGGACAAAGCAGCTGTTGAGGTCAAGGTGGCGGTTGATGTGCCAGAAAGGATGATCCCAGTGGCAATGGTACAAATGAGCGTAGCATCGGAACATCTGCTTGATGATACTCTTGACATCCTGGTGGAAGTTCTGGGGGAACCCGGATGACTTGCCAATCCACTCATCCTGGTTGCCAGCAAGGGTGGTCAGAGACTGATTGCTAGGTCCGGCCGGGATAGGAGTCGTGGCTGCGGAGCCTGGCGTCGAACTGGTATCTCCCGACGCGTATGCCGTGCTAGAAACACTTGGTGGTGGCTCGGTAGGGAAGATTTTCTCGTCGTGGATCTTGCCCACGATCCACCGTTGCACTCGAACGATGTATTGCGGTGCGGGAATCTTGGCCGGTCGTCCATTTTCGAGCCAGGTGTACGTGAGACTGCAAGCTATATGAGTATCATCTGCCCATCTCTTGGAGTCAAAGGTGACAAGACATACCGTCCAGCAGACATGGTTGGGCAGCCGACTTCATTGCAAAGAGGCATTCCAGTGTTGGTGTCCACCTCCTGAATGACCAGGATCATGCTTGTGAGCAATCGATTCATTTCCACCACTGTAAACAATCAATTAGCTTTGCCCAAGTGAGACGAGGCATGCGGAGGGAACCAACACTGGTGAGCCAGCCACTCCCCGAGTTCGACATTCTTGGGTTGCGCGGCCAATGTCAGGAAGTTGCCTTTGACCGAACACTTTGCGTATTTCTCATTCAAGAACTTCTTCGGTTCTTGTTCGACGTATGCATTCTCTTGACTGTAGTTGGACGACATAGAGGGGGAGTTCGCGAGGGTAGGCATAGGAGGTGCTTGCTGGAGGTTGGGCGACTGCGATCCGTTGTATTGGGCCTTGAGATTTTGGGTACTCTTCGTATTGCCCCGAGTGAACCCCTGACGACTGATTTCAGGTTAGCATTGGGTTCTAGGGAAGTTGTTTACCGGGGAGACATTGCATGAGTTAGTAGTTTTTGCCGTATTTCGTCTGGGCTGCAGAGAACGCAACACAGGGGGTAGAAACAGGGGCGGTGGGTGTGCAGACGGACGAGTAGTAGGAGGCCATTACTTACACGCTCTGAAAGAAGGTCGCCATGTCGGCGGCGAAAAAACTGTGCACGCGATCTAGCCTTAACAGTGATCAACGACAAATGAGAAGGACGCGATGGTTTGGGTGAAACTGTACGATCGAGGTGAAGTAAACTTGAAGTTGAGTTGACGGTTGAGACTCAGGATCTGGACTCCAGACTCTCAAGGATCATATGAAAGTCGGAGACAGCGCCAGGGCGCCAATCAAATCCCGTGTTCGCGGGTTAAACACGACCTTTTTCCCCCTGGGGCAACTGAGCCGAACATCTACGCTAACCTTTTTCGGGCGTGATATCGCGCTTCGACATCCTCACTCAAGAAATCCAGCCAAAAGAACTCGCAGCACGCAGGCAGTTGTCTGGCAGTCCCTCTCTGACATCTCGTTGTGGTGTGTGCAGTTGGATACCTATCTTCCTTCTCGCCTACATCTCCCTCTACTCTGTCTCATCTTCCTTCTCATCTACATCTCCCTTTATTTCTATTTCTGAGCTGGCTGCAAACACACTACCTACCACCTGCGCTTTTGCACAGGCTCACTCAAGATGTCTGCGGAGGAGGACTCTGCGCACCAGGCCAGAGATTTTGAGAATGAAGGTTCGCCACATAGTTTGAACGGTGACACTGCCCTGGACGATGACGGCGACCTTTTCGGCGACGACGATGATGAGCTTGACCAAGACATCAATGAGTGAGCCGATCTGGCGCATTCTCCCACGCAGCTGCTAACATCTGAAGCTCGCATCGAAAACTCGACGACTCGGAACTCGACTCCGGTGACGATGAAGGCCGGACAGACCGCGTCGCCACGACCGTTGAAGATCATGACGAAGAATTGGATGAAGAGCAAAAGCAATTGAAGCTGTTGGATGTGGACCTTGCTAGAGTCAACCCACCGGAGGGGCAAGAGGTACGAATACACAGACTATGCACACAGTCGCATGCTTTGCTCTTAGCAATACGGTATGCTGACATGTTTTCCAGCTGTACTTGCTCACCATGCCTCCCTTTCTGGGCGTCAAACACCGCAACTTCGTCCCTGCAACCTACGAACCTCCGACGGCACCACACGACGGACGTGATCCCGAAACCGACCCGACCGCCAAGTTTTCTGCATTTTCCACCGCCGCCAGCACGATCTTCTGGCGCCGCGACCCCAAGAACCCGGAGCTGCTGCAATCAAACTCGCGCATTGTTCGGTGGTCCGACGGAAGCTTGACTCTGCAAATCGCCTCGTCACCAAAGGACCACTACCGAATTTCCACCACTGCCCTAAGACAATCCTGGCCTAAGAAGTCGGGAGCGTCTCAGTCGGACTATGACGCAAACAAGGACTCGCACAACTACCTGGCTGCACCACACATGACGGCCGGCGTGGACCTGCAGATCATGGCGCCCTTTGATGCGTCCATGAAAATCCAGCCGACCGGCGATCTGGCAGATGAATCGGTGTTGAAGCTGCAGCAATCTTTGGCCGCGGCAACCCAGATGCACGACCCTCTAGCCAACTTGAAACAAGTCAAAGAAGATCCCGAGTTGGCCAAGAAAGCCGCGGAAATGTTCGAAAAGGAACGGACTCGGGCAAGCCGCAAACGCGAGGCTGCCGAAGACCGGCTGCTGATGCGCAAGGATCGTGTATTGGGCCGCGCCGGACTTGGACGGTATGGAGGGGCAGGGCTCAGTGTGGCAGGGCTCGAAGACGACGATGGCATGCCGCTGGCTCGGGGCAAGAAGAGCGGTGGCATGTCTGCTCGGCGCCGCAAGGTTAACCGCCGCGGCGACATCTATTCCGACGACGAGGACGAGAACATGCCACGGGGCCGAGGCCGGGAAGACGAGTACGACCGCGAGGATGACTTCCTGGCCGCAAGCGACGAAGAACCCGAGATCTACGACGACGAAGAGGGTGGAGAAGAACCCGAGGCCGAAGAGGAAGACCCGGACGTGGATGACCTGGAGATCGAAGGGCGTGAAACCGTCATCGAGAACCGTACTCGTGGCGGCAATGAGCGGGATGGACGCGAGAGAGATCGCGACCGCGGCCGCGATAGAGGATCGACGCCGAAACGTTCGGCCAGCGACGATGATGACGGTCAAACCGAAGGCCAGCAGGCCCAAGGTGACGCTGCCGCCGCCCCAGGAGGCACACCACAAGCCAGGAAGAAGAGACGTGTCATTGACGACGATGAGGACGAGGAATGAAAACAACAACTGCCGGTTTGCATCTTTTCCCCCACATCATTCCCCTGGGGGCAATGTGTTCCTGCTCTCTGCCATAGCAAGCTTTACATACGACAGTATTTTGCAAATGATACTATTTCCTGGGTTTCTACTATTACTTTCTACCTACTGCAGAGAGTGAGTGAGTGAGCGGTGATGGCTGGGTGGCTTGCAGCCCCTATTTGAATTCAAGTCGTTGGCGTCCATGAGGCAGGACTCGGAATCAAAGAAACGGCAGACCCTGAAACTGAACCAGAACCAATACAATTACAGTAGTACACGACCCAAGCCTCTGCAAAACTGGCTGGCTACCTAGGTACCTAGGTACAGTAGTTTCAAGCTGTTATGTATCGTCCTGGTGCAGCGCAGGGCAGTGAGTTTAAGAAGCATCCAGCCTTCTTCGATACCTAGCAATATTTAGGAAAGGAAACCTGGGCCCTGGCAAGACGGCGTTCAGTGTGGTACGACGCGGCACTAGCCCGGCGCTACGTATGGCTGCTGTTGGGATCTCGATCATGAAGGTCAGTACAACTTGAGCAGTGCCGAGGGTCAGACACGGTACAACGCGCGGTTGATTAACTGTTATGTTATTCATCAGACTCAACGCAGTCGCATAGCCTCTGAAAACCAAAGACAGCAAGAGAATATATCATGTCATAATCGTGCTTAGCACATAGCATTTGTGTTTGCTATCTGATAGTAACATGAAAAATCCATCGCCCAAAAAGGTATATAGTACACAAACATCCAAGAGCCCTAACTCTTTCGCTCTTTTACATAGTATATTATTGGGACATATCGTTTAGTCACCAAGGCCAGCCTTGCCATCACCATCAGCATCCTTCCGCGGGTTCAGACGGTCAATCAAGCTCGGCTTGGTCTTCTCGTGCGAGCCAACTTGATCGACACCACGGTTCAGGCCAGACTCGCGGCTCGTGGAATCGGTGGTACCGAAGTTGTCGCCGCGGCGACCCTCAACGCCTCCGACACCAGTTCCGGTGTGGTGAGTACTGCCAACTCCAGTGCCTCCAACACCGGTGCCGGTGTGGTGAGAGCCTTCCACACCAGTTCCGTGCTGGTGGTGCGTGCCAACACCACCGACACCAGTCTCCGTGGTGTGGTGGGTGTTGTGAGTACCAGTAATGCCAGTAGTACCAGTGGTACCAGTAGTGCCAGTAGTACCGGTAGTACCGGTGGTGTGGTGGCCGGTGTGGCGTTCACCTTCTGCAAAACCAAGCTCTTTCAGGTCGGTCTTGAGCTTATCGTTGTATGGGCGTGGCGGACCATCGTACTCCTCGTGGCTCTCGTGTTTGCCGCCAGAGATGACGCCACCGGATCTCTTAAACTCCTCGAGCGTCTTGGTGGGGAGAGCAGAAAGTCCGTGATGCTCACTAGCAGCGTGATGCTTCCTGTGGCCGGAGTTAGCAACTGTACACACAAGACAATCTGATAAGAGTCGACTTACTCATGAACAGGAATGGTAGTATGGACAACCTCAGGTTGGATGGTTTCCTTCTGAACGACGGGCACAACAGTCTCGTGCACGTGGTGGTGGACATGCTCGCCAGTGACAGCGGGAGCGGCAGATCGTGTCTCGTGGACGTTCTCGACTCTCTTGGTGTCCTTGAAGGCACCTAGCTCAGACTCCAGCTTGCGTCTGGCCTCGCCCTCATTCTCGTGGTGGAATTCTCGGTGCTCCGTGGGAAGCACATTGTGGACATGCTTCTCTGGGAGTTGTTCCTTGTGCTCAAGGGGCTGGACAGTGGTGTGGTAGTGGTGTTGGTGGACCTCACGGTCAACGGCTTGTTGGGCCTCTTCGTGTCGGACCGGCTTGACAGTCTCCTTGACGACGGCGGGCTGGACTGTCTCATCCACAGTGGTGTGATGACCTCGGTGAGAGGTGAATTTGTTCACGGCGGCTTTGGCAGCTTCCATCTTTGCGATATGAATAACTCAAAATTTTAAAAAAAGCTCAAGTCAAAATGTTCTTCAATGTTGGTTTGGGTATCGAAGTTGTTGATGTCGAACTGAAAGACACGGGAAGGCAAGCTGATTTTATGCTTTCCAGACGGTCACTTTGCACCCCCTCTGATGTCGACATGGGTATGAGATAATGCGCACCATAGCTGCCAAAGGCCGTGATATCATCCTGGAGACCCCCGGTCCCGGCGAACCACTGATATTGAGACTTGCAGAGCGACAAACAGGAAACATGCGCTTGATCGATTGGTGGTGGATCGTGCCTATCTCACCCGTCTCCATTCTCAAGTCGATCTAGATTTGGGGGGCTTAAGCACTTACCCATATTGGTGTTCAATATTGAGGTCATATCCAGACCCTGGCCTGTGCCACACAAAGAGAGTTGAACACTGAGGTCACAAAAGCTCACCAAAGCCCACCGAATTCGCCGGGAACGGACTGCTTTCTTGAAAACATGGTGCTACGTGCTGCAGTGCTGCACTGGCCCACAGCTGAGGAAACAATAACAGCCACAATATTCATGCCACTGGCATGGAAGTTGGCAGCATGACCAAACTGACATATTGAAGTCAGTTCTGAGATGTGCCCATCGATCATGGCGGGAGGCTACGCAAAGCATCCACTTCCCGAACGTGGGATGGGGAATGACGAGATCGACTCGAAAAGGACGCCATAGCAGCTGTTGCACTGTCTGGGTGCGTCATGAGCGTTGAATTATGATGCTGGAAAGCTGAGGAGTTGCTGCTGAGCTGTGGCGAGCGGGTCGGAAGAGGTCAAAGCTACCGACTTGTTTGACTGAGATTGACATGATCTTTTGAGGAGCAAAGCCACAGCCAGGGTACCCCTGGCCCAGTTCCTGCTCAGAGCCTGGCCCACAATTGGTCGTGAGGCAGACCAGGAGTGAAAAATTGGTCGAGTCTGACAACAACCTTATTTGAGATGTGGCCGAAGCTGTCCTCAGGTCTCCCCATTGGGGCTGTTTACTGGCTTCGTCAGACCACCCGGATGAACCATCTGATGCTTGATTGCGAGTCTATCGTAGTAGCTCCTTCAAGCGAAGCCCACTGCTCCTAGTACTGATCGGGGCCCTCGGACAACCACCCTTCCGGGGGACCAGTGGCCAGGGCTACACCGTAGTAGTTCTGCTCCTGTGGGCTTGACCAAGGCTGCCGTGCATAACAGATTGTGCCACAACCAATCGCTTGACTCAAGTTGAGTGGCCTTTGGCTGCATGGCTGACAGACTATACTCTGTCTGGCTCGTGTCTACCCGGCCATTCTCTTCCCAGACGCTCCAGATGCTGGCCTCGTGGGTTCATTCCTGCGAACAGGAGGCGATCCGGCTCGCGTATGAAGCCAAGGCGGTGGGAGATTTCTCTTTTCGGGCCCCTGGTTCCTGTGTGAACCAGGCAGTGCCATGGAGGGAAGAAAGGGGAGGAAACTGTGGCGCGTAGTACGTACTACAGTCGGTGAGGCCCGAGTACACTGTAAACTTGGTTGGCCCTCCCACAAGCGCGACCTGGACTCGACTCCAGCTTTTGCGGGCATTTCGGCGCCGTGCGTTCTGGAAACGAATCACCAGGGCTGAACTGGCAATCAAGATGTCACTGACAGCGGCTAACCAGCGTGACCGGAGCGTCCAGGACCAGGCGTTGAGGTCAAGTGGCACAGAAACGGGAGACGTGGATTCTGCGCAGCGTCACGGGCTTCAACTTCCATACGTCATGCAGCAGGATTCTTTGCGCACTGTCGGTGGCAGCTCGAACTCGCGTGGCCGGCGACGCAGCAGCAGAGGAGACCAGCAGCAGCAGCACCAACACCACCACCAGCAGACTAGGCTGCATCTCCAGCTCCAGCTCCAGCCTGGCGAGCACCATCGCAGTCTGAGCTTCAATCCAGGTAGTCATAGTACGACGGCACACTCTTTTCGTCCCTCCTCGGGCCCAGAACAGGCTCTCGTACGGCCAAGCTCGCCGTTAACTACCAGCACCACCACCACTGATCATGCTGGTGTCCTTCGTTCCCGTCGTTCTCGTTCTCAATCCAGGAATCGTCTCCAGAAACGCCCTTCGTCGCGAACCCTAAGGAATTCGGCCAGCACCCCGGCTATGGCCCACGCCTCTTCCACGCCGCACGCACAATCGCTCGATTCAAGTTCTCAGGGTCTCACCGCCTTGCCTCAGCTGCCTGAGCAAGTGATTCCTCAGCGATCCTCTTCCCTGCGCAAAAAGTCCCGTCCTTTGACTGCAGACCAGCCCCTCTTGACCAGAGAAGAGCCTGAAGCCGTCAACGACCGCAGGATTGCATCAGCTCCCAACGGCATCCTTTCCTTAAGACCCAAACATACTGCCTCTGAAGCGCCAGCAGAGAGTGAATCCCGAAGAGAGTCGTCACCTTCATCTCCAGCCCGTTCCACCAGCCCTACATACCAAACTTCACCAGTTGCCGGCCAGAGGGCACCGCGCCATCTACCTCTAGCACCAAACGATCCCTCTCCCTTGAACCCTCTATACTATACTCCATCGTCTTCGAGCACGCCCAAGAAGCAATCTACAATGTCGTCTTCGGATCCTGGCAACTCTCCGCCAGCAGGCAGCAGTAGCCGTGGCAGTGCCTCGCAGTCTCAGCCGACAGGGCAACCAATCGAGCATTCGTATCTCCCACCAGGCTTCAAGCCTGGATATACAGAGCAAACACATGTCGTGGAGACGATACGCCCAGCAGTCACGCAAGAAGTGGTGAAGAACAAAAGAACAGAGATTGTTCAGGAAGAGATCACGCGACATATCCACGTCCATCATTACTATACATACATTCAACCGATCAGGGTTGTGGAAGTGCTGCCTGCTCGGCATTATACAATCGATGAGAAAACAGGCCAAAAGGTCGAGATCCCAGCACCTGACGGGTGGGAAATGCCTGCTTCGCTGCAGCCCACCAAGCCAGACCTCAGCGGAATTGCGCCAGAGTCTAGGCATTATCTCGTGGACGAGGAGCACCCCAACGGTATCCCTGAGCCACCGCCAGAAGACATCAAGCCCAGGAGCCCACAAGAACTGAAGTCGATAGCTCGCGCTAGCAACACTGCGAAGTGGTCACCGTTCCCCAAAGTGCCGTGACCCCAAAGTGTAAGACCACTTTCTCGAGATGACGCCTATGGCGGGGCCTGAAGGGTACACATTGTTGAGGCAGTCGTACCAGTCGGGGAGGGTATCGTGCTAGCACGAGAGGACGGTCACCGCCTTCCGTCCACCTTGCAAGCCCTCTACTAAGGTCTGGACAAGCTCCCATTATTCTGGCGATCATCTGCCGCTCGTGTTGTTAGAGCGGTGCGAGAATCGAGAACTGTATGAACAGGAAGACGCGACACAGAACACCTGCGTGGATGGGAAGTGACTCGGCGACCCGTCGCGCAGTATACACGAAGCTTTTTATGTATGTTTTGGGGTTTTGCAGCAAAGAGAGAGAACGTCCAATGCAGTCGAATCAACGAGACTCAAAGCAGCCCTCCGTACTTCCTGCCCCGTCTCTCCAGACCATCCTCAGAACCGATGCGTTGCGCTGTGCTCTCCCGCCCACTCGATATACGGGCGCTGCCGGCGTCACTAGACCACATTGCCATCCATATGTCGTCCATAGTGCTTGGGGATGATAATTTCGAATGGGTCTTGTGAACCTCCAACTTCCAGACAGGTGCGAGGAGAACAGCAAGGAAGAGTCGACTAATGAACCCGATGACTGTTAGTGGAGACGAGTACTACGGTTGGAGCTCGGGTGGGATGAGGACTGGGAACAGATGTTGACGTTTTGATTGGATGCATTGTGATCGTGATACTCAGTATTACTTCCTGGCACTGTCTTCTACTAATACCTTATATGAGGCTAGCATTGCTGAATCTCAGGAAGGACCGGAATGCTTATTTAAGTCTATGGCATGCAGTGGTTGTACATACATGTACCAGGGCGGCCTATGTCCCTATTAGTTTGCTATTGTAATACCAAGGAGATAGTAATAGAAGATATAATCTTGGCCAGCACGAGTTTTCGTCTTCTCAGACTCCGAAGCCTTGGATGGCGACAACCCCTTGGAAGCCCCATTGCTACATATGTCGGATGAATGCTGCTACTGATAAAAAGAGAGGTCCTTCGCACCGCAGACGACGACACCAACACTTTGGACCCTAGCCCCTGAAACTCCATGCACAAATTCAACCGATGAACTGACATCAACCTCAGACCTCCCCAGCCCCTCCAACCACTGTAGTCAAGCTTGTCCTTGATAACAGGTCCTGGGGCCACCGTAGGCCTACATAAACATGAGGTACACCAAGACACGGCTTTCGAGCCAGATTCTCAACCCTGCCTGACCTGGTTGACAGGTCACCGATTACGGTCTAGGGGCGTCTGCCTCCAAAGCGTGTCACCACTGAGACGACTGACGCTGGCGCTGAGGTTTCTCCATAAGGATTGTCGTTCCCGTCCGCGCATGTCACCTACTAAAGGGATGTCGACGTCGTGTCCTCTCTCGATGTCTTCGTCAACATCTTCTCGGCCATCTTCCCCTCGACCAAGTGAAGGAATGGGGATCGCGGCACTGGGCTCCTCATTGGCGGTTTGGGCGACACGGTCTTGGACATCGTCGCTCGTCAGCTCATCCCCGCTTTCTCCTTCGTCAGACCTTTCCGTGTTTGCGTGGGCAAGACTCCTAACCACATCGCCTTTGCAGATTGGGCAGGTTCGACGACGGTTCACAAGCCAAGGTGTGATACACTCGGCATGGAATTCATGACCGCAAGGGAGAGACATCACCCGACTCTCGCCATCAACATACTCCTCAAGACAGACAACGCATTCGATCTGGCGACCTGTATATCGCTTGCGCTTGGTGGCTTTGGTTTGCTTCTTCTCTGGTGGACTTTTGGACGGTGACAATGAGCTATCTGTGCTCCCACCGGAAAATATGTCATTCGTTGTCTGCGATCGGGGGCGAGGCCTCTGTTGAACGTTTTGCGAGGCAGACATCAGCAACGGGGATGTGGCCGAAGCGTTATTTGGAGATGCGACTTGCGAAGAAGTGGTCGATGAGGCGGTGGAAATCGTATGGTATGTGCGTACAGGTAGCCGCTCAACCACAGATTTCGGTGCTCGCCATCTTCTCCGCCGAATCCGCGAACGAAGCAGTAATAGTGCATAAACGACCGTCAGAGTCACTAGTGGGCTGACCACCAGCACAAGGAGAGTGTCAAAGAATGGACTAGTCGACACACTGGTAGGTGTAAGAGTGACCCATAGCCCAGGCTGCTGCTCATCTTGTGCCTGTATGTGTTGTGAAGTATCCTTCTCTTTTGGTCCTTGATCATCTTTCTGAGTTTGAGGTGGCGGTTTTTTGGAGATATCCACCGAGTCCTTTGATCTTAGAACATCAAGCCAAGAATTCTTCGACCGAGGCTGTTCCTGAGGCTGCTTAGGCTTGCCATCATGACTCTTTGTCTGCTTCCCGCCTCTCTGAAAGCGGTTTGGTGAATTGGATTTCTCATGATCGTACTCACCGCTCCCTGGAGTAATGCTGCCACCTTTGAGAGTGGCTCCGGGGTCACTTGAAGCTTTTATAGTGTTCGGAGTATCGCCAACAGCATCCTTCAAGTTGGCAGCAGCGCTGGAGGAGCTGGTTGTAGGCTTGGGTGCAACCAAATCGGTATCCCTCCAGTCTTGAACCCCTATCACGAAATCATCTGCCCCAGCACGTTTAGGAGCAGATGTGGATGTGGATCTGGGCTTCGAGGGCGAGGTGGACGTGGTAGCCATGTTGGACGCTGTCTCGGCCGGATTGATGGCATTTGGAGACAAGTCATCGTCCCAGTCCTCCACTAGAATCCAATCGATATTGCCACTACTGGGTGGTCGACGGCTGTCCTCGGCATGGGAGAACGGGGAGTTATCGCCAAGGCCAAGTTTAGAAAGCATGCTATCCATCCAGTTGCTCTCCTTGTCAACAACGTCACCATCAGGGCCACCAGCTGGCACAATGGTCGGGCGCGTGCTGCTGGATTTGGTCGACGTAAAGACTGGCCCATCCCCCTGCAACTTCGGCTTGACGCCTTTATGTGAAATGGGTGAGCCCTGCGAGTGTTTGTCCGACGTCTTGGCTATGGGTTCTTCGTCGTCTCCCACCTCTGGCGGAACAAGGGATGAAAGCAGGTGGGCTGACGTATAAGACGTGAAAACGGCCGGGATCGTAACGTTTGATGTATCACCCTTGGCGTACATTATGGTCAATTGACCTCCTCGCTCGTTGTCCCCGACAATAAGGGCGATGCCCCCACGACGTTGAGCCCATTTCACCTTTTCCAAAAACCCACAGCCACCACGACTAAGCATCACAATCTTCCCCGCAATATCAGCACTCTCTTGCAATGACTCAATGTCGGCGTGCGTGGCCGCTTTGGCCTTGGGCAATGGGTCAGCATTTGCAGGCTCACCCGGTTGGCCAGGGGCGGCAGGGTTTGAATCGGGTAGAGGCCGGTGTAGATAGTCGTCCGTGCCGTCGTCAGCAGGCAACAGGGCATCCACAGCCGGTGAATCCTCAGGGACGGCCTCGTTTGACAAACCATGCTTTTCTAAATCGCGTGGAACATTGATATGACCGTTGTTGACCGAGGGGAGATGTTGTAACTTCTTCGAGGCTTCCTCCTCCCATCCTGGCACATCGGAACAGCCCAATTCCCATCCAACATTGTGAAGGTTTTCCTCTTTCAGTAAAGCATCATCTCCGAATCCCTTGCCCACCCAAAGTTGGCCGCTGAGGCCTCTGGACGGCAAGCTGGGCCCGAATGCAGCGGGCCTGGCGAGAAAGAACGTTGAGTTGTCGTTGGTCAGACTGATGACGGCGGAAGGCGGGAACAGAGAGGATGGCGTCGAGAAGGAGAACAGTGCCCGTAGGCGAGTCGACCTGGTGGTGTACCCTGCATGAAAGGAATCCGCAGCACTTCCATCCGATGAGCAGAAGAGCGTCCAACAGGTCAATACTATAGGCAGTGCGATAAAGAACACCAGCAGCAATAGGAAGCGGAGAGGACGCATGGTAGAGAGGGGTTGAATGGGCAAGAGTCGGAGCCGGAGGTTAAGGAGAGATGGATCGAAACGCCATGCGCCTGGGCGGTGGACACTGCCAGTTGAGCAAAACTGATGTGGCACAGAATCAGGGGACGGATCTCTGCAGAGGGCGAGGTGAGGCTGGTAAATGAAGGTGAAGGTGAACTTGAATTGGATAGAATAGTAGGTAGAGAGACACTTGCTGTGTGTCCCGGGTTCAACACTGCAGCCTGAACCAAGTTTTGCCTCGTGAACGCAGCCTGCCGGACAAGCGAAAGTCACGGTGCAGTAGTACTATGCCAGTGTAGCAGTGACCCCTGCCACCGTTGAAGTCGCCGCCAGCGAAGGAGAGGGACGCCCGAGGCGCGATCACGTGATACGGGATACGAGGGAGCACTGCACTGCAATTGTACATTCATGTAGGACAATACCACACTGCAGTGCTCGTCGTAGCGGATACGTCGCGATCTACGGGTATTTTGATGACCTCGAACCGGTGGAAGTTTTGCATGTCGTGGATGAGCCCCGTCGTCAATCCTATGTGCTTTAAAGCTACAGGTGCTTTACTACCTAGCCGGACAACTACCATGCTACCTAGGTCGGCACGTTCCTTGCCTGTATGTTCTAGATATCAATTGTGATATCCGCAAAACTGCCAATGGCTCTTCCAACCTTGCTTGTTTGCTGGGTTTCTAACCAGTCTCGAGTTCCAATCTAGTACACAGGTTAGTTGTACGCAGTTGGAAGGCTGAATATAGTCGTATCAGAGAGGAGACAATCTCGGATACAACCTTACTACTGTCTTTGAAGATCTTCTAGGTGAACGCGCGTTCGACAGTAATGTGGATGTTGACAGTGACCCGCTTTATCCTATTTATTATTTTAGTTCGTTCTATGACAGATGTATCTAACAGTCTGAAAAAAAGAGCGTACGAAGCCCACACTAATCACTACTATTGTACATTGTACATAGTACTTCCGGATGCCCCACCGATCGAACCGTGAAGCTGGGGATTGGAGTCCAGAAGCGTGAAAGCTCTCGGGTCTTGGGCTAGCTCCGGTCGATATGTTATCCGTTAGGCACACGTTTGGCGACAACGTCCAGCTAACCAGGGCGGAGGACTTGCCACTCAGGCGGCGACGAGCGGGAGCCATCAGGACGCCATGCCTAATCGATGGCTGCAGATGGGGTCGTTAGGGGTCCCATCTGCCCATTTCATCGTGCCAACGTCGACTCTTGGGCCCATCACAACGCGCCATCCCCGTCTGCGGCGTCGATCCCTTGTTCATTCTTTCGAACTCCATCATGCTCCCGCCGTCATCTCATACATTTTTGGTCCTTTGATAGCGTGCATGTCCCGTCTTCGCCGCCCACCCAGGGCTCAGCCTGCCTCCCTCGAAGCTGAGAATCCGTCATGACACGTCGTTGATGAGCTATCCCTGCTTAACGTCTCCCATGGAACCCTCCCGCCGCGGGAGAGCTTCTGTGTTTCTAATGCGTAGCATGCTGTTCTCGCCGGAAGTTTCTCACTGGGCTAACTCCATAGATATTGCTCCATTGGATACTGACGAAGCCTGACTGCTTAAAGATTCGGGCATTCCCCAGAAAGCGTGGCACACATCGCAGGCTGAGTTTCGTGCTTGAAGCGCTCCTTCCCCTCGCTCAGAGCCCAGCCGCTCCTTCCTGGAGGCCAGACCGCTGTGTGCCAGTATACCTAGGTAACTTCCAGTGCAGTCACGGACGGCGGCTAGTACTAGTACTATGGATAACCTTCAAGCAAAGCCCGGCTTCCTGCCTGGAGTCTTTCACAAGAGAGGCAGAAGAGGCAAAGGAAAAGAACCCACTCCAGAAGAGGACGAGAAGATGCCACAGCCAAAACCAAGTCGGTTGTTCACGAGCTTGCCAGATGGCCCTCGAAACCACTTCGTCGCCATGGCCGGCGAATTCGTTGGCACCTTTCTGTTCTTGTCAGTACCTAAGTCAGGGTTGTTCGACAGCGAGACACTGATCACGCTTTACAGGTTTTTTGCGTTCGCGGGTACCCAAGTAGCGAACACTCCTCAGACGACGACTGGTAGTACCAGCACCAATCTGCCCCAAGGTCCAAACCCTGCCCAGCTCCTTTACATCAGCCTCTGCTTCGGCTTTTCCCTTGCCGTGAACGCCTGGATCTTTTATAGAATCTCGGGTGGGCTCTTCAACCCGGCTGTCAGTGGGCAAGACTCGATCTTCATGAGGTGGCGTTGACAAGATGCAGGTTACCCTAGGTCTGTGCTTGATTGGTGCAGTTCCTTTCCTTCGAGGAGGCTTGGTTTTCATCGCTCAAATGTTGGGTGCCATGGCGTCGGCAGGAGTGGTCAAAGCTCTGTTCCCAGGTCCTCTGGCTGTGACAACTTCTCTTAGTGGGGGGACCAGCAAAGCACAGGGGCTCTTCATCGAAATGGTCAGTTCACCACCGGCATTTCTTGGGAGATTCTAAACATGAGAACAGTTCCTTACGGCCCAGCTCGTCTTTACGATCTTCATGCTAGCTGTGAGTTGTGACCCTCAATAGGCGATAGATAGTTGCTTTGCTAACAACCTCGATTTCAAGGCTGAGAAGCACAAGGGGACATTCCTAGCTCCGGTCGGTATTGGCTTGTCTTTGTTCATCGCTGAATTGGCTGGTAAGAACGCCCCTTATTGTTGTATACCCAGCTCATCACTGAAGGGGTCTACTACACGGGCGGCTCTCTGAATCCAGCTCGGAGCTTCGGTCCTTGCGTTGCCAACCGCTTTTTCCCAAGCGAACACTGGATATACTGGGTTGGCCCGTTCCTTGGGACTCTCATCGCTTCCGGCTTCTTTTGGTTCATCAAAGCCGCCGAATACCAAACCGCCAACCCTGGTCAAGACTTTGACGATCTTGAAGCTAGCGCGTACCATCCGGAGGAAGATCTGACCCGGCCAGTTGTTAGTCCCACAGCCGTGCTCGAACCTGTCTCATCCCGCGATGGTGCCTCAAGGAATTCCAAGGACGGTCGGTCCAACTCGCTGTTGCCCGCTTGCGCTCCATATGACGGGATTGACTCTGGTGAAGTCCACCATGGTGATTTTGATGGTTCGGCACCAGTTCACCAGAGAACCACACTCGGTCCGTAAGTTCCGCCTTTCCTCAACGGCGCGGGTTATTGGACGATGGACGACAGTGGTTTCGCCGCCTCGTCTCCCTAGCACGATTTCCAAGCCAATCTTCCATTGTACGACAATTTGATTTGAAGCAAGGGGTTCGGTATGCTCTCTTTACGCTTGGTCGATTCTTTGAGCGTGTGGGCCTAGAGTCAGTACAAGAGATCATTTCTGAGCCGTTGCTACCTGCATTATTCTCATTGCATGATAAGAAGACCAGGCGTCGCATTGGGTGGGAGTCACGGTATCACGGAAAAGCAGTCTGACATTAAGGTTGTAAGGTACATCGGCTGTGATATAGTAATACAGTTATTCTACAGCCGCTTTTGGCAGACTATGGTCCATGAAACTCTGCGTCTCATCCTATGCCAAGATGCTGCGACACAAATTCAGGTCAAGACTCGAGTGCTCTCCAACGTGAGCTGAAGCTGGAACACAAGCGACTCAAGGCGCTAAGGTCCTTCTCGGGCCATGAGGCATTATATGATGGCCCCAGTATTTAGGCTTTGCCTGCAGCTCCATTGCCACATTGTCCAAATGTGGTGTATTGCACCATCAACGACGACGATGGCCCTTGTCAATGAGGCGGTGGGAGATCCACCGACCTCGCAAGAGGTCCCCTGACAATAAGTGCCCAGGAATCTCGCATTCTGATTTGCACGAGACTGGGGACAACCTAGACATATTCTAAGTGCGGGAGTGGCAGGCTGGCGCTTGTTTCCATTTGAGATTGACGCCGTTGCTGCGTGAGCCTATGTACCGTCCCTTTATAACAGTTTGTCCGCTGGACAATTTGTGCCACGCCGGAATCCTGGATTGCTCAGAGTGAGCTCGGTGTATCGAATGGAAGAGAGGCTCCAGAGGATCCACAAGATTGGTCCTCCAGCCCCATTGCACGCGCTCATGCATATTCCACAAGTCCAAGGCTCCATTTCAGCTTCCACCTTGTATGACATATGTGGCATCCGGTGCACAATCTTTGATGGGTGGCATCATCTGTAGTGTAGGAATGAGTCGACCATGTTTCCAAGCGCTCAAAGGGCGCGTACATGAGGGATTAACCTGTAAGAGGTCGAGCAGTTGTCGGCGTCTCTCACGACCTGTACTTATTGTGAATCTGTCGAATCTGCTCTTGTACATTCGGGGGTTGCTGTCCTGGCGGAATGCCCGCCGCACCAGGAGGATACATGGCAGGATTCGCTGCCCCATCCGCCGGCGGAGCTCCCGCTGCACCACCGTCATAACGCATTCTTTTCCGCCTTTCTTCTTCTTCTTGCTCTCCCAGAACCCGCGCAGCCGCCTCGGCTACTGGGTCTGCCGAGGCGCCGGTCCCGTCAGTTCTAGCCCGCAGCCGCTTCAGGTTCGCAGCGACGTCGGTGCCGCCCAGGTTGGTGGTGGAGAATCGTGAAGTGGCTTTGGCCTGCTGCTCCTTCCAGCGCGGGTCGAGCAGTTCGATCCGCAAGTGCGCGTCCAGCTCGGCCACGGGGATCTGTTGGCCACAGTTGGGACATAAGGCCGTGGCAGCACGGGCGGCGCGTTGTTGGGCGCGAGGGACATAGTCTGATTTGATCCGCATGGGAGGCTGGCCGGGAATTTGAGCCTGTGCCTGAGCGGGAATAGGGGCATGAGCTGGGGATGGCGTTGATTGTGGAGGGGGCTGTTGCTGGGGTTGTTGAGGAGAAGGAACTGGCATAGCTGCGTTTGGTGCTGGAGAAGGTGCGTAAGGGGCGGGCATGGGTGGTTCAGGAGCCCAGCCATTGCTTTGTGGATGCGGTTGAGATTGAGGTTGTGCTTGTGCATATTGTTCATTGTTGTAGTCACCTGCTGCTGGTGGATAGGAGGCGTAGCCATTCATGTCGTCCGTAGGCATGGCTTCTTCGATACGCATGTCAGGCCGAGAGAGACTCATCATTGCTTTCTGCTCCAGACTGGCGCTTTGGAGGTCGTTCAGCGTGGTGGGAGGAGGCAGTTCGGCCTGTTCATCGGCCTCAGTGAACAAGACCGTCTCCACGACCACGAAGTCGTGCCAGTCAATCTGAGCATATGCCAAGCGTTCCGCCTCTTCTTCCTCTTCCTTCTTTTGCTTCTGGGTCTCCTGCCACTTGACGTACTCTGCGCGCTTCTTTGCGAGGTTGAGAGCCCGGAACCGGTCTTGGAGGTTGGCCTGGAGCACCTGGATGCGCGCCTGCTCGGCCTTCTGGCCTTCTGGTCCCGTCTGCAGGAGTATTGTGTATTGATCAACCAGCCGTTGAAAGAAGTTGTACAGCGAATGTTGTGGTCGGAGAAAGTCAAACTGGAAGTTCCTCGCTTCTCGCTGGGATAGGGCCGTCATCCAGCCCTTGCCTTTGCGCGCCACGTGCAGAGCAGTCAACTTGACCACTTCAAGATCCTGGGCGCTGATATTCGGCATCCGCGCACTGAACTGGAACTCTGGGGGCGGTTCGGGCCCTTTGGGCTTTTCGGGCACAGGTGTGGCGTCTCCAGCTCTTCCTGCCGATACTGCCGTTCCTCGCCCTGCTCGTACCTCGGACAAGCGCCATTGATAGAAGGGTGCGTAGGCGTCGTTGGGTGCAAGAAAGGAAAATTTGGGATTAGACTGTTCCTTGTCGCGGATGCGGTCTTCGAAAACGGGCCCGTTTCGTGCCACATAACCGGCCGTCTTTTCGATGATCGCTCGAATATCTTTTGGCGGAAGAACAATCCCCTCAGGAGGTTTTGACGCCGACTCTGGCAATTCCGGAACTGCTCCATTCTGAGCCATTTTGAGGGAGGCGTGAGTGCCCGGTGCACCAGAGCGGGAATGCCTCGAGATTTCTGGCTGTCTTGATGTGTAGTATGCCCGCTTGTTTAAATTTCCAGCTTTGTCTGATACTGGCTGAAGCGGGATTTAACGTAGGGACTCGGTTGCTGTGCAAAAGGGTTTGAAGGTTATCAGCTGCATTCACCAGCATGCGGAGTGGTTAATGGCTGTCCTGAGAGGTGCCTTGTCTGGAGAACTGAGAGACCTGCGAAATTCTGGAGTAGGAACCTGCTGCCAGTGTGGCTGTCACTTACAGCACCACGTAGTGAGTGGCTGATGCGCAGGCTTCAAATGCCGTGCACTCCAAGTGCCTGGTGCGTCGCCGTACAGAAACGCGAAATCTTTACTTAGAAACGCGCATGTGCCTTGACAGGAGCGACGTGGATACCTGGATTTGTGTGAGCGCAGTCTGTACGTGCAACTCCCACCACCGCGAACTCCAGCTACCGCCAACTGACAGACTGCTAATGTGCTAGTGTGCAGCTGCGGAGGCACAACGAACAACTTGTCCTGTCTGTCTGTTACTCCTGAGATTCTCAATCCAGCTGCCATTCCCCCCTTCGCCTTTTCTTCCTTTCATGTTCTGTTTTAATCCTCTTGTCGAGGTCGCTTGACCGTTCAGGAGTTTATTTCTTCCTTCCAGTCTTTCTTTCACCGAATTTCTCCTTCTCCGGGGCTGATTAACTGTCGGGCCTGATCGTCCCTGGCCAGCCTTTACTCCAACTTTGACAGGCCACACGCGGCTGATTTAAAGCCGCTCTGTCGACGTCCGGACGGATCTTAAGATCTTCAGGATGGCGTACGCTCCGTCGCGAAAGGCTGCGGCCTCGCAGAAAGGAAACCCTCCTCCTCCGCCGAAAGACAAAGCTGTCACGCTACCGGCCTCCTCAAAGAGTTATGCATCAGAAGGAGTTACAGACAACGACGTCTTCCTCCTACCGGCCTCTGACTACCAGATCATGGGGCTGCTGACTGTTGTGGCATGCGTGGTCCGCCTGTTCAGAATCTACCAGCCCAGCAGTGTGGTCTTCGATGAAGTCCAGTGAGTTGAGGAAGAGATGCATGACTAGAAAGTGCGCTGACCAAATAACAGCTTCGGTGGCTTCGCGACCAAATATATCAAGGGCAAATTCTTCATGGACGTCCATCCTCCTCTGGCAAAACTTCTTATTACTCTCGCTGGCTGGGCCGCAGGTTTCAAGGGCGATTTCGACTTCAAAGACATTGGAAAGGACTACCTGGAACCTGGGGTGCCATATGTTTCAATGCGGTTGTTGCCGGCTGTGCTTGGGGTTCTGACTATCCCGACCATGTTTTTGACCCTGAAGGCCTCCGGGTGTAGGACAGTTACGGCAGGCCTGGGAGCTGCACTTTTGATCTTTGAAAATGGCCTGGTGACACAGTCGCGACTGATTCTCTTGGATTCCCCTCTCGTTATCTGCACCGCGTTTACTGCCCTTGCTTGGACTTGCTTCACCAACCAGCATGAGCTGGGTCCCGATCGAGCGTTCGATGCCAGCTGGTGGTTCTGGCTGGTAGCCACAGGTCTTGGTCTTGGGGCCACGGTCAGTGTGAAATGGGTCGGTCTCTTCACGATTGCCTGGGTTGGCAGCTTGACGGTTCTGCAACTGTGGGTATTGCTCGGCGACCATGTCAATGTCACGCCGAGAAAGTGGTTCAAACACTTTTTCGCACGAGTCTTCTGCCTCATCGTCATTCCGGTTGCCTTTTATGTCGGCATGTTTGGCATTCACTTCATGTGCTTGGTCAATCCTGGAGATGGCGATGGCTTCATGTCGTCCGAATTCCAAGCGACGTTGAACAACAAAGGCATGGCGGACACCCCGGCAGACGTAGCATTCGGCAGCGAGGTGACGCTTCGACATCACAACACCCAAGGTGGATATCTTCATTCTCACCCACATATGTATCCAACTGGAAGCAAGCAACAGCAAGTCACGCTCTATCCTCACAAGGATGAGAACAATATCTTCCTGATCGAGAACCAGACTCAGCCCATCACCGCTGATAACGTCACCATTCCAGGACCTCGTGCCTGGGCGGATTTGCCCCCGACCTGGGTGAAGGACGGGGATGTTATCAAGCTCTACCACATCATGACCCACCGACGTATCCATTCTCACGATGTGCGACCCCCCATCACTGAGGCGGAGTGGCAGAATGAAGTTAGTGCGTACGGGTATGAAGGATTCGAGGGAGATGCCAATGATTTGTTCAGAGTGGAGATCGTGAAGTCCATGTCCGATGGCGAGGAGGCCAAGACGCGATTGAGGACGATCCAAACCAAGTTCAAGCTCGTTCATGTGATGACCGGTTGTGTGCTGTTTTCCCACAAAGTGAAACTGCCCGACTGGGGGTTTGAGCAACAGGAGGTGACCTGTGCCAAAGGAGGCACCTTGCCCAACAGCGTCTGGTATATTGAGCAAAACTGGCATCCGAAACTGGGCGACGACGCCGAGAAGGTCAATTACAGAAACCCCGGCTTTTTGGGCAAATTCTGGGAATTGCAGAAGGTCATGTGGAAGACCAATGCCGGCCTCGTCGAGTCACATGCTTGGGACTCTCGACCGAGTTCGTGGCCGATCCTGAGACGTGGTATCAACTTCTGGGGCAAAGACCATCGTCAAATCTATCTCCTCGGAAACCCTGCGATTTGGTGGCCCTCGACGCTGGCGATTCTGACCTATGCCATCTTCAAAGTCATTGCGATTTTGCGTTGGCAGCGTGGCTGTGATGATTACTCCAACGTCAATTTCAAGCGGTTTGACTATGAAATCGGACAAACTGTACTCGGTTGGGCGTTCCACTACTTCCCCTTTTACCTCATGGCACGACAATTGTTTTTGCACCACTACTTTCCGGCGCTTTATTTCGCAATCATGGCTATGTGCCAGATTTTCGATTTTGTCACCAACCGGATTGCCTTTTTCGGGCTCAAGAAGTATCCAGAGATTGGCCGCACCCTTGCTGCGTTGTTCGTCGCCTTTGCCATCGTCGTATTTACCTTGTATGCCCCATTAGCATACGGTAATCCCTGGACGCAAGATCAGTGCCGAAAGGTCAAGCTATTCGACACTTGGGACTTTGATTGCAATACTTTCCACACCGATGTGAGTTGATAGGATGTCTTCCTCATGGGTGTATGTAACTGACTCTTGACAGTATGCGAAATACTCAACGCCTCTTCCGCCATATGATCAGCTCATTCCCACGGTGCCGACTGCGCAGGTGGCATCGGAGCGCAAAGAAGACGCTTCCGCCGTCACTCCTCAAGTAGGTGAAGGCAGTGTCATCGCAAAAGAAGAGCATGTGGAGTATCGTGATCAAGATGGCAACTTGTTGGACGAAGCGCAAGTTGCTGCTTTGATGGCCGAAGGCAAGGCATCTTTCCAGACCAAATATGAGACACGTACGAGGATGGTGGATGAGTATGGCAACGAAGTCAATCCATCGGGAGTTGCACCAGAACACCCGGATGCAGAGGGACAAAATCCCTCGACCAGAGGAGTTCCAGAGGACCAAGCTAGAAGCCAACCTCCGGATGTCAACGCAGGCGGCTCGGTAAAGAAAGGAGATGATGGAAAAGCAAAGCCTGCCAGTGACGCGAGCGAGGCAACGAAATAGATGATACGAACAGGAGCACGGAGCGAGAAAGGCGTGTGGGAAAAGGCAATCTGAGGAATTGTAATACATAGAAAAAGGACTATGTGCACCTGCGACGATATGAACACTGTTACAGTAGAAAGGTACTTCTGTGATGGAAACGAGAGCTAGCAAGCGTCGATTGCAGTGGCTGTGTGTGTAGAAGGGGATTGTTCGTGTGTACCTAGGTATGCAGTGTGTGTACCTAGGCGTGTAGGAAGTAACCGCAGCGCAGTGTGTCTCATCAGCAGTGGGAAACAGGCGGCGTCCGACTTTCAGCAAGTGAAGTAAATAAATAAGCGGCGCTTCAGGGTCCCGCCGAACAAGTCGAATCGCGCCAGCAACGCAACGCAACCAAAACACGGCCTCAGGCTCAACCCTTCAAGTCCTCTACCGCTAACTAGTTGCACAGTACTGTACCACTGCATCGCGCTGCTCCAACCATCACCTCCATCGTCTTCATCACCTTGCAGCCGCGTTTTCATTCCTGTCCGCCTTGTTTTTATCTGGCATTTTCCAACCGAAGCCGCCGTGTGCCCGCTGTTTATTTCTACCTGCGCCTGCGTTCGTTTTATTTTGCTACTAGTACAATACACTGCAGATGCCGGCAATGGGCGAATCAAGGTATACAAACCCCCGACGACCGCGATCGCCGACGTCTTCCGAGAAGTTTGAGCGCGGTATCGATGCCTGCTGCCTTTTGCGACTTGAGCTAATCAGGCGGGGTGGGTAGGCAAGAGTTGCTGGCCTGGCTCAATGGCCTGCTTCAACTCAACATCACAAAGGTGGAACAATGCGGCACAGGGTGAGTTTAACGAAGCCCGCAAGGGGGTCACCATCACATGGTCATGTTGCGGCCTGTGGTCGTGGTGGTGATCTCACTTGGAACGGATGGATGGCTGATCTCTTTTCCTAGTGCTGCCTTGTGCCAACTCTACGATTCTATCTTTCGTACGTCCTCTCCAAGTTCCCCCGTCATCTTCGACTCCGCTCCGAGCAGAAGCCGTTTGCGGGCCGGCTTGGTCACGGCAGAGAGACCATGGGAAGTGGATGAGATTGATTGACTGGTTGCTGATTGCGATTCTGCAGTTGATATTCCCATGAGCCGGGTCAAGTTCAATGTCAACACGGAATATGCCTACATACAAAACTTCAAGATTCTACAGAGTACGTCTAAGCCACAGCCCTTATTACGCCTGGATTGATTGCTATCTTGTTCCGCACGGCTGTTGGGCTATGTTCTTGCGACTATCCAGTTTTGCGATCATGGTTTCTAACGTGGTACCCTGATCTTTTTCCAACAGACTGCTTTACCAAACACGGCATCGATCGAACTGTACCCGTCGAGTCACTGGTGAAATGCAAGATGCAAGACAACCTAGAGTTTCTACAGTGGTCAAAGAGGTTCTGGGACCAATACTTCCCGGGCCATGAATACGATGCGGTCGCTCGGCGGAAAGGGGCAGGCGCGCCAGCAGGAGGAGCACACATCACCGTTGCCCCGACGGCGGCCATAACAGCAGGAACATCAAGAACCAGTACTAGCGGAACAAGTACGACCAGGAAAACCGGCGCCACTCCCGTCACTAGGACCGGCGGCGCACGCGTCGGCAGCGGTGGCTCTGGCGGGTATGGAGGGGCGTCGGCTGCGTTGTTGAAGCAAGAGAATGAACAACTAAAGGAAGCCATTGCCGATTTGGAAAAGGAGCGAGATTTCTACTTCAGCAAACTCCGCGATATTGAATTGTTGCTGCAGACTGCCGTCGAGCAGGATCCGGCGCTGGAAGAAGACGAGAACGGTTTGGTCAAGAATATCCAAACCATTCTCTATAGCACAGAGGAAGGGTTCGAAATCCCCGATGTGGATGCCAATGGGGAGGCTGAAGGTGAAGAGCCGGAAACGTTTTAAGGAAGAGAAGCGATGAAGAAGAAACCCAGGACAAAAAGAATGTCATGTGTCATGTCACCCACGACCAACCATTTGAAACTGTTATGACTGCTTTTCTTTTCTCCCGGCCGTCGTATATACTTGGTAGCGGAAAAAGGGGAGGAAGAGAGTCTTCGATATGCAGGGCCCGCCCGCTCACTACTTTTGGTCTGGTGAAAATGACGAGAATAGATCAACTTGAAGTGCCATGGGAGAAATGACTGGAACATTCAAGTTGGCTCTACCCTTCCTGTCCTGTTCTGTTGAGAGTCACGACGTTCCTGTGCTGCAGTTGCGAGTGAGCATGCACATGTCGCTATCGACACCGTGACAGATGAAAGAAAGAATGAAATAGGGAGGGGCCGCAAAATACCTTATGATGGATGGGACAGAGATGGTTATGCCCAAGGAGGCCCTCCTCGGAGGCGCCTTAGACCCCTGGAACATTCTCACTTGCGGACATTGATTGCCATTTTGGAGTCGAGTTACCATTGAACTTCACCTAGTGAGCACTGCAATGACACAAATTGATGATTAACAATTGCAGAAGACGAGGAAGAAGCAAGAGAAAGCAAAACCCCCGCCCCCCCAAGAAAAACAAGGACACGGCCACAGTACCACGAAATGGCAATGAATAAGAACAAGTATTGTACCCCTTTTCCCCTGAAAGGATGGGACGAGGCTGAGGTACCCAAAAGGGAACGGTAGACTGTCGACTGTGAACTGCCCACTGCAATGAGCTGCTGTTCTTATTCCCGTTTCAAGTATTGTTTCTTTTCGTAACTCTGCTTATTTATAGACTATAGTCCACACATTCCCACTCCTCCAGAGGTTGCGGTTCCATAACCACTATATCCATCATGACCATTCCCATTCCCATTCCCATGCCCATTGCCACCTCTTACCAGCTCGAGCAGACTATTCGCCGCTTCGCCCTTGACCACACTACTAGTGAGGCCGCCCGGTCGGTAGCCTCGATTGCGCTGTTGGTGACCAGTATGCGGCGCCTGCACATCATGTTCCCCTCTTTCTCCTTCTTGATGCAAGTGGTGTCGTCGGTCTACCGATATGGAAGATGGTGCCGAGTCCGGGTATGGGTACGATACTCGGCGCAATGGAGTTCTAGGCTGCTCGTCGGACATGGACAACATATGTTGTTGTTGTTGTTGTTGACGGTGGGGCTCACCACCCAGTTGGTCCCTTCCACTATACAGGGTTCTGCCATTTCCCTCTGAAGCTTGGGCCGCTGGCAATAGCGGTGGACTGCTGGGAATCTCTATGTTTGAATGCGTCGGGTCGGGTCGAAACTGGGTTTGGTTTTGCTTCGGTTGCGGCTGTTGTTGTTGTCGTTGCTGCTGGTGCTGCTGCTGGTCACTCATCCCTATTTGTGGCCCTGTTACATCCGCCGTGTTCCATCGTGCTGAAAACGCAGTTGGCGCAATATGCGGCATTGGCAGACTTGACAGGGACTTGACTGTGGTGTTCCTAAGTTTTGGGTCCATGGTTGCTCGAGCACGTGCCAGGGCAATCCTTGACTCGGGCGTAAGGGGACTTTGATATGATCCCCTACCACCACCGCCTCGTATGGTCGAAGATGAGCTCGGAGAAGAGGACTCGACTGTAATGTCGGGAGGGGTCGACGACAATCTATCGTTTTTGGGGAGTTGGAGATGCGCAAAGGGCCGAGAGATTTGATTCGTCTGGATCTTGAAAAGAGCCAGTTGTAGTCGGGTCCGCAGAGTTTCTGCTTTCTACAGGGGCTTGTCAGTAACGACGGCGGTCTCTTTTTACCAAGTCCAGAGACACAGGGGCGGCCCGCCTTGGCAGATGAGCCAAGTTGTTGAGTCTGACTTACCTCCAGAAGCATTTCTTTTCTAGCCTCCTCCTGTGTCTTTGAAGTTTGCTCCTTGGGAACCTCTGTCGCTTGATCCTCTTCCATCATTTGCATGTCGTCCTGGCCTTGATCTTGGTCTTCGGTCTCGTCGACCTGGGATGAGCGGTTGTTTCCAAAGTCGATTAGACTGGACATGCTTAGACTGATCTGCGAGCATTCCTTGTTGAGGTTGGGCCGGAGGGGTGGGACAATCTGCGACGTGTTTTGTGGAAGTGTAACGGCATGCTATAGACCAAATCGTCAGCCTCGATGGATTTCCTTGTCTAGCACCAACATTGCCACAGATTTCACCAAACTCATGTACTTACCATCTTGTCCAATGTCTGCTGGCTCGGTTCTTCGTGAATCTCGAATTGAGCCTCGACTTGAACATGAGACGGATCGTCTTGCGACGGACGGAACGACGAGAACACCGTGTTGGGAGTGGATTTGTATAGACCTGCGCCCTCAACCTCTGTGGGGCTATCACTCAAGATGTCCGTCATTTGGGACAGAGGGTGTGTATGCGGATATACAGTCCTAGCATTGCCGTCCTGCGAATCTGGTATTATGAATTCCTCGTCGTTGGCATCTTCAATCTTTCTCTTCTGTCCAGCGCGTGGACGCGGGCTGCTGGGCGAAAGCGCACGTTTCAAGGTCGTCGGCCGCTGGGCAATGGGACTGGCATTCTCCAAGCCAGTGTGGACATGGGCTTTTCGGGGGGGAAGCGTGTGTGTTTGCAGATTCGCGTTGGGGTCCTTTTCCCCTAGCACGCGTCGTGTAGGGGATGTTGTTGTACTCATTGCAAGCGATGGACCACCCTTTTCCACAAGAACAATAGTTGTTGTCTTTGCTGAGATGGTCTGACTAAAGACGTCTTGTGTTGATAATGCCCTGTACTCGCCAACACGTACTGTGTGAAGATGTACCTCTAGACCAAACAAACAACTAAGAGGCAGGGATCTCTGAAGCGGCTGCGTATACTCGGACAGGGCAGACACGGAGAGGATAGGTCGAGTAGATAAATGGTCGTGCGAGTTTAGACGACAGACGCGCGAAGGAACAGAGGGGATATGAACACACGAACACCGGACGCCTCGAAGCCCAGGAGCAGTTAGTTTGAGTCGCGGTGTCACGTCGAATGCTGGACGTTGCAGGGTGGATGCACAACACGCATGTGCAGCACCGCAGTTTAGAATAACAATTAAACACTGCTAGTAGGTCACTGCTAACCACGGTGTAGTACAAACTGTGGATTGAACATGCAGGGCACAGCCGAACACCCTCCAGCCTCGTCGAAACGGCCAATGAATACGCGACATCTGCTGACTAACTGGTGGATAGAACCGAGACTCTCTATTCCTGCGCAGTCAACAATTGGCGCCCATGAGTAGATTAAACCGTATCTGGCTTAGCTTGGCCTTGTCCCTGAATTTTAGCGAGCCACGTCAAACTTGAAGCGGGTTTCGACTTCACCCGCCTGGTCTGGATACGTACCAGGCACTAGTATGGCGTGGGTTGTATTACGGGGCATGGTATGGAAATCATCCATAGACGCGTCCATGCATTCAACGCGGAGATCAAGACGTTCCACCCAACTCAAAGTGGAGTAGTTGTACGTTGTATAGAGACTCCGACTACCTCGACATCTGGTGTGGACGTGAAGCAGTTCCCCAAGCCGTCTGTCATTTCTTCCCGCAGCGTGTCCATACTATAGTTCTCCGTCGTGAGAGATACTCTCCGCTCGTTCTGCGTCAAGTATACCCTGTACGTCCATCTCCTTGGCCACGCTGTCGTCCAAAAACTCCAGACCGGCCATGGCTTGGCCGTTGCACGCTTGTCCCAATGCTAAGAATGCAAAATGGCCACCCACCACGGGCCGCGCGAAGAAATTGGGGCCCGGGAATCCTCCACTACCTTCAGTGTCATGCAAATCCGTCAACGGCCGATCCGTACTCGTCTCATTGACCCATTTGGCAACCGACTGCAAGATCTCGGCTCGAACTTTCGGTGCCGCCACTGCCATGGCGAAGAATTCCCAATCTGTTTTGGTGTAAAGATGTCTTGAATCCAACGGTAAGCCATACTTCTGTCGAACAGCATAGTACCAATCGCTCTGCATTTGGTAGATATGTTTAGGCACAAAGCCCGCTTTGTCGCCGTCGATGTGCTTCAATAGCTTCTGCAACTTGTACCGTCCAGAAATGCTGGCATCCGGGCTTGCAGAAGCCTTTTGACCCAAGTGGAAACACAGCTGACTGTCTGCATAAAGATTGTAGGTGGTCGTCCAGGACCCATACCAGTGATATGCTAGCTTCGCATGCGTCTTGTCTCGCGAAATTCCGAATTCTTCCCATTTCGCAATATAAACTTCCGAGATGTTGTTGTAGGATTTGGCATCCTCGTGGTTGCCAGTCAGCTCGGCCAGGCCGGCCATGGCCTTGATTCCAATAATGCCTTTGAGCGCCAGATTGGTCTGCAACGCCAGCCACCCAGCAAAATCATCGGTTGATAGCTGATTGTGAGGCTCCAACGAGTACTCCACAAGATAGCTAGTCCATTGCTTCCACAATCGATAACTTCTGCTGACCCATTTCTTCGCCCGCTTAACGTTCTTTGCTTGACCAAACCAGGGTTCATCGATATATGAGATGCCATTTTGCTGCCCCACGGTTAAAGGAGCAATGCTCTCACCGTCGGTCTTGACCGTCGAGGATCCGTCCGTTGCCTTCCACGTCGAGGATAGTGACGTGTTCGCTCCATCCTTCAGCGCATTGGCCAATGCGAGACCCATGATAAGGATGTTTCCACATTCCTCAACCGGCATATATTCATCTGCTCCATCGGGATGACCAGTAGCATTCGGGAAATGCGTGCCAAGGTCATGCATGGCATACTTGTTAGGATACTGCCCACTAAGCATGTGCTCGATCAAAGGTTCAAGGAGATATCCAAGCCACTGGGGGTTCGTATATAGGAAAAATGGAAATGCCGGGAAGATAACATCAATTGTCTGGAAGTTGCCGTTGGACGAAATTTCCTTAAGGAACAAGATTGGATCGTCGGGAGTACCCGAGAAGCTCGTAGCTCCGAGGACTTGTCGAGCAGACAGGGCCACAATATCAACGTAGTCCTCAGCACCCGACTTGTAGGCATCGATGGCGAGTTGGGCGGAGTAGTTGGCTGCGAGTGCTTTCGCATTAGGGAAGTCCAGGTAATGGAAGGTGAGCAGCTGGCGGTCAGTCTGGAAGTAGGACTCCCAAAAGGGTCGCATGAGAGTCAAGCCACGAGCGGAGGCAAACTGGACGACAGGATCTTGAATGTGGGCGACAGTAAATGTGGCGCTATCCTCGAGGACAGAATAGGTGCTGGTATTCAGGTTGAAGGATTTTGAAAAGGCAAACACTGGTTCATCATCCATGATCGAGCGGAATCGATCGTCGACTGATCCGTTGAGGGACCCAGCCCTCGCAAAATGCTGCCTTACTACAGCCGACGTGCCTCCTTGGTGCAGGGCATCCAAAGGACCCAAGAAGTGCAGGCTGCCCCATTCGGAACGATCCATGAACTCAGTAAATAGCTGTTGGATTTCGCGCTTGACCACCCATTCACCAAACCCAGGAAATCCAGGCTTCGAAAGCTGCGAATCCATGCTATATGGGTTGTCGAAGTACATCCAATTGATCTTGCTCCCTCGATCTCCGCTAACCCACAAGCCATTGAGATCCAGGTAGATCTCCACGGGGACGTTACCGGAAACGTAAACTGTTATGTAGCTCGCGGGAATGGATTGCCGAAGGGTCGAGGTGGGCGTTATAGGAGACAAAAAAGAAAGAGTAACGTCGACCTTACGGGAGGAAGAGAGCGGAAGCGAATAGGACAGATTCGTGGTAGATGCATCGTATTGAGCACCACGGTATATTGGGATAGAAAGGTTGAAGCTGCCACGCCAGCGTCAGCTCGGAATGCTTTTTGGAAGATATCCTAAGGCCTGTACCTGTCGTCATCCCTGGGCAGCGAGTCTTGTGGTCTTCCTAGCAATGGATAGACTCTTGCCTCGCTGGGGACCCGGGCCATAACGGACAGCCCGACCTCCTGGCCGGTCCAGAACATAGGCCATTTCTCCCAGGGCATGCCCCTCGCATTGGGCAGCCATGTACTCAGATAAGGGTTTCGCACAATGAGCGGAAGGACAGGCGGTGTCAACCTGGAACACTGTATGAGGGGCAAGAGGGCAGTCCAAAGGACTGCCAATGCGGAAGCCAGCCGCATGATGGAGGGAGGGGGGGAGCAGACAGGTTAACACAATGATGGGCAGAGAAGGAGGGTAGACAGCATCGGAGCAGAGTGAGAGGTAAGAGATGGACCAAGGGAGGAGAGACCGCAGCAAGTTGGGCGGTATAGCAACGGTATAAGATGGAATCAGTCGTAGGACGACGAGAGACCTCGACGGATGGCGGAGAGCGCAGGTGGCCGTGGTCAGCCGAGCAGTCAACCTGGCATGAGGCCAGTGCCGCACCATCTCCAAATGACGGCATTGGGGGTGGTGTAGCGTGCTGCCAGTGCGCGTGCCCTGCCAAAGGATCTGGGGGTCAGTTTCCACTTCGTAGCCGGTTTCTTAGGTGCAGTATCTAAATCGACCTCAGCGCAGCAGCATGGACGTGCCTATACCGACCAGCGAGCACTATGGACAACGCAGTGGTTCTCCAAGTACAGAAGTATCATGCAAAATAACTTCAGTCCACAGATTCTCCATGCCAGTCCCAAGGTCTCCGCGGTTCGGTCCCCAATTGCGCTAGGCCTGTTCCTATCAGGATCCCTGAGGCGTACCAGTGGTGAAAGGCTCTCGATCATGGGACCGAGCAAGGATCTCCACCCAGTCTGACTTTGCTTCTTGTCTTTCCTCCGCACGGTATCCAATACTGGATGTCCGACCTGCAGGAATATGCATGGAAGATGGAATCCTCGTTCGCGGCCAGGCAAAAGGGAACCGTTGACACAGGCAAGTACAACAATGACTTGGATGATTTCCAACATTGGCAGTCGTGCTCTGCTACGCGCCCTATTACAAAATCACGGGGAAGAACTGAACAGGAACAGGAACAGGAACAGGAGGATATTTATTTCACTTCGTGTAGAAGCTCCACGGCCGACAACACCTCCCCAGAAGTATAGTCTTTGACCTGCACCTATCTCGGAGACAAGGTATCGCACGCACTTGCGCTGCACAGGATGCGGACTGGGCTTTTGCCCAGAATGACCAGCGAAGAAGGGTGAAGAGCATAAGGTGCTTCTGATATGTAGTGGAAGCAAGTGTCCTCCAAATACTGGTCGGTCTGTCTTCTATGAATGACCCCCCTCCCATAGCAACTCAGTATCATATTGCCGGCAGACATATCTTCGTCCTTCATTGAGAGTGGTAACATCTCAAGTACACGCTCATAACGTATGTCCTTGCTCGCCTTAGCTTATTCACGGCACCGTAGTCAGACCAATCGTGGGAAAGAAAAAAGACCAAAAAAGGGCGCAGAGTAAGCAACATGGCTGATTTGAACCTCCAACCATGGGCAAATTCTCTTGATCTTCTCTCTTCCTGGGGCTTCCTCGAAAAGACAAAAAACTCGGCCTTTCGAAGCCCAATTACCCGGTGGTAATTGAGGTTCGAAGGTCCAAGGAAAACCCCCTATGGGGATTTTATTGGTTTTCCGCTTCGTTGTGTCGTCAGGTTACCTCCTTCCATAGGTGCTCTGGAGCGAGAACCATGAATGGAAGGGACCTTCATCCAGAACTTCCGAGTCTTACTCAAGGCGCTGATCACCGGTAAGGTGGCGGGGAGTACTTTAACTCAGAGTCTGTCCAGTCAGGGGTCTGCCTCTAGGATTCACGGCTTTTCCCAAGATAAACTGTCTCATACCTGGTGGCCACACCCTCACGCTTCAGCTAGCCTAGCGGCTCGTATTGAGCCACCAGGGCCGAAACCCGGGATAGATATGAGAAATTGTTGGAGGAAATTGGGGAACTTTGATATATATCCTTAGTTTTTCCGAAAGCCGGGCCACGTGAAGGCTGGGCTGAGGCCCGAGGGCGCGGTGAAGCTGCTGTGAACTTGAATTGAGCTCCGGGCGCGTGAGCTGCCCTGCGGGCATACCTACCTGGGTACCTGGTACCTGTTCCTACCTACCTACCATTGCCTTCGGCCCACCTTATCATAAATGTTCATGGATAGATTCTCATCTGTCTACCCGATAGGCACAGGTATAAACCTGGCTCTTAGCGAGATCTCAATACTCACCAGGTATTTACAACGAGTCGGTATCATCCGCTCCCTTCGAAAAACCTCACGGTGCCCTTCAGCTTCACGCCGGAGCCTCCTTGATTGGTCTCCGTTGCCCCCGCCTTGGAACTTAACTCAGCGGTCCTTGCATCCCAAAGCTCTTCAAGATCGGAGAACCAAACATCGAGGGATTGCGTGTGATATTAAGGGGAGAGCACACAGTCGGCCTGTGGTGCCGGAGCCAGTGCGGCTGTCCGGGTTCGAAAACCCAAGCCACGTCTGGCCACCAGTTCAGCCCACAGGATTCTTCTCGTGCCATTCTTCGACAATGGTCAATTCGATGAATAATGGTTAATTGCCAACGGCAGACAACACTGAGGAAACGAAGAATGAAGGTGGTCCAAATTACATTTTTATTGCATTGTGCCCTCGAATGACCAGAACTATCTTGGGTGTCCACACAAGCAATACCCAATCGCCGCTCAGTACGGGCAACACTGAACGGGACTGTGGGCTCGGCCTATCATTGGGATCGGACCGTTACGCGCCGAGGTGGTACGGCTGGACTTCTCCGCACTTCAGTAGGGACGCAGAAAGGCGGCAGATCGGTTGCCAACAATGCAGCAGCGTCGTCCATTCTTGCGTTGTTGATTGTCACAAAGCGCCTACAACGTGTTTCAACCCCTAGGGTTGGACCTGATCGCTTTGCGCGTCCACCCGGTCTCTCGCTCATAAGGTCACGCTTCTCACGCAGTCACTCGTATCGTTTCCTGCTCTCTCGATTGTGCGTAGCCTACGTGAGGCATTACAGAACGCCGAGTCTCGCATGCAATTGATTGAAACCGGAAAGGGGAAAGAGTATTGTTGGTCGTCTCGGCGTTGTGCTGGACAGAAGCAAATTACAAGGTCACCGGTTTGACCCGAATCGATTGTGGGTTGGACTGCAGCCCACCGAACCGGATCGAAGCGCGCGTCGGCCACGAAGATAAGACGAGGACGACCAGGGACTTCTCAAGCCTGTAAGAGAGTTGTGAACATAATTCCAGATACCAGTCCGCTTCGACACACCCACGCGCGCCGATCCTTCGAGATGGTGTCTACGAGGCACCACCCACGGCCTTTCCCGGAGTCAGCGTCGCCTGCCAGGTCCAGCCGGTCCAATACCGCAGAACCGATGTCGAAGTCATCTTCCTCCCCACCACCCGACGATACAGTCACCGTGGCCTCCGGAAAGAGCGCTCGGACGCGCCGATCTGATCGCTCGCCTGCTGCAGCAGATAAACATCAAGCGTCGGCTTCTAGAAATGCGTACCTGCATAAGCCCCCTCCCCTGATGATCGTCTGGCTTTGTGTTTCGCTCCCGTTGGTGCTGTGGGATACGGGATACATCTTCTGTCGGCCGTATTCGATGCCCGGTGGAAGCCTCCATTGGCCGTTGTGGACGCCTTATGCTCTCTATGGCACGGTGGACTACATCTACGGTTGGCCTGCGTGGAATGGACACGTCGGATTCACAGCGGCGCAGGCATCGCTCAACACCGTGGAGACCCTCATGTACTTTTACTACTTGAACGCGGTGTTCCGGAATGCCAGGAGTGGGATGTTCAGTTTCCGTGACATTCGCGGCTTTTTCTTGGGGGAAGAGCACCGCGCCGTTCGAGGACCTGGAGTCGCCAAGGCAGTTGTCGTTCTATTCTCTGCCGCGGTGATGACACTAAGCAAGACGGTGTTATACTGTAAGTTGGCGGACATTTGGAGCGGCACCGTTGAGAGGCTGATTCACTTTCTGACTGGGGACAGGGCTCAATGAATACTTCTCGGGTTTTGCCAACATTGGGCATAACACACTCGGCAACCTGATCTTACTGTGGATCATTCCCAATGGGCTTTGGCTCGTTTTCCCAAGCTACATAATCTACGTGCTGGGGAGCGAGATGATTCAGAGGATGGATGGAGCTGCAGCTGAAAAAGAAGACTGATGCACCATGAAGCGTCTAGGTGCCGCAATCAATATGGAAGCTCAGTGACAGACCATTCCTCGCTCTCTGTCCTTCTGCTCAGCAGACGATGTCATGATGCGGCTTTTCCACATGTCTTTCGCGCGGTTGCTGCTCCCACTCAAGGAACATGAGACCTGGCAATGAGGTCTTTGATCTCGACGATTACAAGGAGATTTGCAGAGCGGAGGAATGTTCCACGAATACGACATGTACCTACACTCTGGGACAAGTCATCAGTCAATCTCTCCAGGTAGTACCAGTTCTAGAGCATGTCGGTGCGGGTGGGCATGTTGAGAGTGAGGCTTACAGACTTTGCAGGTTGCTGATGCATTCAGGCGAGAAAAGCCTGACGAGGTGCCCATGGTGTTGGCGTTGGCGGGGTCGACAAGCGGAGCAAAGGAATGGGAAGGTTCATGGATCAAGCGAAGGTCAGCAGGTCGTTCGAGGCGGGTCTGAATGCACCGCATACCCAGCATGGGAGGGGATGACCACAACTACAGATGTGCCTGGGAAGGGAGCGTTGGGGTGGAACATTTTTGAAGTCGGCCACACCGTCACAGAAAGGAAGGAGCTTGCTGTGCAACCCGACCTGCTACCTGGTACCTACAGCCTGAACCTTCCTCCTGTATCTACTTATGTGGTAGGTAGGTATACAATGTTAAGGTATAGGTCTAGGTAGGCACTATATCGCACTCCAGTGTGGCAGGTGCCGTTCGAAGCTGTTTATGGAGCCTCAGTGCCGGCTATCCGCCAATGGGGTAAATGGCGGGCTGCGGAGATGCGGGGGAGGCGTAGCGTTGGATCATGATGACGGGGAATGCAACGGATCTAACCTTCCTTGTTACTTCTTGCACCAGCCAAGCAGCAACGTGGTAGCGCAGTAGTACCGTGTCATTGGACTTCATTCGGCGGGAACGGAGAACTATCCTAATGCAGCTCGCTCGGAAGAGCTCAATGATGACAGAATATTGCCCCTGCCTGAACCTGAAGGAGCGGGAGGCTATTAGGAACCCTCCTGCCAAGATATGCTACTTAGCCGGTGAAGTACTTCGGACAGGCAGCTTTAACCAGCGAAGTACCGATACACCGTGGCGAGAGTTGAGAATATAGAGATGGGGCCAGTAGCGAGATGGTGTCAGGGTAGGTGTCTACCTAGCCTAGGCTGCAGTGAGGTCCATTTTCAAGAAACTACGTTGTAAGGTGCGAGTCAGGGTTGCAGAGCTATACTGAGAGTGGTATATTGTATGTATCTCAATGGCCCAATACTAGGTACTGGATAAATACGAGAAAAGCTACCACAGCTCCCCGGTAGGCAGATCTTGCGGGGTACAGTACCTTGTAGTGACTACGTGCTTCCAGTAGCTGGAATTACCAGGGTTCAAGGATTCTTTTGTGGACATGAGAGAGACTGTAACTTAGTCCCACGACTGGTCGTCTTTCTTTTCACGTCTGCTGACTCTTATGGCAGTGAGATACCCGCAACCACGTATCAAACCTCCGACATCATGTGTCAACCTACATGAGGCAAGGTATCAAGGATACTACCCATCCGTTGCAGCATTAGGTACCTCCGTCTGGTCTTCCGGACCCGGGCGGCCTGTCAACTCGAATGCAACCTCAGCTGTTGTGGTTACTGGGTGAGATTGCTAACTGCCTCTTTCGACATTGTAGTTGTACCGTGCTCGCCGTGTAGCCACTGACGGCCACATCCCGCGCAAAGTGTCGCCCTTGCCGTCCGGTACCTCTACCTCAGGCCGGTGATTACACAACTGCCGCTGCCACCTGCGATGCATCAGCCCTTGGAAGTGTCGTATAGCGGAAAGAGTAGGACGAGCGGTCAGGAGGGGAGCAGGCAAGAGAGAAACTACACCCAGAAAATAGCCGCAGCTGCTGCCATCATGAAGGTCGGGACTACACCTGGTCATATCGCTTCAGCCGTCCATCCTTGGCTCCATCCATTCGACGATCCATTGCTCCCTGCACCAGCCTCCATCCACCGTCATTCAGCTGTGGCCTTGATCTCATATCCGCCTACATGAGCATGGTGGTGATGCCAATGCCGGCGATGACGGGAGGTATCATTAACTTGCATCTGCTCGGCCTCGCTGCTCCCATCCTCGCTTGAATTGTCTAGCTGTAGTCCGCGAATAAATATCCCCCACGAGTACCTCCCATGCTCTTCCGCTTATTCACTCTTTGTGTATCCTTACGATAACTTCCTCGGATCCGTTGCTGTGCCGGCATACGGCCTTCACTGCTGTATGTTGGATTCGGCAACACGTAACACCACCGGCCGGCTCAGCTGAGCTCATCCACACCTGTCTTTATCAATCAAGAAAGAGTGGCCGCAGTCAGTCGCCGTACTCCTCGCCGGTGCCTCGACCTCTCGACGTGCGACTGAACGTCTGGCTCTACAGACATCGCTCGTTCGAATCGAGACTATACTAGGAATTGAAGTGCAAGCACGCCTTATCTCCGAGCCCAGCGCCGATAAGCAATAATGTGGCCTTCCTCCACCATCCCGGTGGCGGCGGCGATGGCCGCCCTGCTTGTGCCTAATATTGTGCTGGCCTCTGTGAGTGATCCCACCCTTTTGCTGCCCGTTAAAAGCACAATCCGACGCCGAACTTGGGGTCCCGCCAAGGGCACGCCGGCCTCTTCGGGCCCGTTTCTGCCACTGGCATAGAAGCATTTCCACCTAGAAAATGCTTCATTTGACCTCCGCCTTCCACTTCCTCAATGCTACATCCCAACTATCCACTTACTTACAAGCCGTCTTGAAGCCTGTCGAATCTCCTGAAGCCATTTACAAGCGACAAGCGGCACAGCCCTGGAACAATGACTACAATGGTCCAATATGGACCTCGCCTCCTAGCTACCCGTCTCCCTGGGGATCCGGTTCGGGAGATTGGGCTGCTGCTTACGAAAAGGCTCGAGCATTCGTCAGCCAGTTGACCCTGTTGGAAAAGGTCAATCTCACCACTGGCGTGGGGTGAGTCAATGCCTTGCCGCCTAGTTTGGGTCTATCTCGAGGCTTACTCTTCGTCAGCTGGGAATCCGAGAAGTGTGTCGGAAATGTTGGCTCAATCCCTCGCCTTGGCTTTCCTAGTCTCTGCATGGAGGACGGACCACTAGGGGTCAGAAACGGTGAGTAAATACCTCCAGAGTATGGAGGACAGCGCTAATCGCCCTCAGCCGACTACGTCTCTGCCTTTCCTGGGGGCGTGAATGTGGCTGCTACGTGGAGTCGTGAATTGGCCAGAGCCCGCGGCGAAGCCATGGGCGCAGAGAATCGAGACAAAGGCGTGGATGTCCAGTTAGGCCCCGTCTGCGGCCCTCTAGGACGGTCTCCTGAGGGCGGAAGAAACTGGGTGAGCAACAAGAACAGTTACTCCCTCAGTTACTCCCTCTGCTCGGTTGCTGACACAATAATAGGAAGGCTTTAGCCCTGATCCATACCTGACTGGTGCTCTCATCGCTCCCACGGTCCAAGGTATTCAGAGCCAAGGCGTCATTGCGTGCACAAAGCATTACATCGCCAACGAACAGGAGCATTTCCGTCAAGTGGGGGAATCTCAGGGCTATGGCTGGAACATCACAGGCACCCTCAGCTCCAACATTGACGATAAAACAATGCATGAGCTATATCTCTGGCCATTCTCCGATGCAGTGCGAGCAGGGACTGGCTCGGGTAGGTGCACTTCCATCTTGAGTTCAACACCGTGTCCTAACGGCGGCTAGTCATGTGCTCCTACAACCAGATCAACAACTCCTATGGCTGTGCCAACTCTTACACAATGAACCATCTTCTCAAGAATGAGCTCGACTTTCAAGGCTTTATTATGTCCGACTGGCAAGCTCAACATTCCGGTGTCGGCACGGCTTTGGCTGGCCTGGACATGACCATGCCCGGTGACACTCTGTTTAACACGGGCCGGAGCTACTGGGGTACCAACTTGACCATTGCCGTGATCAACGGCACGGTTCCTGAATGGCGTGTTGATGATATGGCTACCAGAATCATGGCAGCCTACTATTACGTTGGTCGCGACACCCATTATACGCCCACCAATTTCTACGCTTGGAGCCGGAACACCTACGACAAAATCCATCAAGTTGACCCTCAATCTCCCATCGGTTTGGTCAATGAACATATCAATGTGCAGGATAGGCACCGTGACATCGTCAGACAAGTTGGTCAGGCTTCTAACGTTTTGCTCAAGAATACCGGTGGACTACCACTCACTGGCAAGGAAAGACAGGTCGGCATCTTCGGTTATGATGCCGGAAGCAATCCTTGGGGCGCCAATGGGTGCTCAAATAGAGGCTGTGACAACGGCACTCTCGCTATGGGTTATGGTAGCGGTACAGCCGAGTTTCCGTACCTCGTCACCCCAGAGCAGGCGATCACGCAACATGTTCTGACGCAAACCGATGGTGAGGTGTTTGCTATCCTTGACAATTATGCCGACGCCCAGATTAAAAGCCTGGCCAGCACTGCTGATGTTGCCCTGGTCTTCGCCAACGCTCAATCTGGAGAGGGCTTTATCACGATTGATGGGAACACTGGTGACCGCAACAACCTCTCTCTCTGGCTGGGAGCTGACCGATTGATTCACAACGTGACCAAGTACAACAAGAACGTCATTGTTGTAATGCACACGGTTGGCCCCGTCAATGTTTCTGCATGGTATGACAACGAGAATGTCACCGGTATTATCTGGGCAGGCCTACCAGGCCAGGAGAGTGGCAATGCCATCGTGGACGCTCTGTACGGCCTCATCAATCCCGGCGGAAAGCTTCCTTTCACCATTGGTCGCAATCGAGAAGACTATGGGACAGATATTCTCTACGAACCCAACAATGGCCAGTTCAACGCTCCGCAGTCCCTCTTCTCCGAAGGTGTCTTTATCGACTATCGTCACTTTGACCAATACAACATTGAGCCTATCTACGAATTTGGCTTTGGTTTAAGCTACACCACTTTTGAATACTCCAATTTGGTGATCACTCCGGGGAATCCTGCTCCATACACCCCCACAAGTGGCCAGACCGAGCCTGCTCCCGTCCTAGGAAACGCCAGTACCGACCCATCGCAATATGTCTTCCCTAACGGCACGATCACATACCGACCATATTTGTACATCTACCCATACCTGAACTCGACCGATTTAAGAGCATCGTCCGATGATACAGACTATGGACTTCCAACTGACCAATATGTGCCGCCTGGGGCTACAGATGGCTCACCACAACCATTGCTGCCCGCCGGTGGTGCACCTGGTGGTAATGCCGGCCTTTACGAAGTGGTAGCCACCGTGAGCGCCACTATCACCAATACTGGAAGTGTCGAGGGCGATGAGGTGGCTCAACTATATGTCTCTTTGGGCGAAGGAGAACCCCCTAAGGTCTTGCGAGGCTTCGATCGTCTGACCATTGCTCCAGGCGCCTCGACCACATTCACTGCTAACTTGACTCGGCGTGACGTTTCAGTATGGGACACTGTCTCTCAAAACTGGGTTCAAGTGAGCAACCCCACCATTTACGTAGGCACTTCGAGTCGAAAGCTCCCTCTCTCGGGCGTACTGTCCAGCAGTGGTGGTGGTTCAGGGGCCCAATCGTCATCGTCAGCATCTGGCGGAAGCGGAGGCGGAAGTTCTTCGGGCTGGGGATATGGTCAATCGTCTACAGCAAGCGGTTCGGCACCGGCACCTGTGAGCCAGCTCTCGGATGGGCAACCACAAGTACCGACAGGACGTCCGGTAACGCAAGTTTCCGATGGACAGCCTCAGGCTCCCACTGGAAACCCTGTTTCACAGATTTCGGACGGACAGCCTCAGGCTCCCGCTCACACTGGAGGTGCACCCGTTTCACAGATCTCGGACGGTCAGCCGCAAGTTCCCACTGGCACAGGACCAGCAGTGACACAAATCTCGGATGGTCAGCCGCAGAACCCGACTGGTGGCCCAGCAGTGAGTCAGCTGTCCGATGGTCAGCCTCGGGCCACGACCGCATAGGTTGCACGTCGTTGGGAAGGTTGAAGCCGAGAAAAAGGATCTCCTCTGCGTTAGGGTTAACTTGAAGTCTAAACATAATGTCGTGCCGTTGTGCGGAGGGACTGGCAGCATACATATGGCCGCGGCCTGTAAGGCAGTGAGTGGTAGTTGAAAGAACTGTGCTGTCCGTATTAAAGTGGCTGCAGCTGCACCGAAGCAGTGGTGATCAATCACTTTGGTCGGACGACGAATGGCATGAAAATGGTAATGGTGACTAGGTACAGATAGGCTCAAGGAGTAATTAAATGAAATGCGTTGTAATTATTGTTTCCATCCTAGTGACTGGCTGAGATTGAGTGCTTGTCTCAAGTTCCACCTTTTGCTCCTCAAGTCAAGAAATGAAGCGTGTATAAGCTGCTGGAATGTCTCTCGGGTGGAGTGCCCTATCAGCCTTGGTGAGAAGTAATGCTAGATGGCCAACTTGAAGGGGTCGACGAGGCTGAGATCGCTGAGGTCTGATTGGAGCCCCTGAGGCACAGTCAGGGCGGTCAATGTCGTCATGGACATCAAGGACAAACCACCGTGCAGCCACTCACAGTGCAGGGCTGCTGGGACTGATGGGACTGTATACAGGTACTAATAGTAGACGCTTCGCCTCGCCTCGCCTCGCCTGGACTATGGCGAACAGCAGAGAGGGTGAGATTAGTGCGAATTCATGGCGATAGAACATCGACAAATGAATAAGTGCCGCGTTGGTTTATCCCCGCAGTGTCACGGTGCAGCAGAAGTACAGTTTGATCGAACATGGCATAAAGTACCTAGGTACCTAGTACAAGGACGATTCCTCGACTAGACTGGACTGCCTCATTGAAGTTCTCTACAAACCATTCTGAAGCATTGATCGGCGGCGCCAATCCACCAGAAACAAGATAAGATGGGTCCTAAATTCAAGAAGCGGGCAATGGAAACGGCATCAACATCAACGGCGACATCAGGATCAGGAGCAAGGTCAGTACCACCAGCAGCAAAAGCAACAACATCGCCAGCATCTCCAACTGTTTCTGGTCAACCAAATCCAAATCCTCGTGTGATATATTGGTTCCGAACCGACCTTCGGCTGCACGATTCACCTGGCCTCACGACGGCACTCTCGCTGGATCCATCGGCGCTCATCCCATTGTGGATATGGGACTCACACTACGTGGAGCGGTACGGCGGCTCAGCATCCACGAACCGCTGGCGATTTCTCCTCGAAAGCATGGCGGACCTGTCTGCGTCGTTGGCGCGGCTGAACCCGAACCAGAAACTGCACGTGGTGCGCGGTGGCCCGCCGGCCAAGATCATACCCGTGTTGTTGAGAAAATGGAAAATCAATGTCCTCGTCTTCGAGAAGGATACCGATGCCTATGCCCGCGCCAGGGATGAGCAAGTCACGCAACTTGCCGAGGCCATGGGTGTCAAAGTGCTCTGTGTCCCTGGTGGGAGGACGCTGTTCGATAGCGATGACGTCGTGAGGGCCAATGGTGGAAAGCCCACTTTGAGCATGAACCAGTTCATGAAGGCGGCGGGCAGGCTGGGGAGCTCCAGCTCGGGACGGGACGGTGATAAGGGGAACAACTTGAAACCGAATAGACCGCTCAATGCGCCGGCGTGGTTGCCGGATCCGTTGGCGGCAGAAGAAATGAGTTTAGAGGGACTGGTTGAGGGAGATAATGATGGGTTCAACATCGTTGATGACCATTCTAGTCGGGACCGCAGGGGTTCTCCCGATGGTGCATTTCAGAGACGCCTTGAGACCCGTCCTACCAGTACTGCTGGTGAGGACGCGCAGGATTGTTCTGCTGTTGGCTTGATGGGGCCGAATCGAGCGTTTTCAATTCCTACGCTCCGGGAGATAGGCATCGAGGAGTCCGATTCTGAACTGGAACCGGAACCCGACTTGGCTCCTGCATCTACGAAAAGCACTCACTGTGATACTTCCAGACCAAATGCACGCTTTACCGTAGATCCAACCTCGGCATCTGCCCGCAACCTCTACCGCAAAGGCGGCGAAACCACGGGCCTCGCCCTCCTAGCCCACCATATCTCGGATGAAACGTACATTGCGACATTTGAAAAGCCACTCACTGCACCTACGGCGTTCGACCCCCCGGCCACGACCATGCTCAGTCCACACATGCACTTCGGCAGCGTCTCGGTGCGACGGTTCTGGTGGGCTGTGCAGGACGTTCTGGAACAACGTCGCCGTCGAAGCCTCGAGAATAAAATCTCGCTGCCAATCAGCCCCCATCCAGTCAATTTGCCGGGTCAGCTGTTGTTTCGCGATATGTATTTCGCAGCATATGCGGCGGTGGGGGCGACATTTGGTCAGGCAGTGGGCAACCCCGTGGCCAGGTTCGTGCCGTGGGACTTGCAGTCGGAGGCGAGCGGGAGTAGTCTTGCGACTTCTGATCAGTTGAGCGGTCGTGATCCCACCGCAACCTACATGGTCAGTAATCCCCAGGCCGAGGAATATTTCCGGCGCTGGAAGTACGGCTGTACAGGGTTTCCGTGGATCGATGCGCTTATGCGCCAACTGCGACAAGAAGGCTGGATCCACCACCTAGGCCGACACGCAGTTGCGAGCTTTCTCACACGCGGCGGGTGCTATGTCTCGTGGGAAAGGGGCGCCGAGGTGTTTGAAGAGTGGTTGCTCGACCACGAAGTCGCGTGCAACGCGGGCAATTGGATGTGGTTGAGCTGCGTCGCCTTCTTCAGCCAGTTCCATCGTGTCTATTCTCCTGTCAGTTTCCCCAAGAAGTGGGACCCCGAGGGCAACTTTGTCCGGAGGTATGTTCCTGAACTGACTGCGTTTGATGCCAAGTATATCTATGAGCCGTGGAAGGCGCCCGTCGTCGATCAGAAGAGGTGGCGCTGTTTGGTGAAAGGGGTAGGAGAGGGCGTTGAGTGGTATGTGGAGCATGGGGGCAAGAAATACAACAAGATGATGCATGCGATTAGGGATGATGTGGTAGGTGATGGTGAAACAAGTGGTGGTAGGAAGGGTGTCGGTGCTGTTGTCGATGACGGGAGGCGGTCTCCACCTCCAAAGGACGGTCCCAGCACATTCAGATTGTATCCAAAACCAATGTTCGATTTCAACGAGCGTAGACAGTTCTGCATCGACAAGATGAAGCAGGCTTATGATATTGGCCTGTATGGGGATGACAAGAGGGTGCTAAGTGGAAAGTGGAAGACGTTGTTTGGAATCGAGGATCAGCTGAATAACGGGGGGCACAGCTCACCACAGCAAAAGAGAAAGAAGGCGATGGACGAGGCCCATGGCCCGATTGAGGGCATGTTCTCGAAAGCTGAAGCAAAAAGAGCCACGGTCTTGGCCCAGAATACAAGCATCGGTACAGGATCAGGGACAGATCCCAGTTCTATCAAGACCCTGGCCAAGGATGACCTGTCTGAAAGTGAGCTTCGAGGAAAATATCAACAACCTCCGCCTCCATCCGGGCCTCTGTACCCCAAAAGGAACCGCGAGCAGGCGAATTTGGGTTCGCGATCAGATCTGCCTGGCGATTTGGAGTCCTGTAAGAAGCCTGCTGGCTCAGACTCTGTCAAGGTTCGCGGCATCAAGCGTCGAAGAAGCGAAGCCAGCCGCAAACCCGGAATAGCCGAGCGTCCTGCAGCTGCCGATGAGGTTGCCAACCATGACGCGGACACGATGTCCAGGTTCGATGAAGCAGACAGAGAGCATCACTGTGGTGACGACCAGACAGGGACCCACAAGAGCACAGCAGCTCGACCAGGGCTGAGCACGCCGACAAGGCCCACAAAGCGCACTGCTCATGTGCCAAAGCAACAAACTCTGGATACCGTGGTCGCCAGGTTGAGGTCAAGACAGATATAACGAAACTTTGCCAACGACGAGCGTAAAGTGTTTGACTCCTCTCTTGCAGAAATATAGTACTGTTGGCTGTGCCCGGCTTCAAGCCGAAGACGGTCTGTAGCCTCCAAGAGAAAGATAACCTTGCGAAAGTGAATTCAAGCTTCTGTACGGATGACGACGCGAAGAGATTTTGCCATAAGATATGGGAGCTTCAAGGCTCATCCCTTGTCAAGTACACACATCCTATGGCAGTCCGCGTTGTCCTCGTGTCAACGCAATACGGAGGTCCATGGTAGATAGGAATGATCGATTCCATGCTACCGACGGTACCACTAGCAGTACTAGGAATGTGTACAGTGTACAGTTGTAGTGAGGAAGTGGTAGTGATATACTGGATTTGTCGACGTATGATTGGCTGTTGGGACTCTCCAGTGACACAAATACGCCAAGTGTGAGACTTTGCTTGGCATGTTTAGAGCTGCCTCATACTCACATGTCCAGTAATTTCTACGGCATCAACCACGACTGTACTGCTTTCACTTTTCTCCGGCTTTACTCAACAACAAATCTATCCTCTCCTTGGCACTTTGCCAGAAGATGGCGTCTTTCAAGACGCGTGTCGACGAGGTAAAGCGAAGCGATGTGGCCAAGAATACACTTCTCGATGTTCGCGATTGTGCCCGCCACCTTCGACCGCGCTAACCTTGACCTAGGAACTGCTGGCACATGTTGACCAGCTTACGAAAGAACGTGATGCCGCCAAGGGCGAACTTGACATGGCGCAGGATACCGCGCGGACGTATTACCAGAGAATGGTGAAAGCGGAGTCGGAAAAGTCTCACATCCAGACATCGATGGTGATAGGACAAGTGTAGCTCCCTACCCAGTTCCAAGACTGACCATCAGCAGGATTGTGACAGATTTGTCCTCGTACTGATAGATGGGGATAGTATGCCGGTAAGGCTAGTCAAGCTGGGGTCAATGAGGTGGAAGGTTTGGAGGACGGATTAGTGGTTACTGACACCTCTAGTTTCTCAACGAATTTGTTTCCAGAGGCCTGGAAGGCGGCGAAGATGCTGGTAAACATCTTCGGACAGCTGTCCTGGAATACTACAAGACGCTCTCCAAGTACCATGCTGATGATCGTGTTGTGATACGGATCTATGCAAATTCGAAAGGACTCGGTAGGGCCTACAAATCAGCCAAGCTCATTCCCGACGAGTCTGTATTTGATCAGTTCATGATCGGCTTCAACAGGAGTCATCCCCTGTCCGACTTTGTGGATGCAGGTCATCACAAGGAAGCTGCAGACTCAAAGCTCAAAGGTACGTCGTCACCCTGGATGAAGTTGGGCTGATTTGACGGGACCCAAGCAAACTTTGAGCTGTACTATCGAAACCACCACTGCCAACATATCATGTTCGGTGGATCTGCCGACAATAGTTATGCCGGCTTCCTCAGTCCCTTCTCGCTTCCCGGTGCCATCAACGACCGCATAACATTGCTCGAAGGTCCACCTTTCCCCTATGAGTTGAGAAAAGTCGCCCAAGGCTTCTTCCACACTGGGTTTCGAGGCATCTTTAGGACAACAAAGATCCAGACAATTCCGAACAGTGGTCAAGTTATCGGAGCCAAAAGACCGGCTACGGACGCTCTCACATCGTTCAGAGAACGACCGGCGCCAAATTCTACTTCCGCGGCTGTTACTCCTCCCAAGGCACAGCCAAACCAGCAACCACAACAAGCAGCGCAAACACCGCCGACATCCTTCACTCCTCCGCCGTTCGTCTTCCAGAACCAGTACGGTCAACGATTGGATGTTCCTCTTGACGTTGACAAAGACTATCTTAAGGAGTTGTACACCAAGAATACCCGGCTTTGCAACAATTTTTATCTGAGGGGTCACTGTCCGTTCGGCGATAAGTGTGAGTGGGACCACAGCCAGCATCTTACCAAGCGACAACTCGACACCTTCAGACACAAAGCACGGTCATCCAGTTGCCGAGACCCGTTCTGTCAAGATCCAGCTTGCTGTTTGGGCCATATGTGCCCCCGAGGAGCTTCATGCGACATTTCCATATGCAAATTCCTGCCTGAACAGCACAATATCGACTGTGCCGAGGTCTACCAGTACTACCCCGAAACCAAGGAGAGAAAGAGAATCTTGATGCCTGGTTAGGACCAAGTGCAACAAGTTCCCTTCCTCCCTACCCGGACAACCAGCCTAACCGACAGATCACGTCCTCGCCAGCTATTGGTCGCCCGACGTATCCCTTTGAGGCGTCGTCGGTCCGGTTGATCGATTCAAGGCCCATTGGAGCCTCCACTGTTGGACAGGATGCACGAATCCTTGATCTCTTGCAATAGGTCAACCGGTTTCCATGGTATTCTGTCACAGTTGGAAGCGGCCTTGCACCCTAGTCATCCGTACGGCCTGTTCCCCTTTCCCGGCACCATTTGCCGGGTTTCCTTTTCGTATTGTGTTACGTTAGAATACCCCTTCGCGTTGCATCCCCCTTCCCCAGTTATCCTTCCGGCATTATCTCTTGCACGTTGCAGGCTCTAGGTCTCTGCACCGCAGGCTAAACCGTCTCAAGACGAGACAGGGCGTGCCTTTGCGGCCTTAAAATCGGTATAGCAATAAAAGCTGATAAAACATTTCCTCTCATAATCCATGTTACTGATGTCTCTGAAGCTTGGTTTCGAGGGATCGTATTTGATATAGAGCTGTCCATGCAAGACGCGTAAGCTCGTTTGCGGAGGATTTGAAGCGCAAACGACCCAGCCGGGGCCTATGCAGTCCTCTGACTGTGGATTTCCTCTGCCGACTGGTACGTTCCAAGTACGGCGATCATCCACAACGTGGCGTGCGAAACACTGCATGCTCAGCATCACACCGTAGAGCGCAGAGTTCATTTCGACCTCAGAGCAGACACTTAACAACAGTCCGGGACATGGTCTGTTCCAGTACCGTCGGACTGCCTTGACGTTATTCTGGTCATGTCAATCTCTCACGAAAGCCATGCTCTTTCGCAGCTCTCTTTCTCTCTGCCTGGTTTGTAGTTCCAATCTTTCGATTGCATATTGCAGTCTTTCCTTTTTCTGCTGCAGTCGTTTCATCTCCAACATTCTGGAGTCGCTCAGGGCTGCCGGTTGTGTTGATCTGACATTTTGTAATGGGCGCGCATTGCCACCAAAACTCGAATTTCTCCTGTTCTTGTCCAATCGTCCTTCCAACAGTTCAGAACGGGCTTTCAAGCTCTCTTCTCTTCTGGCGAGTTGATTGATATGGTTTTCTGCAATGAATAGCAGCTGGTTTATAGCCGGAACGATCTCGTCATCGAGAGACTGCTGCGCTTCTCGTAGCGTGGGTTCTGGAAGCAACTCAAAGTGTTGCTGTGTCTGCAAGACCTTGCACAATCGAGGGAAATCGGACACGCCTTCGTCGAGGATGGATATGCTTGATTCAAGTAGCGACAGGGAAGATCGTAGGGAGGAGACCGCGGGGCCTAGCGTTGCCATCACGTATGTTCATACATGGAGTGTCAAGCGGGCATTGGAAGACGTTCAAGTTCCTCGTTGTTGTTCGTCGACCTAGACCGTTGCACACCTGGTAAACAGTGGACGCAGTGTCGCGGGGAACGCGCCGCGGCGGATTGAGTCCGATGGAAAACAGTGACAAACCCGCCAAAACTGCAAATTATGCCAAGCATTTCCGGATTCGGTCTAGCTTACCCAAAGCTTCAAGAACATCCGCAGCTTCAAGTTCACGATCCGTTGGCGACGAAGCTCCTCACGCAACCCAGTCTTCTCTACCAGACACCCATCAAGATGCCTGGATTCATTCCCAAGAAGTTCCCCGGCAAGATTGGTCAGTTTCGCACCGAAATTCTTGCATCACAGCATCTCTAACACTAACGGATAGCCGAGCCGATGGTCCCTTTCTACGCTGCTGGTCTCATCGTCCTGTATGCGATCAATGCCGGCGCCAACGCCATGATGGCTTGTAAGTGACGCAATCCGCGGTGGAAAGAATATCAGCAGCACTCGGCATTTTGCTTCGTGAGCGAATCGACTGACGTGTGGCTACGAAACAGCGGATGAATTCAAGAACGACCCGCGCAATCCCAACCAGGCGGCGTCCGGCACCCCCAAATCCGCGCATTAAAATCATATACAGCAAAGCTCTCTTGCTCCAGGCTTGATGCGACGAGAATCCCGACAGGAAAGCGACGACAATGGTGGCTGCATGACTCAAATGTACATATTCAAGCATAGACTGGGGATTGGAATTGATCGAAGTGCCAAAAGACAACATATACACCGATCAGGTTACTCAGTTCCCATTCTGCCCAATCTCGCCGCTGAAGTCTTTGTTTTAACTCTATTGGTGGGAAATGGGGTACAGACCGTGTGGACGAACCCAGGACATACAACCGTTGATCCTTTTTTGGCGGTGCTTATGTTCTGTACCTGCAGTGGTTCGTTTTCCTACACGGTGCAATCTCTCCCCTAAATGTAATGCTTTCCCGAGTCTTCGGTCTGTCTGCGCCTTCTTTTGATGCCAGACGGGCTTAAATCCTCGGGGGAAATGCAACCGGATTGCCTCTCCTCCTCTATTGCATCCTCAGTGACATCTCCAGTCACGATGTTGTTGCAATTTGACGTTGCATTGCATTGCTGCAACACACTCATCTGATTACCATGTTGACAGGAGTGTCAGAACTGACTGGCATTCTGACTTCAATCATGGTATTCTTGCCGCTGCTTTTGGTTCTCTTATTTGCCTCATCCTCGAAGCTTTCTCCGGCCGATGCTGTCTCGTCATTATTGATTGCCCAAAGCAAGTTCGAACCCTCTTAGCAGACATGTGTACTGTTAGTGCCTCATTTTCCGAGGACGACCAGACTAGACCGTTCGACATAGGCCCCAACTGCGAGCCCAAGCAGTATATATTGGCTATTTCAGGTCACCTCTTTTGCACTCTATCATTCCCACTCTGTGACTATTTCGGATCCTCCCGCCCGAGACCTCGGAGATGTTTTGTATCACTGACGGCAAGCCCCCGTAGATCATCAAGAGGCCGAGGGCCGCCATGAGGTGCCGGTGCCCGATGCAATGCAGACGTTCATGCCTCGCCGGAGGATGATGGGCTCTTCCAGAGGATCAGGATCTTACGGTCGAGTCTTTCCAGGATCGAACGTCCCCCTTAGGTCCATTATTGATGTCATTTTGAGTATGGTAGTAGTACTCCGGACAACAAATCTGAAATGTACTAAACCGACTGGGGATGGATCCTCATATTGTCTGTATGGACGAAACGGTAAAACACAGATGCTTTTCTGGCCTCCAAGACGCCTCCCTAGTAGGCTGAGAGTGTAGTATATTATATGTATCAATACTACGGTACCTGTCAGTGGTGTGCATCAGGGGCCTTGCACGGAAAGGCTGAGGACAAGGCTGTACCACAATGTCTATTGTTGTTATGTACTGCTGCATGAACGACCTCGGCTAATAAAATAGTCGGATACCGGCAAACGCCCCGGTAGGCAATCTGCAACCACGATCTCGGACGGCTATGATATCCTCGCTACTGTACAGATCCAACGTCTAGACAAGAAATCCAGAGTTCTGTCTGTCTTCCTTCACAGGGGAAACCAAATGTACGCTCCTTTAATTTGACTTGAGTGCGTGGTCGCCCTTTAGCCGGGCAATCAATCACGATCCCCAAAATCTCCGAGGTTACAGTTATTTACTGGATATAAAGTAGCACTGCAGCACTCCTATCACCTACAACCAGTGGAGCCAGCCCTTGTTGAAGGATCAGGTCTCCAATACATTGTGCGACGATTGAAAAGACTGTCCTCCTGAACGAGTTGAGTCCGTTACAAACATACCTTATTCAGAAATCCGGTTTCTGCTGTGCGTGGTTACCTTATATGAGGGAGGGGTAAGGTGGGAGGTCCTGGGGATAGATTACCTCCGTCAACTATAACCCACGCTGCACACCAAAAACGAAGACGAAGCAAAGCAAAGTCATCAACATGAAAGCCATTCAAATCACAAACTACGTGCAGAAATACTCGGAGTTAACGGTGAGCGATATCCCGCCTCCGGCTCTCCTGTCCTCGTCTTCTTCTCCCACGACCAAATCCACAGCAACAGAAACGGGAACAGGAACAACAGACGACAACGACAAAGTCCTCGTGAACATCACACACAGCGCGCTGAACCACGTCGACCTCCTGTACGCGCGGGGATTGCACCAGAACAACCACAGCGGACTGGTCAAGCCGCCGTTTGTGCTAGGGTTGGAATTCGCAGGGGTGGTTGTTGCCACGTCGGGCTCCCGTTCTGGATCAAAGTTTAAACCAGGCGACCAAGTGTGGGGATCCAGTGTCGGCGGGTTCGCGGAACAAATTGCAGTTCCGGCGTCGTCCCTTCAGAAAGTTCCCTCGGGATGGACGTTGCATGACGTTGCGGGCCTAGGAGCCGCCACGGCACCAGTGAGTTATGGGGCTCTGGTGCGCGTGGCGCAGGTCCGACCGGGCCAAATTGTGCTGGTGCACGCCGCGGCGGGCGGGTTGGGTGTTGTTGCTGCGCAGATTGCACATGCGCTTGGTGCTATGGTTATAGCCACCGTGGGCAGCGAGGCCAAAGCCGAAGTTGTTAGGCAGAAGTTGGGCACGAGAGTGTTGGGAGTCGTGCGGTATGATCTTGACGGCTGGGAGAAGGAGGTGCTGAAGCTGGCAGCATCAGCACGGCGCGACAACGACAACTGTATTGGTAAGGAGACTGCTGGGATCGATGTCGGCGTCGATGTCGTTTATGATACTGTTGGGCTTGTGGGAAAGAGTCTGCGCTGTCTCCGGTTCGGTGGATGTATTGTCATTGCGGGATTTGCTGGCCTTGGCGGGAAAATGGAGTCGGTCGCCATGAACCGCGTCTTGTTAAAAGGTGCCAAGTTATTGGGATATGTGAGTACCAAATCGTCTGTTTCCTTTTCTGGCTGTTTGATGTATCATGTTCCCACTTCACATCTTCTTGGTAGCTGGTGGCGGCGGTTACGGTCCCGGCTGTATACGCGAGCGAGTGGCTTCCCGTTGCAGTGTACTAGTCTTAGTATCGGAGCTGACGCACGCCATTCTACGGCTTGACAGAGATACGGCGAGACAGGACGGCGCCACCCGAAAGAAAACGAAGAGGTGTGGAATGGATTGAATCAACTGCTCGAGAGCGGTAAGATCAAGCCTATCATATACGCAACATATCAGGGGCTCGAGAGCGTCCCAAGGGCACTGGACGATCTTGCTGCAAGAAAGGTGTGGGGAAAAGCAGTTGTCCAGATTCGGTCTTCAACTTCACCGCCAACAGCAAGGCTGTGACGTGACTTGACATGACATGACTTGACACACGGTAAAGTATCATTACTAGAGTGGCGATTTCGAGGGCATCTTCTGGGCAGCATTAAAGGAAACGACTAAGCGGTTGGGCGACAACTCGACTTTGACTTTGGACCGGTTTGGTGGCTACATGTAAAGATTCGAATTTTGACCCAAGCAGAACAAGCTGTAAGACGAGCAAAAGACGGACCAACAGCACAGCACGGCACAGCTGCTCGCGACTCCTGGTTTTCCATTTCAATTCATGACCAATCCGCCATCAACGACCAGCTGCTGACCGGTGACGCCAGCGGCCCACGGACTAGCGAAAAACAATACTGCCCCTGCAACATCTTCTGGGATAGTGACTTTTCTCAGCGGGGTCACGGCTTTGATCTGGGCAAACACCTCCTTGGGCGTACTGGCACTCGCATCCGTGACGTCCAACAGTCCGCCTGCGACAAGATTGACCGTGATGCCCTTGGGACCCAGCTCCGCGGCACAAGTTCTGGTGAAGGCCAACAATGCGCCCTTGGCCGCCGTGTAGTCGTGGTACGGCACAACGGGGTTCTGGACAAGATTGGAGCCGATGTTGATGATGCGGCCAGACCCGATCCTCTCAAATCCAGGCAGGGCGGCTTGGGTCGTGTTGAGCGTCCCGCGAAGGAACCCCTGAAGCTGAGAGTCGAAGTTCGACCATGTGAGCTCACCGGCGGCCAGTTTGGGCCTTGCATCGCCGTTGAACTCAAAGTCTCCCACGATGGCATTGTTCACCACCGTCGTGATGGGTTGGCCGAAGTGAAATTCGGCCGTCGCGAAGAGCGCCTTCACTTGGTCCGGATCCGTGATGTCCGCCCCAATCGGGAACACTCCAAGTTCCTTTTCGAGATGGTGGATCCGCGTCAGGTCGGACTTGAAGTAGTTCAGTACAACTCGTGCTCCTTCGGCGCGGAAGGCTTTAGCGATGGCGAGTCCGAGACCTCGTGAGGAACCTGTAGAGCAGAAATGCTGGCGTGTGAGTAAATGGAACAGGTAGATATAGTCCGGTGATGATGCAAGCAGGTCAAGGTGGCCATGCAGATGTAGCAGGCCGAGCAATCCCATTGCCAACAATGTATATATGGCAATCTTGCACAGATTGAAGTAGCAATAGGAGAAATGAAACTTCCGCACCGGCTGCATCTGCCAGCACCAGTAGCAGCAGCAGAGTATGGATCATTGATCAAAATGAAATGCATTATTGCAAACTTGATTCCGCAACGCTTTGAATGACTTCAACGTACCTGTCACAAGGACAACCTGGTCCTGAAGCCTCATCTTCGCAACTTGAACGAACGCTCAGAATGCCTGAACAGTCTCTCTCTATGGTATAGCAAAACGAAGGATGCAATGCACTCTATGTGTCTAGATGTGATATGACTAAACAACCACAAAAGGCCATGTAGGTATCTAAGATATATACCTTTTGTACGATATGCGCAGAGTCGTAGGTAGTTGTAGTGTAGATGAGGTGCATTAGTGGGGCTCAATTAGGAGAAAGCCGGAAAGGTCATAGCGTACATGTTAAGGTACGCAATGTACACCAGGTATCCCAACGGTACGTTACCCGCAAGGAACTTCAGAAAAAAGAAAACCACCAAAAAAGACAGAAAAAAGAGAACCACCAAAAAAGAAAACTCCCAAGGGAGCTATAACAGAGGACATCCGACGTGGGACTCGAACCCACAACCTCCAGATTTCAGTTTTGTCGAACAGGTGCAAGTTGTTCACAGGATAGAAGTCTGGCCTATAATAAGGGGTTAACTTGATTGTTCAAACATCAAGTAGACTTCAAAGGTGTGAACTTACGCGCTACCATTGCGCCAGCCGGACAGGCTGGAGAATGTGCGCAAATCTCAGGCACTCCTGAGGCACATTTTCAGTGCTAAATTTGGCCTGTTCAAAATATATTGTCAATAATTTGTCCTCGATTTGAAAGGGAAAGTATGGCGAGATGACTAATAATTAGTGGGCTTATCGTGGTATGGCTGGACCAATGGGTTCATAAGGTATCTTTCACCAGACGTGTTCCCCCACCGAATGACGGAGTGCACGGTTAGTAGGTATGCACCTTCACGCTGCAGCTGCAGTCTTTCTTCACACGTTTGTGCTGGACAGATAAGGTATCCAGGACTGAACTGTTCACCCACAGGAGCGGTGCGGTTTTCAAAGCCTTGCTTCTATCAATAAGTGAAAACAGGGCATGTTATCATGTTCGGCTACGCCCTCATAGGTCCGGAAGCTGATGGGAATATAGTACCTACAGTAACAAGGGGGTTTGCACATGCTTGGATGGATATGAGGCATCGCTATGTCCTTAGCGATGATGATGATCATCTCCAGCACGATACGGTCTTGCAGAGGGTGAATGTAGATATTGTTCATTGTGAGGAGATCTCGGCATTGCCAAGGAAAACGAAATACCGCCGGCAACCTAGGAGGCACTGCGCACGGCGGATGAGATACTGTAGCCGAAAAGAAACCACTGCATTATTCTCCAACCTCTGCAGCAGTGTTGCTGTCAATATCATCTCAAACGCCTTAATAAGGCTCTTCAGGAAGATATAGTAGGTGTTGTATTGCGTCCATTCTTGCATCCGAACGTCCCAGGCCCCGTAACCGTACAATGGAGTCATACGGTAAATTGATCCTGACCACTGACTCCCAAGCCGAATGGGTCGAAAAACACTTTTCGAGCTTATTCGTCGTCATCAAAGATCTGGTACGTGTGGTTCAGAATCGTCTCGACGACTTTGGCCTGCCATCCGGCGTCGGCAATGTCAGGACCAGAACCGCCATTCGCACCACCTGGGCCATGCTGGCCCATGAGCGTGGGGGCAAACACAATCGCCAAATTGCTGATGGTCATCTTGTTCCGATCGCTGTGCTGGGCAACACGGTATAGATGGAGCGTCAACGCCCGTAACGTGGCATAGTTAGGGTCCGGCAGAGAGTTGACCAGAGCGTGAATCGAGTCTCGGCGCACAATATCGTCTTCCAGTTTGGCGGCCTCAATGAACGCATGGTACTGCGCGGCAGTGAGCAACGGATCCGGCAGTTCTCGTAAAAAGTGCTTGAGCAACGTGGTGACAGAGGCAATGTCGTTGTAAAAGGCCGCGGCATTGCGGAAGTCCACCGAAGTGGCATCTGTGAAGCAGTCGGTCAGTACACAATGCCACATACTGTACACTAGATATGAAATCTCTTACCATGATCAAATAATTGCCTCAGCTCCATGATGTGATGAGCGGACCCGGATGTTCGGTAGATGCCCTCAACATCGAGTCCATAGAGGTCGACGGCCTGGATACATTGCCGTACGATGGCGGGGACGGCAGCACCCTCCCGTTGGAACAGTTCATCCAGCGAAACCCCGAACACAGGCTTGACCGGAGGTCCATGCCTTTGACCAGACGGTCCTCTCGAGGTCGGAGAGGCGACGCTGCCACCGGACACGGGATGTTGCGCCCAGGGAGCTGCGCCAAGAGAGCCCTGCGGAGGTCTCTGAGAAGGGATTCCAGCCGATCCTGGACCAGGTTCTGCTCGGGGAAACCCCGGCGGAGCGCCATGTCCTGAGCCGAATGATCGCGAGCCTTCTCCTTGTATGCCTGCACCAGGTCTTTCTGCTGGTGCTGATGTTTCCGGTGAATGAGGTACCGTGACCTGCGAGAAAACCGTAGCTGGCTGTGACTGACCTCGTAAGCGTGGTTCCTTATAGCCGTAATCGGAAGGTCGTTCGAGTGAAGATCCTCGGGGCGGGCGGGACCCTATAGGGTCATTCGGCGACTGCGCCGAGTACCCTGATGGGGTACGCTGATCGACGGTGTTCGGCCCTGGCGGGAGATGGCCGTATTGCTGTGGTAGAGGATGCTCTGGCTCGATAGACGACACAGGAGAGCGAAAGTTTGACTTCTCAAACTCAGAAACCGCTGGCTGACCTGAAGTGCCCGTGACCTGTGCAGGAGGCGGGTGGTAGTGCCTATCGGGCTGACCTGTACTGACAGTCCCGGACGTTTGGCCCGCAAATCTGTCTGTTCCCAGAGTGTCAATCTGCGGCAGTTGAGGCGGCTCAGAAGGCGGCTCAGAACGCGGTTCATCCCGTTCAAAGAACTGCTGAGCCGGCGGCGGAGGCGGTCGAGGAGGAGGCCCGTAACCGGATGACGGGCCTGTTCCTCCTCCAATTACATACTGCTGTTGATGTTGCGGGCCTGGTCCTGGATAGCCGTCTCCTTGGTAAGGAGCCGCGCCAGACACCTGTCGACCATGGTGCTGGGGCGCATAGCTTTGTCCATACGGGTCCGCCGCCGGTGGCTGGTTGAATGGAGAATTCAATTGCTGCTGCTTGGGCGACAAAGCAGGATGCTTTTCGTACTTGATGTCCTTTGGTGCAGAGCTGGCCTTGCCACTAAAACTCAACACGTACTCAAGTAGATCTCTTTCGTTGTCGACGCTAGAAGCCACTTCGCGGAGGCTTCTGGAGGCCGGCGACTGTCCCTTCAATGGCGTGATGGAGAGGCCATAGCCCAGGATCAACTTCTCGGTCTGGCCGGCGAACTTCTGCATCTGCACGCCCACGCCAGCATCAATCTCTCTAATAAGATCCTGTAAGGCATTGACAGTCTGTGGCCTGTAGGTGTGCAGGAGTTCCTGCTGGATAGTCTGTGCAGCCTGCACTTTGGAGGCGTAGTCGCCGTCCGCGGCTTCAAGTTTACGATGCAAGTCTTCCTCTTGCTGCACAGCAGATTTGGTTCCTTTGATGCCAAACCGGCCTGGCTGCTTCTCTCCGGTCCTTGCTCGATCGTATTGCTCTGCCAATGAATTGTACTTGGCCTTTGCCTTTTCCATGGCAGCCTCGGCGTCCTGAAAGCGCTTCTCCGCATTCAATCCCGTTTGCTTCCAGTGTTTCCGTGCTCTTTCTGTATTGGCTGCAAGCTCCGACAATTCCTCCGACATGGCATACAGGGTGTTGGCGAACAGCAGACCATGGTCGGCCATGCGATCGTGGATACGCGTGATTTCTTCATAATTCTGTGCGAACGAACCTTGTCTGTTCTCAGGCCGTCGTATTTGGTCGTGGGTACTGCGACTTAGTCTTTTGAGTCCTTGCGCGTGCTTCTCTTCGAGGACAGATCGTTCTTTCAGAAAGGCGGCGAATTCCTGCTTCAGGTTAGCATGTGGTCAGAAGCAAAGCGCGAAACGAAAGGCGGCGCACTCTTGTAGAAGCAATGCTTTGCTTTAGCCTTCCGAGAAGTGTGGTTATTCCAATCTGGAAATCCGGTTAGTACTATACCGCGTCGAACACCGTGGCAGATGCCGCTTACATCGGAAGATAGAATATGCTGGAGGCGTTCCCTGTCCGCAGGGTCAGGTACTCCGTTCGAAGGACCGGCCAGAGGAGGCACGGGCGGTAGAGGGAGTTCATTGTCTCGCGATGTCTTTGGGGTCGTTGGGTCTGGCGACCGCGGTCCGTCGACCGGAGAGGTTGGTTCGACCGCAGTGGCCATGGCGGCCAGGGCGTCGCTTCGTAGCTCGAAGAAAGTCGGTCTGTGCTAGCCTGCGATTCTAGAAGGAAGTGCGCCAGTGGCCTTGCTGCGAGAGAGGGAGCCAAGTCGAGGGTGTATGATAGAGAAGGACGATGCGACCGCAAGGTGTGAAGCTAGATTCAAGAGGACTGTCGTGAAGCATGTCAAGCAGCAGGCAGATTGATTAAGTTGATTGATCTGCCTCAACCAGCGATCGATCCTTGCAGTGCGACGGCGCCCAAATTCCTTGTTTCCACCCTTCAACTGTTTTATACTGCAACGTATCTCGATCGGGCGGCCGAGCTACTCTTGCAAAGTATCGCACATTAATTTGTCCTTTTCCGAAATACCAGCAGTTGTGAATGACATATCGGTCCCCATCCGGCGCGCCAGCCTCGATCTATACACGGGCGCGTCGTCATCGGGACCAGGCTGCGCCACAAGTCGCTCCGACAGCTCATTTCACGACCAAATAGTGTCTACTACTACCACTACCTAGGAAAGTATTTGCATAACTATACATTGATCTTTTGCGAATTGAGTCAACATGTGAGTACGCCCGGGTTTCCCATATCGACACAACTTGAATCCCAGGACCGTGGCACGACAACAGACATTACCGCGCGTTGTCAAACTTGAACGCGGAGCCATGGCAACAAACAAGCAAAGGTACCATGTACAGTACCTGTACTTAGGTATTCATTCTCATTTTCCCGTCGATGATATACACTACTTGTCACCAGAAGTAGTCCCTTGACTCAGTATACGCTCAAAGTCCAGCGGCTTTTGGCCCCTCCGGACTCTCCACCGATTCGTACTCTCCTGAATTCTCGTTGCACTCCTCAAAAGAAAAGGCCATTTGAGCGCAAATCCTCTCGTGACTTCCCATCCATTGACATCCCAAGGCTCTCCCCAAGCAATGAACCCAACCTTGTGCTGGGTTTCCGGTTCCGTTCCAGCATCAGCATCTAGATCCACATCTAAGTCTTTCTTCCCATTACTAGAACCTACTTGGCTTCGCTCCGTAGAATCATCATCATAGTTTCCGTCCCCCACCATATCAAGACACAACTCGACATCGTCAATATTCTCCTCGCCAAACCGTAAAATATTATCTCTGAGGTCCGGGTCCGGGATGACATCCCACTGTGCATGATGTGCAATAGTCTTCTGGAGTTCTGTGGGTTGCAGCGTTGGCGGAAGCTGGCGAATCTGCGAATTGGCACTCTGAGACAGCGGCAAGAAAGGAGACGGATAGTCATCCGTATACATGAGATTCAAATCCAGACCAAGTAAGGCGACATTGGAAACAAACGCTCGGTATACGTTGAATTGGAGCAGACAGATCAGATGGTCGCGTGGCGGTGGGAGCAAAACACTATCTTTTCTGTCTCGTCCTCGTTCTCTTTGACATCGTGTCGCTGATGCCATGATTTCCGATCCTTTGGGACCAGTCAAAAATTTGTCCCATTCTTGATACGAGTGTCGACGGCGGATGGACAGGAATGCTGACTGTTGTTGTGTCGTCTTGTCCGAAGATGTCTTGACTGCTGAGGTCCAGTCGGCGACTACAGACTGGTTCGCGAGGGAGGTGAGTTCGTTAATGCTGCTCGAAAATGCTGAATGTTGACTGGCAGATCCCGAGGCCGACTCGGAGATTGAAGACGTGCTGCTGTTGTTGCTGTTGCTCTGTCGTGCTGCAGCAGCCTTCCGCCGTCCTGTCAACAGCTCAACTCCGGTTAGCGATATGCATACTACATAGTATACGATCTTTATATCGGATACCCTAGCAGGCAGGCAGGGCGTCCTGTTCACTTACTTGCCGCACGTTGGTTCACTCGATTCTGAAGTTTGCGCCGAATAACGGGATCCGTCACACCGACCCATTCGTCCTCGATGGACTGGACTTCGGCATGTGCTTTCGGCTTGGCCTTGATCCTCTTGGGGATAACAGTAGCAATACCAGACATTGCTTTGCTTAGCATACACACCTGCAATCACAACCACGACTCGGAGTTGAGTTGCCTTTTTGTCACTATCACGTGCGGGCGGCTCGGATCTTGAGCTTCTTTCAATTCGATTCTGGTCCCGTTAGATTCAGGTACAGTGGGTGGGTGACCATTGTGCAGGAGGCGTAGTACACTGACAACGCTCGGGCCCAGGAGACTTTTAAAATGCATTCTGCTGACAGGGTAGCCTGCGCTCTGTGGCATGGAAAGAAAGAAAGAAAGTTGGAACATGCCGGAGAACAAGCGGATTCGGACTCGGAATCGGACTCTTGATGAAACGTAGTGTAACTCTGTAGAGAGTCAGCGATGGCCTGCGAGGCTCCGAGGTCAGGAGTCGTAGTCGGAAGGATTACTACCAGTACTGGAGAGATGTTTATGCAACTTGCTGACAGGGTGGATCTCCATATTATCTCCGGGGTCCACTGCAGCATTCAGTTCCTCTCAGGCTGGGGTACACGGGCATCTATTGTACTACAGTCGTACACAGTCTTGTCGTCTCTACACCTTGAAATGAATCCCTTTCCTTCTAGTTGGGCCTTTCTACTCTTCCATATGTATGTCTCGACATCATGAACCAGCCATCGTTTCATAATTCAAGGCAAACGTTACAACATTCGACTAGGTAAGCTCAGCTCCCATTCAAGTTCTTCAGTTTCAACATATATCAACAGCGGAATCTGACGCTTCCACTCCCCTGCTCAAAGATCTCAATCTTCCTTCCTTCCTTCTGTCCTTTATATCCAAAGATCTCGCGACCACTCTCCTTGCGCACGAGCAGTCCATCGCCACTGGCTGAGATGTAGCCGGACCCTTGTTGCAGAATATGCACGGTACCTTCCCACTTACTCGGATAATGGATATTCATGCTCCCACTCCCCAAGACAGTATGAGAAGCATCAATGGCTCTCACGGCCTCTGTGGATCCCGACGGCGCAATGACCTGGATATTTTGACTACCGGACTGCGTACTTGTGGAAATGTTGGAGGGAGCGTGGTGTTCCGACACGCCGAACGTGAATACGTCGACCGAGACGGACGCTGAGTGAGTGTCAATGCGAAGCGAGCCACCATTACCCACAATAACATTTCCAATCACGCTGCCCGAATGAGTGGAGATATCGGTCTGCAAGATCCGTTCTTGCGCTGCTTTTGGTACAACCGTGGGTTTGCGGAACAATCCACCCCCAGTTACCATGCGAACACGCACACTGCCTGACTTACTGGCGAGACGAAGAACAGAGGGTTTGTCGCCTGGTTGCACTTCGATCGTCACAAAGATGCTGCCGCTGGTCGTAGACAAATCCAGCAAGTCATAAAGTTGATATGTGCCCCTGATCGATCGGCTGGTCTCGTGTTCGCGGTGTTCGCGTTTCTCAGGCGGCCAGCTTGAATTGGTCGGAGATGAGTCCGAGGGGAATGCATCGCCCGCCTTCGGCTTCTGCTTTCCCGCAATAACATTCATCATTAGCCTGAAGTTCTTTTGGGGGTCAGGGCAGGCACTGGTTTTCGCTGCTACACGAGAAAACGAGTAGGAGGATAAGGTATGTTATACATTGAAATGCGCCTTCAATAAACCCGGGATCAGCAGCCACAGGCACAGAACGAGGGCAAAGACGAAAAAGCATGTGCGTTTAAATCGTCGTGCTTTTTCTTGGTCGCAACAGCCCCGCCCCCCTCCCTGACGTCGCCCGCCGCACCCTCGATGTCGTCGATTGCCCCGGCACCCTCTTCTCTTCGAGGTCCGTCTGCCCGAGGATGGCCTTAAATGTTCGAGTACTGTCGCGCGCTGATGGCATGGAGAATCCAAATGCGATTGGTGCAGTACGGGCTCGGGAAGGAGGGCACCGTCATCGTCATCGTCATCGTCGTTCAGGGGATTCGCATCATGATTGCCGCAACAATGCTCATTGTCATGCTGAGGCGGGCATTGCGAGCGCAGATGCGGATGGGATACGGCAGAACTCAAAAAAGGGACAGGCGCAGGACCGGGGCCGCTTACTTGCTCTGGCTCATATGCATATGCTGGCATCGGCAATGGTGGTGGTTCAGACCTTGCCATCAGAGGAGACGAAACCGTGGTATCTGAGGGCGTGTAAATCGGCGGAGGGTCCAGAGTGTCATTAGGCTCTTGCAGGATATGAGAGTGGGAGCTAGAGTATTGCGCCTTTCTCGCCTCCTCGCAATCGTCGACCGTCGAAGCCGCTGGAGTTGGGTTCGTGGCAGGTGTCCCACTCCCGCCCACAAATGTGTCTGCCCATGAGCCTTGCGAGGCCAGCCGCTGAGCCTCGAAGGCGGCGGATCTTGACTTGTCAGAGTCTGATTGTTGCTGCGAGATACTAGTAGGAGGATTGGCAACCAATCTATCCGACTCGGCAGGTGTGTCGTCGGCAAAGGTCTCGTAGTCTCGAGGAGGGTATTGTTTGTGTATCGTCATTGTGAGGGTGCGAAGCGGGATCAAGTTGAGGGCGGGGGAAAGAGTGAAATGTCTCTTGTACTATTCCTGCGCAGTGCAGCTCAGGGCAGCATAGACTTGACCTTGAAATTGTATACACAGCCTTCGGCTAACAAACAAGACAAATAGCTCGATGCGCGACCAGACACGAAAAGGAAGCCGGACAAGCTGACAGTTCCGCTCAACCGCAAGAACAAATACAACAGAAACGAGCCTCTGATGCCAGTGTCCTCGGGCGGTGGTGGTGATGCGGTGGAGGGGTGAGGGTCAGGTAGCTACAGTACCTGCACAGGAAGAGCCCATCCTCGATCTGGAGACAACTCGTATTCGAGCATGGAGAGACGGCGGGCCTCAGGCAGCAGCGTATCAACCACTGCTACTTGTTGGAGTACCAGTAGTATGACATGATGCACAGCCTCCACTGGCAGGGCACGGAACCATCAGGCCAGAACTGTCCTTGTTCAAAAGGGTTTGGGCAAAACTGTAGAAGACCCTGGCCGCACAGGGAACCCGTGAACTTGAAGGGCGACAATGGGAACATTCTTGCGAAGAAACACGTCGATGGACGAACTGACTGGTGGAAGCTCCCGGGGCCCACGGGGCGCTTTTTCTGGGTGATGGGTTTGGTTCCCTTCTACAGTACTGGCTGGGCGAGAAACGATCAGGCCCCCACCTCCTGCACAAGCCAACATCAGAACGCGGTGAAGCTTCAAGTTTGAAACGAGCGTCCTCGATAAGGCTGCAGCAAAGCGTCCCTAGATGGTACGTACGTAGGTAGTTAGGTGAAAGGAGCCAGATTAGGCTCCCTCGCTCTCTGGTCCCGGAAGGTCAAAAGTAGGCAGATTGGATGCCTCCTATCTAGCATAGTCACTTGTCGGGTTCGCTTACTATGCGCCTATTCCGATCAATCTCACCTTAAATACTGTAGAAACTTGCGGATTGAACGCTCTGTTTCCAAGGGGTTCCATTCAATATATATTTGCGGATCCTATTCCTACTCGTGAGCTCGTTCAGGACCCTTTGCGCGGCCTTGGGGGTAATTACGTTAGCACTAATAGAAGGCCGCAGCTGCGCTATACTAGGAAAAAACGGTGGAAAGCGCATCAAAAGTCATAGGTGGTGATTACGGTGGCTATGCAGAACAATACAACACCCCGCGGGCAACTTGCCTGCGCCCGGAAGTCACGTGAGTAATATGATAATACGGCTGTTTGAATATGATTGTAGCCGAATTTTGACCAATAAATGTGGTGCGGCTATAGCTCAGGTAAATTGCTACGTTCTGCATCAAATTATCATCTGCTAACTCACCAACAGCTGGGAGAGCGTGGTATGTACAAGTCATCGCCTTTACTCGCAGTTAAGCTAATCTCTAGCAGAGACTGAAGATAACTTCGGTTCAGTATATCTCAAGGTCCTGTGTTCGATCCACAGTGGCCGCAATCTTTTTTTTTCCTCTTTGCTTTGTATTCAGATTGATTTAACGCCACGTGAATCCTGTATTAAATTCACTTTTCTTACACTGAAACTCAACTGCCGCCCTAATAGTAATATCGAAGAAGTAGGATATGCTTAGAAATCAGCTTATAGAGTATATTGAATTACTCACCACTACTCCGTACCAGGCATCCATCGGCAGACATTTCTCGGATCCCGTGTATACAAAGTACATAGGGACATCCCCCATCCCACAAATACCATGGCACCATCTTTACTCTTCAATTCCCGTCTCACCACAATGTCTTAGCATCGGGTGAAAACTAATGAGGCGTCGTCCAGTGCACGCAGTACCCTCAAATACGCCATGAAAACCCGGATAAATCAACGTTGCCGCTTCCTCAGTGAAGTGGTGTATTCACTGCCAAATATCAACAAAGGTCTCGTCTTCCGAGCTCTGGCAGCACTGCCTACAATGTGTCACTATTCAGTCTGAATATTCCGCCTACGTTGCGCGTCATGGTGTGGCTCTACGCCAGCAACTCTTCCATTCCCATTTTCGTTATCCTTACGACCGCTCTCCTCTATGTGCAGTTGACATCATGCAGAACTCGTTACCTGTCGTACCTCCACCTGAATGCCTTATGCCCGAAAACAGCCGTGATATCGTGGGTCTTGTGTATGAAAATCTTTGCAACTTCCGCGCTTCGAAGATAGAACAGAGACAACAGAGAACTCCAGAATCTGATGGAAGCCCAAGTGCTTCTCATGACTTCACCATTGAGGCCGATGAGGCGACACCTCGAAAAAGTAAGCGATACAAGTCTTCGACAGCTGACGCAAAACAAATCCGTCCGTCGAACAATTTCAATCCTGACCAGCGATCCAACTCAGTCCTTGAAAATGCCGTGGGCTCGGAAGTTCCCTCGGAAGAGACAAGTCTCCATGGTTCAGATCTCGCACTACGATTCGCCATAGAAGTGGTCTCTAAGCTTCATGAGAAGGAGCTGGATTCGTTTATTAGTTTTCTCCACAAGGAAGACACGCATGGTGTTACAACGAATTTGCAACAACTTCTGACCAATGAAATCGAATACTTCCGTACACAAGAGGCAGGCTTCACCAAAGAAGACGCGCATGGGATTGCACAGCCTGCGGGCAATCCGGATTGCGACCTTGGACTAATACTACACTGTCAATCCAGAGAAGGTGGCGTTACCAAGTTCTGTGACAAGGGCAGCCAGACCATTCAACTGCTTTCCAAAAAGGGCTTGGGCCCGGACGTCGTCTTTGCATACGATTGGCATTGGAGAGGGGAGGGGAGTGCGCGAGGACGCAAATCGACCTGTCCTGCCTCACGTTGGACGAAGGAAAAGCTCCAGATGCACCACCAAATGTCTCACCGTCTTCTAGAGATCTTGCCAGTCCCTTTCCTGATTGTGGGCGGCCGTTGTGCAAAGAAGCATTATCAAGAAGGCAGAAAGCATTTAGCTAAAGTGCTCAATGTCAAACTCAGTGGTAACACTTCAATCGGCTTCGAAATCCTTTTCAAAGACCAGAGTGTGCGGCGCATAACAGCCTTTGTCGACCACCCGGTGGCATCAACGTTCAACCCGAATGCAACTGCACAATACTCTCTACGATTGGACGCTGGCCTGAATTTCATGATGTGGCTGTTAGGACTCCCGCACGACGAGAGATCCTTCACCGAGACAGGAGCCAAATTTCAAAAGGGTATGCCAGGCAGTGCTCCACTTAAAGAAGTGCACGAGCACATGAGAATGGAAACCAACCTCAACAGAACCCTCACAGTCCTTGAATATGATTCTGCCTTTCTGAACTGGGCTAGTATGACGCTGCAAGAGGATGTTTTCAAAATGCTGGATGAAGGGCAGTCAGTGGCCAGAGCTCTTCGGACCAGAATCAATAACAGCATTTCCAAAGGGTTGCTGGAGTCGGAGAAATTCGCTGCAGCTAATCGCCGCCGAAATGCTGCCCGATATGGGTTCGAATTCAAAGAGCTTTGGGATGCAGAGGAGGTCACACTCACGGCAAAAGGGTATATCTCACTACATTTGTCGGAAGAGAGGCGTGCGCTCAAGATTTTGGTTCCCTTGGAAGCGAGGAAAAGGTGTCTAGCTGCACAAGCGAAGAACGAAAAGACAGTCGTATTCTTCACCCAAACTGGGGTGGAATTGAAGCTCGGGGAAGATTTGATTGTCACCCTCTCCATTGACGAGCTACGGAAACAGCAAGGATTTGGACAAGAAGGTGTTGACCAGCATCACATGGAACTTGAGAGGAAAGGGGAATTGAAGAGGAAAGACAACGGCGAGTCTGAATTAAACTGGATGGTGAACAGTTGAAACTTGCTATTAGAAGAATTACCAGGTTCGGTCGGTGTTCGGTAAGTTTTGGTCACTAAAGATTATCTGGAACAAGTGCCTGGCTGAGAGGCAGGTCTAACCGGTCGCTGGGGGCCAGATTGGGCCCCCTTTGTACCTCGGGCGTGCTTAGGGTAATTATCATTGGGGGCGTAGGTCATGCTCAGGGAGGCTCAGCTAAAGGTTCAGTCAAAGCTCAAGATAAAGCGGCCTTCGCTCACCCTCTAGGATCGAATCGTATTTGTCAACTAGGTTTTTCGTTCGCGAGTAATAGAGGTAGTTGTACACTCAGTAATAACATATCCTGCTGACTTGCTGTATCAGATCTCCACAACAGCGATGGCATAGAGATACCATAAGGTGATGCAATCCTTATAGCTGCTAGGAGGAGAGGCAAAGAGCACAATACTACTAACCTTGGAAGACACAAACAACAGGCACGATCAGGTATGTATTATTAGTAGACCGGGCTGCTCAAAGATACCAATGATCTGCCACGGTCCTATGACTTCTGGTCAACTGCATTATTTCACACAATTTTCGCCTGTTTCGCCTCGCCTCGCCGAGCAGTCTTTATGTCCCAGCTTGAAGCTCGCATTAGTTCTCAGTTCCCGCCCTGGCTTGACGGTAATGGACGTGGCCCAGAAGAGATATCCCAACGAGAGTCCCGTTTCAAGAACGTCAGTGAACGTAGTACACAACTCCATCGCTGATGCTGCGCGCTAAATAGTCGATTCTGAATGCCACAGTTGAACGCAAATTCACAATCTCGCTGACCATCTTGCAATGCTTTTTGGGGAATACTATCGCTTGCAAGAACAAGACAGCAATGCAATGCCTCATATGTTTCAATTTCACGCAAACCCCAGATTCTCCAGGATGGCTCGGGCCTCATTCTGTGGGAGACCGGCCACGCCCAACGCTCGAACTTGACTGCCCCTCCGTAGCCGCTGGAGTCCGATGGCGACTTTCCAGCCCTCGCTTTGCGACAAGACAAAAACGTACTTCTTTCCTTCTTGGTCTCGAATGCTGGCACGAAGAACGTGTAGACCGCCGAGTTCGCAGCTCTGTGATAGGATCGTGTCAGTACTAGTATTGTCATGGTCATTTTCCATTCGACGATGGGGCATCCTGGACCGGAGACTGTGGGTTGTAGCTGTTCCAGGTACGGCTATCTTGCAGCCTTCCGTGCAGCTCAACAACAGCCTGCTGACGAAAACTGTCGAATCATTCTGTGAAGGGGATGACTTTTGCCTCGCATCGGCACTAAGTCCAAGGGAATAAATGCGTTTGGGGATTCCAGGGGTTCCTCCAGGGTTCAATACGGGACACCATACCTCTGCCAATTTCATCGTCCAAGCCTTAATATCCCACTCTCGCTGAGGGACGCCCCGGACGTCGTCGTCGATGAACAGCCCTTCTGTGGTAATCCGCAGGATCAGCCCGTCGGTGACATTGCCTTGGCCAGACCGAAGTTGCGAGATGGGAGTTCGCATAAAAGCGTTATTGAAGGAGAAGACACCCTTGATCATGATCTTGTCGGGATCCTTGGTGGAATATGGGCCTCGCATAGATGGAGGTGGCGTTGTCCTCGCCGTGCTCTCTGACGGTGCGTACGATGATTCCGAGTACATCGAGGCCGCCGAGTTGGCCTTGTGTGTTCTTTTGGGCCGGTCATATGGTCTGAATGAATAACTGTCATCTTCACGCTCTGTTCTGGCCGAGGGCATGGGGGGACGCTTCGGTGGTGATGCTTGCGCCGCTGCCGCAGCCGCAGCTGCTACTCGTTCTTGTCTTTCCTTTTCAGCCTGGGCGGCGGCGGCGGCGGCAGCAGCAGCCTCCTTTTCCTCCCGCTCTTTCTTTTCTTTGCGTTCGCGCTCAAGTCTCTCCAGCGCATCTTTTTCTCTCTGCTTTTGTCGCTCCCTTTCTAGTTCTTCCCTTCGCCTCTTCAACTCTTCGGCGCGTTTTCTTTCTTCTTCTCTCTTCCTCGTCTCTTCCCTCGCTTTTTCCCAGCTCGACTTCCCACTTGTGGTGTTTGCCTTCGTATTGGCCTGGGGTCGCTGCCAGGAGGACTGCGGAGGAGGTGCATTAGTCCCGTGATTGGGAGGAGGAGGCGGCGGTGGTGGTGGTGGAGGTGGACTTTGTGCATGAGGTTGAGGTCCTGGTTGAGTATGGGAGTATGATCTAGCATTGCCATAGCCTGCACCGCTGCCCTGGTGAGAGTGACCACTATCACCAGGAGCAGGCGGAGATTGCGCCCATTCACCCTGTGTCTTTCCAAATGCCCAGGCCACCACTGCAACACCACACATGATCATGACCACGCCGCTCCCTCCACTGTTGAAGGTATCTAGTAGCCATGCTTTGACAACCGGCACCGCGGTGGCGTAGATGAAGAATGCGGCAGCGGTGCAAAAAACACCAGCCAGAAAACTGTTGCGCTGGGTCTGTAGGGAGGGCAGATACAAAAACCCCGAGCCAGCGGAATGCGGAGGAATGACAAAAATGTCATACTTGCCATCAGGCAGACCGCCCGACCTCCCGCCCTGCGTGCCAGCGCCGGGATGGGAGCCATGCGGCGGCGGAGGTGGAGGGGCCTCCATGAGAGCAGAGCTCCCCGACGGGGACGGGACTGACTCAAATTGTTTACCTCTCCGCACAGACAATGTGTATCGGCGGCCGCGAGAGTGACAGGACCTTCTTTTTCATATTAACACTAACTGCGCAGGGGGCAGCAAGAGGGTCGTGTAGAGTGCGACACTTGAATCTGGGACCTAAAGGCACTTGCACCGAGGCGTAACCGGAAACGTAAAGATCTAGGGCGCAGTCTTGTGTCGGTGACAGGATGCAGTAGAGGTGTGGCTCGATGGGAGGAAGAGTTCAACTGTCTGTACCGATCGAATTGGACCGTGAACGCGAACGGTGACGGCGACGGTGTCGGGTTCTTGAAGCAGGGAACCAGACCAGAACTTGACCCTGGTCTTGTGTTTGGGCTGACGCTACTACTGTACTAGTAGGCTGGTGGATGTGGATGGAATGGCAGCAGACCGACGGTGCAGTGATGGGTTGAGGGTCATGCCAGTGTTCCGGGGAGCTAGAAAGACGTTCGTTCGACGGTAGCCCTGGTCTTGTACAGTATCAGCCATCGGACCCAGCCAGTGGGATCTGACAGTGGATTGGATCTGCAAGTTGAAAGCGACACTGCAGTTCCAGCAAGTAAAATACCTTAAGTGCAGTGCAGTGGCGGACAATGTTGTGCGGTGAAGTGATAGTCAAACTTCACTGCTTTAGCAAACGTAGACCGCAGACAAAAGGGTGAGAGACTCAGGTTACGGCCACCGCAGATTCTGCCTGTGATCAGCGGAGGCAGCAGTCTCTGTCTTCTTTCTTATCACATTGCTTCTACACCTAGCCATACGGCTATGACCCAATTAACCGTTGTAGTATGCAGTAACTACATACGCGCACAGGCAGAACAACAACAATGGGACTCTACCTAAGGATCCATCGGACACTGACTGCATTGTATGCGAAACCGAACCCCAAGCGAAGAAATAGAGCTGCAAAACAATGGCACTAATCACCAATGGGATCCATGGCCAGCAACAAGACCGTTGGAACCAAGGATAGCAAATATATCTCCCCCGGACAAATCAAATGGTTGAGCACATCGTTCTAGCCGCTGATAGGCAGCAGCATTGATTCAGAAAGTGACATGCCCAGCACACCACGCGATTGTGCTGCAAGCCTTAGCACGGTCCTAGTCAGGCTGCCGACACCGGCTCGAGGACAACGAACAAAATGAACAAACGACCCATGGCCACGTCGTGCAGGCGGTGAGGAAGAGGCTGCTGTGATGAAGAATCCCAGGCAGAGGAAAAAGTGACATGGAACCACGCGGCCGCCGCCACTGCAGTTCAAGTCGATGATGGGGCGATGATAAACAACGCGATGGTTGGTGGTTGCTTTGGCAACACACGCCTCGATGCATTTCTGCTCCAGACTAGACAGGGATCGAGATACGCCAACTAACACGAAAGCCAACAACGGTGCAGTGACAGGGACACCAGCATCGGGGGTCGGCGGGCGGCTCCTCCCTCAGGCTCGCGGGCAGAGCCACTACTCAGCCATCATGATCTTTAGTGACCACACAAAGGACACGGTTCAGACCGACAGCTCCACGAAATGGGGATAGACTGCAAATCCTCCATGCACCGCCCCAGCGGCCAGTTCAGTGGTGGGCACTGGCACTGGCATGCGACACGTTTTTCCCTCTCTTCTCTCCGAAAGGTCCGTCCCGAAAATGCAAGATGAGATCATGCTTTCTTCGACTGCCAGTGTTTAACGATTAATGAGTCGTGCTATGCCGCATGAGTTTTCTGCAAGGAGCCGAACTTGAATTTCGTTCAGAGCCGGGACTAGGTAGCATTTATTTCACAAGGGCGGTTCAATGTGAGGCTTTGGTTGTATGCATGCAGAAGTCACTACAAACTAACCAGCACGTAGGTGCTTGAGTCCTAGTAGTATGCAGCACACCAGGCGCTCTGCATGTTACACAATGTAACCACAACAATCAGCTAGCCGAGACGAACCATGGAGGGCTGTGTGACTACTGGGTGTGATATGATGTGATGTCTATACACAGCTGGCACTCTGACAGCCATGCGCTGGCCAATACTTTAGTCTTATCCTGACACCCGGCGATGAGCGGCTGTCAGGCTTTTGGCCCCTTTTGCATTCGATTGTTTGAGGTCTAATCATTGTTGACACTAGAATGTCAATCGAAACCTCTCCCGGATTCGCGCTCCAAAGTAATAGAACAACAAAGGACTCGGCGCGATCAGAACTGCCACAAACCCAAAGCAGCTGATCCCCCAGCCATATCCGACCTTATCAAACAGTTTAGGTGCAAACAACGGAACGACTCCGCCGACCAGACTCCGGAATACAGAGCCTCCTGCAATGGCAGAGGCGGCGTATTCTGAGAACGAGTCAATGTAGTAGTTTTGAACCGCGTTGAAAACCACGACTTGTCCGACGCCGTAGAAATACGTTGCTGTGATGCTGGCCATCCAGTGCACACGGTACTCTACCGTCCATGCAAACCAGAAAAGACTCACAGGAATCAAGATGCTGCCTACGTTGGCGAGAGGCAACCTGAATTCAGGTAGCGATTTTCCGCCGTTCTGTTTCGTCAGGCGATTGAACACGGTGTCGATGCGAGGGACCAAGAGTCGCACAGAAGTCAAGAAGCCCAATCCCGCGCCCAGATACAGTAGTCCAATCTGCTCCGAATTGAAGTTGTAGGGCGCATCCGAATAAATCTTCTGCATGTTGGTATAGATGCTGTAAGTCGTGCCAAATATCAGAGCCTGGTACGAGCTCATGGTCAAAACGATCGGCTGCACGAAGATGACGAACGGCCGTTTCATGCTAGCCCGGAGTTTCTTCCACAGCGGACGCTCGTCTTCACCATCGAAATAGATCTTGGAGTTCTTTCCGGTATCTTCTTGAAGCTGCGCTTTCCGCCGGCCGAGAAGGACTGGTACGTATGTTTCTCGAAGCAAGAAGTACCCTATGCCGGTATTCACAGCGCAAACAATGGTAAGGATCTGCGACAGAGCTACCGGTGTTAGTGACAATCATCCAACAGGCCTCCCTGAGTGACACGATTAAGACCCCCAGACCAAGCCCTAGTGAGGATGGTTTCCGAAAACTGACCCAGTATATCCATCTCCAGCCTAGTCGACTAACAATGACGCCTCCGAAAAGAGGACCCAAAGTTGGACCTACACGACAACACGACGGTAGAAGCGGTCAGCCTTTATAAGCACGGGTATGCCACAAGGGACACAGAATCAGGCATCAAGTATCGAACTTACCCAACAGCGGACCCAGCAGATACCAACCAAAAACACCTGCCCGCTGTGAGGGCTCGTACATGTCAGAGATGGTTCCACCTCCGTTGGCCAACCCAACACCTGTAGCCAGGTTAGCAACATGAACAATATGATACTTTCTTACTCCGGCAGAGTTTGCAGGGAAAACATCGGTGATATATGGCTTACTCCCAAAAAATCCAGAGACAGCTCTCAATCCAATAAGCGTGCCGACATTCGGACTCACAGCCGCCCCTATCTGCAGGACCGTAAACACCGCAAAACACCAGATGTAGAGCACTCGACGTCCGAACGTCTCGGAGAATGGCGCGAGCACCAACGGCCCAAAACCTGACATGATCACAAACCCAGTGGTGGTGGCGATGACCGACTGCTCGTCGGTGCGTAGGTCTTGTGCGATCTGTGCGATGCCCGGCGTGAACATGGAGCTGGCAAGCGGAGTGAGTATGGCCATCAAAGCAATGATGGCCACGTTGACCAGCTTCTTCTTCTTGGACCAGGCCTTTGGGTTGGACTCGTCTTTTGGCCCAAACGAGATCTTCTGTGCTTCTGGATCTGGGACGCTATCATCGCTGGTCTGGCTTGCGCTCTCTGCAGCCGTGTAACATGCTCCAGAGTGGGCTCTGGGAACGTCGGGACGTAAAAGAGGTTGCTCCTCGTCATCTTGACGGTGAGACATAGGAACAACAGGGATAGGATTGATATTCCGGGAAGGTCATTTGGGTACAATCTCAAGCACTTCAAATTAACGCTGGAGCAACGGGAGACAGCGAGACAAGACTGCATAACAAGGTGAAATGGGCTGTAAACACTGAGCAAAGCCGAACTTGAAGGGAAGTGAAGGGCAAAGGGAGGTGTAACGCAATGCAATGCAATGCAGTGGTGACGAATCGACACAGAAAATAGACTTCTTTCGTCGTGGCCTCATCTCGTGTCATTGGTTGCGTTCCTGGTTTGGAAGGCAGCAGCTGCCGTCCACTCACAGTCAAGTTCAAACCCTCGAAACACCGCAGAGCGTGATACGGTATCTCATTAATGGTAAATTGCTGCAGCCATAAAGAAGCCACGAATTATCTCGCGTCCACCATCAAGACCTGTACTTCAAGTCCTTGTGGCGCCAGAACGTGACGGCGCACGCGCGCCCAGCATTGATGACAAAGAATTGGGAAATGTATGAAGCCGTATGAGGATGTATTGTAACGGTGTTGTCGCATCCCAAAAACCTCGTTAGGCTGCTCATGGACCTCAACCTCTTGAGACCGTGCTTTGGTTCCACGCCTCCTTAGCTGCAAGTTGATCTCCCACTCCCCACTGAACTTGACCGTATGATCTTTAGCCCATTCCCATAACAGCTCACACCCGCACAAAACCTTCAAAATGCTACACAAAACAATTTGCTCTCTGGCCTTGGAGAGATTCCAGGAGCGAGACTAGAAATCCAATCCTGTCCTACACCTAACCTCCATCGTTCTCAACACCTGATGCAGCCAAAAAGATCCACAGCGGAGACGAGTGCAATGTAGTACCCCCGCACACGAACACGCCGGGCTTGTAATACGTTGATTTCCTAGTCTTGTTTGCCAGCCACGTCCTTTCCATCGAAGATGAGGCCGGCGTCCTCCAGGTCATCATCGCGGTAGCTCAGATTGCTGTGTTGTCGCTTGTGGCAGGCTCCGCATGCGTTTCGTCGGCCGTCACATCTCGTTCGCCAGGCGTAGAAGAGGACGGCGATGAAGGCTCCCATGAGAACAAAGGTAACGGTCAGTGCGGCGATGTCAATGAATGGCTCTGCGACGTTGTCGTCTTGGGGAGCTTGGTTGATGTTGACTGGTCCACTCGGCAGGTGTACTTCGGTCGTAGAGCGTGCCTGATTCGGATAGATAAGAGACATGATTTTGGAAGATAGGCGATGGCAGAGTAGAGGTTTTTGATTTCCTTGCCGTCTAGGAAAACTGGTCAGACACTGGACATGACTACATGCCTCCGGGGCTGTTTCAGCCACGATTGACGGCGGGCCTGATAAGCAATCTGCAAGTGACCCCTACCTTGCGGATGCGTTCTGGCTTTAAGATGAGCCGATAGCTTGGGCAGTGTGGAAGCTTGAAGGTTGAAGCGGCGGTTCTTGTGGGTTCAAAAGATTTCCAAAGACAAGATCTGCTATGGCGTTGACAAAGGTTCCCGAGAAAGGGTGCAGTTGAGGGCGAATGACGTGTCTGGGCACCCCGATCCCAGTGAAGCTTTGGAAAACAGTTGAAATTCACCGTCAATGGCTGGGAAACCGACACACACAGATGGATGAGATCCTGCCCAAGATCGATTTCTGACAATTCACTTGAATCCGCGGGTTGTTCTTGTGAAGGAAGACCGAAAACTGCCTCGTTCATGCGCGCGGCACTAAGGCAGGAAACCAGTATAATGGCAGCATGGACCGATCGATATCCTTGCTGTCCACAAAGTGCATGCCAATCAGTATCGTCATCTCTCCTGGCCTCTTTCGTTCTTCCGAGGCGGCTTTACTCCCTTTGCATCTTTGCGAGCCAGAACAGTGGCCATCCATTCCTCGAACTCTTCCTCCGCATCTTTTTCTGTCTTGCCCGTGCCATCAACGCCTAGTCCGCCTCGAAGTAGGCTCCTCGCATCTTCAATGCTATTGATATTCAGGTACCACATTGTTCCTCCCGTTGCCATCATGGAAAGACTGAGGACGTTTATAGTCGCCAGATTTAATGCCTCCAAAGCCTCCATCGCACCACTGACCTTTTTGGCTTGTTCTGCTTGGTGGCCCGGAGCATTGGCATAAAATGCTGGGTTGGACAATCGCTTTCGTGCGAAGGCCCTGCGTGTCACCAAAACCGAAAAGGTAAAGAAAGCAAGGCCCGCCCCGAATATGACCTTGCCCCTGTCCGTTCGTGGTGTCTGCGCTTGCTGCGGAACAGCTGGTGTAGGACTTTCGGCAACTGGCTCTGGCTTGGTCAATGCAGATACCTCCTCCAGCATGCGCTGGTTGTCTGCGTCGGCAGTGCTGGCGGGTGATGGAGACGGCGTCTTCGAGGACCAGAAGAGGGAGGTAAACCACGACATTGTGAGAGTGAGTTTGAAAATCACGGTGCTTGATACAGTGACCGAGAATATTGGTGGATTGTAATGCCTGCGCAGTCACGGTATTGTCGTGTGGAAAATGTGAACGGAGATCAAAATCATAGTAAAGGGAAACCTGCTGCACGTGATGTACTCCAATGCTCAAGCTGTGGGGACAAGGCAGCTCCAAACTTACTGAATATCGATCATCATCTTCTACCACTGGCACCACTGACCACGGAACTGCAGAGGCTAGGGAGGCCCCTGGTCGGGCCTTTTGTCACCACACGATAAACAAGTCCCTAGGTAGTATTTGAAGGTCCAAATCTCACAGAATCGCACCCAACTACTTATTGTAGGTACCCGGCAAAAGCCAACCGTGGCAGATCCCATGTCATCACGAGCCGCAGATGTAATATCAGTCTGCAAGCACAGCACAGTACAGTACTTTTACCGCAACTCTAGAGACTGGTATGACAAACCGCTGCACGACATACCATAAATTTCCAATCGAGCGTGCATCATGATCGCCAGATGCATACAGGCATACAGTACCGACGATGCCGCCGTCCTCAGACTTCCGTGCGTTTGCAGCCAGGGGTCGACACAGACCAAGCCTGCTTTAGGTATTTCACCTGCTTATAGTGGCAATCATGGTCTAATTCATGCGCCAACATCGCATTTTGACAGCTGCCACGGCTCAGTCCAAACTGTGATGCGTGCTGAACCATAACGGGATTCGGGCTGGTCCAGGTTTGAACATCCAGTAACCTCACGCGCCAACAAATACTTGTGCTTTAGGGCGGCGGGATCTGTTTCTGCCACTGCAACGGAAACGGGCGATTTATTTACATCTCCGCATTGAGCGGGTTGCAACCATAGTTCTCTTATTATTAAACCACCTACAACAAGTTCCTGTACACTACGCATACCACTACACGACTGTGTTACTACGGACAGTCCGAACAGAGAAGCTATCATCTTCGGGAAACCATATACACACTCGAAAGGACCAAGAGGCACGCAAACCTTTGGGACTTCTGACATTTACAGTATGTCAATGGCGGCCAATTCTGTCGACTATGACGCGACGCTGGCAAACCTTCGCGCTCAGCAAACTTCGCAACCGCTTTCGATCCTCACGCTCGCAGAACCCATCACCGCATCATCACTGTCAAAAACCCAGTCGCAATCACAATCGCCTCGTTCATGCACAAATGCCTCTCAAGGGCCACAACCACGCGCATCCGATGTAGGCAACACCTCCAATTCAACCGTGTCCCATGGCACATCCGCATCAGATTTTGCTAGCAATGGCAAAAACGTCTCAGCAGAGGGCGCGCAGCAGCAGCTGACGCCGGCATCCCTCGCCGCCGACCTGGCGCATTACAAAGACCTCTTCTCGAAACTGCGGTTCAGTTACCTCGAACAAGTGACCAAGGAGAAATACCTGCGCAGCATTGTCGGCGACCCGCCCCTAGTGGTGAGCCACAGCGACAACCTGGCGCTCGAGACAAAACTGGCGGCCATGAAGGCGGAGCTACAGACGAAGAAACGCGGTGTGGACGCGTTGGTAGCCCAAATGGAAGAACAGGCGCGTGTCCTGGCGCAGAGGTACGACGAAGTTGCGCATGGGATGGAGTTGTTGGCCACAATCCCACCGCAGATTGACGACTTACGACGAGAAATTGAAGTTTTGCAGGCCGAAGTTGCCAAAAGGAGGAAAGGCAGCACCTTCGATGACGACGAGCGAGATGGAGAATCAGATGACATTAGTGCTCGCATGAACATGCCCTTGGAAGCGACGCAGCAGGCCCTCGACGATCTGAAAGCTCGGAACCTCGAGCTCGACCATCAAATCTCCCTTCTTCAGCACCAGATGCCGGCCAAGGATCGTGAAGTCGAAAAGGTCGACCGCGAACTCGCCGAGCTCGAGAAGAGAAGGAATGAAAGCACGCGCTTAGCTGTCGAGCTGCGCAAGAGGCGGGAACAGGGTGGCGGAAGAGACGAGATGGAGGAATTGGGCCGGTGGTATCGTGGCTCCGAGGCCGTTCTAAGAGGCGTCTTGTGCTTGGAGGATGTCGTGGGTGTTGAGGGCTAGCAGCTGATCAGGTTTGGCGACACTGGGATTTATTATCCTGCTTGTTTCGGCCGTTGCAGTCTGGAGAGAAGCACTCCTTGATGGCCTTCTCCTCGGTTCACGTCACTTCATCAGCAGCAGTGCTTGGATAACTGCGTGACATGTTGTTATATACACTATGAGTCTTTGAGAGCGTGGAGTTGGGGTTACACTTTCGAATGGCATCTGGATCATGGGTTTTGGTGCACAAGGCTTCGCTACCAGAAGGAGTCGTTCAAGGCCTGCAACCTGGCGATAATAAGGTCTCTACGTCAATGGATCACTTGAATGACGGAAATGGAGAAATACAAGGCGGTAGATCTTTCTGCAATGGTCGACCTGCTGAAATTGGATCGCTGTACGAATAGACATTTCGTTTTGGTATCTCATGGCCAAAACAGTAAACGTTTTCTGAGTGTTCATCTGCTTCATGGCCGTCCACGGCGCCACACACTGGAGCCAGAGGTGACGTGGATTGATTCTGCAAATAACAATCCAAACACAGTCCGAGGTCTGGTCTGTATTGCCGACCCCCTGAGGCTGCTTTCCATCGTTGACCCCACGCTTCATCATCCGCTATTGAGGCGTCGTGTTGGGTCAACATCTGACCAGACCACAGGTTCTCTTCATTGCATCGTCTATTCCTCGTCCTCCTCACCCTCTTCACCTTCCTCATCCTTCTTCTCGGCAGCTCTGGCCTTCTTTCTCCGGACACGACCAGGTCGGCCACCACCGAAGGGGCTGGTCAAGGCGAAGTCAATATGCTTCTGGCTGTCGAGACGGACGACGAAGCTGGGGACGTTGACAATCTGCTTGCCAACACGGATGTGGCGTTGCTTGATGAGGACACGGGCGTGGTGGATGGACTTGGCCAAGCCGAGCTTGTACACGCAGGTCTGCAGGCGGCGCTCCAAGAAGTCCTCGACCTTCAGGGCAAGCACGTAATCGAGCTTCATGCGCGACTCGTCGAGCACACCGACACGCACCAGACGGCGAATGAGGGCGTTACCTTCGAACAGGCGCTTGGGGTCTTTCTCGTCCAGGGTCAAAAGTTGACTATGCAGAACGTCAGTTGACCTAGTCCATACTTTCGCCTATTTGCGCAACATTGGAGTGTTTCTCTCTTGCTTACCGAGCGGCACGTCGAATCTTGGACAGAGTAAGCTGGACACGCCAGACTTCACGCTTGTTGCGCAGGCCATATTCGCCGACAATCTTCAATTCCGAATCACTGTAGAGTAGAAATTAGGATATGGTAACTCTCAGACATGAAGCACAGGCAAGCTGATGCTCAGTGGCCAGAGGACACGTACAGACGGGCTGACTCGAATGCTGTAAATCAGAATTGTGTTAGTTTTCTGTACTCGTGTTTTCAATCGCAAATAAGGTGGGCAAACTTACGTCGACGAGGGACCTTGTAGGTCTTGGAGTAGGATCGCGGCGCCATGATTGATTGTGAGACCGAGTCGTGCGATTCACAATCAAGACGAAGGTCGACACGATCGAGGAGGAAGAGAGGTGGTCGACTGGATTGACTGGTTGGTGCGAAGGGGGAAGTGCGGTCTGCGAGGTGGTTGATGGTCGAAAATGAAGCCGGACTGGGGCTTTGGCGGCGGTCTTGGCACGCGCACACAAAAACTGGACTTTTCCGAATTTCTCGCGGCACTGCACTTGGTTGAAGTGCAAGTGTGGTCTGCGGTCTTGGCATTTGCACTTTCGTGAGAGACTGTCGAAACTGCGGGCAGCAAAGCAGCAGTTCAACCACACAACACTTCCAATTCCAACACCTGTCGCCTTTCCCAACCCTCCACCGTCGACAAGTCGCCTCGAAATCAATCCGGCACAATGGGTCACGCAGGAGGTCTTCGAGCCGGCACGCGGTATGCGTTCAGCCGTGATTTCCGCAAGAAGGTACGAAAGCCTTGACGAGAGACGATGGTTACGATCCGCGCAGTTCGATTAAAAGCGAAGAGGAGGGAGGCAACATGGAAAGGGCGCATATACGAAAGGATCGAACATCAAGAGATTGATCATGGCTAACTCTTTCTTTGCTGGTGTAACAGGGCGCAATTCATCTGTCGACCTACTTGAAAACCTACAGAGTCGGAGACATTGTCGACATCAAGGCCAACGGCGCTGTCCAGAAGGGTGTACGTACTCCTACAAACCTCGCAGAATACAGGAAACAAGGCGGAGGACTGACATGTCGGTTTGTTTGTTCCATTTAGATGCCATACAAGGTCTACCACGGCAAGACCGGTGTCGTTTACAACGTTACCAAATCCGCCGTCGGCGTCATCATCTACAAGAAGGTCGGCAACCGATACCTCGAGAAGCGTGTCAACGTCCGTGTCGAGCACGTCAACCACTCCCGATCGAGAGAAGAATGTAAGCATTACCCTGCCAATCATGGTTCGGACCGGGAAGCGAAGGAAGGAAGGAGGAAGAGAAAGCAATGCTGCTCCGAAAGGATGAGCCTACAGTCTTGATGCTAATCGCTTTTCTGTGTCGTACAGTCTTGAACAGAGTCAAGTCGAACGCCCAGCGCCGCCGTGAAGCCAAGGAGAAGGGCGAGTCCGTCCAGCTCAAGCGCCAACCTGTTGGCCCGCGCCCGTCCCACGTCGTCGAGTTGACCGAGCTCGAGTCCCTCGCACCACAGCCTTACGACACTGCCATCTAAACGAAGTTGTTCTCGCGTTTGTGGAAGGGTGGAATGTGCTTCTTGGGTGTGTGTGGACCAGTACTTCGGATTCGAAGTTTCCAATTCGCGGATCTCGAATCTGGTCTCTTGTGGTTGAGCTTTCTCAAGCCGCTCTTGCTTAGCCAGCGGTCAGTGGAGGGGTGGTGAACCTTTGAGAAAGTGCTCGGAAAGTCAATGCTTGAGATGCTGCGAAACATGCTTGGGTCCATGGATGGATGGGACCTCATCAGCAAGCAATAGAAAGAGTGCCAGTATCGAGGCAGGCCGCAGGCCTGTCTTGCTATGAGAGTTAACGATGCCGGTGGTGGTACAACAACCATCACCACATGCATTTCTCCATCTGGTTACAAAAATGCCTACGATCAATTGCAATCAAGAGAATTTCTTCACCTGTTCACAATCGTGCTTGTTCTTTGGGACATCCACATCCACCGATTCATCTTTCTCCTGTCGTAGCAATCCCTCCATTCATTCTGTTGTCTCAGGCTTCCACGTTCGCTCGATCTTCCTGAATCGAGTTGACTTTGTTCTTTTCCCGTCCGGGATCGAAAGCTTAAGTTAAGGGTATCCATTTTTGTACCTGTGAAGTACTTTTTGAAGCCACACACCACGCCCAAACACCCGTCACATAGGCATCTTCTCCCCTAGGAGCGCCCTTGAGCCTCTCTCGACGCCAGGGCAGAAATTTGAATGAACCGTCGCCGGCGCAGGTCTATGCTTGATTTATTCATACACACCAGACATTAGGTAGGTACCCATACAAAACCGAACCCGTCGTCCCCGTAGCCGTCTCGGGCCCTTGCGCTTGCACCTCGCTCGCCACTTGTGACCCCGTTGAGGAACGTCCCATTTCCATGGGAAATGCTGGGGAAAAGGGACAACTTTTTGAAAAAAGGAAAACCCGAAAACTCCACCCCGTCCGTCTAACCGACCCTCCCTCCCCTCCCCTCCCTCCGTCCATTACTCCCTCCATCGGTCACCCATGGTATCCCTGGGAAAAAGTTCTGCGTCATCGTTAAAACGTAAAGTCGTCGTCGTCGTCATCATCAACCGCGCGAAGAAGGCCGTTGTTCTCAACGTCGTCCGCTGGGTCGCCGAATTCGAGAGCTACTGTTGCTGCTGCTGCTGCTGCTGCTGCTGCTGGTTGTGCCATTGCCGCTGTTTTTGGAATCGTCTGCTCCGTTGTAAGTGGGGAGGCTAGAGGACCCAAGCCCGAAGTCTTGCCCGGTTGAGGCCCACTACCGCCAGATAGGACCGATGGTGGAGGATATAGGTCGTCCGGCGTCGCCGTGGCGGTTCTGATGCTGGAGAACATAGAATTAGACTTTAGAGCCGAAGCCGAAGAGATGATGGAGCTATTTTCAGACATCATAAGATCTTCAGAAGAACGGGCCGTGGCGCTGTTGTTGGCGGTTGTTCGGATAGGTAGCAGTAAAGAAGGCTGCTGTAATTGCTGCTGCTGCTGCTGCTTTCCAGATGTATCTGGATCATCATCCATTAGATGGCTCGTCGTCTTCTTCATCGGACTATCCTGTCCAGTCAATAAGTCGTCTGTGACGCCACTGCCACTGCCGTTGGCCTTGATCTTCACGCTCTCGCTTCCTGCTGGAACATATGGATCGGGCATATGGTCCCCGAAAAACTTGAAAGCTTTCTGTCCGTGGGAAGTGGCACCGGGGTCGTCGTCGAGTTGGAGCAAGAGATCAGCAGATGGTTCATCCCTGTTAGATGCCGCCTTGTCCCGACCTGATTCAGATTCAAGCACGGTGTTTCTGGCAATCCTGCCAAGAATATCTTGAAGGACCCAAGGAAAGCTTATGAATGGCATTTCTTTCGCTTGCGGGCCACCAGCTGAGGAGGCGCGGGAGCCAGCTGCATCAGAGAAGACTTCGTCAATCACCGAGCCGTCAACTGCTTCTTGGGCCTGACGGAATTCATCGTATGTGATGTGATATGCCGCAACGGCCATTGGCATGAGCTTCTCGAAATCACGGCCTCCAGCATGCTCGACTAAGACATCGTAATATTGCTCTTTCAGAGTTCTTGCGTGCTGACCAATCTCTTCATGAAACTTGAAGTCTCGAGCTGCTTTGCTGTGATGGAGCACAAATGTGGACCAAACCTCGAATTCGGTGTTGATCTGGTGCTGAGCCATAATACGTCGCATTCCTTCATCGTAGCTTTTCTTGAGTCTCCGTACCTCTTCCACAACACTCTCAGGCGGAAGTTGGTGCTTCAGAATACGTTGGTCGAATGAGCCCTCCCAGTTCGGTTCGAAAGCCACTCTCTCCACGGCGTCATACAACTGTCCCAGAATCTTATGGGATTTGTACTGCGGAGCTCTCCTCTTTTCCATGAAATGCGGCCACTTGTTGCGTTCCAATTCCCGAGGCATTTCAGCGGGCACGCCGGTTTTGGGATAATCCACCGCCTTGGAGTGCAAGTTGACCAGTGACAGGCAGACGTCACTTCGAATACCCTCGTCGAGATAGTCGGCAGCTGCAAGATGAGCATGAGCAATCCTTCCTAGAAAGTCATTCTGCATGTAGTCGCAGAAGAAGTTGATGATATCGTCTGTAGTGATTTCATCCTTTCCGACAGGCTTGGGCGCAGCGTAACTGAACGGCTCAACAAACCATTCTTCCTGAGGAGGTATCAAGTCTGGATCCCAGATGACGACATAGTCATCGCCGTCCAAGTCTCCTCCAGAACACATGCTTGGGAGATCGCGCTCGCCCTGGATTGGCATAACCACAACATCACATAGATGGTGTAACGCGGGTATGTCGACTGCGTGGACCACTCGGATGTCGCCCCGGTGTAGAGACGGGTTGCGAGCGATGATGCAAACGCCCTCCACAATGCGACGTTGCCCTGTGTGCTGATCCGTGTATTGCATAAAAATCTGAGGCAAGTCTTGCAGGGTAGGAGGTTCAGAGCCAGGAGACACGAAAGGCTCATGTCCCCGCAGCTTGTTTGTCTCGTCGACCACGCCTAGCACAAATGCTCCCTGAGGCACGGGAATCTTGGCCTTCTCTTTGAGATATTTCAGTGTCCATGCACGGTACAGGCGTAGGAGAGAAGTGACGAATATCTCATTTGACTGCCGAAACCCGTCTTCAATCATTGCCGCAATGCTGAGAGTTGTCAGATTTGGATCCACATTATCCCGCAGGGCTCTTAAAGCAGCTGTGTCGTCGACCATTGCACGATCCAGAGCCTTGATACAGTCTTCTTGCTTTTGCAGAAAGACTTCGTCCGGCACACCGAGATCTGAAAGGACCAATATCAACTGGCGGTTGAGGAATGGTTGCCAAAACTCAGAGACACGAATGATCTCTAATTCATCAGATTCGGACTGGAACTTGTACTGACTCGGTCTGATCTTGATATCAACACCTGGGAGCAATGGGTCCAGGGCCAGCACACCTTTGCAGCCTCCGAGTCTGAATTGGTAGGCCGATGGAACTTTGCCCCTCAACTTGAGACTTGAGCAGACGAGTTGGGCGCCAAGCATCGATATCTTGCCGACGCCGTCCGTAAACGTGTGACCGTTGATGATGACATCGTCGATCAAACGCTTGTGGAATGCTCGCTTGCTGAGAACCGACACGGCTCTAGTCGTTGAGAAGCACTGCCCCATTCTCGCAGCTCGCTTGGCTACAACCTTTTCGGAGTCAAAGATGCCCATGCTGCGGCGAATGGTGTCAGGAGTAATATCGTGGGTACTGGCAAAGAAGTAAGCACCGTGTTCTCGTAGTTGCGAATTGCCCCAGGCAAGGAATTCATAGTGTCGGTCGGCGATGATGATCCCATGTTTCAGGGTTCGCCGCACTCTTTCGAACAGCAATCGCATCCTTCCGTTGGTGGCTGGATACAATCTTGACTTCCCACGGTAAGAGTCGTCTTCGAATCTGACGCGAAGGAACCGATCGTTGTACCGCTCATATTTCCGGATGATACGATTGGTAATCTCGACAGAGGGCGTATGGAAAAGCACACCTGATGCGGTGACTGTGGCATGGTAGATCTCATTGCAGTTGGTCGGGAGAGCCCGCGCACGGACGGGCTTCGAGTACCGAAGGTCTTTGAAGATAGTCATTGGATCATAGATACGCTCCTGATAAGAGTCAACGTGAATGAGCATTTGTTTGGCGCGCTGCCGCGGAAGCGAGGTGAGCCGCTGTAGAAATTCCTTGTCAATGGTGTATTCATTGAGCCAGCCTTGCGAGATGCAGACTTCAAGTTGATAGCGCAAATCGAAATCCAGATGTATGGCAGATAACTGCTCACTCAAGGAGGATAGGGCGTTATTCGAGTCGTTGAGCATTTCCCACAAAGGTGCGCCGTGTGGCGTGCCATTGAGCACCTTGAACGACGGGTTTTTGGTCACGGGGACATTGAAATCCTCGAGAGCTTGGACGAAATGCCGAACTGGCGACCTGGAGGCGTCCGCGTTTGAGGGGATGGTGACACGGAAAGTTGTCCAGCGCGCGATGTCGATACTGTTGTACAGTTTTTGTATGGAGATGGGGGTTTGGTTGATAACACTGTAAGTCTCCTTGTCATCAACAATGTCGGTTTGCCGTGACCAAGTGTCGTCAGCCATCCACTTGAGTGACTTGGGATCATGGCTCATTTGCATTGCCTCCTTCAGCTGGCGGGAATACCAAGGGGGTCGGGTGAGATGAAAGACCAGAGATGTCGAGGAGTCACCGGCAGCAGGGATCTCACACATGGAGAACTGATCATCGAGAGCGACGAAGAAACGGTAGTCACGTATGGTGGATTTGCCTTTAGACGTCATGAAGACAGGGAAGTGAACCTCGATTTCCAGACGGTCAAGATTCAGAAATAGTTTCACAGCCTTGTGATCGGGGTCGCGTTTGGTCGCCTTGGCGACCATGATGTTCGGTCTCTCCAAATAACCAAAGTCGATAGCCTCGCCATGCAAGGTCATTTCAGGACTGTATTTGATGCCTCTTCGAACCGGGCTCTCAACAAACCGCATCGAGGTCTGGTTGCCGGCAAGCAGGACCGTGACTCGGTATTTCTTGTCGCCATCAGCCTCGCGTAGGACGAATTCAATGCCATGTCTGTAGTAGGTGGAATCCCAAGGTGCCCTCCGCGGAGGTGGCGGTTTAAAAGTGACAAGAGCTGATCTGGCGAACACTCCCTGGCGTGTCTCCTCGAGACGGATGAAATCGACTTTGCCAAAACGGTGGAGGTTCTTATGGATGTCATAGGTCGTAGTCGCTGGAGGCAGGTTGGGAATGAACGCTCTGACTGACGGCCATGCTCGCCATTCTTCGTCTCTCGCAGGATCCCGGCCATGACCATGCACTGCCAGTGGAGCCATGCCAGATCGGCCAACAGCCATTCGTCGTGGACTGGGGTCCATCATGACTTACCGATCTTGTTTGTGAGCGCGGCGTGCCATGCCCTGGAAAGATCTTCTTGGGCAGGAGGCAAGCCAGGCCACGGCTTTTAAGTAGGATCAGGCAGGTGAGTTAGGAGCAGTGGTGAGTGAAAGCGAAGAGGAAGTAGTAAATCAAGGACGTTGAGAAAGTCCCAGCGAAAGGGGTGGAGAGGGTGAAGGTTGGTAGATTGAGACACGCGACTTCACTTTGAGGTTCAAGTTCAAACCCGCAGACAAAGAATAAACCGCGTCTAGTGGCGGGATCGGCCTCTTCCCGCGAAGTTCTGTGTCTTTAGCGGCTAGGCAAACCGATAAAACACGTGCCAACAATGACAGTGAGGCTGCGATGAGAGAAGAAGGAGAGGCTGCAAGTGCTGAAGAGAAAGACAGAAAGAACTGCTTTTGAATCTGAGACGCGTGGAAGGTTCACTCAGTTCTAGCTTGGCGAAGCAGTTATGGCGCGGTGAAGTGACGAAGAAGTGAAGAGGACGATCCCACCGAGATTACTTCTGTGGCTCGCCGTAGCAAGCAATTAATCAGTGATTGACAATCACCTGTTGATTGTCAGGCTGCCCGTGAGATGGAGTGTGCAAACGCAGTGACATGGGACAGAGAAAAGGCAGGAAGAGACTGTATTGACGCGTTGGAGCGGATGGAAAATTGAAAAATAAACTTCGTGAAAAAGGATGTCCAGGAGACTCCTGGCAGCAACAGCCTCAGTCTGCGATGGAATTCTCATTGTGCCAGTCTCAATTCCAATGTTTAATTTTTTCATGCCATTATAGAACTCCTTGGACCAGACTATAGCGTCAGCGTCAAGTGTCAATATCGATCGATCTTGATGCGTTGCAGTAGGAGGAACAGCAGGACAGTCATCCGCCCAAAGGGCTGCGAAAGTCGCTTTTGAACATGATCTCTACCAAAACAGATACCAGATATGTTTGTCCGCTTACGTGAACTCGATGTGCCGATGTAAACTGTGGATATAAGGTAAACGGTCGACCACAGCAGTGTACTACTCGGCATCTACAGGACTTCGGTGCAGTTTCGAAGACAGCCGATAGGGGCAGAGTAGAGCCAGTCGTGGCAGTGGTCTTCGGCATCAGCTGCCGAGGGCGAGAAGCGTGCAAACTTCCCCACGAGCTTCTGTTTCCCCAGCACGCAATCATGGGCCACCAAACCCCCGGCTAAAACAGAGCAGGGAGGATCTCGTCCCTCGGTTTTAATTCCGTGGTCGTGTCGCCAGAGAATGGCGAGCTACTACTTGCTACACTACAGTATATCGTGTAATTCTCTTCATTTGCATCGTTGTCCTTGTGTTTCATCCCCTGATGTGATGCTGGAATAAAACAAAATTGTGCCAAGTTCCAGATCCAGTCATGCCGGGCAGAATACAATCGGGGCTCAACCTGCAGCGGCAGCTCCTGGAGCCATGGACGCAGCACACCGTCCGTCCCAGTGGAACGCAATTATTACATCTGTGCGGTATCAATGCCAAGTCCAGCACCAGCTTCAGACAGTGCATTCCAAAAGGACCATGTCGCTGGATTAGTGGTGGCAGTCGATCATTCTCATGGTCGGCATCGGCACGCAAGGCAGCCACAACCACAGCCACACAGGCCGAGCAACAAGCAAAGCCGCAGCTCCCGCTATGGACGACGAGCAGGGTCCTGCTTCTAGCAGGGGCATTAGCCTCGATAGGCTACGTGGTGGGAGTCACCGACGCCGGCAGCCATGCGGACGAGCTACAGCCTCGTGCGCAAAAGCCGCCCAAGTACGCTACCAAGAAGGAACTGGAAAAGGGCATCGAGGAGCTCCGCGGCCTGTTGGGCGAAGACTCCATCAGCACGGACGACGAAGACCTACGCGCCCACGGATACTCGGAGTGGTCGTCGATCAACATCGACCAGTTACCCGTGGTAGTGGCGTACCCGAAAACCACGGAAGAAGTGTCGCAGATCGCCAAAGTGGCATGGAAATACAAAATCCCCATGATTCCGTATTCGGGAGGTTCATCGCTCGAGGCCAACTTTTCCGCGCCCTTTGGTGGCATCAGCATCGACTTTGCCTTCATGGACCAGATCCTGGCCGTGCACGACGAGGACATGGACGTGGTCGTGCAGCCGGCCGTGCAGTGGATGGAATTGAACGACAAGTTGCAGTCGACGGGGCTATTCTTTCCCGTCGACCCGGGCCCGTCGGCCAAGATCGGCGGCATGATCGGCACCTCGTGCAGCGGAACAAATGCGTTTCGCTACGGCACCATGAAGGACTGGGTTATCAATCTTACTGTGGTGCTGCCGGACGGGAGAATCATCAAGACGAGACGGAGACCGCGCAAGACCTCGGCCGGCTACAACCTAACGGGCATGTTTGTGGGCGCCGAAGGCACATTGGGAATCGTCACCGAAGCAACTCTCAAACTGGCCCCGATCCCGCCTGAAACAAAGGTCGCCGTCGTCACGTTCCCCACGATCCGTGATGCCGCCGCCGCCGCCATGCAGGTCATCCGCTCCGGCGTCCCCGTGGCCGCCATGGAAATCATGGACGACGTCCAGATGTCCGTCATCAACCGTGCCGGAGGCACCAACCGCACCTGGAAGGAGGTGCCCACCCTCTTCTTCAAGTTCGCGGGGACCCCGGCCAGTGTGCAGGACAATATCAAGATCACCACCCAGATCGTCAAGAGGAATAAATCCGGCGAGATTCTCTACGCCAAGGACGATGCCGAAGCCCACAGCCTCTGGAAGGCCCGAAAGGAAGCCCTATGGAGCATGCTGTCGCTGCGCCGTCCTGGCGACGAGGTCTGGTCCACCGATGTCGCTGTCCCCATCTCCAGACTGCCGGACATCGTTGAAAGAACGAAAAAGGAGCTGGACGACTTGAACCTTTTTGCTAGTGTTCTGGGCCATATCGGCGACGGCAACTTCCACACCTCTATCATGTACAACCGCAAAGACCCCAGTGAACGGGAGAGCGTCGAACGCGTCGTGCACAACATGGTTCATCGCGCCTTGGGAATGGAGGGCACCTGTACCGGCGAGCACGGCATCGGCCTGGGCAAGAAAGAAAGCTTAGTGGAAGAACTCGGACTAGACACCATCGCAGTCATGCAAACTGTCAAGCGCAGCCTTGACCCGTACTGGCTGATGAACCCCGGCAAGATCTTCGATCCAGTCCATGCTGAGGCCACCAAGAGTCAGCCGCAAGCAACGGCTGCGTCAACTCTGGAGAAACCGAAGGACAAATAGATGCTTTTCGTGCCATGGCTACCGGGAGGGAACCCAAGTGGAGAAATCAAAACATGAACCACAAGGCCTGCGTATCGTGCTCGGCCTCCGGGGGCAAGATTCAAGTGCACGCCAGCACCACTGAATGAAGAAATTCTTACTTGGCGAGATGAAGTCTCCCAAGTACCGCAGCCGCCAGTAACTGGACCAACAGACAAGCACGAGCTTTGTCTAACATTCTCATTGTTAAAGTTGCGGCTCATTTTGCCTATTTCTGTCCAACCATCACTGCAAAAGCGTCCTGTAAGCTCAATCGTCCGAATTAATATGCAAAATCACTGCAGCACTATCTATTTTCGTCACATCGTATATGCACATATGTCGACTTGGCGAGTTCAGCAATCGAGAAGCGCGTCAGGCGACAAAGAAAATCTTCTCGAGCTTGCGTGTAAGCTTTACGCAAGGCGTGTCGACAAGACGTAGGAATACATCGGCCGTCCAGACAACGACGATAATGATGATGATTGAAGACTTGAGGAAGTCGAGCTCAAACTGGCGCAGTGTGTCGGGCGTTTCCAGCTCAGGGGTTCGTGGGAGGATCTAGGAGCACAATGTTGTTAGCAACAGTCCTTAGCCTTAGCAGACGAAATAAGCACAGCCTCGGTTTTTCAATGGAACGCCCCACGTCCTTGAATGCAATACTTTCTAGCACATCCAAGGAGAATAAAGGCAGGCAGTCCTTTCAATATGCTTTGACATTATGAATCGGGTTGGAAGGGGGCGCTCACCGAGTAGCCTAGAGTATGGATAACCGGCCCATGCACCACATAAAGCGGAAAGCTGATTTTACCGAGATACTGAATGATCGACCAACAAAATACTTTTCGACGGAGGTGTTCCAGATGGCATGTTGACCAGATAATGAGAATGGCGCCAATGGTTGGCCAGAAGCGGTGCTTTTGCGTGAAATGCGGAGGAATGAGCTGGGTCAGAGTAATGTAGCCCGGCGTTGCGTGACCATCGGCGTCCGGATAAGACAGCAGAAAAAGTGATAGCAGAAACACAGAAGAGTAGAAGATCTTTCCAACTGGTTTTGGGTGTTGTGGTGGAGTAGCTGAGCAAGGGAGGTCGGTCGTTTTCGAAGTCCGCATGATGTCCATCTCGGCAATGATCATGCCTGCCCAGAACGGCCATAATTCCCACCGATCCCAAGAGACTCCCCAGACCATGAGCGCCGATAAGGTCCAAATCCGCAACTTGGTTGACATCCTCGCGACCATGACATGGGTGAGGAACAGGGCCATACTACAGCGAAATTCCGCCGGAATGGTCCATAGATGCCTGTCGAGTTCAATTGAGCCCGCGTACAGGGACCAATCAAACGCATTCACAAATATCAGCATTTGTTGCATCCAGTCCGTGAACTGTAGCCATGGGTTGGGCTGGGTGTAGCAGTGGTCCTCGCGGATGGTCCGCATCTGACCTGCAAAATCTTCCGTGCGTTTGTACAGGTTGAGTTGCGCCAAGAATGCCACGATGAAGGTCGACGCAAAACAGGGCAGGAACAGGCGCAACGCCCGGCGGAATACCGAAGAACTCATCGTGTTCATCAGCTGCTCGGTCTGTCGTGAGCGCATCAGCTTAAGGGGCTTGTAGCTGAGCGCGTAACCGGAAATAACGAAGAATATCGCAACCATTGGCGGGCCGGAGTAGAGAAGGCGAACAGCAGGGAGACGGAGAAAGCATTTGTAAACACTGTTAGATCCCGAAGTGTCTGCGTCCGGATTCGCGCCCCACGCATGGCCGATATCAAAAGTTCCATATGTAAGATGGCAGATGAAGACGACAAATGCGGCGAGGCCACGCATGCCGTCGAGGAATGCCGTCGGGGAGACATTGTCGGGTTTGGGCTGGCCATTGTGATGTCGTGGCTGGAAGAAACTGGGTAGTAGTAGTTGGAATAGTTGGACTATCGATCTGGCCAGGAACCTCAAGGGTAGGCACGGCGTTGCGACGAGGATCTTCTGGGATTTCGGCCAAAGGGTGCCTTGACAGGTGTTTTCGTCGTGGTAGTGGTCCTGCTTTTCATTCAAGAGACCTGTTTGCGAATCATCTGTGCTGGTTCGTGATGAGCCACCGCCGGACGAGCCCATGATTGTCGATCTGATACAGTGAGCATCCTCAGGCACTCGCAGAAGGGGATACTTTGCACTATCCAAAGTTTGGAAAAAAACAAAAGAACAAACGAAAGTTGAAGTCGCTACCGACAGATTCCCACAACCGCAACGTCAGTTACACATATGGAGAGTCCAGGGACACTGGAGGCAGCCTCTGAACGCCCGGACGACAGTCTGGAGCAGGGGGGTGGGTGGACAGTGGTCTCCACAATTCCACAGTTTTATAAGCTGTCAAGCTGATCGTTTCGAGTTTTGAAAGATCTGAGACAGCGGCTGCCCACTTCCAGAAATTGTACTGTGGCAGCGGCTACCAATTGGCATGGGGAAAGCGCCGGCCTCGCGACTGATCAACGTTCAAGTTCTTCTTGACGACCGTCTGAAGACCCTGGAGACTATCTTCTCAACAGGCGAGAGCGCCCGGCCCCGATCGAGTTTAGACATGATGCTTGATTAGTAGCGCTTTCTAAAAGGAGGTGGCGTCGCCTCATGCCCGTTGAGGCTGCGTCCATGCTTTTGCGATGGCCGGAAATGGCTCAGTTGCTTTCGTTGACACTCCGACGACTGGCGGTATTTTCCGGGACATTTATTTGACAACTTACAATGTAGTCCCTGTGGTGTTCAAGCCGGTGAAAATGCCATGCGTAGGAGGAAACGCTACGTACACAGTCTATCGCCATCTTCTGTCTTGCGCGTCGTTGCGGATCATGTTTCACTTTATTTCTGTGGACGCGTGTTGTCACGTGACTTAAGGTCGTGTGAGAAAATCTCACGTGCATGCTTACTACGAAGACCTTCACTGCGAACGGTCGCCAGTGCCTCCTCTATTCCGTGCAGTTGAGAACGGAATAGAACCTTAATCTCACTGAGCGTGCACTGTCTGACACTGGATTACCCGATTACCATAGTAGGATGCGAATTTTACTTAGCGTACGCGGGAAAAAGGTGTTGTCAGACAGCTGTATTTCATCCAAGGTTCGAAACTTGAACTTCCAGGTTAGGATGACAGCAAGGCTCCTTCCCTAGGTAGTCGCCTTCGTACCCGACGCTCTACAACTTGAAAGGTGCGAATCAACCACTGCTAACCTCCATTCTCGTTGATGGGCTTGCAGTAGGCCGCCAGTCCTTCCCTGTCCGGCTCATTCAGACGCCATTCACCTGCTCAATGATAGCTGTCTCAACAATAGGGCCGTTATACCTTCCACGCAAGTATCCAAAGTAACTTGCGACGCCGATAAGCATGGTGCCTCCCCAGATGAGAGAAGACCAGTTCATTGATTGAAGAGTCAAGTCCGTCCTTACCGAAGGAAAGAAACTGAAGGTCATGGTGATGGCAATCCAAAGAAGCCCGAAAGCGTTGCAAAAGATGCCCAGTCGTTGGCCCAACGTCCAAGGGCCGTAGTGGATGGACGATGGATTGAAGAGCTTTTTATGGAGCAAGAGACCCATGGGCAGTGTGTAACTTCCCAGGTACCCTGCCACGACCAGCGAGGCGACGGCATTGAAGGCAGCCGACGACCCGATATTGATCAGTCCCAGAAGCAAGGTGATCACCACCGAGACCCCAACGGAATAAAGGGGTAACTTGGTCCGCGGCTCGACGCGGGAGATGAATCGCGAGCCAGGAAGGCCGTTATCACGAGCAAATGCCCACATCATACGCGAAGCCGCCGCCAGGACCGCAATGGCCGCGAATATCATCAGCGAAAGGACAATTGAAGTCATAGCTGTGGCACCGCCGGTCGAATTGACAGCTTGGTAGAAGATTTCGATAAATGGGAATCCGGTAGTTGTTTCGAGGGCATTGTCAATATTGCCGACGCAAAACAGAATGGCAATCAGCATGGAAAACCCCATTGTGCCGTTCAAGCCGATCGAGGCTACCAACGAATGTGGCACAACGGTGGACGCATTCTTGATCTCCTCACTCATGTGAATGGCTCCGTCGGCTCCGATGAATGCGAAAACGGTCGTGATAAGGCCCACAAAGAACGATGTGCCTTTATCGTATCCCCCGTTATTGAGGTATAATGCAAACACGTCATGGGCTGTGCCATGGGGCGCCAGATAAACCAAAGTGATGAGGACGCCGAAAAACCCGACGATGTGCACGATCAACACCGCCCCTTCGACCTTCGGGAGCTGTTTTGCAAGGTAGGTATTGAAAAGCATCGCCAACAGCACAACGGCGTACAGAAGGAGTGTACCATGCCACCGCTGGAAGTTGTACGTGGGATAATTCAGCACGAGCAGTCCCTGAATAATAGTGCCACCAAGGTACGCCGCTGACGCCAGACAAGCTTGCCATGACAGCACGGACTGCCATCCTGTGATGAACGAGAGGAAGTTCCGACATGATTCTGGTGCAAACAGGAATGTCCAATGGTACTGCCCGCCTGCGGTCGGAGCCCTTATTTGCGTCAGTCAGCAAACCCCGAGAAATGGCCCCCCTTGTGCACTCACATCGAAACCATCTCAGCCAGAGAAGCGACAACGGCCAGATAACCCAGCCAGCAGAAGAGATATCCATAAATGAGCCCGGCTGGTCCACCGTCGGTCAAGCCGTACACGAAGACCGTCAAAAGGCCCTCCCAGGTAATCATGAGGGTGCAGGAGAACCCGAGCATGCTCATGAAGCCAAAGTTGCGCTGTCAAACTCAATCAGCAGGTCCCGTCGAAACGGCTGGAGAGTCAGTCTTACCCTGAGCTCCTGACGTTTACCTAGCCTGGCCAGCTCCTCTTCGTCCCTGTTGACCGAATTCTCTCCGTCATGATGGATCTCAGAAGAACCAAACTTGCTACCACTCTTCATCGCAAATGTGTCGCTCATGTTGACAGTCTTACTGAAAGTCGACTTTGGAAGACGGAAGCGATTGGCACTGAGGGGCGTTGCAGTTCGAGCAGAGGAAGGTACCAGTAAAACAAGTTGAACGCTTGAACTATTTTACTACTGGCAAGACCCTTTGCGATTTCAATATGCAGACTCTGTGCTGTGGCAACATGAGACCCTCTATGGGCCTAGCAGATCCGAAACGTGACAGGAGGAATGTCCCAGCGTGTTGTATGAGGAGGGCAGGTCAAGAGGTGGCCCCTCTGCTCCCAGCAGCTAGACTCTATCACAAAAAGGCCTCCAACGTCCAGAAGAGTCGGTGAAAGGACTCAGCCTCCGTACACAACTTGCAACACCTACACGTGTGCTCAGGATTCGCGGCTCAGGCAGATACTCGTTGGACGACCGGGGTCTGCGACGATCATGCCGCAGAGCTAAAGGACCTAATGCCACAGGGGTACATTGGAAAGCAGGGCTACGTTCCAGGAACTTTACATCCGTCAAGTGATGCACTTGCAGAAAAGGGATGTTGCACCGGGATGGAGCTTGCACAGATGCGTGGCTTTCAAGGCAACATCGCGAATAGTGCGGCCGAGAAGTTTGTGCTCGAACCACGTTGCTGCTACGACATACATCCCCATTACTCGAATCTCAGACCCTTCAATCTTGCTGTCTCCAAACCTTGAAGCCAGGCGTCCCGCAGATCGTGACTGACATAGTCGACTCTTGAGGCTCTACGGCTTGCGGATTGCATCGGAAGTACACGAACGGCACTGCAGCAACCCTCGCTGGAATCCCAAGGCGACAAAGGAGTGTGACACAATGTTCAACCCCAGCAGGGAAGCGATGCATGCAGATTTGCAACCCCCCCGCGCCTGCAGCGCATACGCGTGCAGTCGAGACTTTAAGCCACATACCGCTTGTTTAGTGCGAACGCGGCGATGCTGTCGATCCGGGCAGAGTCTGGTATGAACCCGAGGTCTAGCGTCCGTCGCTGACAAGAGAGACACCTGTTTTAATTCCACAATGTCACTTGCCCTCAATTCCAGATGGGCAGCCCATGAGAACGGCCCCCGGATCCTACGCTCATATGTCACTTCAGCTCGGCAGATCCCTTCCCTACCCTGGGAGCTACGGTTACTGGACTGTTTTGGAAACACATATACGCGAAGCCGGCAGCGAGCACCCTAGCGTTGGATTTTCGAATCCTCTGAGCCTCGAACGAGCTTGACCAGTGGTATTGTTTTCCGACATCATCTGATAGACTTGATTTTCGTGGTTGTCTTATCACATCCCCGACATTGAGTCTAGACGCAGCCGAGGCATTAGTCTTGCAGATCGATCCCTTCTGACCTCCGCTCAGCTAACCACTGACCTCGTTTGCTCCCGAGGAAACTTGAAAATCCCCCGGGGATGGATTGAATGGTTGTTGTTCCTTCCTCACGGCACTGTGGTTCATTGCAGAATTTGACTACCTTCTACTACCTCATGTTGACCCAAAAAATTATCTGGCCACAGGCAATCACTGAATGCGCAAGGCAACGGTGGACAAATCATCCCATGAGTTTGCCGTGGTGTCTACTGTCTTCGGGAAAGACTACTGGCAGGGAATAATCCAGCTCCATGCACTGCAGCCTGCAATCTGCATCCTGCAAGCCTTGCGTGGGAATCACAAAAATGGGGCTTCAAACGTTGTCACAAACACCTACAACCACAGCACATGCATCTAGAACAAACCCTCAAACCACATCTTGCCCCCTTTAACATGTGCTGGAATTGGAACCCGGACAAGAAGCCATGCCGCACTGCGTCCAAGGATGCATGTTCTGGCACACAAGGCTCGCAAGGATTTTGCGGCATTCAAGTTGCAGTGCAGTAGATCAACGTGATATCCCACGCATGCGGCATACAACGTCCGGGGTGCGAAGTCGGCACATTGTCGCGATAGGTCGAGACGATGATTGACTTTGGAAAAGTCAGGCTACTAGTAGTCGTACCAGCTAAGATGCAACTATCACCGTGTTCTCAGGTTTCGGGTATTTTAGTGGGCATCTACCCTACCTACCGTGCAGTCCGCCCCTGACCTGGGTTGCAAGTAACCCCCGGAGTGTGTACAGTGGTAGAAAGGTAAGTACATCAAGCAGTGCAGTGCCGCACACTATAGGTGTACTTTGTGGTAGAATTATATATGATTAGAAGAGAGAGAGAGTAAGTAGAGATAACAGAACTAAGTACATAAGATATAACACGTTAGTGCGGGGTAGGAGCGTTAGAGCGCCAAGAGTGCAGAAGCGTAGGTATTCCTTCTTAATATACCCCCTAATAACTATATTCTTAGTACCCCTCGAATACTATTAATACTTATAATCTATTAATATTTAAACTTTTCTATTATACTTATATAATCTCTATTATTTCTACTTTAATTTACGTAAATTATACTATAATATCTAGTTAATAGAGGTCTCGCTAGAATCTTTATATAAATATCCGCTATATTATTACCCGATATAATATAGTCGACGGTATAATCGATTCTATTCCTCTTACGCATAAAATAAAAGTAGACTACTATATACTTCGACTTAGCTAAGAAGCGATAGTTCTAGATAAGATTTAATATAGACTAGTTATTATAAAGTAGGCGGGTCTAGGCCGTATAGATATTATAGTATAGCTCTTTTAGTACGTTTCTAACCTAAATTAGCTACGAGGCGGTATAAGATACGGCTATATATTCTACTTCGTAGGTAGATTTAGCTACGCTTAATTATCGCTTTATATTCTAATATACGAGATTTCTAGTAAATAATAGTACGAAACCGCTATATAATCTTATAGTTTTAGGGTTATTAGTAAACAATATATTCGCGAATATCTTAAGCTAGCTCTTCTTATATAGACGGCGCTTAAAAGTTAATTTTATATCTAGCGTCCCTTTAAGGAACCTTAGTAGTTAATATATAGTAGCTATATATATAGTATTCGACTTTAAATTAAATATACTTAATATAGTAATAGAAAATACTAGGTTAATATACGTTTCTACGACGAGGAAGTTAATAGATTCTATAATTTACTAGTATTTTTTTACGTTCGCGAGATTATTATTATTAATAGTCTTCTATAGATAAGTCGAGTCTAAGAGCGTTTACCTCGTATTATATAATTCTATATTAAATCTTTTAAGTACTCTATATATATAAGTCTACTATAAGATAATAATTTTAGAATCCGTCTAGGTAATTTCTAGACCTAGTAAGTATTTAGCTATATTAAGATCTTTATATTTAAATTATCTCGAGATTATTTTCTTAAAGTTTTCTATTTTAGTTCGATACCCGATAATTAGTAGATTATTAACGTAGACGCCGATAATTAGGTTTTCTAAAATAAAAATATATAGGTCGAAGCTTACTTCTTTTAGACTATACTTTAATAGAGTCGTCTTTAGCGTACTAAACTATTCTTATCTAGACTATTTTAGTCTATATAATACTTTTAGAACGAGTAGAATAGTATTTAGATCGGCTAAAAGTAATCCTTAAGAGTAGCGTATATATACGCGGTAGAATAGGTCTAAATTTAAGTAGACTATATTAAAATCTATTTAGTATAGTAGTATATTTCTTAAGGTAGCGAGTCTAATAATAATTCTTAAGCTTTCGTATCTTACTATAGATAAGTATATATTGATAAGTATATATTATCGTAATTTATACTATAAATTTAGATAAAGTCGCGAGTAATAAGTCTAGCTTTATACTTAACGAGTTTACTATTAGAGTTATACTTTTTAGTAAAGACTTATCTAGAATCGATAATATACTATAGATTAATATCTCGTTCCGTAGCGAGTTTCTATATTCTATTATTATAATAGAATACTAGTTTATAATCGATTACTTTCTTCTAAAATAGCTATTTAGTAGATCTTTAAGCGATAGTAAATAATAATAGAATATCGATATCTTATACTAGTAGCGTAATATAATTAATTTTATCTTAGCTATTGTTAGTTTCTAATATTTCGCTCTATATTATCTAGTCTATAGCTCTAGCTATTAGTTTAATAATTCTTCTAGCTCTTATCTTAATAGAGAATTTAGAGGGCGAGAGAGTTAGTATAGCTAGAAATAGAATAAGTAATCTCGAGAGACTTTTCGCCTTCGGCGTAGTAGATATTCTATTAATTTTATTTACTAAAGAAGGCGGTAATATTTCTAATTTTAGTTTATTAAACTAGAATATCTATTCGATAGTAGTAGATATCGGCTCCGTAGTCGATATTAGATTATTTATCTTATAGATAATAAGTAGCGACTAGAGTTTTAAGATAGTATACTATTATAGTAGAAAACGTATATCCTTAGAATAGATAATAGTATTCCGTTATAGTATAAATATTCTTAGGATACTATCGGTATAGTATTCGACTAGAAAACCTTTTTAAGCTCTATCTAATAGTTTTATTCTAGATTTCCTTACTTCGATAGATATATAGACGTAGTATAGGGATATAAATTGTCACGAACTGAACACGTGACTAGGAATAGTAGGATATCAATTACAGGTCCAGAATTCCCAAGCACAAGTGCTTGGAATTCAAGTCTTTTTAGAGTACACCTCTACTCTAGCGGCCGTGGACCTGTCCGTGACATAAATAGACGAAGATAGCCGATTAATAGCTTACGATAAAGTAACGCTTTATATAGTATAACCTTTATAGATAAGGTAGAATATAGTTTTCGATTTCGAAGATAGTATACTATAGTAATTACTTGAATTTACTTCCGCTTATAATATTAAATACTCGTCTTTCTCTATTATAGTCCTCGCGTCGGTTACGATAATTCTATTATATCTTTCTACTATACCGTTACTTTAGTAGCTATAGAGTAGTATAGATTAAGGAAATATTCTATACTATTTAAAAAGTTATTTAAATTTATCGTTTTTATACTTACTACTATTATTAAACCTAAATACTTTAATAGTTTAATCGAATTATATTTTAATAAACTAGATAAAGTCGTTAGTTACTATAATTACTTTATCTCTCGTTTTAAGAAAGTATATCTAGTAGTATTAAGAGTAATTATTAATAAATATAATAAAGTATCTAGAACTACTAAGTAACTTCTATAAGAATTTTCTAGATACGTCTAAATAGATAAGATCGAATATAGTATTAGAACGAAGTTATTATAAGGATTTCGGCCGATAATAGACTAATTTTACTAATAAATAGAATTTATAGTAATAGTTTTAAGATTATTTTAGAACTAGATAGCTATCTTTATATAATCTAACTATAGTAGTATAGTTAATATAGAAATAGCTAATAGTATAATAGAATTTATTATAGAATACGAAGTTAGTAGTAGTATCGTTAGTCTAAATTTTAAGAGTACTATAACGATATCTCGTCTAGAGTATATACTCTTTATCTTTAGAATTTACGAAAATATCGTTATCTTTTCCTATTATAGTAAAACCTATCTAGTAGATATAAGACTAGCTAAAGAGACGCGTTCTCTTTAGAAAACGACTATAGATAACGTTAGTTAGTTTAGTATCCTTAGTAGCGCTAGATAGTAATAAAACTCGTAAGTAGATAGTTCCTATATCTTCTATAGAAAGTTTATAATCTTCGACTATCGTAATAATATTTTTTTAGGGTATTAGGATTATAAAATCTTCCGTATACCCGGATATATATCTTATCGCGCTAGTATTAAAAATCTATAAATAAGATTATAATTAAAGAGAAGAGAGATAAAACTTTACCGCTAGAGTATCGATATTATAGTTTTTATCTTCTAGAGATTATTTCTTAGTATATAATAAGATAGGCTATTATAGTAGTAGAATAGACTAGATATAGATAATAATAGAGTTTAATACTAGAGTACTAAATACTACTATATTATTATCTTCTTTATCTTCTTTCTTAGTATCCGTAGCTTAGGCTTTATAGATCTATCTAGATAGCTAAGTTATAATCGATAATAGTCGTAGTATAGTTAATAATTAGTAATTACTATTCTACCTTTTTATTAGCTTAATATTATTTAAGATATTTATAATTAGTATAGATATATCTAATAAAGGTTAGGTTATACTTTCTATACTATA